AGAGCTCAAAGTCGACTCAAAAATTCATCGACTTTGTATGGCAGAGTTGACTCTGGGTCGACCCGACTCCATACAAAATTTCATAGACATCGAGCTCTGCTTAAATGGCTAGAATGTCAAACTTCTTCGTTGATATCCTTCAAACCCACAAAATGTTAATTAACTCACGCATCCGCTGCCTCACAGCAAAACATTACAAGACTTTTGGTTCTTAAAAAAAAGTTTAAAGTTCAAGATCACGAAAAAGGAAAAGAAAAAGGAAATTTGCCAGAAGTTGAATTTTAAGTTTTAAATGAGACCTTTTTTGGTAAGGATGGTTATGGATGTAAAGTAATGGATTTTATGGTAATTTTATGGTTTTGTTTGATAAAGTTCATGTTGTTTAAGGATATGGAACCATCGTTCAAGAACAGACTGGAATTAAATTCTATATTAAGGTGCAATCTATAGGTTCAGCCTATAAGTTCAATTTTTATTGAACCGATCAATATTTTCAAAAGATTTTAATATGATTGAATCATCTCTTATAGACATTCAGTGACTCACTCACAATCCGCATCAATTTCTATGACAAATCATTAATCGAGTCATCTGCGGATTACTTCATTTTTTCCTGCATTTTTTCAACAATTTCCAACTTCTAGACTCTTATCACACAATGACTAATAAAAAACTTTTTTTCGCTACTTTTTGAAGCAGAACAAGTAGAAGGTTAAAACTGTGCCAGTGCACGCTTATCATATTAGTGTAACACACCCAAATTGTGTGTTCTTAAGTCTTTTATGAGTGTTTGCTTTTTAAATTTATTGCTTTAATGGCTTGGAATTAATTTCTTTTTCCCTGATGTGGTTGAGTTGAGTATGTGGTGAATGTAAGTGCATCTAGAATGTTTTAAGTAACTCTGTTGCACACTGAGCGACCTTGAATTTCAAACCCTTTAAATTTCGGGTTCGTAGTTACACAGCCCGTATATCTCAGATTCCTATTTTTATGCTTAATGGTTCTTATCTTAGTTTCACACCCCTTGAATATTTTATTCTTAGTTTTACACCCCATTATTTTGAAATTCATAGTTTCATACCCCTCGAATCTCAGATTTTTTGTTTCACACCCCGTAAATCCCAGACTCTTAGTTTCACACCTATTGACTTTTATATTCTTAGTTTAACACCCCTTGACTCTTAGATTTTCAGTTCAACACCCCATAAATCTAAAATTCTTAGTTTTATACCCCTCGAATCTCAGATTCTTAGTTTCACACCCCGTAAATTTCAAATCTTAGTCTTACACCCCTTAAATATTAGATTCTAATTTTTACACCCCTTGACTCTTAGATTCTTGGTTTTACTCTCCATGAACCTCAGATGATTCCTAAGATTAGGCTAAGAATCTAATATTACAAATTTTCACGTTAAAGTCATCAAAAATCACTCAAATCCCCATTCTACCTAAGCACCTTCCATCGTTTGTAATGTCAGGTGTTGAAATGTTAATTCGGATGAGCAATATTATAAGGATGTCTGAGCATCAAGTCACGCTTGACTGAATGAAGTGTGCAAAGAACAATGTCAGAAACGAATGAAAATTGAGAAGGAAAAGTGAACGCGTGATGTTAACGTGAGGAAAATATTTAATCAATTTTCAGTTTGATAAGCTTGAGACTTGGATGAGATGGGCAAAATTGAGAGAAACTTTCTTGTATATAACCTCAAAAATTCTTTTAAATTCGATCAAATAAAATTAAATATTCACAAGTATAATATTTATGCCCACCTCCGCCCACATCTACCATCGTTTATATTTATTCAGCCCTTTTACACACTCTATTGTTTATCAAATATTTGTAGTAATGATATTAACACTTATTCGATGTGTTTTCCATAATGAAAGCACAAACATGACATTGTTGTGCGCCATTTGAGTACTTTTTTCTGTGATAATAGTCAGTAAAAGTTAAAAGGTAAGCAGTACGAGCTGGAATTTCCTATGAATATTGGATAAAGAGGAAAAAAGGTGAAGTTCTTTATGTGTGCGGTTTATGAAAAGGATTAGAGTTGGGATATCGATTTATTTGGGGAGATTTGAGGAGGTTGTAGATTTTTATGGATAAATGTGAATTTTCGAGGATTAAGGAGGATGAAATAAGTGCACCGACTCCTTCAAGACGTCCAAAACAAAACAAGAAGCACAAAACAATTAACATTAAAATCGAAAATTCTTTCACTTCAGCTTCAATCATGAAATATTTCTACTCATATTTCTAGAACGTGACATTGACATTGCGTGTTCCTCAATGCGACAATCGTGCGGCTTTTTATTTTCACTCGTCTTTTGTGTCGAATTTTTTCGTCATGTTTCGACAAAACGGAGGAGAACTTTTATGAGAATTAAGTGTAATTTTCATAAAAGACGTATAAAATTTCTTATTCATTCCATTCAGCGTCTTTGTGACTTATTTGATGATGTTGAGCATCTATTATAGACTTGTGGTCGCCATTTGTGCGGGATTTTGTGATAATGGGAATTGTATTTGTTGTACTATTGTCTGCTATTGAGGAGATTGTAAGGGTCTTTTATGTTCCATTCATGTTTATGAACCTGAAAATTGCTATTTTTTTGTTGACTAATTTTCACCCCAACCCCCCCATTAAATGACCACTTAACATAGCCTTCATTCAGGAATAAAAAATTCAATTGAAATTACCTAAAATGAATTAATAATTCATCAAAGTCATTAATTTGAAGTGAAATGTCATTAGTTTATTATGGCATGTCATGGGTAATATTATGCTTGTTTGAGGTCAAACAGGATTTTATTGCGTTTTTAAGCTCTGATTAGAGTGGTTGTGTTTTGATAGAAATCAAGGAAAAATGTAAGAACAATCGAGTACAATTTTAATTTAATCCAGTTTATAACAGTCAAAATCTAGTCCAAGAGGAACAAATTGTTGTGCTTAGAAAAATATAAAAAAATCTTTCTTTTTATTACAATTTTTGTTTGATCAGCTTAAACTTCGGTAAAATCAAGTACTTTTCTGTAAAAATCTAGTACATTTCTGTAAAAAAATCTAGTTCATTTCTGTAAAAATCTAGTATAATTTCTGTAAAAATCTTTTAAATTTCTACAAAATCTAGTGTAGTTTTGTTAAAATTGTTGAATAATTTTATGAACAGTTTCAAGAGAAACTAGTACATTTTATTCTCATCTAGTATTATTTTGTCTGAATCTAGTACCTTTTTAGACACATTCAACAAAATCTTGCTTAAATCTAGAATCTAGCAATCTTGACTCGAGCATAATCTTAAAAAATCTAGTACAACTTTAATAAAATCTAGAATTTACACAAACATTCAAGAAAACACTCTAAAATCTAATTCCATTACTGCTGTCAATTATTAGAATTACATTTGCGTATCACGTGGGTGTGGGCCATAATTAATCTATAATCCATTTACTAAAGTCTCTCTTTAATTTCATTATAAGGAAGTTCATAAAATTTTTATTGAATAATGAAAATATTAATCGCTTTTGTTTTTGCGTAGCAAAAATTGTGTGTTGGCTGTGATGAATTAATTAACAACTGTAGAGCAGCAAGAAGACTGTAAAGTGATTATAAGCTTGGATTTATTATTGAAATAAAGATCAAAGAGTGAAAAAAAAAGTATCGAATTATAGCGGAATAAACTTAATTTACTCCATTTTTTTTTTGATAAAGTAAACGAAATTAGTGATGATGGGTCTAATTGAAGTGGGGATGCTGTGTTATTGGATACTTTAGTTGAATTATGGATTCAATTACTTAAATTCATCGTTGTTTGCCACATAAAATATTCAAGCCTCATCAACATACAACCCATAAAGAATGTAAACAATATTCCACCTAGACAGCGCCACAGGCAGCAACTAAATCCACACGAAAAACTCATAATTACGTCATAATCACTCCCATAAACCGTATTAAAACTATTACTTTCATGCTGTCTGTTCTTCTTTCATTCATCAACTCAAGTCGACGTTAGAAAAAAAATTTTGTTTATTATCGTAGCTCGCACAAAACTTTTTCATTCATTCATCAAAACAGCTCGTGTGTATGTTTTCGTCTTTTCTGTTTACTTCGTTAGTATCGCACATATTCAAAATTGTAATTTATGTAAATTAACGATAATTTGACCTAAATGATGGATTCAAGACGATTTGACGTTTTGGGGTTTTTTTGTTTTTGACGATAAAATTGACTAGAATTGCCAGTGTAGAGGCATCTGAACTTAGTGGCTCTAGTGTGAAGGCACCTGAACTTAGTGGCTCTAGTGTGAAGGCACCTGAACTAAGTGGCTCTAGTGTGAAGGCAACTGAACTAAGTGGCTCTAGTGTGAAGGCAACTGAGCTTAGTAACTCTAGTGTGAAGGCAGCTGAACTTAATGGCTCTAGTGTGAATGCATCCGAACCTAGTGACTCTAGTGTGAAGGCACTTAAACTTAAAAACTCTAGTGTGAAGGAAACCTAATCCGAGAAATTTTAGTTTAAAGACACTCAAATCTCAAATATAAAGTGTGAAATAGGCTGTAAAGGCACCAAAAAATAACAAAATAAAGTGAAACTAAAAGTTCCATTAAACCAAAAAAATTTGCACAAAGATTACATCAAACGACGAAAAAATCAATAATCTACATTACTTTAACCTTAAATATATCTCATTTCCAGGTGAGAAGCCATAGGAGACAACCCAAAAACAAGGACCATATCGGTTGTAGAATCGATTAAAATTTCTACTCGTGTAGATTTTTTTTTCTCTGTCGCATCGAAAGAACAGCAGAAGAAGAAACCAGAAATAATTTCCACAATCCACAGGCAAAAGTCGATAAGGAGCGGAAATTCTTTCGTCTCCATTCTCATCGCTCCTCTACCTTCACTCATTTTTCATTGAAATAGACAGTGAGCAACTATACGTGAAGCTTATTCACACATAATTTTCTATAACAGTCGATAATAAGAAGTCACAATGACAACGCCAGCAGCAAGAATTCTCAAGAAGAAGCACTTTCGTGTGAAACATCAGAAAGTAAAGCTATTTAGGGCAAATGAGCCACTACTTAGTGTATTTATGTGGGGAGTCAATCACACAATTAATGAATTGTCACATGTCAACATTCCGGGATTACTTTTGCCCGACCATTTCCGCGCACATTCAAAAATCAAAGTCGATTATCATCTGTTTAATAAGTGAGTATATGCTAGTGTGAAGGCATCTTAATTTGACAGTAGTGTGAAGTCACCTGAACCTAAGAATCTTAGTGTGAATACACCTTAATCTAGTACTCTAGTGTGAAGGCATCTGAATATTAGAATTCTAGTTTGAAGGCACTTGAACCTAAGAATCCTAGTGTGAAGACACCCCAATCTAGTACTCTAATGTGAAGGCACCTGAATATTAGAATTCTAGTGTGAATGCACCTAAACCTAAGAATCTTAGTGTAAATACACCTTAATCTAGTACTTTAGTGTGAAGGCACCCAAACCTCAATTATTAATTACTCTTCTCTATTTTTCAGAGAAAACATGCCATCACACTTCAAATTCAAAGAATATTGTCCACTTGTGTTCAAATATCTTCGTGAACGCTTCGGTGTTGACGACATCGAGTACCGTGAGTCACTCACACGATCACAGCCAATTGCAACAGATGCCCGTGGTAAATCTGGTGCGCGATTTTACTTGAGCTATGACAGAATGTTGATCATCAAGACATTGACGAGTGAGGAGGTTGAGAAGATGCACTCGTTCCTCAAACATTATCATCCATATGTCGTCGAGAAGCATGGAAATACACTCTTACCACAATATTTGGGAATGTATAGGTTAACATTGGATGGTGTGCAGTATTACTTTAAAGTTATGAGAAATGTCTTTAGTCCACATTTGAGAATTCATCAGTAAGTCGATTTAAATCCTGAAAATCCGGTAAAAATTTAAATTTAAATTTTTTCTTGTAGGAAATTCGACCTCAAGGGTTCAACAGTTGATCGCGACGCATCCGATAAAGAACTTGACAAATCGTTACCAACATTAAAAGACAATGATTTCCTTAAGCAAGGCATCAAAATTCGTATTGGCCAGGAGGCAAAAGAGAAACTAATTCAGACGCTTAATTGTGATGTAGATGTGAGTAGACCTCGGTTCCTAACCTCAAAAAAATGTTTTAATTTGACTATTTTGTCTTCTTTAAGTTCCTTACAAAACTCCATTTAATGGATTATTCACTGCTGATTGGAATTCATGACTGTCGACAGGCAGCAGAGGATGCAGAAGCACGTGATGCTAATCAAGATGCACATCATGACAGTGACAGTGAGAACGATTACGATAGCGGTGAAAGGTGAGCTTAGTAACTATATTGTGATAGATTGGTGGGTTTTTCGATGTATTTAAAAGTTTAGGTATATAGATAGATGTTGTATACCGAGAAACCCATCTTAAGACTCTATTTTGGAAGTGCCTTCAGTGAAGACATTTCCAAAACAGTAGAGTCTCAACTTTACGACAACCATACAACTCTGAATCTGATATATAAGATTAAAATGTCATTTTAGATGGGAAAACACACCTCCAGACTCACCCCGGCAACTAGACGCACATGTTATAAATCCAGATATAGATGTGTATGCTATTCCGAGTCAAGAAGGTGAGAATTAATTGAAGAGTCTGTTTTTTGGTCAAAAAATATTGAATATTTATTTAAATCCATAGAGAATCAGTTCATCTACTTCATGGCATTAATTGATCCGCTTACAAATTATGGTTTAAAGAAACAAGTGAGTAAATTTCAATTATAAGTTGAATCATATAGCATAAAACTAGTTTAGTATGATAAAGATTCTTGTTGAGAGTTGGCAATAGCTCGATAATTTTTGTCTGAACTGATGCCAAGTTGCACTGGCGGTTGACAAAGAGAATATGCATCAATTTACACTGCTTAGCCTTTGCTTATATTAGAAAGTTGTTTTAAGATAAGTTTGGAATTGAACTTCTTTGTAGAATTTTGATGAGCAGTTCAGTTTTTTCGATTCCAAGATTATGCTTTGATGCTCTTAGTAAAGTTCGAATTCTTTCAAGATAGGCTGGAATTGGAAATGATTAGCTTAGAATGTATTTTAGTTTAGATAAGTCTAGTGATTTATGAATTTTAAGTTCAGTGAGTTTTTTTCCGGATACGTTCAATTCATTAGAACTAGTCGGGATACGTTCAGTTTGATGAGTCTTTTAGGATAAGTTCAGTTTAATGAGACTTTTAAGATAAGTTTAGTTTGATGAGTCTTTTAGGATAAATTCAATCGATGAGTTTCTTAGGATAAATTCAGTGTGATAAGTCTCTCAGGATAAGTTCAGTTCAATGAGTGTCTCAAGATGAAAGATGAGTTCAGTTTTATGGGTTCTTTAGGATAAGTTCAGTTTGATGAATCTTTTAAGATAAGTTCAGTTTGATGAGTTTATGGGATAAGTTCAGTTTGATGAGTTTATGGGATAAGTTCAGTTTGATGAGTTTATGGGATAAGTTCAGTTTGATGAGTTTATGGGATAAGTTCAGTTCGATGAGTTTCTTAAGATAAGTTCAATTTGGTGAGTCAATTAGGATAAGTTCAGTTAGATGAGTCGTTCTTGTTCATTCTTGTTTATACTCACATTCCGACTTGAATCTTCTAAACGAATCAACCTCAAAGTCATCCTCAAATTTTCTAGTTTTCTTCTCCTCAACCACTTTACTTCCATGAGTCTTCCAATCGCTTGAAATTTTTTTACGAATGTCTATCCTGATTGGTTGATTCTTGCTTTCCCATTTCCTAAAAGCCTGCATGACACCTTTGTGATGACATAAATGATTATTTGATAGAACTTTAATGGACAGTGATGTATTCTTGAACACATTTGATTCTGGGATGACCAATCGATACTTTCGTCTACAATTCTTGATTATGCAACTCAAAGTTATCGTCAATGATCCACAAATTGAAGCTTCACTCTCAAATGTGACTAATAAATCGTAGTTCCTGCTGAATTTTTCACATAAAATATTTTTGAATGGTCCTAAATTTAAGGAATTGTCTTCGTCAGTTATGAAGATGTCTGTGACTTCCTTTGAGGTTAGATGAAGATCTATGAATTGAAGCTTGAATTCTGACATTGAGTTGATGTAGTTTTGTTGGGATTTAATTAAATTAGTGCAAATTAATATCGATTATCACGTCTTAGTCTATTTTTTTGTGGAACTTGTGACAAGATTTTCAAGCAATTTTCTTGATAATCCAGTTTAGTTAACTGTTTTCATAATTATTTGAATAGGAGCTCTAACTAGAAGTTCGAACATGTTGACTCGTTTAATTTTATTTTCAAATCAATTTTTTCAAAGTAAAAAAAATTGTGAAATTTTAATGCTATACTCTCGATTTTCTCACGAAAACTGACTGCTGATAAGTTTTTTATTTACAAAATGTTCAGCCATAATTCTCAATGAGTAGTTTTAACATTTGTGCGTAACATTTAATTAGCGAATTTCTGATAATTTAATTTTTATGACTTTTTGTCACGTTTTTTGAGGATTTGAAATATTTTAGGTGTGTTTTACGCAAACCTTGTGCTGTATAAAATGTAAAGTAAATGTTTTAAAAGCTCAAAAAAATTTAAATTTTAAACAATTTTTACAAAAAAATATTTTTTTGGATTATTTTGATTTTTTTGACTTTTTTGAATTTTTTGAAATTTTTGAATTTCTTCAATTTTAGGCCGCCAAAGCAGCCAAGACAGTGAAATATGGAAGCAATGTTGATGGTATAAGCACCTGTGATCCAGAACAGTACGCCAAGCGATTCCTCGAGTTCATTAACGATAAAGTCATTGAATAAATTTAAATTATTTTTAAAAAAAAAACATTACTAATCAATGAGAGTTGAAAGAAGACGAAAATGGAAGTGGAAAGGATAAAAGTTAAATATTAAGGAAAATAAAGCATAACAAAATATTAGAAATTGTTTTGTGTGTAATGTGTAAATTATGGATATGCTTAAACATACAAAAACATAAAAATTATGAAAAATGGAAATTCTTTATTGATCTTTGTGGTATTGTTGGTGGGAAATTGAAAAGCTGGCTTTAAAGCTTGCAACAATTTTTCACTTTATAAACCAAAAACCAAAAAAATTGTGTTTAAAAAAATTTTGAGTCAATTTGTTGTTCTTATAAAATTACAAATATATATTCTAAATTTTTGAAAATGTTGGAGTTTTAAAATTTTTTAACTTTTTGAAAAACTTTGAAATTTTTTTCATTTTTTTCAAAAATTTAAATTTTTTAAAAATTTTGAAAATTAAAAAAAATGAAAGTTTTAAAAGCTCTTCAAGAATTTTAAATTTTTTTGAAATTTTCAAAATTTTAAAACTCCAATTTTAATAAAAATAATTAAAGACATCTCAAAAACCAAAATTCTGTTCAATATTTTCTTCTATAAAATCTTTGTTATAACCTTAATAAATTTCAATTTAAATCCGCTTTTTGTAGATAAAATATCATAAAAATTACTCGCATGAAGTTTTCGAACTTCATCAGTTTAAAAACACATAATTTTCACAATAATTGCTATTATTATTACATCTACTATTATCAGTGATATCAATTATGAATGAAAAAAAAAGTAAAATAAATTGAAATTATGGATCATTGTACTAAGCTTACACGAATAAAAAAAACCTATAAATTATAAATTATACTATCATTGTAAAATAAAATCAAAGTGAAAAAAATGGAAATTATTAAGTACTGATATCTGAATTAAAGTCGAAACCAGAATCAAAAATTTTTTTGAGTTTTTTTTATTTTTTTTTTTTTATTTCAGCTGATTGGCAAATTTTTGAGTATTTTTCATTAAAATAACAGTTGTGTCTACCTCTAGCTCACAATAAAGTATATTATAGAATTGATATTAAAAATTTGGGGTCAGGGGGTCTTGACTTTTGTGGACGTTTACCCAATTTATACTCAATTTTGAGGTTAAGTTTTGATTTTTGGTTCAATTTTGAGGTTAAATTGACAAATTTTGAAGTTAAAATGGCAAATTTTGAGGTTAAATTGACAAATTTTGGGTTTAAATCTATAGAATTTTGAGGTTAAGTTAGCACCCCCCCCCCCTCCCCCCACTTTCCACATAGCCAATGACCCCCACCCCCAAATTATTTAATATCATAATTTAAGTCTCTATTTAAAAAAACTTACAAATGTATTGTCATATTATAATAATTAATTAAAGGAATAAGAATGAATTTTCTATATGCAAACTATGATAATAAGTAGCATAGCTATCTATGTAGCTTTCTTATCAGTCAAATTTCTCAAACAAAACATTTTTTAAATTTTTCTGAAACTTTGAAATTTCAAGTTTTCCTTTGAAAGACTAATTTGACATCAAAAAAGCTACAATCGTGCTAGAAATTAAGAATATATGGAAAAAATACAATAAAATTGAAATAAAATTATAAGAATAATAAGAATTGAGAATTTTGATATTTTATTGAATCTTTAAATGCTTATTTCATCGCGCAGGTTGTTTGGAAGTGAGTTCAGACCCCTAATAAATTTATAGCTGCATTCCTGACTCAAAATCCTACTTATAGTACGCCTTTTGCCTAAGTTCAACTTGTCCAAATATTTAAAACTTTTAAAATAATTAAATTTTCAATTAATCATCGCTGTAAAGCGAGCAACAGCTGCTGGAATGTCCAATAACTTCCAAACGATCCACAAACAGAAAAAAATCATCAAAAGCTTCATAAATTCATGCAAAATCTTCAGCTTAAACAATCTCTTTCTGCAGCTTTCAATTGTTTTCGGATCCTCTTTGAAAATATACCGTCTGACGCCCAACACAAAGGACCGAATGTACTCAATCCAATCAATATGAGTTGCATCAAAATCGAAATTTTTCTTGTCATCTTCATTCATTGTAGAAATGAGCTTGTCGACATTGTTTCCGTGGAAGAAGAACTGCGTGAACTTGAAGAACTCAACAAATTCCATGGACTTGTAGAACTTGTCTTGTATTTTGACGAGGCTGAAGGGATGGAATAAGGATATTAGTTTTTAAACGGAACTTGACCGAGCTACTTATGGCTACTTACAATGGCTTCCTTCCACTAAGTTTAAAGATGAAATCTATAATATGTGCAGGAGTGTTATGGATTATTGTGACAAGTATATTATAGATGAACTTGTTCGTTCCAAAATGCTTTGTTGGATACCACAGCATGTTCTCTAGGATGAGATTCAGATTTATTTGGAGTTCAAGGTTTTTTAAATATTTTACAGAGCTCAAAATTGCCTAAGCTCTGCTCTGGTACGTAAGTACTCTGGTAGTCGTACTTAAAATTCTAACCTGAACTACTCACCAAAAGGATATTTCTTGATTATTATACTTCCATTGTCAAGTACTTCTCTCCATGTGATTGCATTTTTGTTGCTGCTCGTTATGTTGTATATTAAATGTTCTTTGGGTTTTAAGATCGCTGATCTCCAACCAACTGCTATAACTGAGTTGACAACCTAAGATTAGGAAAAATTAAGATAGTTTTATATTATCTAGATCAGTGATGGCGAACCCTTGTGCCGCACAAAAATTCGAGAAATTCTACGAAGCTTATGTTTGGTTTTGGTAATGGATTTTTACTAAAAAGGTTGAACACTAATGATCAAGACCTCCCCCTCTCCCCATGGCTACAAAAATGAGTCAAAAAATAATCTCACCAAGTCAGCAGGAATACAATCGATCGGAATATCTGGTCTGCATAAAAACGTATGAACAATTCCTTTTCCATTAGTTGCTATCAGTGCAGTTGGTCCGAGGAGATTGTCAACCCATCCTGGTAAAGGTTCTTTGTAACATGCCGTGACTGAAAGGAATTTTGAGTTATTGAGGAATTTGTATAGCTTTTTATTTGGTTTTTGTGGTTTTAAAAATTATTTAGAACGTTTTTAAGCACTAGAGAGCTTTTGCAGGGCTATAAAAGTCTTTGCAGATCATCATGAGCCTCAACTGACCATCAAGAGCTTTTGCAGACTTATAGAAGCCTATGCAGATCATCAGGAGTCTCTACAGATCATCAAGAGCCCCTCCAGACGATCAAGAGCCTCTGCAGACCACTAAAAGGCTCTACAGACCATTAAGAGCCTTTAGAGACCCCTCAGAGCCCTAACAGATCAATAACATCATATACTGACACCATTAGAGCTCTATCAGACCCATAACAGCATCTACAAATCCCCAAGAGCTCTTTTAAGCCTAAATAGACCCATTTAAATCTCACCAATAGAAGGACGCAGTACAACAACTGGAAACTCATGAACATTCTTGAGTGAAACTTCAGCCATCGCCTTTGAAAATGTATAAGTGTTTGGATGCTTTCCGATTAAAAATTTTGTGCACTAAAAACATTGAAACTTGATTTTTGATTTAAATTAATTAATATTAATAATGAAACTACCTTGTTGATCACGTCGACAGGGAACTTTTCGATGAAGTCATTCAAAACCTTAGTGTCGAATGGAAACTCATAGAACTTCTCATGAATGTCTTTGTTTGTACAGTTTGAGAATGCAGTTGAAATATATACGAATGACTGAAAATGGGATAAAATAGTAAATCCTGATAGCAACAGTCATGGCATTTTCTAGATTATTCATTAATTCTTAATAGCTCACCTCAATTTTTGTCATTCTTTTGCTAAGATTAACAAGTTTTTGTGTTCCTTTAACATTTACTTCAAAAGCTTCTTTCAATTCCTCATCAAACCTAATCGTGGCAGCAGAATGAATGACAATCGACACTTCCTGACACAAAACATTTTGATCTTCAGGTGAAATTCCAAGTTCATCAGCTTTAATGTCACCAAAAATTGGAATGACTTTTTCAAATGCATCTGGATTATTTTCACGGATTAGGTCGAAAAGTGGAACATTGAAGATTTGTGAGAGTCGGTTTTGGATGCTGACACCTTTCTTGGGACGAATAAGGATGTAGATTCTCTTGATATCTGGACAGGATCTGAGGAATTTTTCAATTAAGATTTTGCCAATTGATCCAGTTGCTGGAAACAGAAAAAAATTGGGTAAATTTTTGTGAAAAACTCGGAAGTTTTCAAATTTATACCTCCAGTCACAAAAACGGATTTTCCACTATAGAACTCAGGAATTGAGACGTAGCCTCCCTCAGTATAGACATGATTAAATGGCTCAGCAAGTTTAAACATTTCAGTCAATTCTTGATAAGAATGTCAAGATGCAAATTGAAAATTAACCTCTAAAATAAATTAATAAAAGAATATTCAATGAGCATATTCAAAATAGTAGATCTGGTGACAACAACAATCGATCAGCAAAAGCCTCATTTTTTTCGCAAAACAAAAAAGTCGTAAAACTCTGGTTTTATATTAAAATTTATTCCACGATTTTCGCAATCGTTTAGGAAGGAAATGTGAAGATCAAGTCGGCCAAAATCATCAACTGGTTTCATTTTTCTTTCTTTTTTTGTGCTTTACAAATGTTAGGCAATAATTTGTTGTCAATGTGATGTCTTGTAAAATTTTGGGATAGGTTATTGTGAATTGTAAAATATTATTGATGGAGAAAGTTTCGATGATTTTAAATGATTTTTGATAAAAATTGGAAATATTTTTAATATTTGAATTTTCAATTTTTTTAAATTTGAAATTATTTTTTTTTTAAAAATCAAAAATTATTAAAATATCAATTTAAAATTATTTTAAAAAAATGGAAAATTACTAAAATGAATTTAAAATTTTAATTTCAATTTTTTTGTTAAAAAAAGTATGAAAAAAAAGTATTTGATTCAAAATTTAACCAAACGACGCAGACATAGTCTCATAGTCAGACTTTGTTTCTCTTTTAATAATGAATCAATTAAAATTCATCAACCAACAGCATTAAAAACTGCAACAAACTCAACTAAACCCAAAAAAAAGTTCTCACATTAAATTAAAACTATTTGTAAAGTCAATTTATAAGCACGAGATAAAAGTTAAATGACCACGCATTGCGCGAGAAAGAGAAGAAAATTTACGACATCGCAAAAATGCAAAAAAAAAGATTTTAATCATCTGTTGCTGTTCAAGGTTGTGCCTTACAATCTATTTTATCCAATTCCGAAACCGGAATAATTTTAATTTTACAAGTTTGAAGCTAAAAATTTGATTTTTTTTTGCGAAATTAATTTATTCAAAATATTAGCTTTTTGATGAGTTTTTCTTTGTTGATGTCTGAAGAGTCCGTGGAGATGCTGTTAGACTTGCAAAACTATTAAAATGTTTTAATTCAATGACATTGGACAAAAAATGAAGGGTGAGAGTGGCTTTATTGGTAAAAGGTCTGTTATTTCAAGGTACAATTGCTGTAAGTAACAACTGTTCTGGATGATGAAATTGAGATTTCAGTTAAAATGCTCCAGTTTTTCCATAAACTGACTTTAAATGAAAATTATTAATTTTTCAATCATTTTAAAATCAGCCAAGTTTGGTACCAACTTAGTTTTTAGATAGAGGATTAGAAGGAGATGTTCGTTTGGTCGGTTCCAATTATTATTTGATTCAAATCCACTTCTTGATTGTTTCGATCTCAGAAGCATTTTTTAATCTTAGTTGTACAGCATAGAATTTACAAAAGGTTTTAGAACCGATCAAAACGATTTAAAAACTCATTTTGTTCAATTTCGAACCCTTCTTATGTGTTCGTTCCTGGATGGATATAATGATTATCCTGAGTAAAATTAAACTGATCCATACTTGATGTTCTACTATAGCAACCTAATGTTTTGAATCTAAACCGTAACGCACTAGTCTATTAGAGTTATCGATGATCATTAAATATGTCGTATAATAAAATTCTCTATTTGCATCTTTTTTTTGACAAACTCTTCATTTTTCATTCAAATTATTCACAAAAACCTCAATTTATGCCAAAAATTCCACAAAAATTATATAACAATCCACTGATTTAATTTTTCGACATACCTCAAATTTATAATTTATTTTTATTATTTTTTTATTTTTTTCCCAATTTTTAATTTTCAGCTCAAATTCTTAATCACTGAGCACACTTTTTGTTTTTTTTCCTTTCCACTCGACTGCTTTTAGAAAGCTGAACTTGATCCTTCAGATGCCCGATATCAACTGAGATGCTTAAGAGTTTTCATTTGTGATAATAACAAACAGATCGCATGGAACGAGTTGAAAACTGAAACGAGAGGTCCGTCGTTTATTTTCGTGAATTATTTTCCTTGATTTGTGGTTTCATTGTTGAGGTTGCGCGGTTTTTTGCAGCATATTATGATCTTTATAGCTTTGGTTCATATCAAATTGGCATTAACTCTAATAAAAGAAAGAATCACTTTATGATCCATGGTGCTGTTAGAAAGCATCTGAAGCTGGCTCTAACGATGGCAGAAAAAATAAGAACCCCTCAACTCCCCCCCCCCCCCCCCCTGTTGACCATGCAAATCCATAAAATCTAGCATTAATCAATAAAGAGTGTTCTGCAGAATTTCGAATAAAAAATCACCGAAAACTGTCTTATTGACTATGTAAATTCATTAAGTATCAGTCAATTCCGCGTAATCATCTTCATGTCTCAATAGAACCTCAACAATCCAAGAATGTCAACAAAAAATATTTTTTTACATCTTTATAAGTCTCGCGTTAATCAAAAATCTTTTCAGTCGTTTCTAAACAGCTAATCCAACATGAACAAATTAATTTTGATAGCACTGATAACTTTGTGCCTTGTGGCTACAGTTCAGTGCAAGTGGAACAGAAAGTTTCTTCGTCACCGTAGCCATAGCCGCGACCATTCAGGCAGTGGTGAAGATGACGATGAAACTTGTGATGAATTTTGTGAAAGACGTGAAGAAGAAAAAAATAAAGAAAGTAATCGGAGACGAGAGTGCTCGAGTGGTCGAAAAAAGAAGGGTTGCAGACATCACAGGAGTCGAGAGCGTAAAGGCAGTAAGGAGAGAGAAAGAGAGAGAAGTGAACAAAGAAGAGAACGTGATTGTGAATGTGAAAGGAGGAGAATGGTGAGTAATTGAGTGAATTAATAGAATTAATTATTTTTGGCATACTTGTGCACCCCTCGCAAGACACTAAGTCTCACTATTGAAATAAAGTGAAGTTAGATAATGTTAAAAACTGTTTTTTCAGAGTACAACAACCACTACAACATCTACAACACCCTCTACAACAACCACTTCAACAACACCGTCAACCACAACCACAACTAGTCAAACGACTACCACAACTAACCCAACGACTACATCAACCAGCCCAACGACCACTTCAACATCTACTCAAAGTTCAACAACTCCTCAAACAACGACAACTATGTCCACAACAACCACCAGACCTACAACAACGGAAACCACGACAACCCCTACAACCACAGCTGCTCAAACAACGACGACTACACGGAGAAGAAGAAGAAATAGAAGTTCAACTACAACTCAATCAGCCGTTGCGGCTGATGATGGAGATTATGAAGAATAACTAAGTTGAGGATGACCTTAGGGTTCGGTTTTTCTATTGCTCATGCAAGAATTCAGCCCAACTAGGATTTATTGACTATATTAAAATTTGAGTATGTTCATAAGTGTCATCTGTAATCATCACAAGATTGAAGATGTGAATAAACAATAAAAAAATTTGAATTTGTTTGACAAGATTGCCAATAGTAAATATTTATTATGGTAAAGGGGATCGTTCAAAAATGATGTCCAGAAGAGAGGGTGGAGGGGTCAGTAAAAAAGAACAAAATAAATTGCTGGAAATCCATTATTTTGTTTTTGAAAAATAACCGTTATTTTCAGACTTCATAAGTGAACGATCTCCAAAGGGGATCGTTCAAAAATGATGTTTACCAAGGCATTGCATTTTTGGCTCTACTCGTCTAAAAATAAACCAAAATTTTTAAAAACTTATGAATGGACCCCTCTCTACTCCAAATGTTTGACGTCATTTATGAACGACCCCTATAGAATTGAAAATTATGAACATTTTAACTTTTTTTTTTCGAGAATTTAATTGATGTCATAGCTTGATTAGGTTCGGTAATGTCGATTTTGAAACATTTTCGATTCACAAAGTTTCCTTAGGAAAAACGGCAGTGTGTTCGACTAAGACATCAAAATCACGATAGCTAATCTCCTTGTCATGCCATCCGAAGTAGAAAATTGGTCCGTCATAATAGTTATAAGCATATCCGATGACTACATTGTTGCCGTGTCTGAAATAATTAAAATAATTTTAATAGCTTTAAATTCATACAAGCTTGTTACCTTCTTCTTGCTATGTATTGAGTGAAGCAATTGCCAAATTCACGATAAATTCCAGCAGCAACAGCATTAGTAGGCCATGGACGTCCTTTGCCGACTGAAACCCATTCAACTGTTGAACAAAAATTCAAAACTATTAATTTCAAAGCAGTCAATCATAAAGCTACAGCATAGATATTCACCACTAGATCTATAATTGGACACAGGCTGAGGCTGCAAGATCTGCACCAAAACATCATATTCCTTATAGCTGATTTCATTACCAAATGGAATGTAAATGCATTTAGATCTTCTACAAATCTTTCCGGGTGTATTCTGTCCATTATGCATAGTTCTTCCTATGTATACAGTTTCACCACTCATCGACTGTCCACCAACAACAGAATTTTCAGGAACATATCCATTAGATTCTGAAATCCATTTGAATCCAGTATTGATTAGAACCTCAAATTGATCTTTGACAATTTCTTGACCACCGTAAGCTATATGGCAGAAATTTCCAGCTGGATTATTAGAGACGTACTTTCCTGGGATCAGGTCACCGGCATGATGCGCTCTAGATGGGAGATTTTTTGATGCTTAGTATTTTTCATGAATGTTAAGTCTTACCTAGCTATGAACAAACTTCCTGTTGGATGATCGCCAGCATGTACCAAGTCAGATTCATCGATATCAGGTGAAAACCAGACCCACTTTAAAGCTGAAATGTAAAAAATGTCAAGCTTAAAATTTCATTTTGATTAAAGTGACTTACAATCTCCAATTGGAGCGACCATAATCTCAGTTTTCTTGACCAGAACTTCATAGGATGAATAAGAAAATTCTTTCCATCCAAATGGCAAAAACATGCATTTTGATAGCTTATGAATCCTTCCTGGTGTGAGAATTCCGCAATGTGGTGCTCCTAAGATGATAAAAAGTTATAGTTTTTGATGCAATTTTTGGGAAGTTGCCTTACGTCCAATATATAATGACTCCCCGCTTGATGTTCTACCTCCGACAACGGCATGATGAGGAACATTTCCGTCACTAGCTGGAATCTAAGAGATATTGGTGGTTGATAAATTGTTCATTCCCAAATACATTTGATCTGGATTTGAGCTATACTTACCCAACTAAATCCAGTATTGATAAGAACCTCAAATGAATTTTTAGAAAATTCCTGTCCATTGTATGAAATATGACAGTGATTCGAGTATTGGGATCCAGTAAGCAGCTTTCCTGGAATCAAATCATCAGCATGATGAGCTCTGAAAAAACAAAAAAATCTACAAGTTAGAAAATGTATTCGGGTAGATTCACTAGAGCGCATTTTATCCATTTTATATTGAATATCCTTAAAAAATTACAGGAATCCATTCTTTGATCCTCAAAGCCAAACATTTGTTTACCTCAGAAAAACCCCATTAAAATCATCTGATAGAAACTTGTAAAGGAACAAAAAAAATAATTTTTAAGCCAACGCACATGACATCAATTGAAAGTAATTGAAAATAATGCGACAAACTTCTTCGTCTTCTGACTTCTGTGCATGTAGAAGATTGACGAAAAGAAAGGGGCACGATTTGCGGTGATTTAAGTGATCTAGATTAGTCATGATGTCACGCCGTGATCTCTAAATGGATTATGCATATGACGAGGATTACGAAATTGAATGTGAAATGAATTGTTGTTGGCAATTGAGTAAGTATGTGAAGTTCTAGGGTAATTTTGAATTTATTAATGAATTTTGAATTGATTGAGATGCTTTTTGTTTTTAAAAGAATTAAGGAAATCAGCATTGAACTTGAAAAATGGACTTTGAATTATTGGAGCTAGAACAGTTCGATTAAGTATTTTTCAGGGCTGTTTTGTTACTATTTTATGAATTTTAACAGATGAATTGTTTTTATGTGGCTAAGAAAGTACCAATCCATGGGCTAAGGCAGTGTTGTCCAAACTTTTAAAACACTTATCTAGTGTTCAGTCCATCTTATCTAGTGTAAAATCTACAAATTTCTGCAATTTCAAAAACTACCTATTTTTGGGAATTTTAATATTTCTCCACGGCACACCAGTGTGCTACAGCCGTTTAGACAATACTGGGCTAAGGCTTCTATAGGTATCATATCCTAGTCACAGTCAAATGTAATATACAATTTAAGTACTTTCTTGATTTCAGTTCCCTAAGTAGCCTTCAATACCGACTTTTAGAGCCAGTTGTCATCACAAGATGTGTCTAGCAGCCCAAAAGATGAAGCTATCGGAACTCGACTAGTCGAATAGCCAAGTCTTAAATAATACCACCATTACTTACCTAGCAATGTACATTGGAGCTCCATCACCATCATTCCCTACCTCAACAAGAATTGACTTGTCAATTTCACTCGAAAATGGTACCCAATAAATGCCTAAAATTGTTAAAATAAATAATCGTGAGCTAGTGCATGTTATTCACTTGTTTTCTCCTTTTTAAATTGAATAAAATTGAAATGTTTCACTTGTGTGGCGATTATGTGTTGTGAAATGATCTCAAATTCTACTCTTTTTATGTTCTTTAAGTTGAGTTTTGGAAGGATTTTGGTTGATTATTCAGCAAATTCTTATTCTTATTGCGTTAAAACTCAAGCTTGATTAGCAAAATTGGCATGGATTGTGCTAAATTTAACAATTGTCTTAAATTTTGTCAAATCTTCACATTAAGTTAGCTGAAAAACTTCGATATCTACTCAAGAATCACCAAAACCATAAACTTAACCCCCAAAATATCAACCAAAACCCAGAAAATAACCAAAACTTTACACTCTCTACCTTCCATCTTGAATTATATATTTTCTTCTTCCTCAGCTACTTAATAAAAATATATCACGACAGATTTTTTTTACGCGTTTCGACAGCTTAACGACTTCCAAGCAAGTGATGAGAGACTGCCAAAAAAATATTATTGAATTAAATTATCCGGAATGAAAAAATGCGCGTGAGATAAAATGAGATTTAAGAAAATGAAATGAGATTAAATTGATAAGAGTCAGAAATGACTGGAATGAGATGAGATCTCATGGGATGAGGCATGAATTTGAGAGAGTTTTGGGATCTGGTGTCGTAGTAAGCCTCCTTGAACTTGTCTGGATCTCGTTGAACCTGTCTGTTCCGCTTTAAATGAGTCTAAACTATCTCCTCGAGAAATTTAATCCTTGATCCGCATTTATTCCCAAAAGAATCACTCAAATTAATTTTCAACATTTTTATTCAATTTATCACCAAAAAAGTCAATTTAAAATCCATCGTGAGGAAAAACATTTCCATTTTGGACGAGAACTTCAAAGTCTCCAGAGCTGATCTCCTTGCCATGTAAGCCTCCATAAAATGGACCATTTTGGTAAGCATATCCAACAATAACACTTGATAAGTAAGTTTTTCTAGCTACATATTGATGTTTACGTTGACCTCCTTCTCTATAGACACCTCCAATGACTGCATTGCCTGGCCATGGAGCTCCTGGATAGAAATGAACCCATTGTGCTAAAAAACAATCAAAATTTTAATAATTTATACAGCATAAATTTAAAACTTGTATCTCACCATTTGATGGTCCACCAATTGGTGGATGAATTGGTGGATTAACAGGTGGACAAGTTGGTGGAACCCATCCAGATGATCCTTGTCTTACAAGAACTTCATAAGTTGGTTTCGAATGTTCTCTATTGTCACATCCAATATATGCGCACTTGTGTGAAGGATGAATCTTTCCAGGAATTGTCAAATGTAAATGCTTAGCACGTCCAACATAGAGAGTTTCGCCATTTGATGCACGTCCACCAACTACAGCTTGTGGTGGGACACTTCCATTGGATGATGCAACCCATGTGAAGCCTCCGGTGTTCAGAAGAACTTCAAAGTTTTGTGATCGGTGTTCTTGTCCATTGTGTGTGAAATGAAGTGTTGAGTGACGAATGAGAGCTTTGCCAGGGATTAATTCGCCTGAAAAGTTTGTTCTGAAAATGGATTTTGAGGTTAGTATTTGGAAATTTTGAGGTTATGATTTAAGATGATATTTACCTTCCTATGCAAACTGCACCGCCATCACCGTCAGTTGCAGAAACAACAAGTTGCGATTGGTTAAGTCCAGCATTGAATGGAATCCACATACAGCCTGCAATAAAAATTGTTTGTTGAATTTTTATCTAGAAAACTATTTATGATGATTAGATTGTGGTTATATATTATTGAGATTTTGAAAATGTGGATATGCCTTAGTGGTAAAATGTCTGTTGATGAGTATTTGAGGAATTTGTAATTCAAAGTTAGAATTGAGCCACAATAAATCACTTATCTGCAAGATATTGACATGGATTTTGAGTTTGGTGGAACTTTGTGAGTCAGTCTTAAAGATAAAGCTCAATTTTGATTTGAAGCGTGCATTTAGAGGAGCTTCATTCCCTGTTAATGCCATTGACCTCCTTGTAGGCCATGACTTTGCAAAAACCTTACTCATTCTCATCAATAATGATCAATCGAATCTCATCAGACCACACACTTGCTATTTGAAATTTCCCTTTAATCTTATCACATCATTAAGTTTACACTTGTTTCTTATCAGTTCTTATTAAGCGACACAAAACAAACAACAGGAATTATATCATCCAATTACTAACTCTGCTTATCTTATCAATGTTTTTAGTACGAAACTGCACTTAATTCAGGTGTGAACTTTATTTGTGCAATGATTATCAAGTGTATTGCAAATTATTCGGTGCTTCTACTTAAGGCTGTTGTAACTCAAATCTATGCAGTGGGTCGAATCGAAGAAAGAGTACTGTTGGACTTTTAAGAAAGATCCCCCACCCCGCTATAAGCTTAGATCCTTCTTAAGTCAGAGTTTTTCAATAGAAAATAGAAAACTTCTAGCTATGCCTAATACCCTCCTTAATAGGACGTAGCTAAAGTTTTTAAAACATTTTTTTAAGGCCAAAGCCTTCATCATCCCCTTTTCTTTCACGCCAGTGCCTTTTTTGACTCACACTAGATCTGATTTAGTAACCAACTATGACTCATGAATTTCATTTTGTTGTGTAAAAGAATTAATTTTTCATAAAAGTGACTCAAATTTGCAAGTGTACCTGAATTTTCACTAATATTATGAGCATGATTGAACATCTTTTCTTTATTTATGAAATCTAAAATGATAGAACCAGTGTAAGGTGTCTAAACTGATGTGTAAGTTAATCTTATTTCACAACTTACCGTCCATGATTTTTAATTTATTTTTTTTTGTGTTTTTTCAAGAAGTTAAAAATGTAATTTTTTTCTGTACCGCTTAGCGATCAGCTTCGAACTGAAAGTGAAATTATTTTAAACATTTTTTTATATCAATAATTTTCTTCGTGTCTCAATCGTATCGCACTTTTATTGATAAGACAAATAATAATAAAAATTGATAAACGCAACAAATCAGGTTTGTAGTCAGCAAAGGGATATGGGCAAGGCTACTGAACATTTAAAAAAAATGGGGGACATCCTTCATGTCAAGCGCGTAGCCAGCAGGGACTTGTTCCCCTCTTAAGAGTTTTAGGCCGTGTTCTCGATGCGGTTCAAAATGTTTTAAGAGGGGGGGGGGGGCAAGACCCTCCTGCCTACGCGCTGCTTCATGTTGACTAGTTTTAGTGGAACAGACTGACATATGAAAATCTTAACAGGTGCCCTCCTTGAAGCAAGAATCATCAATTTACTAAAAATTATTCGACAAAAAATAAATCAGAAAATTTCAAAAAACACCTCTGACAAAAGCATTTTAATGATAAACTAGCAATGACTTCATAATGCACGTATAGAATAAAGAGTAAAACAATTGAGGTTCGATTGATAAGCATTGATGAGGTAATTATTTTTGAGGATGTAATGGATGAATCAGCTTAATTGTTTGGGTTGTTATCTGAATTGTTATCACAAGTTTTTTAAGGAAGTAATCATTATCAAGTGGATTTCGTACAAAAATTGCTATCGAGATGTGGAATTTTATTGAAGATTATCAAAATTAAGTGGAAATGACTTGAGGAAGTAAACAAAAATATTATACTTAACTGTTGTACCAGTGTGGATGATTTGAGAATCAAACTTATCAAAAATTGTCAAAATAAACCAATTTTCTACCTGAAATTTGAGAATTTTTAATAAATTGTGCAATATAAGCCAGACCTAATTCTAAAATTATATCATTCAAGTAACACATCTTTTGTGGACATACAAACTAAGTTCCGGAAAACAACAATAAAACAGTTAAAACCAAAAATTTAAATCAACATGTCAACATCATTCATCGAATCAAACGGCTACAATAACTCAGTTTACACTCAAATGTCAGACGAATCCTTCATTAAAATGGACCAAGAGCTTAAAGATGAAATTGAATTTAATAATCTGCTTGGCTCTCAAGAGGTTCCTGAACTCAACGACACACTTGACGAGATCAATTTCATCCTTGAGCTTGGAAATAAATTAAATCTTGAAGGTAAATTAGGAACACCCGATTGTAAGCGTCAAGTCAATGCAAGCTGCTCTACTAATGGAATCACCAATTCATTCATAACTGTTAAACCTTCTAAAAGTTTAGAAGAAACTACACAATATTTAAATAATACTCAAGGCATGTCTGGAGTCTCTTACCTCATTAACGAATCTGAAATTTTGGAGCTTCAGAAATTTAAGAAATCTCCAAAAGGATTTAACGACACAACCAAATTCGAAGATAACTCAGAAACTGCTTACTTTTCACAAATGTCTGAGGATTTCCAGAAAGACAGCATTAGCGATACAGTCCTTATTGAAGATAGCTTCAGACTGCTAGATGACACTCAACAGACTTCAAATGATATATATTTTAATAGCTTTTTGTCTGAACATGGATCCGAAGGTGAACAAAGTGAAGATGACAACTATATTGAGGAGTCTGAACAGCATGAATCAACAGTGGATTCAAGTGACATATCTGAAATTGACTTGACTGACGATTCAATCATTGAGATTTTGGACGAATCCAATTAGTGTAAATTTGGGTATTAGCCCCACATTGTAAATTTATTTAAGCATCAATAAAAAAAAAATAATTCAACAAAAATGCTCATTTTTCTTGCACATTTCATGGAACCACTCGATATAAAATTTATTCACAGGCGTTATTTCCTCCCACAATATCTCATCAATCTTCTCTTTATCTACTGGAAATAATCTCGTGAAATGTCCTCGATTCATTTGTTCGTGAAGTGCTTGAATCATTTCAAACTTCTTGCTTGAACGAAGGCAACTCCAACAAAATTTGCAATCATCAACATCACAGTTGTCATTGCATGATGGATTCAGACAAATTTCAGGTTTTACAGTCATTGCATCATGATAAGCAACCATCGACTCAACATCATAGTCAGGAAATGTAAAGTTGAGCTTCTCATAAACAGTTCCAACACCAATCATGCTGAATAGATTGAACAAGACATTCTCAAACATGAATTTATTGTGAATCTTATCTCGAATTGCGAGTATGTTTGGACTCATGTTGACTTCGATGAGGTACAGCTTGAGGTTCTTGTCAAAGATCATGTCGAAGCGATAAAGTTCAAAAAATGAATATTTTGGGGCTTTTACTCGATTAATCTAAAATTATTGAAGAATTTTGAGGTTAAATTGATTAAATTTGAGGTTAAGTGGCTTAGCTTTTAGGTTAGGTCAGAAAAAAATACAGGTTAGGTCACAAATTTTTGAGGTTAAGTCACAAAATTTTGAGATTAAGTCACAAATTTTTGAGGTTAAGTCACAAATTTTTGAGGTTATTACACTAAATTTTGAGGTTAAGTCACAAATTTTTAAGATTAAGTCACAAAATTTTAAGGTTAAGCCACAAAATTTTAAGGTTAAGTCACAAATTTTTGAAGGTTGAGTCACAAATTTTTGAGGTTAAGTCACAAAATTTTGAGGTTAAGTCACAAAATTTTGAGGTTAAGTCACAAAATTTTAAGGTTAGTTCACAAAATTATGAGGTCAAGTCACACAATTTTATGGTTAAATCTCTGGATTTTAAGATTATGACACTAAATTTTGAGGTTAAGTCACAAAATTTTAAGGTTAAGTCACAAATTTTTAAGGTTAAGTCACAAAATTTTAAGGTTAAGTCACAAATTTTCAGGTTAAGTCACAAAATTTTAAGGTTAAGTCACGAAATTTTTATTTTAAGTCACATCAGTTTCACTTTAGTCAATCCAAACTCACCCCATTGATCATATACTCCTCCTTAGTCAGCACAGTGCTCCTTATTACATTTTCAACTTGCTGCCAAATGTTATCAAGATCACCTCCGATTTCCTTTATGTATCCCTCAAATGCATCTCTATAAGTATATCCAGCTTCAATATATCGCTCAACATATGGAAATTTCTGACCTGCAGTATGATTAGTTCCAATTACATAAGCATCAACGTCACTAATGTTTGCTGTGCTGTAAGGTTTGAGGCAGAACCTAAGATTCACATTTTTGTTGTAATAATAGAATCGAAGTGGATTTACGGATGTTATGACGACAAAGATTGAGAAGTCGAACTTATATCCATCCCATAAAAGTGGATCTTCGAGATATTCCTGTGCGAAATAATCGTCAAGAGCGACTGTGTCAGTAAAATTCATTTCTGATGGACTGACTAGCTTGACACCACGATTTGATTTCAATTTAAGTACAAATCTCTTTTCTGGATGTTCTGCTGCATATTCTTGGACCTCCTCTGAATTAAGGAATCCCTTTGGTATAAAGTCAAAGTCATCTTGGGTTGTTAAGTAGCTTTTGGACACAAGCATGTAATTTCCAGGAAAATGATTGATTTTTTGATGATATTTGATGCTCGACCAATTTATGTAGCTTTTTAGTGTCTCCTGGTGCTTAAAAGACCATAAAAGATTCCAATTTGCTGGAAAATTTGACGGATCTTCAACTACAATTTTTTCTAGTCCCAATCGACTCAAAACTCTGTCCACAGCTATTAAAATGTCACTTCTGTTGATGCCATCGTAAAGGATGTACTTCAACTTTGTGCCTTGATTTGATTCTCTAGCCTCAAGTTCCTGAAATTCTCCACAATTTCTATTAAAATAGTTTGAATAAAATGGAATCAAAGCTGCTGCAAAAAGAGCAATAATCAGCGGAACTGAACAAATATTCCATCGACGATTATGTGGCTGGATCACAACTTCAGGTCTTTCCTCTAACATTTTACTGAAAATACTGAAAATTCGTGATTTCACTTTTATGCTTAAAATTATGACATAATTTTATAAAAGTCATAAAATTTCATGTCGTCGAAAAAAAAGTTGTAATTTTTTTTTTATTTTTTTTTCGTGAAAAAAAGTTGTAGTTTTAAGTCTGGCACTATTCGATTGACTGATTTTTTGGAGAATGTTGAACATTTTTACAGTTATGCAATTTTACTAAACCAATTGTGTACTTTTTGTCAAGGTTATGACACCAAAATTTTCAAACAATTCTGGTCTTACTATGAACCTACATTCAGAAGTTTAGTAGAGAGGATTAGGTTAGGTTCTGGCTGTGCCCCTGACACTAATAAACTTATTTCAGTTTGAAATTCACGACTTTAAATAAATTGTTGAATACTCGCGAGTTCTCAGCTTTTAAATGTATTGTTCCTTAACTTGATTATCGACTAAAGACAAAAGTGCTATAAGTTTTTAAGTTTGACAGTCAACTTACTACTTTCTAGTTTATAATTTCAATGCCACGGCTAAGTTTGACTAATATAAATCAGTACTGACTTTAATCGATTCTCCTTCATAATAACTACACAGATAATTTCTCAAAACCAAATTATTTTATCAGTTCAAACTGATATCAAGTGCTGTTCATCATTCAATAGATTAATCAGGTGCAAGTTGGTAAAATTGCACTTCAATTTTCTAGCTACACCAAATTGACCTTCATTTAACTACTTACAAAAATAATTCACACATATCAGCAATTATACGACAGAAAAATGACCCAATGGCTCAAAATATTCATAATATCAAGCACTATAGCCATAATATCATTATTAGCAACATACATCAACACCAATAGCTGTCAATGTCCATCAAATAACACATCTACAACATCCAGCCATGACTCTAACAACCAAAATCAAGAAGATGAAATCCTTGCAGAATGGACAATTGAGTCTGAAATGGAAAAATATCCACAAATTTTCAAAGACTATCTGCAAACCAAGCCAAAGTATTGGTTCCATCACACAAAAGGTCCAGAGCATCACTACATCTTCCAAACTGTCGAGACAGTCCTCAACAGGCTAGATTTTCAGAAAATAGAAATGGATTTGACAAAATTTCACTTCGATTGGGATATCCTCTGGTCTTATCAAACTCATGACATCCTGAAACTTCCAGTCGACTGGAGTCAGTTGAAGTTTCATCAAAAAATCAATCACATACCTGGAAATCATGTCTTAACCTCAAAAAGCATCCTTGGGACAACAACAGAGTCAAAATATGTCCCGAAAGCATTCACAGATGTTGAAAAATTAAGAGAATATGCAGCTGTACATCCTGAAACAAAGTTTGTCCTGAAATGTAAAGCAAATCGAGGAGTTCAGCTGAAGAAAGTTTCTGAAATGAATTTTACAGACACTGAGCATTATTTGGATGACTTTGCACAGGAATTTATTGACAATCCACTTTTGTTTCATGGACACAAGTTCGATTTTGCTGTCTATGTAGTCATCACTTCCATTCAGCCACTTAGAATCTATTACTACACCAAGAACTTGCTTTTAAGGTTCTGTCCAAAACCATACAGCTCATCAGATCCAGATGATACAGACAGCTACGTCGTTAGTGACACAAAAACACCAGTTTGGGAATTTAATGGAACTAGAAAGTATTTTGAGAATGGATATAGCACTAAGGATGCATTTGAAGGGTTTCTTAAGAGTGTTGGAGCTGATGTTGTTGGAATTTGGAAGAAGATTGAGGATTGCATTAGGTCCATTATTATGATGAAGGAGAAGGATTTCATACATTGGGTAAGTTAAGAGAGCTAAGATTGACTAGATTAGACTAGATTGGACTAGATAAGACTCGATTAGACTAGATTAGACTTGATTGGACTCGACTTTACTAGATTAGACTAGTTTAGACTAGATTAGACTTTATTTGACTAGATTAGACTAGATTAGACTAGATTAGACTAGATTAGACTAGATTAGACTAGATTAGACTAGATTAGACAAGATTAGACTAGATTTGAATAGATTTGACTAGATTAGATTAGATTGGACTAGATTAGATTAGATTAGACTAGATTAGATTAGAAAAGACTAGATTATGCTAGATGCAAACCATTAAAATTTGTCTAATTTACAGACTAAAGTAGCAGGAACTTCGAAACACAACCACTTTGAACTCATCAGATTTGACATGATCCTCGATAACAACCTTGACCTTCATCTAATTGAAATCAATCAGCATCCTAATTTATATCCATCAGCTAATTTCATCCAAAATAAGTTTCTTTACGAGAATCTTATCTTCAATTTATTCAACCTAATTGGAGTAGGAACGAGCTATAGTAAAGAAAACCTGAAGATTCCATCGATGGATGTTCAGCAGATGATTGCAGAAGGTCATTCAATGAATGTTAATCCACAATCATGTTTGAGTAACAATTGTCAAAACAGTTGTGATGGTGACTGCATGTTCTGTAGAAAATGTCTAACAGCTGATGAAGTTTTTGATAATTTACAAGCCTACCGGGAGCAGATGAACCTTGGAGATTTTAAAAGAATTTTTCCAGCTGAACAGGAAGATGACGAGAGTGTTGGACTTGATCTGTGGGGCAAAGTGTCTAAAGAAAGTGTGAAACATGCTCATTGGTTTGGTGAAATGTGTGAGAAAAATCGATATTTTTGTTAAATTAAGGATCATCAGCTTTAACTGTTGAGCTACTGATTCAATATTTTAAAAAATTATTTAACCTTTATTTTGCTTTTTATTCATTTTAAAAGATTTCAATTTTCAAATTTCTCGAAAAATTGTTGGGAAATTACATTCTTGCCTAATGCATCATTACCCATACTCATTGTCTTAGTTTCCATGCTTTTAACTTCCATATTATCAATATTACTAGCCTTAGATTCTAAGTCCTTGATTCTTTGCTGAGCTTCATTCATATTTTTTTCCAACTCCGAGACTCGTTGAGTAAGATCTTCTGTAGTTTTTATCATTGCTGTAAATCCGCTGTCATGAGCATTCTTAAGGTCCTTGAATTGAGCCTTCAGTTCTTCAATTTCCTTCTTTAATGCATCAGAATTTGAAGTTTTGCAGTTTTGTGTGACTTTTTCGACCATACTTAGAACTCCTTGTCTATTGTCCTCAACTCTCATATTAAGGCATGGATTTTCATCAAAATACAGCCAAGTCAACTTAGTTAAATGATCAAAAACATTCGGACCAACTTGTGTGATTCGATTGTTCCAAAATGAAATCAATTCCAGTTCCAAGTTGTAGTCAAAAAGTCCAGTTTCAAGGGTTTGAATTTCATTATCTTTAAATCCACAATAGACCAACTTTTGGAATGGTTTGAGGTCACTTTGATGAATTTCTTGGATTTTGCTTTTGATAATGTCAATCAACTTGATATTCTCGAAGAATTTTTCGACATTTTTTGGCATAAATTTCCAATCTTTCGAATGTGCAAACAATCCAGTCACATTATGATCTCCCATTTCAGTCCAGTGCTCTCCACTTGTTGAATCAGCAACAAAATCATCTGGTGAGGACACTTGCAAGTCATTTTGGATTTCACAACGATAAACTTTACCCACAATTGAGTAATGAAAGTTTGTGTTGAATGAACAGTCGAGGTTGATGGATGATGAGGATTGAAGGATGGCTAGGATGCACAAAAGTTGTCTGGAAGTAAAGAACAATATTTAATGAATCTTAGATGCTCCTAAAGCATATGCAAAATGGCATTCAAATGCTCAACTGATAGGAAAACAATCAGCTGCTCAGCATTGAACATCCTGTACGTAGAACATTATTTTTGTAGGAATTACGAACGATTGCAGTTTTAATCACTAAACTTCTTACTACTTAGTATTTAATTATAATCACATCCTGCAACTAAGTATTTCATAAACTTTATTGATTGCTAAAGTTCAATAAACAAACAATTTGCTATTAGTCAGCAGTATAAATGCAGTGCCATAATCTTAGTCAATCCTGTCTAATAAGTATTTTGGTGGAGTTTGTACTTTATAACTTTGTACTATAATGAAGAGCATAATCCGATTTCTAAGGTATCCTTGAGCACATTGTGCTAGTTTTTTTGAATTTAATAACTACACCAAGGTGCTCAAGCTCTTAAAACTGGACTTTGGACCCAAATTAGACAACTTCTCTCAGTAGGTTGTTTAGATCACAAGCCTGTTGTTAAGCAGTGCTAAGTTAAGTACTGCAAATACTAATGGTTTGGTTGACACTACTGAGCTGGGATCTGATCTCACGAAATGGGTTTTCTAGTCACCAGTTTGAATTTTTAAACTACATCCGACCCTGACGGCAAAATTCCAGGCTAATGATATTTTACAACTTACCCAAACTTAGTCATTTTGTCTTCAGAACTTTATTTTCAAAACATAAAACTTTTTTCAATAATTAAGTAAATTTTAATTTATTCTACTTTACAGCTCTCTGGTTAGCAAGTGAATGATGATACATTTTATTAATTTGAGCCTTAATGACTTTATTTGATCTCTTTTCGTTCTTTGAGATGAACATAAAAAATTGAGAATTTTATAATATAAAGCAAATTTGTGATCATAAATTGCACAATTGAGATTAAACTTTTTTTAACATCTGGCAATTCTTTTTTTCTAGCAATTTCATCATTTAATTTTAAGACACTTATTTTGACAAATTTTGATAAATTGTATTGAACAATTTTTCTCTAAAAATCATTTGGCACTTTTATTCTTATAAATCACAATCACATCCACCACAATCTCCACATTCACATCCACCACAGTCCCCACATTCATAATCACATCCTCCACAGTCACCACAATCAACACATGGAAAACATCCACTAGGTTCACTATCATTATGGCTAACAACACGTTGAGGAACTGCATCAGTCTCATTGTAGTCATGATTAGGTCCACAATTACAGCTACAGCAATCGAATATTGGTATGCAGCAGGACGGATCGTTATGGGAATAGCACAATGTGTCAGGCCTTGAATAAAGGATGAGAAAGATATTCAGTAATTTTTACATTTGATTGCCTTTATAAAAGGATGGTCATGTTCAGGTGACTTCACACTAGAGTTCTTAAGTTAAGGTGCCTTCACACTAGACTCTTTAAGTTCAGTTGCCTTAACACTAGAGTTTGAGATTCAGGTGCCTTGACACTAGAGTTATGAGATTCAGGTACCATCACACTAGAGTCCTTAAGTTAAGGTGCCTTGACACTAGACTCTTTAAGGTCAGGTGCCTTAACACTAGAGTTTTGAGATTCAGGTGCCTTGACACTAGACTCTTCAAGTTCAGGTGCCTTAACACTAGAGTTTTGAGATTCAGGTGCCTTGACACTAGACTCTTCAAGTTCAGGTGCCTTAACACTAAAGTTTTGAGATTCTGGTGCCTTCACACCATCAAATCAAATACAAGTCAATAACTTACGGCACAGTAGCTCCAAGTTGAGCATTACATTCTGAGCAATAATGATTAGCTTTCCTTTCCTAAAATTGAGAACATAAAAATTCATTTCAATTATGTCAATCTGCACAACAGCTTTAACATCACCTCAAACTACTAAAAACTCAAATATAAAATTTAATCGACACCCACTCACATTCTTATAGTACGGAAGCCAAGCTAATGGGAAGAAGACAATGCACAGCAGACAAGCAGCAACATGTACTGAAGTCGGAACTTCTTTCTCAACATTTGTTGACATTGTTGCATTGCAATGTGGACATGTCATGAATTGAGGGCTTGAACCGAACATGATGAGTATGTGTTTAAGTAAATTTCTTCAAAACTGGAAGTAAGTCACTTTTGGTAGGTAATTATACAATACTTAAACTTAATTTGATGGCTAACAGCTTTAACTCATGACTGGAAAGTTAAACACACTAAAATAACTCCAATAAATCATAAATTGACGACAATAATTACACAGAAAATAATAAATTGTCCAAATTGTAAACTATAAATAGACAGACTGTATAAAAATGTAAATAAACACATCTGAGAAGGCAGAAGAGATTAATTTAACACAAGAGAGTAAGCAATTGAGTTCAGAGAATAAGAAAAAATTGAGAGAACCGGCTTATTGATTTCTTCAAGCTTGATTTTATTAATTTATTTTATTGACAATTAATTTGAGGTAGTGTCATGTACTTAATAATTTATTTAAGGTCAATAATATCAAAGTAGCTTAATTAAATAGGCAATTTTGTTTAAATATTTGATTGCTTAGTCATCACCTAAGCCATCATCTCCATCATCACAATCCCCACTATCCAACTTTTCATCGTCATCATCGCAATCTTCAACTTCTAGGCAGTCGTCGTCATCATTTGGAGTAGCTTCACATTTTACTTGATGTGCTTCATCTTGTTGGGTAATGACATGATCAACTCCATTGTTGGTGATGAAGTTATTTGGTGATCCACTTCGGTAGTTGTCAGTGTTTTCGTGAGGTCTGTTTGCAAGTTAATATAAATAATTACATTACTAAATGCCCAGGAGTCAGAGGTACTGCAGTAAGATAGCAGAGTTTTACTAACCTTCCTTAAAAAAGGAAGTAGGACTGCCCCCAAATTATGCCCCTATACTATACTTACGTAGCATATGTTCCAACAATCGCATCACATTCTGGACATCTATGCTTAATAGTTTCCTATAGAAAGGATGTGAATTTTAAGGAGTGCCATCATTTCAATAAAAAAGACATCACACGAATATAAAACAAGAAGAAATTTTAATTTGTTTTGATTACTTACAATTCCACCACAGCAAAAGTTCAGGCATGCGAAGAAAAATGAAGTTGAATCAACATTTCCAAAACTTGTTGTTTCTGTGGATGTTCTTGTTGTCATTGTGGCTCCACATTCTGGACAAATCATGTCAGTTGGTTCTGGTCCGAATTTATCAACATTTCTTGGGTATTCTGATGCAAAATTTTCTGGCAATTCGACAGTTTCTAAGTCATAAGCATCTGAAATTTCTGCTGGTTCTGCAACTTCTACTGGTTTTGATTCAAGAATTTCTGGCTGTTCATCTGACTCAGATTCAAGTGCTTCTGGTTGGTCGTCTGGAGATTCAATCGATTCTGACATTTTTGGATGCTATGTTGCTTAATCTAGTTGTTGATGTAAATTTGATGTAATATAAATTCTTGGGAATAAAGCTTGTCTAGACTTTATGGCGCCAAAAGTGAAGTGTTGATGAAAAGTATTGTTTTGATGAGGGATGAAAGGGGGGGTGGGGGGAGGGGAGGAGGGGGGAGGGAGATTAAATCTCAAAAGCAAGTTTGACTAAGGGGCCGTTCACTTATGACGTCCAACATTTAAAGGGGCAGAAGGACTAGAAATCGTGTTTTTCGAAGGACTTTCCTTAGTTGAGTTAATATTAATGAATTTGGTTAAAAAAAGGGTCACATTGGAGACTATAAAGATTGTCATTTAAAAAACGAAGAGTTTTCCAACTTTTCATTATATTTTAAAAATAGAATCTAATTTATTTTGCTAATTTTTGTCAACATTTATGGTGAAATTCACAAAAACTTAAAATTTAAATTTATTTAAATTTCCAACCAATCTTCAAAAATCCACAGTTACAAAAATAACAATTTTTAATATTTGCATTATCAAATTTAATCAACTTACAAGAATTTAATCAAAAACTATTTTTAGAACTCATAAAAAAAATTTCCGGCTTTTCCCAAAACAAACTTACTACTGAAAATCATAATGAAAAAAAATACAGAAAATCATAAAGAAAATTCATAAAGATGCGAAACGCAATAGTAAATGAGAGACAGAGAGTTTGTTCTCATTTTAGTAAGCACGTGAGAGTCAAGCGATAAAATTAGAGAGCTGAGTAAATAATTGACATTTTCACATTTAATACAGCGCACGTTATTCTAACATAGTAGCTAGTAGCAAGTTTTTATCTCAAGTTACAATTCAACAACTACTTCGAGTGTTAGGGTCATAAATAACGAAACAGTGAGTAACTGTCCAGTCTAGTCAAAATTAGCAACTTAGTATTTTTAATATTACGCCTAGTTAATGAAGGTTCATCGCCTCGAGTATGTTCTCTATAACCAGAGTTGAGGAATCTTCAAAGTCAATTTTTTAACATTTTAAATAATAAAACAAACTGCTGCATCTACAGCTCCACTGTCCTCAACTGATGTTGGCAACTCATTAGAATGAAAAATATTAGCTTGTCTTGAATCGCATACATAATTTTCTGGGAAGTAAACATAATGATTTCCGTCATATGTGATTACTTCATCATAGATATCATCTTCGTAGCACCACTTGCAGACTATGCACTCGGATGATCTGCTTGAAAAATAGATTTTTTCGTATTAGTTTATTTAATAAAGAGGAAAATAGAAAAGAAGGGTTTAAGGCAGTGGTGTTTACCCTTTTTGTGCCACCCAAAATTTCTCGACACACGAGTTGACCATTACTGGTTAAAAGTCATCAAGGTACTGTTTATAAAATACAATTTTTCAAAAAAAAATTGACAAAACTTACGAGAATGGGTTGACAGTTCCAATTAAAGCATCACACTTTGAACAACGGTGCTCTGTCTTGTCTCTCTAAAAAAAGAATTAAAAGTTTTAATCAAAGTGAAAATCTCAATTTGACTTTATACTTACACTGACACAGTAAGGAAGCCAAGCTAGCGGAAAGAAGCACATGAACATTATGCAAGCATCAAAATGAGTTCCATTTGATATTTTATTTGAAATTTTTGTCGTCATTTTTGCCTTGCAGTGAGGACATTTCATACGAATTGGTTGTGATCCGAGATCGTACGACATTTTGGAGGTTTTTTTTAAGTTTTGATAGGATTTATTTAAGTTGAGTTTTGTCTTGAATATTTTTAAGGTTTTTAAGGTTTTTTAAGTTTTTAACACTTTTTTCAATTAACTCAATTGTTTTTGAATTTTTTGATTTTTTGAATTTTTTGAATTTTTTAATTTTTGAATTTTTTAATTTTTTAATTTTTTAATTTTTTGACTTTTTGAATTTTTTGATTTTTTTGATTTTTTTGAATATTTGAATATTTGAATTTTTGAATTTATTGAATTTATTGAATTTATTGAATTTATTGAATTTATTGAATTTATTGAATTTATTGAATTTATTGAATTTATTGAATTTATTGAATTTATTGAATTTATTGAATTTATTGAATTTATTGAATTTATTGAATTTTTTGAATTTTTTAACTTTTTGAATTTTTAAGTTTTTCAAATTTCTCCAACTTTTTTCAATTTTCTTATTTTTTTAAAACTTTGATTTTTTGAATTTTTTAATTTTTTAACTTTTTGAATTTTTTTATATTTTGAATTTTTCAGTTTTTCAAATTTTTCCAACTTTTTTCAATTTTCTTATTTGAAGTTTCTTAAAATAACTTTTCCATTTCAATTTAAATTTTTTGATTTATAAAAGACGCAATTCCAAATCATAAGTCAAAGAGAAAAATGAGAAAAACAAAGAAAATTATGTCAAGTGCATTGTCAAGTCCAAGACTAATGACCAAGACTTATGGTGAAATCACCTTTTTATTCTGCAATCCTCTAAAGATGTTTTTTTAAAGAATATCAAATAACTTGCAGTATATTTTTGTATGACTTGATAAAAAGTCACCAAAAAATTTTAAATTGTTGTAAATTAAAAAAAATTCATTACAAAAATATTTTTTTGTAAAATTTTCCTACTTAATAAAAGATGCAATTTATCTAAAAAAATTACTAGACAATAAGTTATGATGCAGAATTATTTGCATCAATTTAAAGAGAATTGAAGAGATTTTGTATGTTCAAGGTCATGAGAGTCATGTTAAGATGCACTTGCTGCACTTGTTTACCATTCAATCATTATTTCTCCTTTTTTTTACATAATTGATTCATTTTATTGCATTTTAGAATAAACTTTTAATACAAAAACATAAGATGCAAATAAAAACTATTTAAACCATAAAGCATATTGCAGCATCGTTGCCTCCAGCCCAAAGATCATTTAAACACAAACTGTTAAAATCATAGAATTGTTAAGCTGTTAAAAAAGAGTTCATATTTATTTACTTATTTATAGCGACAGATTTACAATTATGGTGAAATCACATTTTCGCTCATTTTTCTCAGAATTGTTTTTTTTTTTTTCAAAATAGCCTCTGAATTTCACTTTATATTTAAATAGATCGACTGACAGAATTTTATTCCTTTTATTGATTTAAAAAAAAACAATTAGAAATTTTACTTTAAAAAAATGTAATAAAAAATGTTAAAAATTCACACTTCAAAAAAAGATGAATTTTATCTCAAAACTTCACTTAAATAAAATTTTGTAATTGTATTAATTTGAAGAGAGAGAGAGAGAAATTGATGTTTACAAGGTCGTGAGAGTCACATAAAATTACACCTGTTGCACAAATTGAGCATCTTTCATCATATATCATATATCATAGCATGGGCGGAGTGCAATAATCCAAGTCACATCACACTTTTTACAATTTAAGAGATTTTATTCAATAAATAACTTTTTTTTTCTTAAATAATTAATTAAAACTTAACAAAATTGATTAGCTTTGGGGTTGATAATGAATGACGTCCTTCAAAAAAACCAAGAATTTTCAACATCTCCACCCGATATTTGCCATGAATTTTGTATAAAAAAATATTTTTTTTTTGTTTGAACCTTCACAAAACTCCAGATTCCCCCTCTTATGTTGAACGTAATTTATGAACGGCCCCTAATAGCTTTCGAGACTTAACATCAAGATCCGAACATCCAAAATCTTCTAGGTTAAAAGGTAAGTTCCAATAGTTTTCTTACATGATGTGCATTTATGTTTCACAATTCTGTCCTAAAACATGAACGAGAAAATATTTCTTTGTCAAGCAAATTGAACAAACCAGCAAACGAAGTCGGCTTAAAATTTTGTGAACAAGCTTGTCGACTATAGTCAAAAAATCATAGCCGGCTTCGCTCTTTTCACTACTTACACTTTCTTTATAAACAACCAAAGCTAATGGAGCAAGAGTGATAACAAGGCACATTAAGCACACAAATAATTTTGTTGAATTCAGTAATTTTATTGATGTTTTGGTGATTATCTTTTGTTCACAGTAAGGACATAAAACCAACTCCGGTTCTGGTCCTAAATTTTTTAACATTCTTTTATCCATTTTTGACTGAATTTTTCACTTTAAAGTTCACTTTGACCTACAGCAATTAAATTGCCAGCAATTCCAGAAGTGTCGGTAAAAAATAAAAATAATATCTGCTGAACAAGCTTCCAACTGAGAATGAAGAGAGCACAACTGAGACTGAAAACTTATTTCACAATTCTGTAAATAATATAAATTTAAATGCAGTTTTAGTGAAGTTCGATTAGTCATCGGGCAAAAAAATAACAATAAACAAATTTATTTCCACATTAAATAATTCATAATATTGTCAAACGAATCTTGTAAGAGAGATGATGTAGCTGTGTAAGGAGGAGCTACTTCTCCCTCATCCCCTGCTCAGGAAACAAATCCAACATCTTCAGTAAATTGTGGTTAATCCAAATAATATGGCACAATCTTAATGTTATTAAATTTTATGTGGAAATGAAGTCAGTCACATGATCCACCTCCACCCTCACTATCTCCCCCTCCTCCTCCACAATCCCCACCTCCGCCTGAATCTCCATGACAATGAGAATTATCATAATGTCCTATATCACTTGTATGGTGGGTTGAGCTGTGATGTGACGTATTTGTTTGATAACTGAAATTATTGTGGTCAATATTAAGACTCGAATTGTCATGTAAATAGTTAGATCTGTCACGAGATTCTAATGATCTGTTGGCATTTAGAATTGATGATTAATGAAACTAAAGCCGGACGAACAAGACAAAATTGAATTTTTTTAAACTTACGGTTTAGAGTAGATTCCAAGAACTTCATTGCATGCCGAGCATTTATGTTGTATGTCATCATCCTGTGATTAAAGAAGAGTTGGATATTCTCAAAATTCAGTTAAGTAATTTAAGAATTTAACTTTAACTCAATACTTAAATGACGAACTTACATCACAGCAATAGAAAATCCAAAATAATGGAAAGCAAATAATCAAAATGATGCAGCTATAAATATGCGTTGATGTAGGAATTTTCCAAGATACTTTTGTTGTCATTGTGACTCCGCAGTTAGGACACAAAGTTTCGGTAGGGTTTGGTCCAAATTTTGTTTCCATTTTGATTAAATTTAAGTTTTTAAATAATTATAAATAATACTTTAAAAACACTTATAAAATTGCCATAAAATCATGGAAATTCCAATCCGAGAGTCTCGACGAAATAAATTGATTGACTCAGAATTTTTAATTGTAAAACAATTCTTAGAACGAGCGAAAAATAATTTACGTTGTTTTTCCTCATACAAAGTATGCAACTGAGAGAAAAATTACAAACAATCAACTTTATAAGCTACGGTTTAGTGAGAATTATTGAGAATATTGAGCGAAATTGTAAAATAATTAATAAAAGTGCGAGCAAATATTGATAAAAAATTATTTATTTGATAATTCGGCTCAAGTGGGTAATAAAAATATGAGCGTGGCTAGCAACTTTCGTTTCCCTCCCGAAATTAGAGTGACAATTTCACTTCATGTTGATTAAGCTATTACTGTTTCCTGCATTAAAAATGGATTGATAACTGAAACGTGACTCTGGATACGAAGTACTAATGTTGTGGATGTGAGAGTAGTCTAAGGCATGATGCGATCTAAATTTTGAATATTGAAGAACAAGAAAAAAAGTTTAAATGTTTAACACAAAATTGGAGGGGCTTCGATGCATGGGCAAGGCTCATTCTCATTTAAAAACGAAGATTATAATTTTTATATCGGATCTTTTAAAGATTATAATCTGCGGGAGCCAGCCTTGTGCATGGGTCCAAATCTTATAGCTCATAGCCAAGTGCTTAGCCAAAAATCATTCGAGGAAGGTGTCTTGTCCCTTCCTTGGCTCCACCCAGGGTCATATCACATGAAGACTAGTCTGAAACCCAACCATGACCATACATCTTAAAGCCATACTTACAATCTATTATAAATATAACTTCCAAGACGAGCATCACATGCTGAACATTTATGAACAACTATGTATTTCTAGAAAATCAAAAAAGACATCAAACTTTGACTCAAATGCAGCAATAACTCTCATACTCACACCAAAATAGTAAGGCATCCATGCTAGTGGACAAAACAGAACAAATAAAATACAAGCTGCAACATGTGACGAAACTGGAATTTCAAAAGATGTCTCAGTTTCCATGTTGACGCTGCAAATCGGACAGATCATCTCAACAGGTTCATTACCTAATTGGGCTGGACAGTCTGTCATTTTTGAACGTCTTAATGTTCTGACGTAAAACTTCATTTTTTTTAATATTTAAAAGCTCTGTGAACAGTCTCAAAGGTGCAGTTGAACTGACTGGATTTCAAAGCTTTACACGTTGCATTTTATTAATGAATAGTTCGGTAAACATCACTGAATCCGGGAATATTGCAGTGCTGATAAAGCACTAGTGCATAATTTGTGTGACTTTAAGTCACGGGCAAAAGCTTATTGCAAATAGTTTAATTGATAAAATTTTAATTACGTGTTTTGCAAGTTGTGACGCAAAAGCTGACCTCATCGACACCTTTGAATATTAGTTTTGCATATTTCATAGACATGGCCGTGATTCCAGACCTTCAACCAAGTTTTTAAATTTGTATGAGGAAATAAATCAAGACCCTAATATGAAGCAATAAATAGTCACATGCAATTGAGCGAACTTCAACAAATTCAAAATATATAATCAGGTACTTCAATAAAACTTAGATAGCTAGTATCAAAACCGTAAGTGCATTTCCATTGTATTAACTAATTATTATCTTTTGTTCTGAGAAAATTAAATTACTAAGTCAATGAGTCGCTTTATTTATTGCAACTTAAAGTAATCTAATCACAATAATTAAAATTTCAGGATATAATATCAAAGTTCATCTTAGCATCTAAGTGTAGGTTCTCTATTTTGAACATACTGTGAATATTGCCATGATACAAAATCCACAATTCATGAGAATATCACCGGTACAAAGACAACAAGGTCCAAAAAAGCTGCTTGCATTTGTTCTGAAATGAATGAAACGAGTAAAAAATGCTGGCAACTGAAATAGAAATTAGGATGCAAGGAGTTCTATGCAGAGCTCGAAGTCGACTCAAAAGTTTCATAGATTTTGTATGGCCGAGTAGACTCGACTCCATTCCAAATTTCACCGACTTCGAGCTCTGATTTTATGGATACCCAAATTTCTAAGCAAGATATTCTTTGTTCAATGAACTGTAGAAACTTACCTGAATAGCACAAGTTAATCAATCAGTTTTCCGGCTCCAAGCCGGTGTGACTTTGGAATGAAACCAGATTTGAACAGGCTTGGTCACAACTCGTGTGCACAAGATGCCGTAAGGAAGTCATCCAGATGCTAGTATATCGTTGTATACCTAGCAAAGGAGGCATATTTTGTGCCAAAAACCTCAAAACTACACCCAACACACGAACCGAGCTTCATAACTAGAACGGTGAAATGGAAAAAGAGCTTCAAAAATTAGTCATGGCTTGGGATTGAACCCAGTACCTTTGACACGGAAGGCCAAATTCCATTTCACCGCTTAACTGATCAATAAAATTACTTATGCTATTCAGGCTAGTTTCTAAAATTGATAAAATGATTAAAAAATTTTATTTACGTTTCTGTAGAAGATCTCATAATAATGTTGCATGCAGAACATTTAGGAACCTAGGAATTAAAAATAGAACTGATGATTGTTGAGCGATTAAGCCAAAATTTTTAATTTTTCACTCCTTTATCTGCTTCAGCTTTGCTTATTGTGGCGGTGAATTTACATTTATCGCAAATTAATGTTTTGGTTTCAATTTTAGACATTTTAAAGACCAAAACTCAACTGTTCTGACTCGTCAAGATCCATTAAGCTACTGAGCAATTTCTATAATTATTCGCAATTACTTGTAATCTTATCATATCAGCTGTGAGAAAAAGAACAGCCATAAAAATGTTAATAACTTTATAATTCGAATGTATTGAAGCTTCTGAAGTGACTTCTATCTCCATTGGGAAGTTCTCTTCAGACTGTTCTCTAGAATTCGACCTTGACCGAAAAATCACGTTTTTAAATGACAAAAAGACATCCACAAACTTTATCTCGACCATAAATTCACAGTTATCACAAAGAAATAAGCAAAAAACTTATCACGAAGATTCAACATCATCTAAAAATAACTCAGACTCAGATTGTTATCATGTAAATAAGCACAAACTATGTTAGCAAGTCACAGTCCAACTATCAAGCTGCGGTGTAAAATATTTGCGTGGATGCAGATAAGATTAAGATAAACAAGTTCCTGGTAATTGTAACTGTCATATCTTGTTATAGATTTATCCATCAGTTCCAGTTCCAGATTTGTATTTAAGCCATTTTCACTACCTACGTCCAAGTCTTGGTCTGATTTCTATGATGTATCTTGAAATGCCCATCAAATAATTTGACTAGCATGACTTAGCTGTTCATCGGCTTTAATGAAGTGGATATTATCATCCAAAAAGCTACAATACCATCCAAAAAAGTACACATCCGAACCCTCCTACCATGATCAAATTCAAGAAATTCACCCCTAATATTACCTCAACTATTCAGCAAACAACAATGTTCTTGATAATGAAAATTTACATTATTTACATTCCGTACTTGAACCTGATTCATATGTAAAAGTGCGTAAGTTGTAATTGTACATAAAAAAATTTTCATATAAAAGGTGTAAACTGGTCGGTCTACATCATTAGTTTGCTGAATATCAAGGAGCTTTTTGGAACAAAAGCAGTGAAGATTTAAAAGTTGGTGAACATGAAGCTTGAATTGTAAGTTTTGAATCTGATAAGATGTTAATCTTAAGTGACCTCTGTGGATGATTTCTTTGGTATTGGGGCAGTACTAGTACAAGTATGGTCCAGTTTAAGTCCACTTCTGTATGATCTTAACCTAACCTTAAGGACAAATCTCCCGCAGACGTTAAGCTACCCCCTTCATATACAAAGTAGCTCAACTTGAACCAACTCAAACATTTTAATTATAATCCACAGAAACCTCGCAGTAATCCTGCTCATCTCCCTCATCGCAGTCACAAACGCTGATAGCCCCACTAAAGCTGTAAATATCTCAATGGAATGCACAATTGGCGATGTTAACTACATTTACTTTGGAATCGAAACATCATGTACAGCCAAGGGAAGATTAAACATTGTCAACATGAATACAACAGTCACATCAATTGATGGTGGATGCAGCCGTTCCAATCCAAATCCCAGAATAAGAGTTTTTTATGTCGTCGGTAAAGTCGTTCAATACGTGCCAAGTGGATTGGATGTCTTGTTCCCAAATTTGATGGGATTCAGATTTGTAAGCACTCAAATGAAGCTCGTGACAAAGGAAAGTTTGCAGCCATACCCAAATTTATTGATGTTCGCTAGTGTCGGCAATCAAATTGAGTACCTTGAAAAGGATTTGTTCATGTACAATACAAAGATTGAGTACATCAGCTTACGTTCCAATAGAATTTCATACATTGACCCAACTGTCTTTAGTGTTATTGGAAATAGCTTGCAGCAATTATATATGGAAGGTCAGGCAATCGCTTGTGGAATCGGAAATACAATTACACCAAATTCAGTCAAGAATGCATTGTCAAAATTAAGCAGTTCCATTTGTGCAGACATCACCAATGCACCACCATTGTATATTCTTTTATTGGAACTTAAGGAACAACTCGCAAGCGGTGGAAATGAATCATCAACATGCCAGGAAGAACTTACAGCATGTAATGGAAACCTCACAGAAATTCAGACCAACTTAACAGCTTTAAATGAAGAAGTGACTCAACTTACAACTGAATTGGAGACTTTAAATACAACTTTGTTAACTGCCAATGAGGAACTACAATCATGCAATGCTACTGCTGAAACATGCGCTACTGATCTTGAGACATGTCAAGCTGGTTCAGGAGGAACCTGTACAACGGATTTGGCAACTTGTGAAGGTGATTTAGCTACAGCCGAAGCTGCTACAGCTACATGTGAATCTGACAAAGCTACATGTGATGGTGATCTAGTTACATGTGAAGCTGATAAAGGAACTTGTGACGGAGACTTGACTACTTGCAATGATGGAAAGGCATTCTGTGAAAATTGTAGAATCAATCCTGGTGATATTGGATGTGTCTAAAATTAAAAAATTAATAATGCAGGGATATTCTATTTTTTGGTATTAATATTCAGATGTAGAAAGTTTGTAGAACTTTTATGGATAATAAAGAGCATAAGCTGCTGAAAGTAGCTACAAAAAAACAAAAGTTTTAAATCGTGTCATGTTTTCAGGAAGTAACAAACATCACAAATCATCATCTCATGTTGAGCCTAACTTGACATTGTGCTTTTTATCTCAAAAATTTATGATTCTTCAGGTTGACAGGTCTAAGAATATTTCTGATAAGATTGTTTGGGGTAGTCAAATGTTTACGTGCTCTTGAGTCTTAATCGAGGACATTTATATAATTTTAGCAAGCTTATCAAAAATAATAATGCAAAATATAAAAGAAATTATCAAAACAGTTTGAGGTGGCATTAAGTGATCTGTTGAGCTATTGGGTGCTTCGTAGCAGTCAAATAATTTTAAAAGTATCAACATTTTAGTGAAAAACTCAAAATGACAAAGAAAATGTAAGAATACTTTTGTGCGTCATATTCTGGGAAAACAGTAAACTTTCAACCCAAAACTAACGCACAATAAAAATTATTTTTTACTTTACTAGCTTCACGATCCTCTTCCTCATAATTTCCATCGCTTCTTTCATTCATGCTGATGATGAGGAGATCAGTATTGACTGTACAATCGGAAAAGTCAACTACATCTTCTTCAATCAACTTATGTCATGCACAGTGAGCTCAAAAACTAACATAATGAGAAGAGAGACAAAAGTTACTTCAATTTGTGGCGGTTCCACTGCTGGCATCAAAGTTTTCTATGCTCTATCTAAAGTCATTCGCTATATTCCTAAAAATTTGAAGGTTGTCTTTAAGGATCTAACTGGATTCAGGTTAGAAAATACACAATTAAAAATGGTGACCAAGGAAGATCTCGAACCATTCCCAGATCTCCTGATGTTCGCTAGTGTCAGCAACCACATCGAATTTCTAGATGAAGATCTCTTCATATATAATACAAAACTTCAATACGTCAGCTTCCGTGCCAATAAAATCTCATTCATCCATCCAACAGTATTTGCCAATGTTAAGCTAACCTTAAAGCAGCTTTACATGGATGCTCAGGCAATCAACTGTGGAATTGGCAATCCAACAACACCAGCTGCAATAGAAAATGCTTTAATTAAATTTGAATTTTCTCAATGTGCTGACATCCTTAATGCACCTGCTTTATACAGCTTGTGGCTTGAGTTGAAAGGACAAGTGTCTGGTGGAAGCGAAGAGTTAGAGACCTGTCAGGCTGATTTGGCAGCAGCTTCAACTGATTTAGATGCTGCCAAAACAGAGCTTGATACAGCAAAAACTGAACTTGATACTGCAACAACTGAACTAGCGACTGCTAAGCAAGAGGCAGCGGAATGTTCTTCTGAACTGGAAGCAGCTAAGACTGCTTGTGAAGGAACAGGTGCTACATTGGAAGAAATTACTGGAAAGCTAGCTGGTTGTTGTGCTGGAGATGCTACAGCTAAAAATTGTATAGCATTGTAAATTTAAACGCTTTATTTTGAAATCAATTGTATTTCAAGAATCAATTCTGCAAATATGCAAATAAAATTATCTTTATTCAAGCAATCAAAAAATTGTGTCAAATGTTAAACATCCTGAAAAGTCTGGACTCTATTGAACTTCCTTGGCTATGCTAATAAATTCAAACAGTCAGAAAATCCAATTGAATTTAATTTAAACAGATCATAGCCATTTGTGCTGAATATTCTCAGGCAGCGATGATCAATTTTGATAATTTAATCTTTGTATGTTCCCAAGAGTGTTTTACATGATGGACAGTAGTGATTTGATGTTTTGAAGCACTGAAATGTTTAAAATAGCAATATAAGTGATATGAACATATAAACAAGTCAACTAGCTTGATTTATAGTAAATATTTTAAATAATTAGCATTTTAATGATGTCAATTAGGATGTTAATTATAGTTGTCCTTAGTATGGCGTGCCAGATGTGCTAGATGTTGTTAATTATTGATGATATTTGGTTTGCATCATGGATCGAGTTGTGGTCAGTGGTATAGCAAGGGAGGGAGCTACTGAGAGACTGATCTTGAGTGCTACGAAAAATATCCCAAAATTTTTACAAAAAGAGGCGCAATTTTATGATTTTACCTAGACTGACGAAAACCCTTGCTACGCTCGAGGCCAGGGCACCTAACCTAGTCACAATTATGATTCAAAAGCACTCTAAATTGTTATTCATAGATTTTTGATCCTAAAGTATGATCCCGAGTAATAGATCCCCTAAGAGTTCATTTTCCGAGATCCGAACATTTATCCTTTTCAAGATTGATTAAAATTTGAATAAGCAGTTCTAAAAGTACCACTGGGTAAATAATCAATGGGCAAACAATCGATGGTCCTGTATTTCAAAACTCTGTCCTGTATAAATTTGAAAATTTTGTTCCAGGTCCTGTATTTTTTTCACGAAAATTTCCGTTAATTTTCAAATTTTTATATTGTGTCCTGTATTTTTTGGGAAATTTATCAAATGTCCTGTATTTTCATAAAAATTAGATGGTCACCCTAGGCAAAAGCAGTTAAGTACCTTGCTGTTCGAATAGGTAAGGCGCTTGGATCAAATTTGGTATGGTAACTCGAAGGTCGTCGGTTCGAATCAAGCCATTTCCAAATTTGTTCTTTTTCAGAAGTTTAGATACTTCGACTGCTTAATGTACGAGATCAAGCCATAATTGGGCATTTTGGGCAACGTTGGATTAAGGAACGCATCAGGAACTTGAAGTGTAGCGTGAGAAATAGGAACGAGAGCTACAAGATTACCTTATAATGGAATATTGTCAGAACGAACCTGAAATGTATCACGTCACGCCCACAGAAGATTGAAACGAGAGCCTGAATTTAATCGAAACTTAGATTTGAAGATTAGAAGCTTGATTCTACGTCACCCATAGTGATATGAAATGTATCACTAATCAATGTAAAAAGTAAAACATGTATAAATACTAATTCTTCCGGACGGTAACGTCGACAAATAAATAATAATACCTGGGAAAATGTCAATGGGCAATCGGACCAAACCCCTGACACACTTACTATTTTTTTAATAAACAGTTTAATGCCCCACTAAGCTCAGTTTGAGAACTCCTCCCCGAAATACTCACATTCATCAGATAAGGACAGCAAACAAGTGGACAGAAGCAGATACACAGCAAAAGTGCAACAATATGAGTTGTGCCAGTTGATTCCATTTCAACAGCTGTGTTGACTGATGAATTGCAACTTGGACATGTTGTAGCTATGCTTGTCTTTCCAAAGTTTGACATTTTTTTAATGATTTTGATGCGACTCTCGATGCACTTTATCAAAAACTTTCTTGTCTACTTTTGGCTCCACAATGCTCAATTTTTCAACAATTTTATTTAATTTTTCCTTGCAATTTTCAACAATTTGTCCACAACTATTTCCAACCAACCTTTTCAAACAGTCAAACTCGACTAATGTAATTTTGCGTGACAAAAGCTGTTTTTTCCAATTTGTGAGTCAAACCAGCACAAAAGCACTGACAACATCATGAATATTTGAAAAGTCTCTCAATTTTTATACGATGAAATATGACAATTTTGATGTGGAAAATACTATTTATGGAGTGGTCATGGTAGGTGTGAGGTAGCAACACATCCTATGTACTTAAAGCTTATAGTAAATAAAAATGACATGTCAACAATAAAAATCGATGAGATTTTTGCTATAGAAATGACAATTGAGAGCGGAAATGTTGGAAAATTGTTGAATGCCTTTTATAGATTTTATCTGAAACTTGATATGTAGGTTGGCGGTTCTTTGAATTGAAAATCATTAAAAAAAATTATTTATTTTCTGTCAATTTAATATGAATTGTTAAATCTTCATCATGCCTACCCAAACCCAATGTTGATAAAATATCAAATTACTAGTACCCAAATTGCAATTCCTCATAAGCTGGCTTCTCATAAAGTCGTGCTGGACATCGACTATTGGGGATACACTTTTGTGTTCCATTAATTCTTATATATCCTTCCTGACATCCACAGTAGTATGTGTATCTGCATATATAGTAATTAAGTTCACAAAGTGGATGCGGTGTCAGGTCACACGTCTTTTCGCACAACTTCACTCCACAAACGACGACTTCGGAATTGTTGCATTTCACTGGAAAGGATTAAAAGGATTTTTAATAGGTTTTGAAGTTTGTCAATGATAAAATCTTACTTCCATGTTCTTCAAGTAGAATGCATCCTTTTCGGTTAGTTCTGATGTAGCCAGGCTTACAGACACATTCTGAAATTCAAGATGTTAATCATGTCAACTATCGATTGCTATGTCATTATTTATCATACCAGTGTCGCATCCATCGAGGCAATAGTTGGTAACGCCAGGGATATGGAGGGTCTCATTTACTCCACATTCTGATTCTAGAATTGTTAAGTGATAGTAAATTAGCGGCAGATATGTAAGAGTAGTCGAAATTTTATAGCTCGTGACAAAACTGATCGAACTGAATTTTGATGATTTTAGCTGAAATAAGACTCTACAGAAGTCATCTCAAAAAGCACAATTTGGTTTATCGAATAGAAATATGGCACTAAATCGACTTGGTGCTGGACTCAAATTCTCAAATCAAAATTCAGCACCATGTTAAGGTTACGCCAGCTTGGTCCCGGATTTCTATTCAATTATTCGACTTGTGCTATTCGAGTATTTCAGTCAAAAATTCAAAACTCATCAAAATGACCAAAAATTCAGTTTTTTCAGTTCCAAACCGTTAACTGTGAAAAGTCTCCAAATACATACCATCAGGAACTCCTTCAACTCTTCTCTTAGTGATCTGAGATGCTAGAAACTGTGAGGTTGTCTCATCACATGTGAACATATCTTGTCCATTGAATGCTGAAGCACTTAGTATGTACCTGAAAAATATATATTTGATTATTATGTGCTGAATATAGACTAAGTTCCAGGGGCTCATAGAAATTGCAAATAAATCATTCATCATTCCACGTGTTTAGTTGCTGAATTTACTTCTTTTAGATCCAAGCTTTATCTTTGATATCAAAAGTGACTAAATTTTCAAAACTTCAATAGTTCCTTACCATGCTGCACACAACATAAAAGTTGAAACTAGGAAAATAAAATTTTGTGTTCTCATCTTGGTGTTTGAATTGAGACTGCTGCACACTTTTGGATTAATTTTGAAATAAACTTTCTGAGATGACAAACTGTATTTGTTAACAGAATAATAATAAAAAGTAGGTTTTAAATAACATTTTGTCTAAGTTTTCGATGATATTCTTAACTTGGAAATTGAATCAGCTGAGTCAATAGACGACTGTACTTGAAAGTCATTCAATGTTGGTTGCTTAATTAATTTACGCAATTATAAGTTTACTACTTACTTACTTCCTTTGGAAGGTGGGCACTGCTGTACTTTAAGATCATCTGAAGACAGGATCCTCTGAAAAAGCACCAACTTCTTTGGCTTTAATCCAATTTGAAGTCAAAGAGCTTTTTTATAAGGTGCGTTGGCCTAGCAAGCCGCTATTCTTAAACACAAGCAATTTGAAGTCAAAAACTGAGAGATCCTATAAATTTCTGATTATATCTTTGTGTCTGTCCCTTGGACCTCCTTGCTATACTCATGACTTGACCTGCTCTCATAATGATGGCTTGCTTAATCCCTGAGTAAATCACATCAATCAATAGATGAACATAAATTTTCACTACAGTGTTACTAATCATCCAATAAAAGATAGCAATCAGATTTGAGATATCAAATCTTGTTAATTATCCATCATGTATTGCTAGGCTATAAATGTCACTAACATAAAAAAATTTACATGAGTTGAATTTCTTATTTGAGCGTGAATTAAACCAAAAATCAAATAAAAATGTTTATAATTTTGTCAGTGATTATTAGTGCCTTATATGTCCAAGTTGGCAGTTTTGATCAATATTCGGTAAGTAATTTACATTAGCTTTTTAAATTTCCTTATAAATAACTGTCAAACCCGCCAGAAATCATCGTCATCAAAGCCTTACTTTGAGGTGTTAACCGACAGGCTCGAGGAACTGGAAAACAACAACCAATTATTCGATTTTTCTGGATTAAAAGTTCGAAAAGTTAACAAAACGCGGTCATTTATTGGCGACATTGTCCTCATAAATCCATTAGGAGATGACATTTTCCTTGAAATTGCAGCTTACATTAAGCAAGGTGGTGAATATAGATTGATGCCTTATCGGATCCCCCCTAGTCCATTTTGTAGCTTTTGTGCCAACGACACTTACGTGTATCCAGATTTATCCAGGAATTCTGACTTTCCAGAGGATATAGTTGCAAATTGTCCATTGCAGCCGGTAGAAATAAGTTTAAAAATTGAAATTGAGCATTTTTTAATTGTTTTGATCTTTAATAGAAATCATACAAATTCAACGGAGTTGTATATCGGCTTGAAAACCTCCCAAAAAGTGCAATGCAGTCCGGTGACTATGCTTTAGAGGGATGCTTTAAAAGAGATGGAATTATTCTTAATAAGTTCCGAATTTATGCGACAATCATTCAAATTTAACTTGTATTGAGTATAAATAAAGTATTGATAATTATTTATTCAGCTGTATTGAGCACAATGTCTTTTTACTGTCTGTTTTTACGCACGGGTATCAGTCTTAAATTTACTGAATGTAAGAAAAGAAAGTTTTGTTGAAAATTGGATTGCAAATGAAGCTCCTCGTGGTCATTTTGTGTGTTTTTAAGGTTTGTTGTTCTGTAGATTGAAAAGTGGCATCGCCAAATTAAAGATTATTGCCAGTAAACGGGCAGATGACTCACCTTAAGGCTATGCTTCTGATTAACACCGAAATATACACTATAAAGTCAAAATTACTGATAATTTTCAGCTAGTCTACAGCATCACCATCAAAGAAATCAACGAGCTCAATGCAGCATTCTCAGGAGCTCGACTAGACAGTTTAAAGCTTCAAAACTATGCAAAATACATAATCCAACAAAACTCAACGAATAAATCTGAAGTCAATTCCATTACTTTTGAAAATTTCTCAGAACTTTCTGAATTATTGAAGAATTACAGCACAAGAGATGGAGCTGTACAAGTGCAGCACTTACTAGACGAAGTAATGAGCCAAATAAAATCTATGATTGAGATTTTGAAGAGCCAAGGTGACTTAAACTAAAATATTTTGAATACTTTGCAATCACTGCATTATTTTTTAGGAATTAGTGACCAGAAAATACTGGCAGTTGCTTTCCCAGTTGCTTACAATGACTTGGTTCACATGCTTTCGCTGAATGCTCATAAATTGAGTTTAAAAATTAATGTTATTCCTTTAAGAAAGGTATGAATTGAAGTGAAATGCTCATTCATTCAGTTAGGGTTCAAATTCTGAGAACCTGAAAAGTTCAATTTAAACTTATCAAAAACTTAATATTTCACTTTAGCCTGAAAGTCCAAAATTTAAAGTAGCCAAACCACACAAAACAACCAGAAAAACATACAAAAAAGCTGTTAAAAAAGCATTTAAGGAAGCAAAGAGACTTAAAGGTAAGGTTTTGACACATTTTTAGGCTTAAATGATATCCAAAACTTTAATTTTCAGTGTTGGCACCAAGAATAATGAGGAACATGCCCCTCCAAACCTCAATCATCAGTGATTTTCAAAAAATTGTGACAAATTTAGCCGATTCTGTAGAAAAAGCCTTTGCATCATATCCAGCATATGCAACAGGTGCCAAAGAAATCATTTTGAATATTACAAACCAAAGCGAGAAAGTTTTGAAAATTCTTGAAGGAAATGGTGAGTTTTAAATTTACCAGGGTTGAATTTAGTAAGGAAGAGTATCCAAAGGACCTAAAGGCATGCTTTATTTGATTGAAAAAAGTCGATCCTTCGGATCTACTCGAATTTTCCAAATCATACTAAAAATCAATGATATTTAATTTTTAAGGCATCAAAGGAGGTCCTGTTGTCTATGAAATAGCAGCAACGATTTTTGTGGACATGATTTCTGAACTGAAGCATTTCATCTTTGCAATCTGACGGAGACTTCCTTGATTTTGATTCAAAATGTTATAAATATTTGGAAAAAAAAATAAAAAAATTTTGTGACCCACAAAAGTGTGTACTCAGCTTGTACTGCGTCTAAGTTGTTTTGTTGCTCTACTTCTGCTCACGATCATCAGTTTATGTTTTGTTTTTCACAAGACAAGTTCAAATTAATTTCGAAATTATGATTAAATATTATATCTTACTATTGTGTCTTTATCAGGGAGTCATGGTAAGCCAAAGACAAGCTGAATCATCTAAAACAATTTTAAATCACAAAATCTATTTTTTAGGTAGCAGTAAGTAGCAATCCTGGGATCGATTCCGGAGACATTGCTGAGCTCAACTACATATTCAGAGAAACACATTATGACAGTGACTTACTTGAGATTTATGCATCATACTTGATTTCTAGACATGGAATTGATGATGGATTGATCAACTCAAGTGCTGTCCAAATTTATACTGATCTTTATGAAATTCTAACACAATCAAGTTCTGGAAATAATACAGGACAGGCACAAAAGTTGATGCAAAATATTTTTAATCAGACAAAAATTATGTTTAGAATAATCAAGCAGCAAGGTATGTAGATGTGCCTTCCTTAAGCTTAACTGTACAAATATATTAATGTGATTTAAAACAGGAATTCAGGAAGCGTCAGTGTTAGCTTTGTGGCTTCCATGGGCATACAACGATATGATCAATGTCCTTTCAGTGCATGCAAATAAGCTCAACAGAACTAAAATTCAAATTGCTAATTTTAGAAGAGTAAGTTGGTGATACAAAGTTGCGATACAGGCACAGGTGACAAATCTGTCACAGATATCAAGACAGTGACAAGTGATTGCCTATGACAGATTGTAACTCTGCAGTGCTATTTCTTCTTAGCTCAGAATATTGAAGCATTTTTTGAAACTTTATTTCAGCCTAAATTCCGGAACATGATCGCTAAAAAGCCAAACATCACAGCCAGAGTTGAATTTATAACTGCATTATCAAAGGCAAGAAGTGATGTTTACAGATTTAATTGTAAGTTATTCAGTCAGCAAAAATGAATTGAGCTTTATCTTTTACAGTGGTTGGTTTTTGGAGCCGACCCGAGACACCTCACTCTACAAATTTTAGAACTCCATTCCCTCTTCCTCTGTATACAACCCTGACCCAACATATGCCCCTTCCTCTTCCTTCCTTTGACGACAGCATTGCCTATAATTCTATTTTAAAACCCTTTCAGTTATTCTACCAAAGCTCATAAATGGAATTAATCAACAGCAAACTTTAGACTTCAACAAACTCAAGCAATTCATGACGAAACTTGGCAATTCTACATACAGCATTGCTGCAGTGTCCAAAGCATCTTATGCAAATGGAATAAAAGCTTTAATTGAAGACGCATCAAAGCAGGTTGAGACAATTTTTGAAGTTTTTGCTAATAATGGTAAGATTTTAAGGTTTTTAAGGTACAATAATTGAATTTTAACAAAATTATATTTGTAGGAGTCAAAGAAGGTCCAATAATCTTCGAAATTCTTATCAAAATATTTATGGACATGATGACACAGTTGGTTTATTTTCTGACGGCAATTTAGAAGTTTTTGATTGATTTATGATCAATTTGATCAGTTTGAGATGCAGAATATCTTTGAGCTGCATGAGTGAATTCAGAATTTTTTTAAAGGGATAGGGGGTTTAGCCCCACTGGCTACGCCTTAGAAGGTTCCTAATTAGGTAGCTACTCATAGTTGGGAGATATCCTGTCAATTCAGATTCTAATACGCTAGTTTTATACAATTTAAGAAGTTAAATTTCAATAAATATTTGAAAAACTTAATTTCACCCCAAAAAAGCTTCAAACTTTACAAACTAATACCATAAGTCTCAGTGATGTCCGACCTATGTACCGCGGCACACTATTGTGGCACGACATAAAAATCCAGAAAATTCCACGAACCGTATGCCGTATGCGGTTTTGGTCATAGCTAATCACCAATTTGTGCCACGCAACAAAAAAGGTTGGACACCACTGATCTATCTGATCATATACCATCCCACATTCCACAGCCAACTTCACAGCTTTCCAAAGCTCTCAATCACCAAAATCCTTCTCTCCTCTCCACAAACTCACCTGTTGATCACCAACTCTCATTTGAGAGCATTTAAAATAAAAAGTTTTGTGAGTGAACTCCGAAAATATTATTTTCGAGCATTTTAGTTGTTCGCGAGCTGTTGCTGCAAAAAGTTGAAAACTATAAAAAATAAAAAATTTTTGCTTCTGAATGAGTAAACAATTATTTATTGTGTAAATATTAAAAAGTAATTTTTTTTCGGTCCACAACTGAAGCGAATTTAGGTAAGTTATTTTTGAGGATTAAATTTTTGATTTTTTGATTCAAAATACTGGTTTAGGCTGCAACGTGGATAACTAGTCAGAGTTCAAAATATCAAATAGTCATCAATTTTTAATATTCTGAGAAATTTGCAAGTTGTTTTTTGGTTTCTGAACATATTTTGACTAAATGACTTTCAGACGTGATCAACAGCTTAGAACTCATTAAAATGGTTAGGCGTAGATTTTCAAATTTGGAGAATCCAAAATTGTCAATTCCGGTTTATTGAGTTTTTGGAACAGATTAAATGTCATTGTCATGGATTTGTGATTTCTGCATTAAAAATGTAGATTTGAGGTTTTTGGAATATTAAGTTTTGACTTGAGGGGTCATTCAATAATGATGTAAAGTATTTCTGACCCACGTCCTTAATCAAAACTTACCAACATGTTTGTCAACGGAGGCTGGTCTTCCTTACCTTCACTAAAACCTTCCCTTTTTAGCATGTTTGTGACATCATTTATGAACAATTCTTAAATTGACAATGTAACAAAGTTTCGGATTAATGTTTAAGATCAAAAAGATATTTTTAAATTTATTCATAATCTTGGAAGAGGGAGCTGTTAATTTGTTGAATAATTCAGCTTAAGATTAAAGTAATGACATTTGTTTAAGACAAGTAACACTAGAGGTCATTAGACAATGATGTTGTCCGTGACTGTAAAGAGATTGGATTATGATTGAAGCTAGAAATTGGTTCTTTTCTAGAGGTTGGTTTAGACTTCTACAGACACGTAGTCGAAGAGATTTGACGGACAAATCCCTAGCTAACGTTCTTATGTCTCTAGATTACTATTCTTAAGATTCAGCATAAAAACTTTGCAAGACTCTACTAGGAACCAGCAATCAACTTTTGATTACATTGTATGTTTAGCTGACTGCAGTTTAGTGTCGTTCTATCAAAAATCTTGACTCTAGGACCAAACAGGGTATAAGGTGGAAGGGGGGGGGGGGGAAGGGTACCTTCCATAAGGGCTCGTTCACTTATTACGTAACGCAAAAAAACGAGTTTTTAGACCCCCCCTCCCCCCCCTGTAACAAAGCGTAACAAAATCTTAGACCCCCCCCCTCCCCCCCCCCCCCCATAACGTAACAATAATTTTTTTCATTTAAATTGTTTATCAAATGTTTATTATACTTCCTTTAAGTATGTAAAATAAACAGTTTTACTTATAACTAAAAAGCAGAGATCGAAGCCGATTTTTTCGGCTTAACTCAATTTTTGATTTTTTTGATAGTAAAAAGCCATTTAACACCCATTTCAAGTATTTAAATTGAACTTTATGTGCTTTACTATGATCCCCACGCTTTTAGAGTCATTGTGTTCTTGGACTTAATCACAATATTTTGAAAAAAACTTATGTTACATTTCTAGTTGTCACAAGAAAACTTTTAAAATCCTGATTTGCTAAAAGTGTGATCTTATTTTATTTTCAACCTTTTGGTTTTTAATCTTTTTGATAAAAGCGTGTTTTTTAAAAAGTTTTTTAACGTTTTTTTATTTGCTCCTGTTTTGGTCGCTTGGTTTTTAGTCTTAACAACAGATTTAACTTCAAGAAAAAATGTTATTTGTTTTTTAAGTCTTTGGGAAAAAGCGTGTTTTTTAAAAAGTTTTTTTAACATTTCTTTTATTTGCTACTTTTTAGTCTCAATCTTTCAATCGAATATCGACCACAGCAATTCAAATTCAACTCCACTTCGTTTTACTCCGTTTCGTTCAACTGTTTATAGATTACATTTTTTCATTCATTTGTTTTATAGAATAATTTAAGTCATACCTGGAAACAGATGAAACTTCTTAAAAAATATCCTGAACTTCAATTATGTGCGCTTTCTGTGCTTTTAAAACATTCATTAGTAAAGGACATTAAAAATGAATCTTGGAGATTTTGTGTTTATATACAAATATACTTCAAGCCGTTAATAAATAGAAAAGTAAATTTAATTAAGTTGGTGAAGTTTTATAAATAATGTAATACATTAAAAACAGCATAAATATATGCTCAAACTATGTGTGCTAAATGCATATCTCATATTAATAGTTATTTTGCATTAATTCGTAACGGACTTGTGCTTAACGGTTTTTTTGAAAATTCAAATTTTCACTTACGAATATTTATGAAAAAATTACATGTCAATTTTTTTGTCTTACCGGAATATCTTTAGCTGCTCAAATTTATAGTGTAATTAATATTTAGTAATATTAATTAAACTATAATGAATCACATAAATGACTTTTGAGCATTTCAAATATAATATTTTAAACAAATCAAAATTTTATATCATTGACATTGGATTGTTTTCCCATATAAAAAAGTTTTACTTAAATTTTACTATAATTAAGCATTTTTGTGGTTTCAAAAAGTTAAAATATTGTATTGTCACCGGGAATACGTGTGAATAAAAAATTTGAGCTCGATTGGAGCAGCAGAAGTGGTCGAAAAATCGATTGCAAGTTTTGAACGTGACAAAGAAACCAACAGACAGAGCAACTCAATAAAAAGCATGTAATAATAATAAAAATTGAGTTAAGCCGAAAAAATCGGCTTCGATCTCTGCTAAAAAGTTCTTAAGTTAAAATTTAACGTTAAAAAAATTTAAAATTAATATAGAAAAAATTATAAAAAAATATATTTTTTGAAAAGTTACGTAACAAAATTTAGACCCCCCCCCTCCCCCTGTAACAAACCGTAACAAAATCTTAGACCCCCCCTCCCCCCCTAGTGCGTTACGTAATAAGTGAACGAACCCTAAGTTTCCATCAACAGGTCAATTTCTCAACGAAGTTAAAGCTACAATAATTTTAAACATACCAATAAAAACTTACAAAACCTAAGCATAATTACACATCTCATGCCAACCATTACTTCATCATTTCTTTTTTCGATTTTTTTCAATTTCAGCTCCTACAACTTATAAAAAAACTATCAAACGCAATCACAGAAAGCGGCAACCAAAAAAAAACCACGAAAAAAATTATTGCATAATTAAATTGACTTTCGAATTCGGCAAAAAAAAATCGAGAGAAAGAGAAATTATTAAATAAGAAAATTGAGAAATTGAGAGTTTTTTTGGACACGCGAGGCAAAAGACATACGAAGGAATTTAACATCTGATATGCAATTAGAGTAGCTGTGTTGGTTGAATAATTAAATAATATAGTTGCATCGGAATTAGTGTCAAGGTGTTTATTGTTGTCAATTTGTAGTTATTTATGAAGATTTTTTTGATAAGTTTAAATGAATTTTAAAAAGTTTAAAAATTGGGAAATTTAAAAAAAATAATGAAAGATAAAAAAATTGAAAAATTGAAGAAAAAAATATAAATTAATAATATAAAAAGTTCAAAAAACAATTAAAAAATTTCATAATTTAAAAAAATATTAAAAATTTGAAAAATGGAAAAATTCAAAAAAATTAAAAACAAAAATTAAAAATCAAAAAAATCAAAATATAATTAAAAATTTAATTGAAAAATGAATGAAAATGAAAAAAAATTGTTGAAAATCAAAAAAGTTCCAAAAATGTAAAAAATCACAAATCAAATTACACAAAAGAAAGCAATTAAAATTTACAAAACAATTAGCAGAGTCAAAAACAAAGCAAACGACACTTAATTTCGCAATTAATGACTTTTTTACTTCTTCTTCAACTTCTAAACAATTTTCAAGTCTTTTTACGTTAACAATTGACCTTGAGTCAATTCTTTACGATTCAATGGTGAGACTGTAACTAACGTCAGCACTTTATTGAAGACACATTCAAGTTTAAAATAGCGGCAGCTGCTTTTGGTTTTGTTTGTTGCGAATTTTTTGCCTGAGAACATTTTGAGTTTAATATTTTTTTGATAGTAATGTCTAATAATTCATTGTAGATGTTGTCGAATTCCAAACTGAACTTAATTTTTTTTACATTTTTTCAAATTTTTTTAACATTTCTTAAAACTTTATAAAAATTAATTTCTCATTTTTTTAAAAATTCTCCAAAAAAAAGCAGATAAAATCAAAAATAACACATCCAAAAAATGATCAATCAACGAGAACCAGTTCTAGTCGAGGAACTCCTCCACGAAGTAGAAGACGAACTTTGTGACGATGACGAAGCAGAACAGTCAAGGGGGTCAAAAGTCGCAGCATTCTTTCAAAAACCATTTGACTTTATCCAAATGATGGTTCAATTTGTGATTTATTTTATGGTTCGTATGGCTACCGAGGGATGTATGTTGCCTATGCCAGAGCTTGATGATGATGAGAATGAGGAGGAAGCAGATGAAGATGAAGATGATGTTGGTGATTTAGGATTTAATGATGAAAAAAAAGAGAAATGAGGATGTAAGATTAAATTTGTGTATTATTTATAAGGTGACTGGGTGATATTTTAGTCTAAGTGCCTAAATGGGTATCAGCGGATACATTTAAAAAATAGGAATTAAATTTCAACAATATTTGCTCAATCGTGAACTTAATTTGTTTATTATTGTTACATAAATCACAAAACCGTGCAGCATTTAAGGCTCACATAACCATATTAGATGCATGAAATGTAATTAAGCTCTAAATTTGATATGATCATAGATAGCTTTGCAGTTTTAATTACATGTTAACATTGAGCGACTTTTAGTATCAAATGATTAGCTGATGTTTAAGCTTGGATTACAACATCCTTGATTTGTATTTTGACTAAAAGGGGGTTTAAAATTTTAATTTTAAAAAAAATGTCTCCATTTCACGCTCTTCCAAGCCTCAATTCAACAACAAAGACTACATTGTTAAATTATTAGGAACTTAATAAATTTAAGTTGATGAAAAAAAAAATTTAAATAAAATTTGAAATTATAAAAAATGTAAAAAAAACTTTAATTTTACTTGCAATTTTTATTTAAACCTAAAAAAATTCCATCATAAGTCAATTTCAGTTGCAGTTTTTATAGCCCAATCTGATCAATCTTATGCAGTCGGTATCCAACTGCTGAATCCACCAAGCTGAAGAACAATTGTGTTATGACCATCCAAACATGCAGCATTTGGTCTAGAATTTGCAAAACCTGACACTATACCAATCAGACTCCATTCAGTGCCCATTTGCACAAATACTGGTGAACCTTGATCTCCGTGACAGGCATTTGAGTCATCGAGGTTTTGTGTACAGATTATTGGACCTTAAGTTGGAGATAAATAAGAGTTATTGACAGCTGTAGCTTCGGAGCTGGTTTAAAGGGCAACACTGAGCATTGAAAAAAGATAAACTACATTTAGGGATATAAAATAAATTGTACCCCAGGTTGCCCTACAAACCGACTCCAAATATGATCATTATAACTACCATTTGTTACTGGTCCTACTGTTGTGGTTCCTGCAGCTGCTGTTGTAGCTGAAATTGAAGTTTGGCTAAAATTTGAGCTTAAATACAAGTAAAATATTTTAATACTTACTTGCCGCTGCTGTTGTTGCTGCAATAAATAAAGTAATACTTTAAACTATATAAATTAAATTAATATATTAGATACTTACTTGCTGCAGCTGCTGTTGTTGCTGTAAAGTTTAAATTTGTATAATAAAAACTTAAATTTTTAAAAACCCATCAAATTTAAGGACTTACTTGCTCCTGCAACTGTAGTGGTTAAAGGTGCTGTTGTAGTTGGTGCAGCTGTAGCTAAAAATGAACAATAATAAGCATCGAATTATAAACATTCAGAACTAATGCATACTAGTGGTTCCAGGAGCTGCTGTTGTGAATGCAGCATTACATACAGTTCCAGCGACTACATTCAAATAAGTACATTGAAGTAAATTCGGCCTCTTTTCATGGTTATTTGTATATCCATAGCCACAAACGAGCAATTGTTGATCGAGGAAGGCATCTTGAGTGTTGTTATAGTAAGGAACAGCAGCATCAAGTTTAGGATTAAATCTTACAGTTTTGTTGAGTGTGAGGACAGCAAGATTGTTGGTTGAGTTCCTTGTTAAGTAGTCATAACCTGGTGCAAATGAGATTTTAGTCACTCCATATCCACGTACACCGTTCAAAGGCCTTCCACCTCCAAATGTCAGCTTGATGCTTGTTGCATTTCCATCTTGTGCATTAGTAACGCAATTGCCAGTTGTTATTACTTTATTGGCTCCAATCAGACATCCACCGCACTTCCTGTTCACGTCTGAGTTTGGAAATTCAACATGAACAGTTGTGAAGCATTTTGGAGTCAGTTGTAGTGCATTAAAGCCATTGCCAATCCTTGATGATTCTTCCGGGATAATGCTTGACTGTGTTAAGGTGATGAGACTTACTAGAAAAATGCTAAGGTTCCACATTATTTGATATTCCTGTCCTGAGATGTTACTAATACTGAATTAGGTTCCAATTTTGTCCACTTTTATATTCGAAAAGTAGCTTGTAAAATTATTTACGATTTATTGTTTAAAGTGGAATTAAAATTAGGGTTTATGATAATCCTGATTTACAACCAAAGTTTGAGGGAATTTGCTGTGACTTGATAATTTATTACTAGGGCTAATTTGATTTTAATTGTTTAATTTTTCTAGATAAAGTTGTGAGGTTATAGAACTTCTGAGCAACTTGACTAGCACTTGTCTAAAAACTGAGCAACACTTGACTGAAAATTGAGCGAAACTTGATGAAAAAACTGAGGAACACTTGACTGAAAATTAAGCAACACTTGACTGAAAATTGAGAAGCACTTGTTAAAAAAAAGATAGCAACACTTGACTAAAAGTCGACTAAAGTTGACTAAAAGCACCACTTTACTAAGAGCAAAGTAACGATTTACTAAAATTGAGCAACACTTGACCATAAACTGAGCAACACTTGACCAAAAATTTAGCAACACTTGACCAAAAATTTAGCAACACTTTACCATAAGCTGAGCAACACTTGACCGGAAAATTTAGCAACACTTGACCATAAACTGAGCAACACTTGATTAAAAACTGAGCAATACTTTCCAAAAATCAAACAACACTTGACAATGAATCAACTCAATCCCTGAGTGTTCACATATCAAAGCCTTAATAACTCTAGCCTATAAATCCATAAATCAAATTCATCAAAAGCCCAACAAGCTGTAAATCTAAATAATCAGCTCTATTCTAATGCCAAAACTTTCTTACCAACAACAAGTCAATAAATTTTCCTGAGTTCAACTTTCGTGCTATAAAATTCAGTGTAGATTTAATGAAACCTCAACAGTGACTTTGTGACAGTTCACAAAACACTTTCAATATTTCAAAATGTCTATATTCGGAATTTTAATTTGCTTTGTTGTTCCATTTAGTCATGTAAAGACATTTACTTTAAACAATGAGCTTGGCAGAATTGGCGGTGGATTCAATGCTGGAAAATTGGCACCAAAATGTTATGTATCACTTTACATAACTTTCCCAAATAGTGACACATACCGACAATGCGGTGGATGCTTGATCGCTAAGAACAAGGTTTTGACTGCAGCAAGCTGTGTAACTACACCTGAAGACGGCAAAGCTTCACGCATTAAGTTTTCATTTGGAAAAACAACAAATAAAAACGGGCAGCGTGGAATTGGAATTAGGAAGATTGCATTGGCACCAGGATACAATTATAAGAAAAGGAATTCTACAAATGATTTAGCCGTTGTGACACTCAACAAAACAATTACTCTGAATGCATTAATTCAAACATCCCAACCTTATACTGATGCAACACTTAATTCATTAGTTGGACAAAACTTGCTCGTTTGTGGTTTTGGCGAAACCAATAATTCTGGAAAGAAGTCAAATGCCATGAAATGTACTTACTTAAACTCGGTACCTGCATCTAATTGTAATTCTGCGTTTACAACTGCTGCAAGATTCAAACGACAAGTATCAACAGATGCACCAACTACTATTACGGATGCACCAACCACTCCAACAGATGCACCAACCACTCCAACAGATGCACCAACTACACTTACGGATGCAGCAACCACTCCTACAGATCCAGTAACAACGCCCATCCCTACAACTGTAGTCACTGATCCAGCATCAACGCCCATCTCTACAACTGTGGTTACTGATCCTGTAACAACGCCCATCTCTACAACTGTGGTTACTGATCCAGCATCAACGCCCATCTCTACAACTGTGGTTACTGATCCTGTAACAACGCCCATCTCTACAACTGTGGTTACTGATCCAGTAACAACGCCCATCTCTACAACTGTGGTTACTGATCCTGTAACAACGCCCATCTCTACAACTGTGGTCACTGATCCTGTAACAACGCCCATCTCTACAACTGTGGTTACTGATCCAGTAACAACGCCCATCTCTACAACTGTGGTCACTGATCCAGTAACAACGCCCATCTCTACAACTTTGGTCACTGATCCAGTAACAACGCCCATCTCTACAACTGTGGTCAGTAATCCAGGTACAACGCCCATCTCTACAACTGTGGTCACTGATCCGGTAACAACGCCCATCTCTACAACTGTGGTCACTGATCCTGTAACAACGCCCATCTCTACAACTGTGGTTACTGATCCAGTAACAACGCCCATCTCTACAACTGTGGTTACTGATCCGGTAACAACGCCCATCTCTACAACTGTGGTCACTGATCCTGTAACAACGCCCATCTCTACAACTGTGGTTACTGATCCAGTAACAACGCCCATCTCTACAACTGTGGTCACTGATCCTGTAACAACGCCCATCTCTACAACTGTGGTTACTGATCCTGTAACAACGCCCATCTCTACAACTGTGGTCAGTAATCCAGGTACAACGCCCATCTCTACAACTGTGGTTACTGATCCTGTAACAACGCCCATCTCTACAACTGTGGTCACTACTCCGAACCCAACAACTCCTTTAGTAACTTCAGACACGACTACTACTACAACTCAAGCACCAACTACTATCACCACAGTCTTTACAGGAACAACAACAGCCAAACCGGGTATAGTTGATATTTAATAACCTTAAATTTGGTAATCAACACATTTAACTCCTTTAATAGGTCCAATCATATGCACCCAAAATGTAGGAACTAATAATGTATGTCATGGAGATGAAGGATCACCAGTTTTTGTTCAAATTGGAGGATCTTGGCAACTGGTTGGTATTGTATCAAATTTCCCAGATGCCAAAACAGTAAAAGGATGCTTGGACAGTCATTCAGTCCAAATTACACAAGTTGGTGGATTTACTAGCTTCATAACATCAGCTTAGACGTTTTTCTGGTTTAAAGTTTGGTTAATAAAGATTTTTTGAAATTCTGATGAAATTTCTATAAGGGTTGTGCAATTTTACTCATTTGAGAGAGTTAAATCTCTTAAAAACAGTTGCTTACTCTCACTCTCATCCACAGTGGGTCTGCTGAACTGACTCAAAACATAAACAAATCAGTTCGCATCAATTGACGCGAATCAAACTTGTTTTTGTTCTTGAAACCAATTTTGTGAACAGGAAGTGGCGTATTTTTATTGAAATGAATGGAAATGCCTTAAATTCTGGTGAATTTGATGAGGATTGTGAGGACAATGACGTCCTTGTCTTTCATATTATGATTACAGATCCATTAAAAAAGTTAAAGTAAGCCTTAAAATTTTGAGAATTTTTGGAATTAGAAAGTGCAATTGTTGATTTTCAGGCATTTAGTTGAGCAACACATAGGAAGTAAATTAAAGAACTTCCAATTCTACTTGCAGGACTCACAAATGGTAAGGAACGAGACCTAAAAAATCCGAATAAATCTTCAAAAATTTATTTCAGCTTCAAGAAGAACAAAACCTGACCGAACAGTGCCTCAGCTCAGACACAGGCCTCGTCCAGATCAATCTTCAAATTCAATACGATAAGCAGCGACTCAACATAATCGACGTATTAAAGCCAACAGAAGAGGAAGTGACAAAGTATTACCGCAAAGTTGACATGGAATCGACACAAAATTCTGAAAATTCTTGGAATGAAAATGAGTCGTCGAGTGACAATAAATCACCGAATAAGGTTGGAATGAATAGCAAGTGGACTGTGGATTATGCATTTAAGTCTGAACTTGTGAAGATGGGAGCTACTGAGGATCCACAGGATTGGGGTGTGCAGCATGTGCAATATTGGGTAAGTATTTAGGATTTAATGTAGGAATAAGTTGTAAATTTTGGTGATTTTTAGATCTCTTGGGCAATAGCCAAGTTCAATCTGCAAAATATCAAGCTAGAGGACTGGAACATAACTGGAAGTGAGCTTTGTCAGATGAATCATAAGCAAGTTCGAGAGAAAATCAGTTCAGAGAATTTTGAGACATTTTATACACATTTGGAGATGTTAAGGAAGCACAGATACATTGCAGTGCTGGATGAGAATGAGAGGGAGGAAGCTAATGGATCGTTGAAGAGGAACCAGAAGCCAAGTGAGTGATGAATTTAGGATTTTTGTACCCGGTGACTTTTTAAGAATTTCAAATTTTCAAATTTTTTTTAATTTTACTTTATTTTTTTGAAATTTTTTTGAATCTTTTCAAATTTCTCAACGTTTTCAAAGTTTTTAACCTTTTTTAACTTTTTCAAATTTTTTAACGTTTTTTTAACTTTTCATTTTTTTAAAAATTTTGAAATTTTTTGAATTTTTTTTAAATGTTTCAAAAAGTTTTACAAAGCCAAAAATTAAAAATCTAATAATTTCAAATTTTCTAGTCATGCACATCGGTTCAGACAACAGAAACGGCAACAATGGACAGATCCAGCTCTGGCAGTTCCTACTTGAGATCCTCACAGACAAGGATTACGTCTCAGTCATCGAGTGGGTTGGAATATCCGGTGAATTTAAACTTAATGATCCTGAATATGTTGCTCAATTGTGGGGTGAACGGAAGAACAAGCCGGCAATGAATTATGAGAAGCTGTCGAGAGCTTTGCGGTATTATTATGATGGTGATATGATCTCGAAGGTGCAGGGGAAAAGGTAACTTAACTTTGATTCTATCTTCAAATTGCAAAAACAAAGTTTGAAACTTTTTTGAAATTTTTTTGAAATTTTTTGAATTTTTTTTAAATTTTTTGAATTTTTTTTGAATTTTTTTGAATTTTTTAAAATCTTTCTAGATTTGTTTACAAGTTCGTCTGCAACCTGAAAGAACTAATCGGCTACGATGCAGAAGAGCTATCAAGGTTGGTCAGAGAAGCATCACTCATGAAAGACACAAGCCATATCCTGAAATCCATGTGAAAAAAAATTAATTTTTGACAATATTTTAAATATTTTGGAATAAAAACAAATCGTCAATTATTTTTGTATTTAACCTTTTTTTTTATTTGTTCATTAAACTTCAACTTTTTTCAGTCATCGGGAATTGAAATTAATAGAATGTGAAGCCTTACTGTGGCTGTTAAGTCTTGCTGGGAATTTTTTTTTTCATTTTTAAATGATTAATTTTGAAAAGTCAAAAGAATTAGGAATTAAAACTGAATCTTTGGCTTATTTTGTGACGGCAAATCCAACACGATCATTGCCGAAGTCGAATTCTGTGTAGTATCGACCGATAAAGACGTCACCTGGAAGAGATTAATTTCAAAAATTTTGAGCATGTTAAAAAATGTTAAAAAGAAATTTAAAAAAAAATTAAAAAATTCAAAAAAATTTTTGACCAAAATTGGAACTTAAACCTACCAAGAATCCACAATGGACCATTAGGTGGTGGAATGTCAATTCCCATAAATCCACTCAAACAAATTGTTTTGCCCATCTGAGCAATTCTCAAAATATAATCAGCACCACTTAAACTAAAGTCCTTTCCACCCAAAGTGAATGTAATTGTTGGCAATTTAGGGATCAAGCTACAATCAACTATGTATTGTCCATTCAAAATTGGAGTTCCACCAATAGCCTTGTTAATTTCTGTGACTTCCTTAGCTGGTCCAGCAATGAGTGAAGTTCCTGTGTCTGCAATTGCTTGACATCCACCATTGCAGAATGCTTTGTCTCCGACTTTTACGCCGTCCATTTTGAATTGCCAGTAAGCTTTGCGGTTGACTGGAAGGTATGTAAAGTCACCTTCATAATGGTCTGGATCGCTGCCGCCGAAAATGATTTCTGGAAAAATTTGGAAGTTTTAAGGTTTCTTTATTGAATGCTCTAAGAATTAAGCAGCTTACCTCCACCCTCCTTGCTATTAGGATCACGATTCAAGTAGAATGAGAACACCGGTTGTGGAACAAGTCCTTGGTTGAACATATTATAAAAAGGAGGTTCAACTCCATCAACAGAAATCGATTTGTATCCAAGTCCCAAAATTCCATCAAACTTAGCAGCAACAAACACCAGACCAGGTTCAGAAATTGCCTCAGCAAATGTTTGCTTTTGAATGTTCAATCCGCCAATCTACATCAATTTTAATCAAATTAAAGCAAATATTTATAAATCGATAATTTCGTGTCATGTAAAATAAAAGCTGATTTCATCAACAGAATTAAAAATTCGCATTGTCAGAACTTTATCAGCCATAATTCTCGAGTCGAGTCATTACTCACTTGACCCAATATGACTATGAAATTTATTTTAAGTGATAACGACTTACATTGACTATGTCTGTTGACAAATAACCACTCAATGAGCCACTGCCATATTCGATGTGAAATGCGGTTCCATTTTTCTCGAATGTTGAGCTCTTCTTGGCATCGTACTTGTTGTGCATTAAGCAGGCGATGTTCATGAGTGAGCATTGTTTTGATGGAATCCATAAGTTGGAACTGCCTGTGTCAAAGACAACTGTGGATTGGAAATTAAGATGATTTTGATAAAATTTGAAATATTCAAACCATAGACCCCTTTAAAAATTAACAAGCAAAAAATGTAGCAATCTGGAGATAAACATGGAATATTCGTACATTTTGAACATTTCCAAATACAAAATCGTTAAAGTCTCAAAAATTCAAACAATAGACCCCCATCTTTTTATCATCAAAAACCACCAAAACAGTAAAATTCTATCGGTCACTCACCCTTAAACGACTGTGGCGGAGTTCCAATTGAAATTGCTCCATAATATTGAGCATCAAGATAGTTTGACAATGGCTCGGGTGTTGGTCCTTCAACATTGTTGTAATTTGACAAACGAACCTGCGACAATTCAGTTCCAACGCTCATAAAATGGCGACGAGCTGAGTCAAACTTGTGCAAAGGAATTCTAGATTTTTAGAATCGATAACAAAAATTTTGAGTCGTAAATAAAAATTTTCCATTGAAAAACAACAAAAAGGTCAATTTTTTACCTGATCAAGTCCCCATCGGCAATTGCAAGGAACTGCACCACAAAAAGCAACGAAATTATTTTCTTGAACATCCTTAATCGATGAACTGCAATCACAGAATGTCTTTGTTTCCTTTTTTTCACTGTCTGAATGATCGGCAAAACAAAATAAGCCGAATCGGTTCTGTTTTGGATCGGAGCTGAGTTGGAGGGTGTCACCCCCTAGTTGGAGTGCGCTCAGAAATATTTTATAAACAAAATTATACAAATTTCTTTTATTTTTTATTTTTTTTTAAAAAATCCTCAATAAACACAGCAGCTAAAGAGCCATGGACAGGTTGGATGAAACGGATGTAATGCTCGAAGATCACATTAACAAGTGCCGATGCTGCTTTCGGATGTTAATTGATGATCAAAAATCCATTCGAATATCAAAGTCAATAGAGCAGAATTTTTATGAATTAACACAAATTGAGGTGGGAAATTTGAAGGATTTTTGGATGTCTACTAACTTTATGGTCATTTTAGCTCATTGATTCTGAAATCTTTTCATCGAAAATTTGCCAACTTTGCAGCAATGACCTCGAAGTGTTTCACAATTTCCGCAAAGATCTCATCCAAAAACAAAGGAAGCTTTACAGTGCCGTAGTACAAACAACTGATCAGGACATTAAGGTTCTTAAATCTGAAGAAACTAATGAATTTATCGAGTGTAGTGGGGATATTGAGGAGTCTGAATTTTTAGGAGCTGAATTTCAAATTAAAACAGAAGCTAGTGACAATTTAGGAATGTGTGTTGAGAGCTTCATCGCTGAAGATGAGCAAATGTAAGCGATTTTAACAATTTTTACCTCAACTGTTAACAAAAAGTCAATTTTAGGCACTGCCAGAGCTGCAATTTTACAACAAATTCAAAGAAATCAATCAAAATTCACATGGATCGAGTTCATATCGGTGAGGAAAAATATACTTGTGATAGGTCAGTGTCACATTTTCATGTTACATTCAAACATTTGACATTCTTGCGGGAATTTCGTCAGAATTTTTCAACTTTTTGAATTCATTTTCAGATGCAACTTGAAGACACTATCGAAATTAGAGCTGGAGGATCACATGAAGTCACACATATCGAAGCAAGCTAGGACATTCTTTTGTGAAATGTGTGGATTAAAGTTTGAAAAGAGACATTTACTGAATCGGCATGTTAAGATTAAGCATACAGTTAAGGAGAGGAGGTATAAGTGCTCTAATCATGATTGTGATAAAGGTGAGTTAAGGATCCAGGGGCGTGGCCAGGAATTTGAAGAAGGGGGGGAAAAAATTTTATATGGAAAATTCAGAGGGAAGGGGGGAATTTTTATGGTTTTTTCATGAGCGAAATGAGGAAAATGAAGTTAACGTCGGGGGATTTGTCTTCCAAATCCTCCCTCCCCCCCCCCTCTGGTTACGCGCCTCTAAGGAGCTATGAGATGTTGCAATAGCAGACTAGGGAACAGTTCTGATTATGACAACTTAGCTTTAGAAGCTAATCTTATAATTAATCAAGTTCATTGACTTTTTTAGCATTTTTCACCATCTCAGCTTTGAAGAAGCACACTGAGTCTCATTCAGAAAAGGGTAAGTACTGTGAGATTGGGTTACATGACATCGTCATGATTGAGCCATAGGCTTTCACCCAGATCCAATGCAGAGGCGTAGCCACGAGGGTCTGGAACCTTTTGCCTAAAAAATTTAAGCTCTTGCTCTTGCTGCGGTTCAAAACTTTTAGAGAACGGGCAAGGGGGAGGGAGGAGGGGGTCCAGACTATCCTGGCTACACCCTCAGAACTCATGTACAAACTTGCTAATCTTACAAAACCATTTTAAATCCTCTTCATCCCAGAAATGCCATGTGAGTACTGCGGTAAGCTCTTCTCCTGCCTCAATAATCTCCGAACTCATCTCTATTATCATTCGGAACCAAAGTTTATCTGTGAATTTGAAGGATGTGGGAAGAAGTTTTTTATGAGAAAATTACTTAAAGCTCATATTAATGTTCATCGAGGACAAAAGGACTTTGAATGTGAATTTTGTGAAAAGTCTTACTTCTTTCAGGCACATTTGAAGAGGCACGTGCTGTCGATGCATATGGTGAGTGCTTCATAGCTAACGTTTAGATAGTCTTAACTTATAATTTCTTTAACAGAGACTCAAAATTGACTGTGAACTTTGTGCGAGTACATTCGCAAGGAAAGAAACTTACAGAAATCATGTCATTAATCAGCATCAAAACCTCAGTCCGGAAGCCTTAGAAAAATTATTGACAAAGATACGAAATATGAAACTTGAAGACTATCGATCGGCTACGTAGCATCGGCAATGATCAATTAAGGGGCAAACTAAGGGGAGGGGATGGGGAGTCAGCGATTGACAATTTTAGCTGTAAGATCAGATCTTAAAGGAATTTGTACAATTTCTTGATTTAGTTCCGAAAAAATGTTCAAAACATTTTTAAGTTTTATAAAATAAAGAAAAGTAATTTTTTTTTCAAACTGCCAAAAAGTTTTTGAATTCCTAGTCAAACTCACTAGATTGTTTACCAACAAGTTTACCAAAAACATTTAACAAAATTTTTAAAAATAAAAAATAATAATTAATTCCTGAAGAATTCACAATATTTCCACTCAATCATGGAAATTTACGATGCATCGGAGATCCTGAAAATGGAAGCTGAAAAGCTCAACACAGTAATTCACATAGAAAATCCAGACAAGTGTCGGTTGTGCCTGAAATCTATCAAAAGTCGAAAAATCATCACAAATGAAATCAGAAGAAAGTTTCTGGATGTGACACAAATGGAACTGCCGACATCTGACAAATTATCCAAATTTGTATGCTCAAAATGTGACAAGGACTTGAAGGATGCCTTCACATATCGAGAGAAAATGATTGAAACACAACGGAAACTTAATGAGGAAGTTGGAGAGACTCAAAAGATATTTATGCCAGAAATTGTGCATTTAAAGCAGGAGAAGGTTGATATAATGAATGAAGAAGACTATGATAATGATGACTATGGAGGTAGGGATGACTACTCAGATTGCGGTGATGCTGTTGATGATGATTTTGAGCCTCAGATCTTCAGCAAGATTGAAATATCAGAAAGCAAGATAGAAACTCTTAGCAAAGGCATTAGCAAGAAAGATTCAAAAGTACAGCACAAAACCAGGACTAGATCAAGGAAGTTAGAAGAAAATAACAGCAATGAAAGTGATGAAGACATCAAGCCACAGGGGAAAAAATCAAAGAAGGAAAAACAAGGTCGGAGGAAGAGGCAGTATGACTATTATGACCCAGAACTAGACAAAGAAGTTCAAGAGAGAAAAGTAACTGAGGATAATGGAAGGACTTATTATCTTTGTAGCTACTGTGGTAAGTAAAATCAATCCTTAACTCTTAAATCTTCAAGTTCTTAATATTGTCAATCTCATTAAGGCAAGAACATGACAACAGCATTCTCATTAAAAGAGCACATCCTAACACAGCACAGAGATCTTGAAAAGAAGTTCCATTGTAATTATGAAGGTTGTGGTCTTTCGTATGTGACTGAAAACAGGCTGATGATTCATTATCAATTCCATAGATACACAAAACAAGTTGTTTGTCCAACTTGTGGAAAGATGCAGTCTTCAAAGAATCGTCTTAGGGAGCACATACAGAGGTTTGTGAATTATAAAGCTTATATCTTCCTGCTCATCCTACTAATATCAAATTTCTCTTTCTTAGCGTCCATGAAAAGGTCAAGAAATATTTTTGTGATAAGTGTGGCTTCACAGGACTCTTAAAGAGTCGACTCAGAGCTCACGTTAGAACTCACATCCAAAAGGAAAGCAGAAGGAATTATCCATGTCACATTTGTGGATTTGTGTCTGTCTGTCCGAAGTATCTCAAGTAAGTCAGCTACATTTTATGAACAGTTTGCAGTTTAAACTGATTTTTTGATTCTAGGCGACACATTTTAGACCATGAAGGTATCAAAAAAGAAGAGGAGCCAATTACATGTCACTGTGGAAAGACTTTCAAGCATAAAGGTGCCCTCCAAATGCACATCAGATGCGTCCACAATAAAGTTAAGAAACATATTTGCAGCATTTGCAGTCATGCGTTCTTCCACAAAGTTGATCTGGAGAATCACATGTAAGTTGAATATTTTTGGTGTCGTGACTTGATACTGAAATATTCCAATTTCTTCTTCCATTTAATTCACAGTCTAGTAAAGCACAATCGAGATAAATTAGTCAAAAATATGCCGTGTGACATTTGTGGTAAGCTGTTTGGCATTGAGAAGCAATTGGCTAGACACAGGTTGTATCATTTCATCAGGCACGAGTGTCAAATGGAAGGATGTGATGAATTTTTCAACACAGCAAAGAGACTCGAACGGCATATGAAGAAGAATCATTAGAATCTGATAGGATTAAAATGTTGTACTAAATTGATCATCCTGAGGATCAATGCTTTGCTATCAAGTTGGCCTATTTGATGTCTAAACTCTCTCAAATCAAATAATTCAATTGATTTAAATGGAAAAAATAAAAGTAAAAGTTTGAAAAAAATCACAAAAATTAACGGTCAAAATTATTTCAAATTTCTAAACGCACCCAACCATGAAATACTTTTAAAAACAAACCAAAATAAGGCAAAAGATCAAAATATTAAACAAAAATTTATTAAAAGTACAAAAAAATCTCCAGATTTTCACTCAATCATGGAAATTTACGATGCATCGGAGATCCTGAAAATGGAAGCTGAAAAGCTCAAAGTAGTCATTCACATAGAAAATCCAGACAAGTGTCGGTTGTGCCTGAAATCCATCAAAAATCGAATAATTATCACAAATGCAATCAGAAGAAAGTTTCTGGATGTGACACAAATGGAACTGCCGACATCTGACAAATTATCCAAGTTTGTGTGCTCAAAATGTGACAAGGATTTGAAGGATGCCTTCACATATCGAGAGAAAATGATTGAAACACAACGGAAACTTAATGAGGAAGTCGGAGAGACTCGAATGATATTTTTACCAGAAGTTGTGAATCTCAAACAGGAAAAGGAGGAATCAATAATTGAGGAAGAATACCTTGATGATGACTTTGGTGGTTGTGATGACTATTCAGGCTATGATAATGCAGACGATGACTATTTTGGAGATCAGAATGACAGCAAGAACAATATTGAGGACAGCAAGTCAAAGACAGTTACAAAAAGAAGTAGACGACGGAAGAATGAGCTGGACGACACAAAACTAGAAATTGAGATTCAGGAAAAAAAGATTGAGGATGAAAATGGACGAACTTACTTTGTTTGTGATTATTGTGGTAAGTAAGGCATATACTAAGGCATCTACAAAATTACTTGAATTTTCACAAATTCCAGGCAAACACATCACAACGGCATTCTCACTTAAGGAACACATCTTAACTCAGCATACAGAACTTGAAAGAAAATATGCATGCGATCATGAAGGCTGTGGTCGTTCATATGTGACACAAAGCAGGCTCCGGATACATCAACTTACTCATAAAGATGACAAAAAGGCAGTCTGTCCAGTTTGTGGAGCTTTGTTGTACTCGAAGAAGGGTCTGAGGGAGCATATAGCTAGGTTTGTTACTCAATTGATCCATTATGGTCTCTAGTAACAACAATTAGTGATTAATCAATATTAAATCTATCTTATGTCCTTTCAGTGTCCACACAAAAATCAAGAAATATTTCTGCGACAAATGTGAATACAGTGGAACCTTAAAAAGTCGAATAAGAAGTCATGTAAAGGTTCATATCGAGAAGGAAAACAGACGTAATCATGCATGTCATCTCTGTGGATTTGTGTCAATTTGTCCGAAGTCTCTTAAGTAAGTTACAGATTGTCTATTAATCCGTGGAGTAAATCAATAAATTACATTTCAGACGACATCTGTTTGAACATCAAGGAGTAGAGTTTACATGCCATTGTGGCAAAACATTCAACTATAAAGGAGCCCTACAAATGCACATTAGATGTGTCCACAAGAAAGTTAAGAAGCATGTCTGCAATATCTGTAACAAGCCGTTCTTTAATAAAATTGATTTAGTGAATCACAAGTAAGTAGACATTCTAAGGATATGACTTCATATAGGTTTGGTCCTCTTATGATCAAATTAACCATAGTTCTGTACCTTAAGCTGCTCAAAAGTATCTAAAACTTACAAAATTCTCCTTAATTCACAGTCTAGTAAAACACAATCCCGAGAAATTAGTCAAAAACATGCCTTGTGAAATTTGTGGCAAACTTTATGGCATAGAGAAGCAGCTGGCAAGACACAGGCTTTACCATCACATCAGATACGAGTGCAATTATGAAGGATGTGATGAATGCTTTAACACAGAGAAGCGGCTCGAAAGACACATGAAGAAACATCAAATGGAAGAAGCGATTTAAGTTTTTAAAATAAAGCAAAACATGAGATTCCGGACTAGTGTGAAGATGCTGACATAGCTTTTTAGTTTGAACAAGAATAATAAAGTTGAATTATTTTTTAAAAAAATGTCAAATTTTCTTTTTAATCCTTTTAGAAAGTCTTTTGGACTATTGATACATTTATTTTGAAGAATGTATAATTTTTAAAATTTTAGGGTCTTTCATCAAATTAAAATTAATATCGGGTAAATGACAACATCACACCTTACTTACAGGGAACCAGATCTCCTGCAATACCAACGAAAGCAATACTAAGGCTCAATATGTAGGATGCATTGATGTAAAAGGAGAGTAACTAAAGCTTTTGCTTTGATACTGCTTAAAAATAACATCTAAAGGGCAGTGATTCTCAACCTTTTTTGTACTATGGCACACCATCACGTTAAGCTATGATTGAAACCGTACATTTAAAGATTTTCTGGTTTTTTTTTGTGGCACACTAGTGTCGTGGCACATTGGTTGGTCATCACTGCATTAGAGCAAAAAATAGTCAAGCGGCAGAGTAGACCAACAAACCTCGAAGGAGGGAAATAAATAAATAAAATATGCGTACAGTGGGCGGTCAAAAAAAAACCTTTCCTTTACTCCCAAAGCCCTGTGATGGAAAAATTTCTACATTTTGCTCAGGGACTGTTCACTTATGACGTCCAAGGCGGGAGGGGGGGGGTCAGCCAGAAAAAAAACAATAGAAATTTCTGGATTCCTTGAAATATGACCGTTGTTTTCGGACGTCATAATGAAACAACCCCTAAGAGTTTCTGAGAAAACACCTAAAATCGACCTCCTAAACATTAGGTTACTTCCTCTTGAACTCATAACAATCAACTAAAGTCTGAAAATTTCCAACCAATGAAAACAAAGTCAAAAACTCATTCTTTTAAATAATATTCTTATATTTCATAACATCTTAAATTTAACTTATTCACCAGTTTAATTTCTATATTATCCAATTAAGATCCATCATAATCATCAGATTAAGTAATTAATTAAATATGATACTTTAACGTATTCTTCAGATACTGATATTAAATATTCCATTGGTTCTCCCTCAAGTTAAGTTATTTCCCTTGATATCTTACAATGATGATTGATAATAATAATTAAGTTAAGTTTTTTGTGATTATTTAAAGATATTTCTACAAAAATTTTATAGACTAGACTCTGTACTGTTGATGATTTTCACAACTTGCTTCTCCTCGTCACAAACTTTCTCATCCTGCCAACCCCATATATGCTCGACTGTCTCATATGTCCTACAATCTTCATAATTATTGTTGAGGTAGATTCTACTGCTTATGTGACTTCCATCACCTGTGCGGAGTGCACGTTTACTGACTAAATTTGGATCAATCATTTTAAGATCAGTGGCCCAACCTGAAATTAGAATTAAGATGTTATTTATTAAAAAAGATTCAAATTTGCTGATTTATTAAGAATATTTGAATAATTTGATTAAAGCTACTGCAAGATGCTGATCATCGATTAAAGTCAAATTATCATAAATTTGCAAGGTTTTAAATCTGTCGGATAAAAAGGATTGGCTTTTAGGAGACAGTAATCATTTTTCTTTTTTTGAACTCATTTTGCTTGTGTCTTCTACAAAAACTGGTTTTGAGTTATACACACTATGTCTTCAGTTGTTTACTGGTCGATAGTTTCGAGTCAATGTTATTATTTGGCAATTCACTAAAGTTCATATGACACTGGACTTATAAATAAAGCTTGTCGTGACTAAAGCTGAGTTAAAAGTCATTAATAAATTGAGCATCACTAAAGATGAGCATCATTAAAACTGAGTGTTAATAAAGCTGAGCTTCAATAAAGCTGAGCTTCAATAAAGCTGAGCTTCAATAAAGCTGAGCGTAATTAAAGCTGACCGCCAATCAAATCTGTACGTCATAAATATAAAGCGTCAATTAAGCTGATGGTCAGTAAAGTTGAGCATCGTTAAATCTGAGCGTCATTTAATCTAAACTTCAATAAAGCTTAGCGTCAATATAACCGAGCGTCATTAAAGGTCGAGCATCAATAAAAACTAAGCGTCACTTAATCTGAGCACCTATAAAGCTAAGCATAAACAAAGCTAAGAGCAAATAAACCTGAGCGCAACTAAGCTTGAGCATTAATAAAAGCTAAGCGTCCCTAAAGCTGAACGTCAGTTAAGCTGAGCGTCAATTAAAGCTGTACGTCATAAATACTAAGCGTCAGTTAAGCTGAGCATCAATAAAACTGAGCATCATTAAAGGTTGAGCATTACTAAAAGCTAAGCGTCACTAAAGCTGAGCATAACTTAAACTGGATGTTATTAAAGGTTCAGCATTACTTAAAGCTAAGCGTCACTGAAGCTTAGCATAACTAAAACTGACCACCTCTAAAGCTGAGCGTCATTAAAGTGAACCATCATTTAGCTTTATCAATAAGTCATTCAACCCAACCGTTAGTCAGTCAATCAGCGCCTACAAAAGCTAGCAGTTTTTAAATCCATTACTCGATCAGAGTGTCAAGATGTTTGTTTTTTTTTCTTCTTAATTCTATCCGATAACTTGGTCAATGTCAAAACATTTTAAAATGCCAATAAATTACTTAAAAAAACTTGATCTTCAAAATTCCAACAAAAAATTTAAAGTCTTTTAACTTACCGATCCAGGCCATGAAATCAAGCAATGCTGTAGTAAAATTGCACCAATATTTGTTATGATCAGATGTTTTGTAATCATATGGAAACACGTGATGATAGTTGTGCCATCCTATAAACCAAAACAAGAGCATTAATCAGCGAAAAAATTCATTATGTAAATTTTATTCAATTTGTTTACCTTCGCCAAAAGCGAGCAATGCCACAGTGTAAGAATCAGTTGGCTTGATGTTTTTGTCAAACGGTTTAGTGCCATAAAAATGAGCATATGAATTCACCAGCCACGTACAATGAAGCCTGTTAAGGTAGATTGAATCATTAAACATATTTTTTTAAAAAATAAAAAATAATTATTTCATTAATGATCCTCTCCAACTTACGCTAAAACATATCGCCATGCATTAAGGTAGAATGACACTGCAAAAGTAGTGCCAAAGATGTACATTGAAAGTGAAATTGGAATGACTAAGTTGCAAATTGGCATCAGCACCCAGTAGTACTTCTTCTGAAATGCACAGACTGGATCACGTTCCAAGTCACTCATGTCAATCTTTCGTCCGAACTTAATAACATCAGGATGCTTCTTGCACATCAGCCATCCCATGTGAGCAAAGAAGAATCCTCTCGATGCACTGTGTGGATCTGCATTTGTGTCTGTAAATTTATGATGTGATCGATGATCTCTTGACCACTCGTAGATGCTGTTTTGGAATGCGACTGTCTGACAGAATGCAAGGAGGATTTTTAATGGGATATTAGCTTTGAAGGCACCATGAGCCCATAGTCGATGTGCACCAGCTGTAATTCCGAAACCGCTGATGATTCCAAATGAGTAATCTGTTTTGGATGAGGTGGAAAAAAAAAATTAAAAATTGTCATTGGAACTCTTTTAGATCTTAGTATGGGGATGGTGGGATCTATTGAGGTTAGAATTAAGATCCTAAATGAGTTTAGGATAGGGGTTGGATTGATACATCTTTTGATAAGGTTAGGAACTTATTAACAAAAGTAAATCAAAAATAAAACTTACGAAATAATGTTATTGTATTAAATCCAATCTCTAGAATTCCGCGAAAGCACCAATAATGCAATACAATAAATCCAATAATATTGACCCAGACATACTCGACTTTAAATTCTTCCTCAACTTCCTCTACCTTTGTCTCTTCAACAACTTCAACTTGCTGAACTTTTTCGATCACTTCCAATCGCTTCATCTTCTCATTAGCATTCAAAACATTTTTGCTTTTTCTCTATTTTTTTTTTTTTTTTGATTAAAAATGCAGTAAACAAAATAATTCAGATTAGTATTTTAATGATAACAATGTGCGTCAGCATTTCGGATGTTGCTTAGTGTCATTTTCGAGTTTCAGAGATAATAAAAGTTGAAAATCAGGTTCTTAAAGGTAAACGGATTAATTTCGAATTCCTGGAAGTTAATTTATTTTTATTGCGAAAATGTGCAAAGTTTTATTTTTTCGGGGAATGTCAGTTTTTTAATAGGATTTGATGGTTGATTTGACTTTGTATTGAGGATGATGTGAGGCTATGATGCACATGGCAAACCACAATCTGGAGCCTTAATTGGGGAAACATCTTTAACCCTTTAGCTTCAACCTAAAACCAGGTCAATCTAATATCTAATTGACAAATACAAAGCTTTATCCACAAGCCCCACAGTTAACCTACATAAAATCACGAGTCTATGCATAAATTGTCAATTCTAAACGATACTCCAAAAAATCATCATATCAGCATTAAAAAACGTGAGATAAAACAAGAAAACCGTAACTAGGCTTCAAGAAATCACGTTCGTATTTAAGATAGAACGATCAAAAGAGAAAGAAACGAAAATGACTAGAAGAATCGACAACGATTCGGAGCATCCCAAGATGTCTACACGTGTTGTCAATAACTGGACAATATTTTATATCTTAGACCACATTGAATAGAGTCTATCCTGATGAATTATTAATGACAATAAACGTTCAAACTTAATGTTTTCAGTGAACCATGCTGAACACATGCCAAAAGATAGTCCTGAGTTATGTTTGGACATCCACAAGTCCCTGACTCATAGCGACAAAAAAGACTAAAGGTTTATTGACTCACATTTAGTAAGCGTGTGTTGACTTCATGCGTTTGCTCATCATTCGAGCTTCCACCATCATCAGTTGACTTTGCCGTTGACGCAGGTACCAAAAAGTTGTTTGGCGGCATTGCAAATTCTTTTCTAGAATGAAGAAAAAATTAAATAAATTTTTTATTAATAAATTACAATCGAAAAAAAGTTCTAATAGGCATAAATTAGCATGCAAACGAAAGAATGGACCTGTTGATAATAAAAAAAAATAATGTGTGGTGAATTTGAAATTCAGATCAGGTTCATAAAAATAAGATTAAACAACAATTTATCTGTGAAATGTTGAGCAAGGCTCAAGGAGGGGAATATTAAGAATCAACTTCAATTTTGCACGTAATCCATAATTCACAAATTGTCACGTTTACAGATCGGAAAACTAGTTTGTAAAATGTGTAACATGCGTGAAGATTATTGGTTCTTAATGGAAATTGCTATTCGATATTTTATGGTGTTTTTTTTAAGTTTTTTGAATGTTTAATTGGAAATTTATTCTAGTTTCTTGTAGTAAGGGACTTTGTGAGTTTGTAGATTGTGGAATTGATAAAGTTTAATTCTTATGCTCATTGAATTGATTTTCAACATGCTGGGGGGTAAGTAGTAGTTTTTTTGGAGTTTATGGAGATCAATTCCATTGAGGAGTCTAAGTTTTCTCTTTCTTTTCTTTTTGATCTCTAAGTTAAGCTGGTCCTAGGGAGTATATATAATATGACAAACTACACCCGAAAGGCACACAACGAAAAAAATTGGTTGTCAATCTGGCGTCCAGGATGGCATCAACATGACACAACCTCGAACCTTTAGACCTCGAAATTGATGTGAACTTAAAAGTGATGTGTAGACGAAAGTTGCTACAGGCTGAGGTGCACCCAACGTGATACTGAACCCCCTCCCTCCCCCTTCCCCCCACCCCTCAGCTTAGAACTAGTGTTTTAGACCTCGAAATTGATGTGAACTTAAAAGTGAATTAGAACGAAAAAAAACTTTTTTTATTTTTGAAAATTGAAAAAAGAGGTTGTCCTCTGAAGAACCAAGCAAATGGACAGTCTACTTTAAGGGCATTAACCAATCTTAACTCAATACACCCAAACTACACTCGATCATCTTAATTTTTGTTCACTAGAGTCTTTAAAATGATAAAAAGTCAGCTCTAATCACTTTGATTACTCCTTCATTTAATCCTGCATTCTTAATAATAATTCATTTAAGATTTAACCATTGAAATTGACAATTCTAGAATGATCTTATCAGCATTAACATTTTGATATCACCAAGATATATTTTATTTTATTTTAATATAGCCAACATTTAACCACATTTCACTAAGAATAAATTATCAGACACAAAAAACTGATATTCTGGCATATTAGCACCATTTGGCTATCAGCTATCAAGTCTTTTATGAGCAAAGATCGCTAAAAAGAATAAACCATATGAAAAAAATTCGTGTGTTCAGATTTTAGAGGCAGTTTATGAGATGATTTTGCACATGTTGAGAGAATTATGAATGAATAATTTTGCATTTGTGATTTTATTGCCTTGCTAATTGTGGATTGAATATTATAGCTTACTTGTGGAGGAATCTTGCAAGAAATTAGTTAATCTAATGACATTTAAGGTGTAATTGCATATTTAAAGTAGATTAAGCTACACCACCAACTATACAACATATTTAAATTCATCAAAACGTGACATTTAAGACTAAACAAAATAAAACGTAAAATCGTAGACGCATCACTCACTCTACATAAGATTGAGTAAGGGAATAGTCCAAACTAGAAATCATTCAACAGCGCATAACAAGTTTCATTCAAAATCTATCAACATTTCCTTTCAAACAAGTCCAAATGCCCATAAAAATCTAATCTTCAGCTCATAAAACGAAACTTCTGACCACTGTTAATTTAAAATTTATTTAACACCTGTTTCTTTTGCTGTGTCTTTTGAGCCAAACCCGAGTAGCACCAACAACAACAACTGGTTTTACGTCGACGTCAAGGCACCATCAAGTGGAAAAAAGCACGTCACGCCGCAAATTTACCGTTATGGCAACGTTAAGGCATCTACACGCACGATTTCGCCCCATTTGAACAATGAAATAATGGGGCGAAATCGTGCGTGAAGAAGCCTTTGCGTTGCCACAACGGTAAATTTGCGGCGCGACGTGCTTTTTTCCACTTGATGGTGCCTTGACGTCGACGTAAAACCAGTTGTTGTTGTTGGTGCTACTCGGGAAACCTCACAAAAAAAAATTTTTCTCACGTAAGCCCTTTTGAATCATATCAGTTCAAGTTACCGGTTTTTGTGTAGCAATCTTAAATATGACATCAAGTTAGCTAATGGAACTCAGCCATCAATTTCCATAAATATCGCATTCTATCCACGAAAATTTCTGATTTATTATTGACTTTTTAACCAAATCCATTGGCACGGAAAAATCTGAGAGACGAAGGCCGCGAACATCATAATTGGTTGCATAGATTTAAATAAATATTCTCATACGTGACAAGTTCCACTCGCATTAATTTATGCACAAAAGAAGAGTCTTTTATTGTGGATTATAGTTCTGGTTTTTAATGTATACCACGTGCGTCTTGGTTCATCCAGCTACGCGTTAAGGAAATGAACAGGTCTCATTTTATGGCTGCTAAAATTTCCAATCAAGGATGCGAGGAATTTCAGAATAATTAAGATTTGGATTAGATTTCATTGGCAAATTATGGAGAATTTTATTGCACGACGACTGTTAAGATTTCATTAAGGCAAGATTTTTTTGGTGGCTTGTAGACCGTTTGGCACGTTTATAGGAATGAATTTTGAACTGTGGACTGGAATATTTGAACTTTAGACTCAAGCATTGAACTTTGGATTAGAATATTGGAACTTTGAACGGGAATATTGGAACATTACACTGGAATTTTGCACGTTGGACTTGAATATTGGAACTTTAGACTGGAATATTGGAACAATAGATTGGAATATTGTAACATTAGACTGGAATATTGGAACTTTGGACTGGAATATTGGAACATTAGACTGGAATATTGGACTCTCAACATGAATTTTGAGTATACTGGAATATTTAGCTACAAAGATCAAAATGCACAATGTTAAGTCACTCTGAAAAATATCCAGAAATTTTCTCATTTGACATTCTAGAACATCTGATAAAATTAATTTTTTTCCATAATTATTCATCATTATTTACCCAAATGAAACCTATTAAATATAAAAAGTCAAATGGCAAAGATTATTTTCCACAAATTTATTGTTTATTTAAATTTCTCAATTTAAAATCAAAGAAAATAAAATTGACGACGAGCGTCTCAATGGAATCATCGCAGAATTGCAGAACTGTTATACTATGCAAGGCTATTGCAAGGTATACAACAAAAAAGTAGCTCAAATATTTTTTTCGGTTTGTTATGAGCGTTGATTGAACCGGAATATACAAATCTTTTATGCCTGACTATGTTGTGCTTTTGTGGAAATTTTGAATAAAGAAAAAAAAAGTTTAAATATTCAAAAAAAAGTTAATTTATTTAATATGATCTCATGATTCCAAGGGAAGTAGTCATTGTGGTCGTTAATGGATTGGCGAAAAAAACTTTAAATTTGACTCAACATTGAATTGAGGTTTATGATTGACAGGAGCTGATTTTGATACAATTTTTTGAAGAGAGTGAAGAAGAAAGTTTTTGAAAATAACCTGAATGAGAGCTAAGCTGTCATTATACCGGCATCATGCCTGATTATTTGAATTTGAGAATAAGTTTTCAAAATTTCTGGGTCTTGATTGATTTGTAAGTTACAAGTCGGGATCGAAATTTATTGGCAATTTTTTGAAAATGCTTTTCTGTTCTCAGAATCCATAAAGTTCATTTTTGATCCATTCTAGTAGGTTGAATAGCTTAATCAAATAGATTTGTTTTTCCAGATCGTTTAAATCTTTTGGAGACTCAAAGTTTTGGCTAAAAATTTAGAAATCCCTTGTTTTTTGTATAATTTCTAGACTAGAGCTTACAATCTTGAATATTCATGATCTTTGACTTGAGGAAATCCTTAGCATCAGCTTGTATGACAGGCTCTTCACTAGCATTAAAAGTGAACGTATTAGACACTCAAATATCCCCAGAAACCAGCTAAAGATCAAAATTAAAGTTGATTCCAGCAATAACACTATTGCCGATCAACAGCAAATCAACATAAATCCTAATTTACGTCACAGAAATTATGTAAACTTTTTTTTCACTTTTTCAAACAGAAGAAATGTGAAAACAACGAACACAAAACATTCAACAGAGAGATAGAGACTCAAATTGCTGAACAATCTAAATGATACATTCATAAGAGGCTTATGATGTGCTGATTTGTAACCATTTTTAAATGTCTGAAACTAGAGCTTGAATTCTTGGATGCAATTTTGGAATCTTTTAGTGAAAGTTTATGTTTGTATTAAATTTGGCAAGCTTTATAATAATGTGAGAGGGTTCCACCCAAGCAATGTGTTACTACAAGTTGCGACGAGCTGGAGGCACTGCGATCCTGATCGATGATAGAATCTTTTGTACCGTTTTTGGCAAGCTTAGTCGAGTCTAGACTGTTTGAGAGTTTTTTAGAAGTTTCTTAAAGTTTAGACTAAACTAAAGATACCTCAAAAATTGAGGCTTGTTAATTTTGATTTAAATAACTTTATGCAGTGCAAATTTCACTTTTAGCAGGACATAACCTTATCAAATCTCAAGATTCCGATCATAAATAAGCTTGTCCAACAAAATCAACACTTGAGTCACTCAGATTATAGCATTAAGGCCCAGTATTCACCCCAAAAATTCACAATTTATGCCACAAAAAAAATAATTCAAATCCTACTCACCTTTAAAAATAAACTTTAAATTGTTGAAAAAAATTTTAACAAAACTTAATAATTTGACTTTTTTTTAGCTTCAGCTAGAATTAAATTTTCTAAGTTTTATTTTGCTTTATGTTCACTTTAAACTTCTTGTACTTAGAAAACTAAACTTAATCCTTCAGATGTCCGATATCAACTGAAATGTTAAAGACTTTTCGTCTTGATAATAAAAGAAGATCGAACGGAACATGCTTGAAACAGAATATCAGGTTATCATCTCTCTTTTTCCAATCGTGCATCTTCGTGGAAAATTTTAACGAGTGATAAAACGAGAAATATTCTCAGACACTTGTGGCTGTATAAAATTTTCGTTTTAATGCAAATTTTGGTCTACGTTAGATCCTTCAAAAGTTGCTCAAGGCATGGGCATTGATATTCATACTTTTTTTTGCGTTGTTTCTTGATGATTTTTTGAGCTGTGTCTTTTTTTATTGATTCACAATGAATTAATGCGAAATTTATTTTATGAGTTATTTATTGGGTGCTTAACATAACCGGGATGTTCTTACAAGGTTGTGTGGAGGATGTTGTACGTGTGGATTGTTACGTTTTGATTCTGTTGATAAAATGTGCAGTTTTGCGGTGGTGATGAACTTTTGGTGGGTGAATTTTGTTTATTGTGATTTGGTCGAGGTGTGGTTGAGTTGTCTACTAGGAAATGGACCCGTTTAACCGCCGAGACTAGAGATCAGCTAATAGATACTAGCTACTAGAGACTAGCTCCTTTAGACTAGCTACAAAAGACCAGCTACTAAAGCCTAGCTACAAAAGACTAGCTACTAAAGCCTAGCTACAAAAGACTAGCTACTAAAGACCAGCTCCTAAAGACTAGCTCCTAAAGACTAGCTCCTAAAGACTAGCTACTAGAGACCAGCTACTAAAGACTAGCTATTAAAGACTAGCTCCTAAAGACTAGCTCCTAAAGACTAGCTCCTAAAGACTAGCTACTAGAGACCAGCTACTAAAGACTAGCTACTAAAGACTAGCTATTAAAGACTAGCTCCTAAAGACTAGCTACTAGAGACTAGCTACTAAAGACTAGCTACTAAAGACTAGCTATTAAAGACCAGCTACTAAAGACTAGCTACTAAAGACCAGCTACTAGAGACCAGCTACTAAAGACTAGCTATTAAAGACTAGCTACTAAAGACTAGCTCCTAAAGACTAGCTACTATAGATTAGAGAATAAGACCATAAAATGATAAATATATTACGCAGATATTCTTTTAGGAAACCAAACAGACAAGTTTTGAGAATTGTACAATTTGTGTCACACAAGTCGCCAATTTTATTCCTTATTTAAGCAACATAAAAATGCAATAAAAATCAAGAATTTTATTTACCAGAAATTTATCACTTAATTTCCAATCCGTCATTCATCACCTTATTTAACTTATCTTCTAGAACTTTTTAGCAAGATTGTCATTCAGCAGTTCCTCAAACTTCTTCATCATTCTCTTTTCAATTTCTTTAATCTTTTCATCCAAATTGATCGTCATTTTGTGGCCAACATTAGTCAAGCTTTTTTCAATTTTATCAAACTTTTCCACAGATTTAGCTTCAAAATCAGCAAATTTTTCCTCAAAATTTTCCAAAATTTCATTGAATTTTCCATCACAATTTTCATTTTTCATGATAAAAGCCTTCAAGTCATTCATCGAAACTTGCAAGTCATTTTGTGTTGTTTTTAATTTACTTAATGAGGCTTGAATATCAATTTGATTGGTCTTGACGTCACTAATAGCTGTAGTTGTGTCACTAACGGATTCTTTGACTTTGTCCTTTAATAATTTAATGGCTTCTTGAGTTGTTTTGAGTTCACTGTTGATTGAGGTTATGTAAGTTGTTGTTGAATCTTGGAAGCTTTTGTGGCTGTTCTGGATGGTTTTTTGGGAAGCCTCGAAATTATTGATTGATTTTTTGATGTCTGAAAAACTGTTGTTGGCATTTGTGATTGAGTCTGTCATTTGTAAGGTTAAGTTGTTGCTAAGGCTGGTGAACTTCATATCTAGAGCTGCAAATTGATCTGTTTGGGAGCAAGTTTCAGTATATTTTGCTACTTTTGGAGTGATTAAATCAGGTTTGATTGTGGATTGCTGTAGTTCCTCTGATGCCATATTGCCAAGAGTTTTAAGATTCTTCAGCTTTGCAAACCTGGAGCTTATTGGTCGGAAGGAAAAAAAATTCGAGTTTTTCAGTTCATTTTCCAAATCAATAAAGTTTTTCTCAAACTCATCAGGACTCAATGATGCTGCTTTGTCCTCAAACTTTCCAACTTTATCAACCAAAGCCATAAAATCCGAATTCAAACACTTAGTCTTGATGATTCCAATAGCTTCTTTGACTTTATCTACTGAGCTGTAAATACTCAAGCCGATGCATGGAACTCCATAGAAATAAAAGTCACTCAATTGCGTCAAATGGTCAAAGACATTTGGATCAATGTGAACAATTTGATTATGACCAAATCCAATTAGTTTTAAGTTTGGATTGAATGCAAAAAGATCCTCTTCCAGAACCTCGATCAAGTTACTTTCCATATAAATGAGTATCAAATCAGCAAATGGTTTCAAATCTGATTGATAAAGTGCCTGCAATTGACAATTATTCATCTGAATTGATTTGAGATTCGGAAACTTTTGCAATTCTTTAGGGAATTTTTCAATTTTATTTTGCCTAGCATAAAAACCGAGAACGTCTTTGTTAGACTTATTTGCTCGATGACCATCATTTGGAGAGTAAAGTCTTAGAGTTTGTCTTGATGATATTTTATCACTGACTAGTGAACATTGGTAGATTGTTCCTACAATTATAAAGGTGCCATCGCGGAATATGCAGTCTAAAGTTGCTGATAATGATGAGAAACAGCACAGAATTATGCCGAACACACTGGAATATTGATTAGGTTACGAGTTTGCATAAAAAATGAATTTTTACTTACAAAAATAGCTTTTTATTCATCTTAATTGACAATAACAGCGAGACTAAATTTTTAAAGCATTCTCTGGAAGAACTAAATTTGATAAGCCTGCTGAAAAAAAATCCCCGTTTTGAGAATCAAAAATCTCGTGAGAATAATTAATTACTCATAATAATGAGTCATGTGCGTAGTCTGAGGGGGTCCTTAGGTAACTGGGCACTTTCCCTGTAGATTGAAATTTGTGATAAGTTCCTTTCAAGAGTTCAAAGTCCGTCCTTTTGACAACATAATATAACTTCAACCCTAGTTTAATCAAACTTGTGACATCCACAACGTTTAGAAAAATTTCAAATTTACATTATTTTTTTCTAAACACACTCCAATCTACAAAGATAAAGTTTTTCAATAAAAAGTAAACAAAAACAATCCAAAAAGTCACAAAAAAATAAAATTTTACAGTTATGATCAAGAATTTATAAAATTTTCAAGACAATTCCAAAACAGTCAATACCTTAAAAAATGGAGTCGCCGCAAAGGAACTCAAAAATCAATTCAAACCGTGAAAATGAGTGCAGATTCTGCCTTAAAGCCACAAAAACAAGAATAAATTTAACAAAAATATTAAAGAAAAAATTTCTGGAACTGACACAAACGGAACTGCAGCTTTGTGATAAACTGTCGAACTTTATCTGCTCAAAATGTGCAAAACAATTCAAAAGTGCTCATTCGTACCGAGAAAAACTGATCCAAACGCAAAATAATTTATTGGAGGAAGTTGCACAAAATTTCATGCCGGAATTGATAAATTTGAAGCAGGAAAAAATTGAAATTGAAGAGTTTGAGGAAGTTGATGGACTTGACAGCAGAACTGAAGTTAAACAGGAGCTTGAAGACACAAAGGAACTTGATTTAGATGATAATTTATTTGAAGACTATGAAGCGTTAAGTTTTGATGACTCAGTGACTGTTGAGGATGAAGTAAAGGAAAAAGATCAGGAGGAAAAGGCTAGTGACTTCAAATGTGAGCATATAGGATGTGAGGAAGTGCTACCAAATAAGACTAAATTAAAGATCCACATGAAGAAGCATAAGCCACCAAGAAGAAAAGATAAGTCAGCAATGTGTTCTTATTGTGGAGTCAAGCTGTGTTCGAAGTGGAGTTTGCATAAGCATGTAGCTAGGTAAGTTCCTTATGTCCTTAGTTTTTCAAATTTTCTTCAATTTTCGTGTCAATTCCAGCGTTCATTTAAAGGCTCAAAACTACTTCTGTGACATTTGTGGCTATGTAGCAGCTATCAGGTGTCTTATACGAAGCCATATTAAGACTCATTTGGATATCAGCGAGAGAAAGTAACTAATAGATTTTATAATTGTGTCCAAAAGTTAATTCTTACTTAATCCTTTCAGGATGTATAAATGTAAATCATGTGAGTTCCAGTCAATGTCACTAGCATCTCTAAAGTAAGTAACTGCACATTAGTCAAAATCGCACAGAATTTAAAAAAACTTTTTTAATTTCAGACGACACGAGCTGAATGAGCATGAAGGAATGACATTTGCATGCCACTGTGGGAAGATCTTTCGCTATCAGGTACAAATTTGAATATTTTGAATTTTTAACATTTTTTTAAATTTTTCAAAATTCTCAATTTCAGGCTGCCTTACAAGCTCACGTCAAAGTTGTTCATCTGAAGCTCAAAAACCATGCATGTGATTGTGGAAAGAAGTTCTACAGTCGAGTAGATTTAAATGACCATCAGTAAGTTGCTTAAAATTTTAAATTTTCAAATTAACATTGTCAATTCCAACAGAATTGTTTCCCACGGCAAAAGTACACCTCTTGAATTCTCCTGTGATCAATGCGACAAACGTTTCCCAACAAGAAAGCAGCTGATGAGACACAAGCCTTACCACACAGAAGCCAAATTCACTTGTACCTACCATGGATGTGATAAATCTTACATAACGGAACAAAAATTAGCTAGACATATGAAGACCCACGTTGGTGAGAGAGACCTGCAATGTCATTTGTGTGACAAGGCTTACTTTTTCACTAAAGATCTTCAGAGGCATCTGGATGTGGCTCATAAACAGGTTTGTAGCTTGAACAACTTTCTTTTTGGATTTTATTTGAATGATTTTTTTAGACAACATTCTTCTGCGAGCTCTGTGCCTTTACCAATAACCGCAAAGACTACCTTAGCAATCATATTAAGGCATCGCATGGTCACATAAGTCAACAAGAACGGAATAAAATGGTTGCACGAGCGAAATTTGTTAGGAATTCTATCTAGGAAGTAGATCATTAGACCTTGCTGGATATGAACATTTTCGGTTGTTTTGGATAACCTAAATTTTACCTGTTTTCATAATAAGCCTGACTTTATTAAATTTAAACTTTATTGCTTACTTAATTGCTGTTGATTACATCTTATTTGAAGCTTTACTACCAAAGTGAATTATTTTACAAAATTAAAATTATGAATCTATGGAAGCCTAATTTAGCTATCTCAAGGGGAGAACAACTTGGTGGGAATAATTTTTGATGAGAAATTACCATCGATTTTACACTGCGAATGGGACATGTCTCGCTGATTTTATTTTCAGCACAACTTTACCAATTTGAGAAATATTGACTGGAATTCCAAATTTAACTATTTGTCCCACAATGTTGTTTTCCCCTTGTAATTTGTGCAATATCATTAATTATTAAATCATTAATGAGAACAAGTTTGACAGAGCTCGAAGTCTACTAGATACATTTGACTCTAAATTAGTGTTGTTCAAACTGTGTGTCGCGGCACACTAGTAGCCATGGCTTACCCCTAAATTTAACCTCTAAGATGTGCCGTGGTTCAAAAAGTTTGGACAACACTGCTCTAAATCATCTTTAACTAAAGTCAACTTGAGTTCCAAAAGTATTCAACTGACTTAAGTCATCATCGAGCTCTGAAGGCATGACGTCATTGATCAATTTAATGAATCCTCACATTTAACCGATGCAAGCCACCAGATTTGAATATTCGTCAAGGAAACTTTTTCATCATCTGCTTTTTTAACTGTTCCTTAATTTGATTTAATTCTGGACTTCTGTTTACCAGATTTATGTTTTCGTCAGGATCAAAGCTATGGTCGTAGAGTTCCTCACCAAATATTTTTTCCCAATCTGGAAATTAAATGAAATTTTAATTTAGGAATGTTATGTGTTAAGATACAAAGTGGGCAGACACATTGGGGGGGGGGGGGGTGGCAAGTCTCCTCCTTACTGAAACTTACTTCTTTTAAACTTTTTATTGTTAAACTTAATCCATGCTGTATATCGAAATCTGCTTGTCCTAACACTATATCCCATAACCTTAATTTCTTTCAATTTTGGTTGATCACTATCGGGAAGTTTCGATGGATAGATGTCAGGTCTTGGATATTGACTAAAAGCAATTCCTTCAACATCCTTGTTTGCATCAATTGTCACATTATAATTCAGCATCTTTAAATACAAGCTCTTTCCTTCCGTACATGTGATTTTCTCTTCTTCATATGTTAATAAATTTGGACATTTCGGTACTTTTGGAAGCCCTGCGACGTCAGTAATTGTTGGAAAAATATCAATAAGTTCAGCTATGTAGTTAATTTTGGCAACTTTAGTTTGAGGTAGTTTAGGATTATAAATTATTAAAGGAACCTTAAGCGAGACTTCATAGTTGCTATATTTTGACCATTCACTATGTTCACCTAAAGACCAGCCATGATCTGACGTCAACACTACAACAGTATTAGTCAAGTCAACAAATTTCAAGACTCGTCCAATCAAGCTATCAATATAAGTTATAGATGCATAATAATGCTGTCGTATTCGAGCTGCAAACTCTGTTGGAATTGGACCGAATGGATAGCTTATATTTAAATGCTTAACATCATCACGTTCTCGTAAGTCATTGTAAGGATTCCAAGCTACAAGTGGAATGTCAAATGGTCGAAGATGATTTTTCATGAAATCCTCAACATTGTGCATCTTAAGGAACTCAATTGGAATCTTGAATGGAATGTGTGGCTTATAGAAACCTAATCCTAAGAAGTAAGGCTTTTCATGCTGTTCTTTAAGGAATTCAATTGCTTTTTCTGTAGATTGAATGTCAGGTAAGGTACATTCAGGCTGGAAATCAACAACAACAGCACATAATAAATTTCTATTAAGAGTTCCATTATCACTTTTACAGACTGGCTTATTCCGATATTCTTGAGTGCTCGGGATGTAAGTTGGATTAGACCAGCTGTATGGATAGTCGTCAGTTTTATTAGACGATGATCCATGATGAAAAATCTTCCCAATTGACTCAGTTCTATATCCGCTGTCTTTAAAATATTGCGGTAATGTTGTAAAGTTTCCAGCAAAGCTACGCCAATAATGTTGAAAATTGTATGTCATAATTGAGTCTGGACGTCTGGATGTTAACATTGAATTTCTTGATGGTGCACATAGTGCCTGCTGTGCATACATATTTGAAAAATAAAAACTTTTCTCGACTAGCTTATCGATATTTGGTGTTTTTGCTAAATCATCGCCTAATGCTTTAATTCCACTCCGAAAATCATCCAACATTATGAACAAGACATTCGGCTTATTTAATTCACTGCTCACAACAACATTGTCATAGATTGAAGATGTCAAAATAATCAACAAAATTACACACTTAATCATGCTTAAAGGTCTTTTTCACTTTAAATTCCGATTATGACTGAAAATGAGAATAGGAAAAGCAGGAAGGAAAGAAAAACAAAAAATCGATATTTTTATTACAGCTGATTTTATTTACTCCGACCAAATAAACAAACAGTACAACATGTTGACTTTTGCGTGTTCATGTGCTGTTTCGAAAAATTTCTTTGTGTGTAGCATGCGAAGCAGCTATGCCACTTTAGATTTGTAAATTATTAAGAATCAATAATTGCTTTGGTTCCATAGCTAGAAGACCAAATGTACGACGCTCCATCATCAAACCTTCATCATCTTAGGACATTATTATTGCTATGAGTCAGCAGATGCTTCTTCAAATGAGATCTATGGAAGTACTTTTTCTCACACAGTTGACAGGCAAAGTCTCGCTGATTGTTATGCACTTTATAATGTGAATTAAGTTGTGTTAATGTGAAGAATGCGTTGTTACAGTTTTCGTATTGGCAAATGAAGGATGCTGGCTTGTGATACTTGAGGTGGGCAGTTAAGTGCTTTTGGGTTGAGAATAGCTTTCCTGGAGGTTGTCAAGTTGAAAAGTTAATGAAAGTTTAGAAATAAGATTGAATTTTTAGAGCCTTACCACATTCACTGCATGGAATGTCACGCTTTTTGAGCTGAAAGTTGAGTACGAAATATTAAGAAAATTGACAATTTGAATTTTTAATCAGCAGCAGTCAACCTTTTCTGTGTCAAGGCAAAAAAGGAGGTTTACAAGACTTTCCACAAGTAGTTTTAAAACCAGGCTCTAGTACCGTGACACAAAAGTTGAGCACTACTGTATCAGACTTACATGTTGAGATTTTATATGATTCTTAAGTTGAGATTTCTCTGAGAAGGTTTTTGTACATTCGGTATATGGACAGGCATGATTTTTGATTTTTTGATGGACTACCTTGACGTGGGTGTAGTAGGAACTGTAGAACCAGATAAAATAGTGAAAAATTCAGTATTAAGAGAGATTTTAAAGACATTACCTGCTTTGAGTAAACTTCTTCCCACAATGACACAAGTATATCTTCTTCTGACCCATGTGCTCCATTCTTTTATGAGTTCTTAATGACATTTTGGATATTGACTCGAATTGACACTCATCACAGTAGAATCTCTCTCGTTCACTCTTGTCTAGGTGCTTCTTCATCTGTATTTAAAGTTTTAATGAAGTTCAATCAATTAGAGACACTAAGGCTGTCGTATAAGTTCCAGGCTCTTGAGAATATGATCCACAACTTAAATACTCCCTTTAAGCTATAAATACTCACATGCTGATCAATATTAAACTTGAAGAACCCTTTATAGTCACACAAGTCACAATAAAAATTGTAAATCTTCAGATGCAACCTCCTGATATGCTTAGTCAAGTTATGCTTATTGCCCACAACAAGTCCACATTCTGGACAAATCTGCTTATCCTCATTGTGTGTCTTTAAGTGTTGCGTCAGTTGCTTTTTAGTCCTGCATTTTTTCACACAATTCACAACTGGACATGGAAGTTCAATTTTGGATGTTGAATGGTAAATTGCAATGTGATTTGTGAGACTTGAGCCACTTGAGAATGACTTGCTGCATACATGGCAGGTCCATTTTGTAGAATTTTGAATTTTTGATGATTTTTGTTGGCAATTTTGGATGTGCTGTTGGCAATTTGTGAAATTTTCGAATTCTAAGTAGCAAAAGTCACATTTGTAGCTATTTTCTTGTATTTGAAGGTTTGGTGGGTCATGGGATGTCATATGAACATCAAAATCGGACTTATTGTCAAAAATATTGCTGCAGATATCACATTTGAGAGTCTGGTTTTGTACTATTTGGTATGAAATTTCATGAAAATGCTCATCGTCTATCAAATGTTCCTCAATTATTTCCTCTTCCTTCACATCCTCATTAATCTCAAGATCATGACTAATTTCTAAATTTTCTGGTGGATGAACAGTTTGGAATTTAAATATAATTGTGTCATTTTTGACTGAATTCTTTACATTTTCTGAATTTTTGGCCTTTTGTGATGAATTTATGAATTTAATGAGAGCTTTCTGAGCCTTGATCATGTTGACTTTCGCATGACTGAATGTTGTTAGCTGAAAATTGCAGACTACACAGATTTTCTTCGAGTACTGATTTGACATTTTGAGCTGTGAATTATTCAAAATAATAAAAATTAATCCTGATTTTGTTTTGAAAAAAACCTTTTTTTTGGATATTAAAGGATGGTTCCATAGAAAGAGTGGATGTGTTCCTGCCATACATTTAACAAATTATAAGGAAGAAGATAAACAAGTTCTAACATTCCATGATATTCCCTGTTGAAAATGAGTCAAACCAAAATTACTCCTTAATCAGATTCCTTATCTAGAGGGGATCTAGAGCAGTAATGGTTAACCCGTGTGCCCGTTACCCGTAGCTGTGTTCGTTACCCGTAGTCGTACTAGAGTAACCCTAGCAAACTTGGGAAACTCTCTTATTATCCCTACAGTTAACCCTAAGTTATACCTTTTGTACAACGTACCTCAAGGCTTCTAGGAACTAGACATGCCAAGACTAAGTCAGCACCAAACCTCCCCTACTAGTATCATCTCCTTCCCATTCACTACTAATATCTAATCAGTAACTCACACTTGTTTGAGTAACTTGAAGAAATTTCCTCTCAATACTTTTGTTGATGTCAATCCAGTGCTCATCTGGTGCGAATGATTTAAAGCATATCCGACATTTGCTGATGTGATTTTCGTAGCTGATCTCATTTGATCTGAATCCTTCCATTTTTGACAGACTTAAATTTAAGTTCTGAACCTTAATTTTATTGTTTCACAAAACTTTTGAACATTTTATTGAAAAAAATCAAATTAAATTAAAATCGTGTGATCAAAGTCAGATCTAATAGCTTAATACAGCATTTAATGATTATTTCTACCGAAATTTACAAAATGATCATCGCAAGTTTTAAAAAACTTTTAATAAAAAATTAACAAAAATTCACAATATTTATTGTTTTGATTAAAATTCATACACATTTGATGTGTGCGTTCAGTAAACTACTTTTGTCATTGTTTCTTGCTGCTCAGGTGCTGAAGTTTCCAAAAAAACATGTAAATACAAATCATCTGATTGTTGTTTTTTGTCGGCACGAATCTGAAAATTGCGTGAATTGATCAAAATTTGAGATTTTACTTCGTTTAACTTTAGTTAAGTTGTCTAGTCAGTCACGGGTCATAAATGTGAAATTTCTAAAATTTTAAAATCTCAGAAAACATTGTGAAAAAAAATTTAAATTAAAATTGTGCAAATAATCGATAGAAAATAGGAAATTGTCAAAGACTCAACTCAAAGAATTAACAGCAACCAAAGACACTATCAGCACCTCTTAACATAACAACATTGTTATAACTTCAACAACTGGTCGATCATCAACAATTACAGCAACAACAAAACATCAACTTCTTTTGTTTAAACGAAAGTAAAACTTGTTTTTGGCGATCTTCAACCTGAGCATTAAGCAAAGACGGTCAGGAAAACATTCAAGAAAGGTAATTGACTTCTTAAGGAAGCATAAGCATGCCAAACATGTGAGATCTTATTGTTGATTTGAAAAAAAAAATTTTTTTGAAATTAGATTTTCTGGAGTGGGTTAAGCAAGTTTAGAGGTCATAAATAGATTCTTTTCAGAAATAATTCACTTTAACTTTGCTTTGTGGCTAAAACACATTTGTTGACATCTGTTTATCATATGCTTATATCACTCTCGTTTTACTTTGCATTTATAAATAGAGCAAATATGAAATGTAAACTAAATGTGTTATTTTTGCAATAATAAAGGAAGAGAGATTGATTAAAGTTGTATAGTAGCTGCCCCGAGCTGTATTTTTGATATGATGGCTGTCGATATGCTGAGTTGCCTTGAGCCAGGTAGTTACAAGGTGCTGCTGTAATGTGCAAAGCCATATGAATGCTATTTTCTAGACTTACAATTGGAGACGTAGCCATGAGAGGGAGGCTGATGACGGTTAGAGTCAAACCTCACAACCCTTTCTAAATTTAACTCTTTAGATCTTAGAACTAGTTTTCAAATCGGCTCTCGTTAGGAGGTCACAATATCTCCATGTCTGTTACAGTAAAATCCCTTCATGCCAAATTTTTACGGCTCTCGAATCTTTCTCATTCTATTTACAAAATTCTTGACCTCTTCCTAAGTTAAGTTCAACGTCTTATACTGCTGCACTTAAGTAGTCGAAGTATCTAAACTTCTGAAAAACCACTAGGGTGATGGTGGGATTTGCACCTTGTCATCTGAGCTATCAAGGCACTTTTGGTTCTTAAAAAAATCGAATCTTACCTTAGAAAAATTAAAATTCTGACTTTGACCATGTTTGAAACTGCTGAATGTCGCTTAGGTATGACTAGCTGAAATTGAATAAATTGTTATCAGATTCTGAAAGGAACGAGGTCAAAGGTTCAAATGCTCAATTTTTTTGAAATTCGAATATTCAAAAAGGTTTTAATTTAGCTGATTGTATGTCAATCAAATGACAATTTATTGTAATTATTACTTTGAATTAATAATAATTCTGTTTATTATTTTTCGTGTGCTGATAATGAGCCTCTGGGACATAACTTTTTGTTAAATCATTGTCAGAAATAATTCTTTTAATAGCTCTGAATTTCAAAATTCTTGCTGTCGATTGCCAGACTAAACCATCAATTTCACAACTAAACAATTGCATTTCACTGATAAAAAATTGCCTACAGCTCAAACTAGTAGGAAATCCAGTCTATAGTTGAGTCAATATGTTCTCACAATTTCCAAAAACCCAACAATGAAGTCCAATTTATTCTCGACGCATACAAATTGCCGCTCTCTGTTTATTTACATTTCAATGGGACAGCTCATGCACGATTCATTTCCTCTCATTTGTAAGTCAACCAACACATGTGCTATCGCACATTCACTGAAAATGAGAGTAAAGAACAAAAAAATCGAGTAAAACTTTGCTTTTTATTTTCAGTTAATTGAACATTTTCGAGTGGCAGTTTTCGTTCGGTGCTCACAGAAGTTAGTATAAAGATTTTTTTATTTCGGGTTCATTTCTATTTCATTTTGTTGTTGTTTTATTGCGTTGGACTTTTTGGAGTGTCTGATTAGAGAGTTTTGAAATTTTGGATTGATTATTAGAATTTTTGGTTGATTTAAAGAGTTTTGTGGATAATTTATGGTGGTACTTGATGTATCTAGCTTGTCTTCAATCAATAAACTATTAATTAATTATATTATCTGTCGATATGTGTTTTATACAGTTTATGACATGATTGAATTGTCACAAACTATTGTTTTAATTAAGTTACAACAAATTAAATTGAAGTTTCTTAGAATTTGAACCGGCATATCATGATTGAGTTGCTATTTAATTGTCTGAATTTAACTGAAGCGCTTATGGGTCATTCATAGGCTGACATAGGGACGAGGTATTAAGATTGTACAGCTATGACTAGATATCACTAAGATAAAGTACGATAAGCTTACTATTGGGTGTCCTTCAGAACATATTTTAGAAACCGGCTCCACTTACATACAAAAAGTGCATGTTTTGGTCAGGGATGAGGACAAGAATCAACTTTTTTGATTAACATCACTTGCAAACGACCCTCACCTTATGTGAAAAATAACAGAAAAATCACAGAATATATTAGAACTCATTTAATAAGACTAGAATGACAAGCAACTAAATCTCATATTATTAAGCAGTCTGTAATAACATGTAACCGCGTAAAGTAACAATAATTTGTAATAAATTAGCAATAATTAAGTGACCTTGTGGTTGGCATGTAATTTAAAATAAGGGAGTAAGGATTCGGGAAGCTATTAGTAGATCAGAAATGGTCTCATCCTTAGCTGAGAAGTGGTCATAATTTTTTATTCCTTTTTTGAGGTTCCAGACCCCTTCAATCTTTAAGTTCAAGGCACAAATCTCAAGAAATTATTCAAATTTCCTCTAAAATAATAAAAATTACTTTTTTAAACTTGTCTAACATGCAAATGAGTCTCAACTCAGCTTTAATAATTGATATAAAATTTGCATTTAATTACGTGCAATAACTTGCACTTTTTACCGTAATAATATTCATATGTGATCTTGATGCACCGCTAATGCCTCTCATTAAATGATTTTAATTTTTGATAAATTCAGAATTTAGACTTTGAGCACGTAGATTTAATTATAGCGCTGAATTAAGTGTTATCAGTAGATGAGTGGAGACGGGAATGAAGTAAGAAAGTGAAAATTGAGTATGGAATGGGTTGAGGATTTATAGTTTTTGGGTTAGGTATAGAATGAGCGCATTTAACGATTCAAAGAAAAGCTTAGTTCTTGTGGTCAAAAGCTAGGGTTCAGCCAAGATTGAACTTTTTACATTCTAAATTCATACGAAAGTTAACATCCTAAAAAGCAGCCTGAAATGAGACAAACTGTAAAATTAAAACCATTTTGAGTTGCTGCAGCAGTTAATATGTCACTGATTAAGCTTCAAAAGAATCTCATTCTCCTTATCAAAGATTACAAAGCCTTTTGAAGTTCACAAACACATACGCACTCATTCCTAAGCTAACTCAGTTTATTTCTGGAGAGAAACAGTTTTTGGCATTTTTATTGTATAAAGTTCATTCAAGTTAAAGTCCACCTGAATAAACACAATGAAAAATATCCAGAAATATTGCATTTTTAAATCGTTTATCTTGGGACTTTTATGCCTTATCTGTATGATGATGTGACGTCAGTTGAGAGTTTTTTTGTTTACTTCTTTGTTGTGTAAAGTAAGAGATTTTTGTCATGATTTTGAGTAAATTATTCTTTAATTTTGGAACAGAATACTATGATTAAGTGCGCAGTTTTAATGTTCGGTTTCAGTGTCAACCTAGATCCTTTTTAAGACTTCATTTTTCTCGTTAGAATCCTTTTGACTCTCTCAAACTATTTTCGCTTATTTATACTCCCCAAAACTTGCCTGATTAGGTAAAACTTACTGGAACATAGTCGAACTTAATCGAACTTAGTCGAACGTAGTAGAACTTAGTCGAATTTTCTCGCACTTCCTTGAGCTTAGTGGAACCTAATCGAACTTAGTCGAACTTAGTCGAACTTAGTTGCGTTTACTCGAACTTAGTCGATCTTAGTCGAACTTAGTCGAACTTAGTCGAACTTAGTCAAACTTAGTCGAACTTAGTCAAACTTAGTCGAACTAAGTCGAACTTAGTCAAACTTAATCGTACTTAGTCGAACTTAGTCGAACTTAGTCGAACTTAGTCGAACTTAGTCGAACTTAGTCGAACTTAGTCGAACTTAATCGAACTTAGTCGGCATTAGTCGATCTTAGTCCCATTAAAATTCTCCAATGATGACTTTACTCCAAAAAGTTCAAAATCGTACAACAGCTTAGCATCTTCTCCTTACACAAAAACTACTCAATGTCAATGTCAACAATAATACAATTTCTCATTCATTCATTCTTTTACAGACACCCGTTTTGCTGATTGAGACAAAAAAGTACGTCTGGCGTTAAAAATCAAACCAAAATCAGCATAAAATGTACGAAGACTTGATGAACCGTGCCAATGCGGCATTTCAAAGTGGCAAGACAAAGGATGTTGATTTTAGGAAGACACAGTTACGGGCGCTGTTAAGAATGTATGAAGAAAATAAGGAACCAATGGCAAGAGCACTCGCTGCTGACTTGAGGTAATCGACATTCTAAAATGACCGGAACAGAAATTTGAATTTTTAATTTTTTTTGACATAGAAAACCAAAGCAAGAGTCATACGTGTGTGAAATTGATTTTCTCATTAATGACCTTAAAAATATGTTGAATGTTGTGGATGACTGGGTTAAGCCTGAGTTGGTGAGTATTTTTGGAATTAATCATTTTGGGACTTGTTTGATAAATTTTAAATTTTATTGTAGCCTAAAAAAGGTCTTGTCAATATCATGGATCAAGTTCTAGTCTATCCAGACCCATTGGGTGTTGTGTTGATCATGGGTGCCTGGAATTATCCAATACAATTGCCATTGCTTCCTCTTGCTGCTGCCATAGCTGCTGGAAATGTTGCCATTGTTAAACCAAGTGAAATTGCTGTGAATTGTGCAAATATTATTGTGGAAATGATGCCCAAGTATTTGGATAATGTGAGTAGGGTTCGTGGGGGTCTTGGGACTAAAGACTAATTTTGATCACTAAACCTCATCCAGGAATGTTACCACGTCGTATGTGGAGGAATCCCAGAAACCACAGAGCTCCTTAAACACAAATTCGACTACATCTTCTACACGGGATCTGGTCGTGTTGGAAAAATCATTTATGAGGCAGCTGCAAAGCATTTAACTCCAGTCACATTGGAATTGGGTGGAAAGTCACCTTGTTATGTTGGTAAGCTCAGAACTTAAATGCTTTACAAACTTAAAATTTACAATTTTGAACTTAATTCTAGACAACAGCGTTGACATCTCGATAGCAGCAAGAAGAATCATGTGGGGAAAATTCATGAATGCCGGTCAGACATGCGTTGCACCTGATTATATTTTATGTACCAAAGAAGTTCAAAAAAAGTTTGTAAACGAAGCCAAAATTATTGTTAAGGAATGGTATGGAGATGATGTCAAGAAGAGTCCTGACTTTTGTAGAATCATCAATCAGGCTAATTTCCAGTGAGTAACAGTTTAGAGACGTTGACTAGACCCTAGACTAGACTTAGACTAGACTTAGACTAGACCTAGACTAGACCTAGACTAGACCTAGACTAGACCTAGACTAGACCTAGACTAGACCTAGACTAGACCTAGACTAGACCTAGACTAGACCTAGACTAGACCTAGACTAGACCTAGACTAGACCTAGACTAGACCTAGACTAGACCTAGACTAGACCTAGACTAGACCTAGACTAGACCTAGACTAGACCTAGACTAGACCTAGACTAGACCTAGACTAGACCTAGACTAGACCTAGACTAGACCTTGACTAGACCTAGACTAGACCTAGACTAGACCTAGACTAGACCTAGACTAAACCTAGACTAGACCTAGACTAGACCTAGACTAGACCCTAGACTACACCTAGACTACACCTAGACTAGACCTAGACTAGATTCAGCCAATTAAAATCAACTTAAACATCATCTCTTTTACAGACGCATCACAAAGCTTATGGAAACCGGGAAAATAGCTCTCGGTGGAAAAACCGACCCAGAAGATAGGTTCATTGAACCAACAATCCTAGTAGACGTTAATGGAGACGATTTAGTCATGCAAGATGAAATCTTTGGGCCAATCCTTCCAATTGTAAATGTCAATAATGCATTTGAGGCTATTAAATTCATCAATTCCAAGTAAGTCAAATCAGACATGCTATGATGATTTGAAAGTTATGTTCTTTTGTGATTACAGAGACAAGCCACTCGCGCTCTACATATTTTCAAACCGCAAAGCAGATAGAGATGCTATCATCGGAAACACATCATCCGGTGGAGTTTGTGTGAATGATACAATTATGCATATGGCTATAGACACGTATGTGATGACTTGTTTGATGACCTTTTTGGATATTTTTAAACTTTTATGATTTTAGAGTGCCATTTGGAGGAGTTGGACCAAGTGGAATGGGAGGATATCATGGAAAATTCTCTTTTGATACGTTTGCACATAAGAAGCCCTGCCTAGTCAAGAAAATTGACAAAATTGGAGAGAAGCTTGCTGAGTAAGTTTGAATATAACCTCGAAAAATTTAAACAATAACAAAATTTATCATTTTAGTGCCCGATATCCGCCATACACAGATGGAAAGATCAAATACTTGAGCTTCCTCACAAAGAACCGCAAAGTGCCATCAATTCCATACTTTTCCCACATGGTCCTCTTTGGTCTTGGTATTGCATCGGCTCTCCTTGTCCAACAAGCCTTGCCTGAAGTATTTAAATTCAAAAAAATTAAACTTTTCAGTTTCAAATAATTTTTCTTTATTTTTTTCTTGGATACTTTCCTCGTCCCGTGTGTGATGATTAGATGTAGATGTGAATTAGTCATTTGTTGTACTAAAAAATGAGAATTTAGAAAAAAAATGCTAACAAACTTTGATGTTGGGTGCAAATGAGCCTTGAATTTATATTTTTTGTGAGGTAAATTTTAATTTCTTGTCAATTTTTTTTATGTTTTTTTTTGCACGATTAAAAAAGAATTTAAAGATTTTGTTAAATAATAATAAAAATTATGGAACTTGTGCCGTACTTTAATTGATGGAAATTTTGTTTTTTTTTTGGGATGGAAAAACAGGAGTACGGGAAGTGGCATGTTGAGGTACTAAGGAGGTTTCCTAGTGAACACATACATCTGTCTTTATCCTAAAGCAGTGAGCAGTGTTGTCCAAACTTTAAGGAACTAAGCGATATATTGCTTGTAATTTCGGGATTGGCTCTTGGTTAAAAAGTGGAAATTTTTTCCGAAAGTCTAGTGCTAATCTTAGTTTGAGGCCAACAGAGAAAAGAGATCCTCAAACATTTTATACATTTCAGTCGGCAGTCCCCACTTCCTGTGTTGGTCAAAACCCCTTCCTGTGTTGGTCAAAACCCCTTCCTGTTTTGGTCTTAAAATTAAACAAATGTTAAAATTAAATTTTCCAAAGCCTCAAAAATAAACGGCTACAAAAAATTCAAACATCTTAACCGATTCATCAAGCCAACTTCACAAACTATACATTAAGCCGTCTTTACATTGTTGTCATTCTCATCCAATTCAAAACAAACAATTTCGAAGAAAATTTATTAAAAATTTCAATTTAAAGGCTTAAATTAACCCGATACATTCATGAAAATGACGGCAAAGTCAACCACTAACAGCAGCGTCATGGACAGTCGCAAAGAACTGTCCGAGCTGATAAAGAGAAAGGCTGAAATTTCGGTAAATTGAGAAACTTTTTTGGAGGGTAGATTAGCATTTTTGAAGATTTTTGCAGATTTTTAAGATTTTGGGAAACAAAACTAAATTTTGATAACTTTTAAGGCTGATCTTGAGTCACTGGAGCGGCAAATTTTCGCATTCGAGGGATCATATCTTGAAGATACGCAATTGTATGGCAACATAATTCGAGGATGGGATAGATACTTGACAACAAATAAAGGAACAAACTCAAAAGCTGACAAAAGAAATCGAAAATTCAAGGATAATGAAAGATTGTTCAGTAAATCTTCAGTTACTTCCTCGGTAAGATCACAAACTTCCCACAAATATTTAAAAAAATTAAATTGTCACCAATTTTAACTCCTTAACCCTTCCTCTCCCCATAATTTCAGGCCGCCGTCAGTGGAACCCTCACAAATGACACCAAAACCAACGACTCAAGTGAGGAGGAAGACAACATGATATCAACAATCGGCAACAGTAGTGTCCATGAACCAACAATTAAAATGGACACAAAGTACATGTCATCACATGATAGCGGTGACTCACTATACCTTCAAAATTTCAAGCAAAAAGATTCTAAACGATCTTTTTCAGACTCGGCAAGTCGTCAATCGTCGGCTAATCTGAAATCGAGCAAAATGAATCCGAATAAGAAGGCAAGACATAAGTAGAAGATGAGGAAGTGAGTGGACTCTGTTGTGGATTTCACTTTTTTGATCTGTAATTTTTAAATGTAATAATGACTAAATAAAGGATTAAGGATAAAAAGCTAAAACCAATTTGACTTTTTAATTAATCGCAAACTTTTTAATTTATTTTTTAATTTAAAATCAATTTTTTTTTACTTTACCAAATCTTCATCAAATCTGTCATTCTTTTTCAGAATTCTTTTACTTCCGCAAGGTTGATTGTCCTCAAAGCTGATCTCATTAGGCGATCCAACTTGATTCTTATCTTTTTCATCTTCCTGATTCTTTTTCTTGTTCTTGAATCTCTTTTTATTCTTTTCCTCTTTTTTGACATTAAACTTCTCAATAAATTCAATATAATTTGTGTAGTTGTCAGGCTTAAAGGTATTGTAGTCCTTATGAACTCTAAACATCGTCAAAACTTCATCAATCATGAATGGAAACAGCCACAGAACTAGTGGTGATTCACCAGGTGTATAGGAACAATCTTTGTGATAGAACAAATATCCATCAAGTTCCGCAAAGTCATGAAAGTATGGCATGCGCTGAAAACAATGATGAACTCGATGTGGCTGCTTAAATTCAAATCCTTCAAGAAAATCAAGTTTTAGTTCATTTTTTGGTACTCGAATGTCAATGACTCCAAGCCTGCATTCATAGAATTTGCTTCCAATCCAGTACCTCCTGAATGCTGTGTCACAATTCGTCAAGTCTCGTCCATCATACTTCATACAGTCAAGGATGTAAATTGTTTTAATCTTCTTGACATAGAAGCAGTCAAGGATCGTGTCTGGTGGGATGTTGGTCTTCACTTCCAGTAACTTATGTCCTGTCTTGGAATAAAGCTTCGCATAATGAGGCTTTTTTTCCAAAAATTTTGGCCGTCGTAGGAATCCAACCGGTTCATCAGGTGGCAATTCATGAATTAATGTTGATCGTGTTCCTTTTGGACATGGAACTAGTAAGAAGTCTTCAAGGTCATCCGGTTCCTCCATCATCCATTCAGACATCATCAAGTTCTTTGAAAACTCCCATCGGTACTGGTCGTCAGTTGAATCTTTAGTAATATCGATATGCGGCACAATTTTCTTGAGATCTTTAAGGTATGACCATTCTTCCTCTCTTTTGTGACGCTGTTGTTCTAGCACAGCAAGTCTACGGCATACTTGAAGTTCATTAAGCTGAGCAATTGCATGTTGACTCTTGTGAAAGGTTTCGTGGTCATTTGGATCAATTACATCGTCCATTATTTTGATTTTGAGCTGATTCTTGTTTAAGCAATTGAAATTTGAAGACAATCTTCCTGTGAATGCCTTGATACCACTTTATTCCTTCTGATTCCACCTCAATCTATAACTTCAACTTTAATTTTATCAACTTTTCTTCATCAAAATTCAAAATAAACATAAAAGTTTAAAAATAAAATTTTTTCTTCATAATGTGAGTTCGCCTTAGTAATGTGACTGCACCTTATTACATCTCAATCGGTTATAAACAACAATTTCTTGTTTTTATTTTGATACAAAAATAATTGAAGAATTTTTTCTTTTCTAGAAAAGTTTTCTCGCTCAAAATGAGTAAATTTGAGATTAATGACATCGACAATTGCTTTGTGTGCGGGGAATACATGGGACCGTTTAAAAATGAGTTGACTGTGGCGACTGGATACTCTGAGAAGACGGTACTGCAGATAATTGGTGAGGAATTGTAGAATACTAGGAAATACCACTACAACAAGTAGCTAGTAAGCTATTATGGGCAGAAACTAGTAGCTAAAATGATTAGTAGCTAGTAAGTTGCTGTGATTAGTGGCTAGTAGCTACTTTGAATAAGATCAATTTTTTCAGAAAATTCACAATTTTTGAACCATAAAATTCTTCAATTTTAGAGAACTTCCTCGAATCCTCAATATCAGAAGTAATCATCGAAAAAGGTGGAATCTGTCAGAACTGCTTCATAAAATTCAATGAGTACGATGAGCACCAAACCATAGCCAATCAAATCCTCTCAGAACTCAATTCAATGTTATTAATCAGAGAATCTTATGTAGCACCAAAACAGGAGCAAAAAAGGCAATTTGAGATAATTTGCAATGAGCCAGAGCAAGCATTAATCCAACTTCCAGGAGAATATGACTTAAATCCAGTGTTAGAAGATGACATAATGCCTGAAGACATTAAACCAATTTTATATGATGAAATTTTGGACATAAAACCAGTGATTGAGAGGAAAAGATCAAATTATGTGAAAAAGGACAAGGATATAGGCTTAGTAGTAACAATAATTAATAATCAGAAATTTTACACATGTGAATTTTGCCAAAAGAACTTCCAAAGTCGATCAAGGCTTCGAACACACCGACAAACTCACTCAACAGAACGGAACTTTATGTGCCAAGAATGTGGATCTAAATTTAAAACTCTAAATTGCCTTAAAAATCACTCAAGACTTCACTCGAATGTTTACTTCCATTGTGACTTGTGCAATAACCGTTTTAAAGGCAAGCACGAGCTACGATGTCATATGGAAGCTATTCATTTAGGCAAGAAGGAACACATTTGTCAGATTTGTGGGAAAGCATTTTCAAGAGACAAGACACTGAGGCAGCACCTCCTTTATCATTATAATGTCAGGAATATAGTTTGTGAAATTTGTGGATTTAAGACAATTAATAGACCGAAGATGACGAGGCATTTGAAGTCACATAGTGGAGTTAGGAATTATGCTTGCAAGTGAGTATTAATGGGGATGGAAGCAAGGATCCCGCAGATTATTCCCATACAAAGATTATTTAAAGATTATAATCTGCGGGAGCCTTCGACTGGAAGCTATTGCAGCTCCTCTTAGTGGAGTCTATTATGAAGTATAATGATTCTGGTCTAGAAAGGAATGTACTGATAATTGATTATTTTGTAGCATTTGTGGAAAGAGGTTCTTGTACTCATACAACGTGACTGCTCATATTAAACACGTCCATTACCATGAGAAGAGACCAACTACATCGGAAGATAAGGTAAGAGCTAGTAAACTAGTATATGTCATTCAAAACCTAATGAAGCTCATTTTTTACTTCCAGCTTCTTTGTACAATCTGCGGCAAAAAGTTCCAGAAAATATGGAAAGTCAAGGAGCATATGAAGGAATTTCACAAAATCATAGAAGAAACAATCGAAATAGTCGGGGATAAAAATATAGAAATCATCACTGATCAGCAAGACTAGATAGTTGAATATTGAGAATTTCGTAGAACTAAGAAAATCAGGAAATAAAGTTTAATGTACAAAATAATATTTGAATTTTAATTGATTAAGTTTATATAGCTTTACCTCCTTACTTTGATGACCTTACAGATCAATTGTGATCCATCACTTCCCTCAGATGTCGCCTAAAACTGCTGCAATACTGTTTCCATCAACAGCTTCTTTCCATGAGTACTTTGGTCTTCCAAGTGCTCTTTTTCCATCCAAAAAGTCCGATTTAAAGACCTTACTTAGTGAAGCTTCCACATTTCTCCTTAAACTATGTCCAGCCAATGGAAGTCTGATTACTTTAAAACGTTTAATGATACAACTTTAGCTACAAGAGCATATAACTTGGATAGACCTTAACTGAGGTGTTGTTCCTAAGATGACAGCTTTTGCTTTGCAGTTGTAAATTGCTTATACTATCCATTAGGATTCAAAGGTGCTATTCTAGTAGATATGCTTATGGTCTACCCAAATAACCAACCTTAGAATGATCCAAACCTTAACAGACCCCAAAAACTTTAAACTTCTGAACAAACATTTTCAAATCTTTTCAGTTCATTCATCAATACTCAATTTGTCATTCTCTCACGTTCTCACTGAGCTGCTAATTTCTACATGATCATTTATAGTTTGTTATCTCATCGCATAAGTTCAAGTTCGCAATTCATCTCGACGATGATTTTTAAGTAAATAATATTTTTTTTTCATAATTTAATAATTTAATTAATTTTAATTTATTATTCTAGAATATTTGTCATCATAAATGCCTTTACTGTGGGTAGCTTAGCAAGCACAGCCTATGGAATAACAGCAAATTGTGACTATGGTACGCATGTAGGCACAATGGGGCCACTTTCTCGTCCTTATCGCTGCACAATTGCTGAGCAACCGGTCAGAGGTGATGTTGTCATTGATAATGTAATCGGGAAGCACGAAGCTGGAAAAACGAACACTGACGTTGCTGTTGCAAATGTCAAGAATATCAAAAGTGATCGAATTCCATCTGGACTTGCTGGATTCTTTCCAAATGTGGAGGGAATTTTTGCCTTTGCAAGTTTAAAGACAATTTTATTGAACGAAGATTTGAGATCTTTCCCAAAATTAAAGTACATTGACATCAGTCAGAACAGAATCACAAGCTTGCCATCAGATGTCTTTGAAGATAATCCACAAATGGAATGGATTGATATTTCAGATAATCGAATTAAACTTGTTGGATTGGATATCCTTAAGAACCTCAAGAAGCTTCATTATGCTAACTTCGGAACAAACTACTGCATTGATGAACTTGCTAGAGATAAGACAGACATTGAAAGGACATTGAAGCCACGGTTGGTGTCAATGTGTCAATCACATGATGTGCCATATTTTGGAACTACAATATCACCAGGCGGTAAGATCAGAACTACAAGTTCTTATGTTATTGATGCTTCAGAAGATACAACAACTGTTAAGCCTGGATTTTGGAAGAAGATTTTTGGATAGAGTGTGACTTTAATGAGCCTTGAAATGGATTTTAGAGATGCAATCTGAGCATCTTGTGTATCTTGAGTGTACACAAAAATATATTAAATAAATTAAAATACCAAAAAAATCAAAAACTTTTCTTCAATTAAAATAATTTTTGTGGTCCTGAAAAGGACCTTTTAAACTTCCTCCAACCCCTATTTCCACTCATCCATCTTAAGCACGTTCACCACGGATTCTTCTTGCAAGTTGGATATCCTTTGGCATAATTGTGACTCTCTTTGCATGAATAGCGCACAAGTTTGTGTCTTCAAACAATCCAACGAGATAAGCCTCTGATGCTTCCTGTAAAGCCATGACAGCTGACGATTGGAAACGCAAGTCAGTCTTGAAATCTTGAGCGATCTCACGAACAAGACGTTGGAATGGCAATTTGCGGATCAACAATTCAGTCGACTTTTGGTAACGACGAATTTCACGAAGAGCGACTGTACCTGGACGGTAACGATGTGGCTTCTTAACTCCTCCAGTTGCTGGTGCTGATTTTCGTGCAGCTTTTGTGGCGAGTTGTTTTCTTGGTGCCTTTCCACCAGTTGATTTACGAGCGGTTTGCTTGGTACGAGCCATTTTTTTGGTTTGATGTGTATTGAATGAAATTCAAAAAGATACTGATGAAATGTAAAGGAAAAGGGGCTGCTTATATAGAGGATTTTTGGCGGGAAAATATTTATTTGAGGTCGAAGGGGAAGGTTTGAGTTGAAATTGGCTGATTTTAGGAATATTTGAGTAAAATTAAAACTTAAAGTTAATAAATTGAATAAATTTGGCAATAGCTGATAACTTTTTACTTGAAGTTCTTCAAAATGCTCACACAAAATCACAACAAACTCGAAATTCCCGATAAAAAATTCAATAACTTCCCCTTACTTACCTGCAACTATAAAACACATTCTACACATCCCCACCCCTCACATCTTTCCTATATAAACCCAACAAATTCTTTCATTCCACATCATTCAAGTTCTTTCGTTCTTTGAAACAACAAGTAACTTAATAAAATTCTTACAAAATGACAGGCCGAGGCAAAGGAGGTAAAGGTTTAGGAAAAGGAGGTGCAAAGCGTCATCGTAAAGTTCTTCGTGATAACATCCAAGGAATCACAAAACCAGCAATTCGTCGTTTAGCTCGTCGTGGTGGTGTCAAGCGTATCTCAGGATTGATCTACGAAGAAACTCGTGGAGTCTTGAAAGTTTTCTTGGAAAATGTCATTCGTGATGCTGTCACTTATACTGAACATGCTAAGAGGAAGACAGTCACTGCTATGGATGTTGTTTATGCTTTGAAGAGACAAGGAAGAACTCTTTATGGATTTGGCGGTTAAATGCTTTAAATTGGAGGAGATTAAAATGTTAAAAAAGGTCTTTTTAAAGACCAACAAAAAGATTGGAAGAGAAAAATTAATTTTTGATGATTTACTTGATTTTTTTGATAGTTTTAAGGAAGTCTGTGATGAATAAAATTGTGAATTTTGAAATGTTTGAATTTTTAAAAAAATATTTGACTAGTAAATTATTTACAGGATAATATGAGAAGATTGATGTGAAAAAAAGTGACATTAAAGAATCATAAAATTGTAACTTTTTAGAGCACCAGAGATAAGAAGCATTTTAAGTTATTTGATGATTAACTTGATTCGATAAAACTTGAGTTTTTAAGATCTTAAATCAGAAATAAATGATAAAGTAGCTGCCAAAATACAATAAGAATTAACTCAAACACTTTGACATGAGCAAAATGTTCAAGATGTTAGTCAGAATGTATCGAAAGGCAATCATTAGGCATTCTGACATAACTTTAAGCGGAGATCGAAGTCGATGAAATTTTGTATGGATTCTAATTGACTCAGATATCGATGAAAATCTCGAGTAGCTTCGAGCTCTGACTTTAAGATTCAATTGCTGATAATTGAAAGTAGCAAAATAGTTCAATGCTGCACAAACTTGATGACGAAGTAAAATAGATTCAAAATTTAGCAATGACGCCATTGACGCTACCCAGTTCAGAAGATTTTGCTGATGTTGATGCTTTTCGATGACCTGTCGGTTCATTATATTGGAATTAATTCAACATTCATCATCAAAATCTACAGTTTTGTAATAAAGAAATTAAAATTATTTAAAATTCTAGTCAATGAAAATAAAATTCTTATCTTAAACCACAAAAAAACATTTTTGTAAATTATTTGTTTAAGTTAAAATTTTTATTTCCAGCACATTTTCAAACAACTTAATTAAATACTCCAAATTGGACCCAACGAAATCATAAATCAAAATTTCTATAATTTAATAATTTCTTCAAAATTTCACAATTTAAAGTCGCTTATGTTCTGTCATTGCAACGGTAAATTTTAAAATTCCTTTGCCTTTTGCGTCTGTCTGCTTTTTTGTAATTTTCTCTGAATTTGCTTGTGTTTTTTTGATTCTGACTTTGAAGTAAATTTTACTATAATTAATCATTACTTTTAAAGACTTTTGCTTTTGAAAGTTGAAGATTGAAGAATTTGTGGTTGATTTAGCTACAAAACATAATTTTATAATTGCTACTTCTTTAAATAATTAAATTTTAATGAAAAATTCCAGGCAAAAACCACAAAAAATCCACTTTAAACCAAAAAATTTCAATTAAAATCAAAAATTCCCACAATTAACTCAATTAATTCCAATTCTACCTTGAATTTCCCACTAGATTTCAAAAAAATTTCTAAAATCCACCCACAAATAACCAAAATATTTAAACTTTTCACCAAATACTACCTAAAAATTTTGGCGCCAAAAAATTGTACGTGAGGCTTCGTTTCCATCAACATACAACATTCATGTGACCCCGACAAATTTTTACAAAAATTATCAAAAAACTTAATTCCATTCATTTATCCAGTGAATAAAGAAGAAAACAAAAAAAAAACTTAAAAAAATGTCTGACCCAGCACCAGAAATTGAAGCACCAGTTGAAGCTGCACCAGTTGCATCACCACCAAAAGGCAAGAAAGAAAAGGCACCAAAGGCACCAAAGTCACCAAAAGCTGAAAAGCCAAAGTCTGACAAGCCTAAGAAACCAAAGGTAGCACCAACTCATCCACCAGTCAGTGAAATGGTTGTCAATGCTGTCACAACATTAAAGGAACGTGGTGGATCTTCACTCATTGCCATTAAGAAGTTTGTTGCTGCTCAATACAAGGTTGATGTTGAGAAGTTGGTTCCATTTATCAAGAAATTCTTAAAGTCATCCGTTGCTAAAGGAACATTGTTGCAAGCTAAAGGCAAAGGAGCGTCAGGATCCTTCAAACTTCCACCAGCAGCCAAGAAGGTTGAGAAGAAGCCAAAGAAGGTTCCATCAACACCAAAACCAAAAACAACCAAGCCAAAACGTGTAACTGGTGAGAAGAAGGTTGTAAAGAAGCCAGCAGCAAAGAAGCCAGAAGCCAAGAAAGCAACAAAAGCAGCAAAGCCAGCAACAAAGAAAGTTGTTGCAAAGCCAGCTTCCAAAAAAGCAGCAGCACCAAAACCAAAAGCTGCAAAACCAGCAGCAAAGAAGCCAGAAGCCAAGAAAGCCACAAAGGCAGCAGCAAAAAAACCAGTAGCAAAACCAGTCGCAAAGAAACCAGCAGCCAAGCCAGCAAAGAAGCCAGCAGCAAAGAAAGCAAAGTAAATTGAAGGAAGACAGAAGCAGTCGTTGAATATATTTAAAAAAAAATCAGTCCTTTTCAGGGCTACCAAATTAATTTTGAAGAAGAAAAGATTTGAAAAATTCAAGGGGTTGATGGTAAATTAGGGTTGTAAAGCATATGGAGTGCTAAATGAAGTTCTGCAAGTTTTGTGAGGAACAATTCGGGTAAAATGCATCAAAAAATTAAGATTATTTGGGGTGGAATCAAGATGCAGATATTTATTTGTGTTTGTGGATTGATTTTTTGCTGTAACGGTTTTTTTGGGATGCATTATTGTGGTAGTTGATGAATGTCTGATAATGTAGCGTCAAGCATCAGGTAGAAATGTTCTTTTAAGCTTCTTCATTGAAAATTTATAATTTCTTTATTTTGTAAAGATCTAAAGGTTATGTTTGGATGATAAGCATTGCACCAATAATCTATTTAAGATCTTAGTCTCGAAATAATCAAGTTGATCAAGCTGTAAAGCATACATTTTGATATAATTTCCGAGCATCATCAGCAGGAAAAATAGGGCATAAAACCCGAGTAGTATCAATGTAAAGTCAAAATTTGGCGCGAAAGTAGATGAAGCTGCCAACACGAAGCTAGCTTCATATTATTTCTAGTATTTTTGGTGCCATGCATAGTCTTGGTAAGCAACAGAAATTAGAAAATCCACCATAAACAGCGGTCAATTAACTCAAAGCAGAACTCGCCATTTTTATTGAAAAAGTTTGAGTATCCGTCCCAAAAAATGCACAGTCAAGCCATTAAAAAATTGTAATTTAATTAAATAAAGCCAGGTGGACTGTGAGTTATGATAATTCAAATATTTTATTGATCAGGCTGTCCTAGCTACATTCAGGTACCCAAATAATTAATATTTTTCTAATTAATTGCATTTTAATTGTGGGGAATTTTTCTATATCAGGAGGACAGGTACACGAGTTTTATCTGAACCTTTATGGCCTATTTTTGTGACATCGATGGATATGACGATTTTATATATCAATTAAATGCCGGAATACTTAAATAATGCAACATTAGGACGATGTGATTTCAGCTTGGCTTCTCTTTTGAGTTTGAATCTGATGCCAATTTAGAACTTAAACTATTAATGCTGAATTATGCGTCTTAATTCCATTCGGTCAATAAAAAAGCTCAATCTAGTCAAGAATCTTTCCATAAAATTCAAAATTGACAGCATAAAGTATTAAGTAATTGTCCATAAAAATTGAACATCACAAATGTTTCCAAATTCCCTCCAAATATCCATCAACCTATCCTCAATCTACCTATAAAGACACAAGTTTCCCATCCAAAATCCAAAACAAAAATAACAAACAATTCGGAAACTTCACTTCCTATTATAACTTCTCATACAGCCGTTTTGTGATAAGCCACGCCTCCCAACTTCTCTTCTCTCAATTTTTCCTATAAATACTCAAACTTCCTCACCAACTTTACTCATTCCATATTTGGATTTCAAGCATCAACAACACAAAAGAAAAAAATAAAAAGAAGCATTAAAAATGTCAGGACGAGGAAAAGGCGGTAAAGTTAAGGCAAAGGCAAAGTCACGTTCAAGTCGTGCTGGTCTACAATTCCCAGTTGGACGTATTCATCGTCTTCTCCGTAAAGGACATTATGCAGAACGTATCGGTGCTGGAGCTCCAGTTTATCTTGCTGCTGTTATGGAATATTTGGGCGCTGAAATTCTCGAATTAGCTGGCAATGCTGCACGTGACAACAAAAAGACAAGAATCATTCCAAGACATTTACAATTGGCAATCAGAAATGACGAGGAACTGAACAAATTATTGTCGGGTGTGACAATCGCTCAAGGTGGTGTCTTGCCAAACATTCAAGCTGTATTGCTGCCAAAGAAGACTGAATCGAAGAAAGCTTAAGCATTTTGAGGCTTAACAAATATTCTGATGAAGACTGATTTTTTTAAATGAATCTTATGGACAATGGGAAATAACTTTTTGTGTTGACTGTGATGTTTTGAAAAAGAAATAAAAATAAATAAATGAATAATTTTTTTAAATTAAATTTTTGAGTTTTTTGATATTTTTTAAGCATTTTTAAGTAGACTTTGGGTTTGAACTTGTTGGAAGTAAGGTTTAACAGGCCATAGAAGCTATCAGTTGGGTTTCCCAGCATATAAATTTGTTTATTGTATTTGAAATTGGATTTTTTTACTTCATATTTGGGTTCATCGGCTTTTAAATGAGTCTATTGAACCACAAACTGATTCTGTTCCTATTTTTGTGGATCATTGGCTGAGAGTATGGTTCCAAGAGGTCTCAAAATGGATCTAAAACTTTAAAAGTTGATACAATTGTTCACTGGACTACAAATGGATTTACTAGATCAATAAACTGTATTATTGCCTCACAAACTGGATCAACTGACTTAAGTTTTTAATAGTAGCTACCATTGACTTATAAAATGAATCTCTTGACTCACAAATTCGGCTATTACACTTTAAACTGATCTTGTTGCTCACGAAACGACAAATAAACTCACAAATGGTTTCAAAAGTATATAAATGAATTTATTAAGCCGAACATTGAATTTTCATTCTCAGAAATGAGATTAAAGCAGCACCTTCTAAGTCTTTTGGCTATCAAACAAATTCAAGGATCTAGCAAGCTTGGTTTTTGGGGTCGAACTGTTCCCTTCTCCTCCATAAAGTTTTTTTGAATTACCTTGAGCGACAAGTCCAGGCTCACATCCTCCCAAAATAGATTTCTAGTTTTTACGGTCCCTTAATCCAGCTGAGTCATCATAAACTCCAATAACTCATATCCAATTATTCAATTACATCCGCTCACTTCCACGTTTTCGGTTCTACGCAAAACTATCAACAACATCGTTCATTCACATTTTCTCAAGCTGCATGCCACACTTTAAAATCAACATTCTTCCTATTTTGCTTATCATCACGCACATTTCTCGCTATTATCGCTTCCAATTCTCTTTGTTGCAGTACTTAATCACCTTTGAGTATAAAAAACATTGCAGGTTGTCAAATAATCATCAGTTCACAATCTAATCTACAATGGCATCAATCAAGTTTATCGCTTTTGCTTTCTGCATCGTTCTTGTTGCAGTTTTATGCAACTTTGGAGTTACAGCAGCACCAGCAAGCATTGGTAACATTTTCCCAGATTTTGTAAAGGCGATCCGTGAAGCATTCATTGGAATTATCAGAATCATTCAGAGACGATTGGGATTGATTCAGAATTAGGAGAGGATGATGTTGGAGATGAGGACTCTGCGGACAGTTTGAGGCTCATGGATGACATGAAAAGTTGATAAAGCTGTCAAGAAGTCGAAAATTAAAATTTACATCAAATAAATTTTTTGTGTGCATTAAAAATTGAAAAATCCGTTAAATTATAATTTAAATAAAAATTGAAGTTTCTCAAAATAGTTTGTACATTTTTTTGGTAGTTTCAAATTCCAACTTTTATTTGCTTATATTATCTAAGGCATTCATCAATATTAGCTCAATTTGTGAAGTATTCATCTATAAACAGTGCATTTCCAAAAATCATCAAGTGACAATCGAGTCTGATCAACTTTTGAAACATATTAAAACTTAGTAGTAGCTTGTAGTCCAATCTACAGGACATCAAGCTATCTACAACATCTTTTATTCATCATTATTGAACCCAAAATAAAATTAGACAACAAACCAGCAACATCAGCCTCAAAGATCCAAGCTAAAGTTCAAAACAAACAACCTCTAAGCCCCGACGAGTTCCTACACTATAAATCCATAAAACTTAAAAAAGCGATGGGTCGACTGCGTAAGAAAAAAGATTTACGGAAGAATTTGCTCAAGAAAAAGTACCTCAAACGCATATCAGAAGCTAAAAAAAATGAAGCACAAATCATAGAAGTAGAATCAATATCTGCAGAACCACTGCAACGTACTAGACGAGGCATATCAACAGCTACGAGAGCAATCGCAAAAAAAAGAGCTTGTAGGTACACAAAATTTGCGATTAGAATTGTGAGGAGGCTGCAAAGATTTGCCTATGGATTAAAATATTTTGTTGGACTTACGAGGGAACCGCTGATGTGGAATGAGGATGAGGACGATGATGATGAAGCTGATGGCAATGAATAAAGTCAAAATTATTAACGAACATAAAATATTTTTTATTCAAATAAAGCAAAAAATTTTGTTCAATTTTAATGCAGTTCCACTATTATTAACTATTTGATGTCTCACCCTTCTCCTTATACTCAATAATTCCTTTCTCAATCAAGTCTGGAATTTCAACAGCTAACCAAGGTGCGAGACCGAGAGCCATGGCATGTGCAATTCCAAATTTCGGGACATTTCTTGACCAAAGTGGCTTGAAGTGTTCTGTGAGACAAATTTTACCTCCTCTATACATTTTTGCTGTTTTACCATCGAGTTCTGGGAGAGCAATTTCTGGTGCTGTTGTTGGATATGTCACGGGAATCTGAAATAGTTGTGAATTTAAAAACTGTTTAATAAGGGTGTTCAAATTTAAACGGAACTTATGCCAATAACTGAACTTATTCCAATAAACTAAACGTATTTCATAAATTTGAACTTAATCCGAGAAATTTAACTTATCCCTTAATATTAAAGTCATCTCCTAAAACTGACCTTATCCTTATATACTGAGCTCATCTCTAGTAACAGAACTAATCTCTAGGCAATGAACTTATTTCAAGAAACTGAACTTATCTATACAAACTGAACTTATCTCTAGAAACTGAAGTTATCTCTGGAAACTGAACTCATCTCTTAACACTGAACTTATCTGTGGAAACTGAACTAGTCTCGTGAAACTGAACTTATCTCTAGAAAATGAAAATTTTCTCTGGAAACTGAACGTATCCCAGGAAACTGAACTTATTTTAATAAACTGAACTTCTTCCTGGAAACTTAACTTATCTCCAGAAACTGTACATATCTCTAGTAACTGAACTTATCTCTAGAAATTGAATTTATCTCTAGAAACTGAACTTATCTCTGGACATTAAACTAATCTCGTGAAACTGAGCTTATCTCTAGAAACTAAACTCGTCTCATAAAACTGAACTTATCCTTTAATACTGTCCTTATTACTAGAAACTGAAATTATCGTTCAATTTAAAACAAATCCCAAAAAACTGATTCTATCCTAAAACTTGACTGAACTTATCCCAAAAACCCAACTTAAACTTACATCAAATTCCACATCAAACTCGTACTTCAGAAGATTATGGACATACCAGCACTTGCCAAACCATCGAGTTCCTTCCTTGTTGCTTTCCAGTCGGAACCAATCTGAGTCAGATGTTTTGTTGTTTTGGACATACTGAAATATTGTATCAGCATTGAATTTCTATGATTTTTTTTTAATTTTGAAAGTTTCTTTGAATTTTGAGAATTTGTGAAAGCTCAGCGGACATGAATCCTGATAGAACTTACCATTATAATCCATTAATTTATCAAAAATTCTTAAGAAACTTTCAAAAATCCATACCTTAATCAATGCCTGATACTCCTCCTTTAATCTTTGCACCCACAAATCCTTGTCACGGGGTGAAGCTCGTGTCTGCAGCAAAGGAATGTTCTGGAGGGTCTTTTTTGTGCCTGCATCGACCATTTTTATTGTAATTATTAAATTTTTACTTGATCTAAGTGAGAGCTGCTGTGAAAGTGTTGTGTTTTTGAAAAGTTGTCGACGTGAAACTGACGAGGGGATGGAAAGTGTGGTGAAAATTGATGGATGTGAAGGAATAATTGTAAATAAGTTGGAGATTAACAAAGTTTTGTGTGGGTTTTAGGAGACAGAAACATGGCAAATTTTTTTGGTGAATTTTTAACAAAAAAAATAAGTTTTTGGCAGTTAAAAAAATATTCAAAAATGTAAAATCACCCCAAAAATAATGTTTTGGAAACTTTGTGTAAACAGAATCAGCTGTCTGCACCTGTATGCGTGAGTTCATCGTAGTAAATTCCGTAAATCCACCAAAAACTCACACAAGAGTCGCAGTTTTCATTAAAATTTCCAATTTTTTTGAAAATCCTTCATTTTTTCAATAATTTTTCACAAATTTTAATTCTGTAAGTATTAAAAAAATTGACCTTAATTTAATTTCAACACAATTACAACTCATTTGGGTTCATTTTATAGCTTATGTAACAAAACATTTAACAACTTCAGTCAGCGACAACCAAAAAAAAAAAAATTGGATTAAAAAATTTTCAATTGAAAATCATCAAAAGCCAAGCCCAAAAATGTTTCTGGTTGCTGTTACAGGTGGAATAGCATGTGGAAAGACAAAAGTTTGTGAAGTTTTCCAAAAGTATTATGACGTTCCAGTCGTTAATGCTGATGCCATATCAAGAGAAAGTAAGTTGCTCAACATTTGATTTTTTTTTCATGAATTTTCAATAATTTCCCAACTTTTTAGTCGTCGAACCAGGAAAGCCAGCATGGAAGAAAATCAAAGAAAGCTTCGGCAATGAAGTCTTTAATGACGACGAGACCCTTAATCGTGAAAAACTGGGTCAAATAATCTTCGATAATGTCGAAAAGAGGCGAATTCTCAATCGGATCACACATCCAGTCATTCATTTTGAGATTTACAGGCAAATTTTCAAGTATTTTATTCGCGGAAAGAACTTTGTCGTATTGGAACTGCCACTGCTATTTGAAGTCAATAGCAATTTAATTAATTATATTTATAAAATCATTTGTGTCGTGGCTGAAGAAGACATCCAGATCACTAGACTCATGGATCGAAATAATTTGTCACTGACTGAAGCTAAGAAGAGAATTAAGGCTCAAATGTCACTCGATCAGAAGGCAAACATGTCAAATTTTGTGATTGAGAATTCAGGATCACAGCAAGACATGGAGGAACAAGCTTTAAGTATTATTAAGATTCTGATTAAAAGCAATCATCACTGGAAGCTGCGTGGAATCATGCTGGCTTCAGCATTTTCAATCATTGCTGGTATTGCGTGGCTACTCAACTGGAAATATAAGTTCCTGTCATAACTTATGGATGGGATTTAGTTGCAATTTATTTTCAATGTGCGATTTTTTTTTTGTTAATTAAATTTGACTTTTCATAGTGCGCATATGGTTCTATGGTGATGCAAAAGTTATGTTGGTGGATGTTGGTGATTTAGCTATGTTGAGGAACTGTGCATCTTAGTTGAAGTAGGTGCCCGAATAGCACAAGTCGGTAAATCGATCAGAAATCCGGCACCAAGCTAGTGTGACTCTGGCATGGTGCTGGCTTCGATTTAAATCAAGCACGATGCCAGAGTCACACTAGCTTGGTGCCGGATTTCTGATCTATTAACCAACTTGTTCCATTTGGGGGTAAATTAAGCAACTTATTAATAACATGAGTTTTAGGATTTTTGAACCACTTTGTGGGATCAATGCACATGACTTAATGAAACTAAGCAAGCAGCTGATCACCATATCATCAACTGACAATTTTTGCATCACTTGTGGTTATAGGCATTAATAGTTCTATTGTTATTATGATAAATCTAATTATTAGTTATTTGTATGTTTCTCTCTGGGATTCTTTTGGGGGCTTGAAATGCTTGTAAGTGCTAAAGAACTGATCATTTGGCATTTGATCATTTTTGGATCTTTTTGATCCAAACCAAAAACCTTCACATTTCATGTCCAATAAGAATTTTTTGTGTATCGAAAAAAAATGTTTTTTTCTTTGTGGTTCAATATATTATTGTGGTAATGGCTGAGAAATGAGTAAAATAAATAAAAGACAAATTCAAATGTTGATCATCATCGTTAGTCTCTTTTTGTCATTTTTATTATGTTTTGCTTTTCACTTTACAGACACGCTATAAAACATAGTTTGACGAAACTGTGTCGAGTTTACGTAAAAATTGTAATTTTGGACTTTGATTTGGGTTAACTATCGTAATTGAGTTCAAAGTTTTCTTTTTGTTGCTTTCTTAAAATGGGGATATCCCAAACCAACACTATAGCACGTAATAACATGACTTTTAAATATTACCTACAAATTAACCTAAGCTTACCACATTCAGCTTCATCATGCCACATGAATCTTCACCGAATGCTTCCATTTTCCACTTCTTGTGATCTTAGCAACCTTCTCAGTAATCACATAGACACTGCCTTTCTGTCCACACAAAATTTGACTCAAATCATTCGAAGTTTGATAAATGACTTCATGCCATTCAGCAGTAAGCGGGGTTCTCGGATCCCACATGACAACTGTTGAGAATTTTGGGATGATATACAGCACAACTCCATCTGGATTAGATGTTAGTGATTTTGCTGGTCCTAATAAAGCTCCAATGTATGTTAATGGACTTCTTATTGACATTTTTTTGGATTCGACAATTGAGAAGTTGAGGTATCTGATTGGTGTAAGGTTCATGGAATATAGGTTGCCTGTTGAAGAGTCGGTAATGTACATCTGGTCTTTTTGTTGAGTTATAAGCATTTCAGTGAATGCGAGGGACTTTGAGGGCTGGATGTACTCATTGCTGAAAGAGTTTGTGTGATTATTTTTCAATTATTGAGATAGAATCTTAAAGGTAGTTGATAAACTAATGCAGCAGTCAGAGATGTGGTTTCTGGAACTGGTTTTTAGGACTACTCAAGGTACCTTATTTTCTAGCGTTGTCTCACCAAATAATAACTTACGTGAACTTAAGTTTTCCAATTTTTCTTTCATTCATTGAGTAAACTAGTAAGTAGTCCTCTCCATAGAGGCTGATGTAGGCTCGAGTGTCACCATTCTCACACTCAACTGGGTCGATGACGATTTTTGAGAACTTTTTGCCCAATAGGAGGTCAAATGCCATGAAATGAACCTGAAAACATCAAAAATAAAGTCAAGGTAGCACAAAGGTAATTGTCAATCGACAGCCAGCGATAAATCCAACTTTGGGCAGCATCTATGGGAGGCCATAGATCACAATTAATCTGTAAGGTCATCAGGTGCGTAGCCAGGAGGGTATTGTCCCCCTTTTAAGCGTTTTAGGCCATGCTCTTGCGGCAGTTCAAAACGTTTAAGCGGGGGGGGGGGGGGGGGGTACAAGACCCTCCTGACTACGCGCCTGAAAGTCATCGAAGTAAGTAAGCACAAAGGAGATCAGATTTGAAAAAAAAAACAATTTTTTAACAGACCTAATTTATAAATGACCCCATGTTTTATGCCACTTCAGTCAAAAATCAGCAATAATCATCAAAAGCACAACTTACTTCCTCATTAAAGTACAGCAAATCATACACAAAAATTTTTGGTGCACAATTGTCAGTTCCTTCATCAATCAGCCACAGTCTTCCTTTCTCATCAATATCAGTAGCTTTTGCCTGCTGTATTCCTCGACACTTTCCACTTCTCTTCTTAAATTGCGGCTCACTTGGGAATATTTTTGGTCTCACTCCGATTAAGTTTTCAGGCCATGTAGCTTCAATAAATGTTGGCTTTTGTGTGTCATTTTGATGTTGAAGGCACAAAAATGCTCGATTGTAGTAAACTGACACGTGAAGGATTGATGTTTCATTTGGGGTCATGTCTAGAGATGAAAGTGTCCATGATGATGACTTGCTGATGAAGCTAAAGCTTAAAGTGAAAATTAGGAGAAATTTTGACATTTTTTGGACTGAATTTGTAGAATGGCACTTAATGACTGAAGTAAAATGAGGAAGTTAACATGAAAAGAATGTGATGGAACTGCTGAGGTAAGTGAATAGTCGAGAATTTAAGTTGCTTGATAAACAAAAATTTTGTTGGTAAACAGAGCGAAATGGACAGACTTTTCACTGGTTTTGGAGTGTTTTTGGGTAAGTTGGTGGAGTTAATATCAAAAGTTGTGTGCCGTACACCACTATTGTGTCAAACTTCAAAAATTGTGTCAATAGTCGTGTGCAGTACACGATTTTTGGTCGAAAATAAATAAAATACGATTTTTAGCTAAATTTTCTGAAACTTTTTTTATTGCTTCAATTTTTGATGAATAAATTTTCATAATTTTTCAATGTGCTTTACTTGAGCCAGTGAGACTTATGCTCGACTGTTATAAATTCCTAAACCATCCATAAGATTTTTAATTTCATTGTCGTACACATACATATTGTTCCTTTTAATTTGGGGTGTCTTGGGGGGTCTGGGTGACTTTAAGACTGGTTGCTTGGATATAGCTAGGATACCCAAGGGTACCCCAAGCTCTCTAGGCGGAATAGCTATAGCCTTGACCATTTTCTAGATTCTACCACCCATGATTTATCAACAGAGACCAACTTGTGTCAAATAACACAACTCTAGTGACCCTATTCCTCGATACTCCCCACATTCACTCCAAAAAATCTCCATAATAGTAATTTTAATTATTTTATTGACCCTCATCAAGCGCGTAGCCAGAAGGGTCTTGTCCTACCTTAAACGTTTTGAACCGCACAGCCTAAAACGCTCAAAATGGGGACAAGACACTCCTTGCTACATGCCTTACTTCCATCATCATCACACCCCATTTATCATCAAATATTATCTTTAAAAATTATTGATTTCCTCTCAAATACAATTAAGAAAATATATTTTTATACTTTAAGTAACAAAAAAATGTCAACAAAATTTCACATTTTATACAATTTTAGATTTTTTTGTTACTAATCATCTATATTATTCAAGTTCAATATCGTCTAGAGTTTTTGGAAGAAAGGAAAAATATTTTTTGTTTTTTTGTTTCAATATGTTAACGCAATTAATCAGTCAATTAAATGGGAACCAGTGTTGAAATGACAGACGTCTTCCATAGACAAAGACTACAGAATCTTTAAAAGATTTTATCTTTATGAAGAATTTATCTTCTACAGATTTCTGTCTGCATGGAGATCAAAAAAGGTATCTACATGCAGAATCTATCTTCCAAAGAATTCTGTCTTCCACAGATTTCTGTCTGCATGTAGATCAAAAAAAGTGTCTACATGCAGATTCTGTCTTCCAAAGATTTCTGTCTTCCACAGGGTTTGTCTGCATGCAGATTATTATATTTTGATATTTAATAAATATTTTTAAATGAAAAACACATAGAAAGATTTAGGATACAAAATAAAACAACGAAATTAATTTTGCAAATTAATGTGGATTCTTCTTCACTTCATCTGACAAGTCTCTTTTATAAAAAAATGATCAAACATTTACGGGCTTTTAAAATTAGAACAGAATAGAATGTAATGTAGGGTTTTGCTAATAGCAAAAGCAGCACTTTTTGAATCGGATACAATGAAGTTCATTGGAGTATGGATTTTAGTATTTTTAATTTATTAATAATAAATAAAATAAATTGTGTGTATGTTACTGAAAATATCCATTTTTAGTGCATTTTTGAAACTTATTTCAAAAAGGTAGCTTATTGATTGAGATAGAAGCAACCAGACATCGTAGCCTTCTACGTTTTCTCAGTTCTATCGTTTTATTGGCGTATCGAATACTTAATAAAAAGCGTAACTCAGTGTATTTATGCTATTATTAAGCATTTTTCTGACAACGACAAAATCTAAATGAAAAAACCCTTTTTATTAATTTTAAAAGCCCGTAAATGTTTGATCATTTTTTTATAAAAGAGACTTGTCAGAGGAAGTGAAGAAGAATCCACATTAATTTGCAAAATTAATTTCGTTGTTTTATTTTGTATCCTAAATCTTTCTATGTGTTTTTCATTTAAAAATATTTATTAAATATCAAAATATAATAATCTGCATGCAGACAAACCCTGTGGAAGACAGAAATCTTTGGAAGACAGAATCTGCATGTAGACACTTTTTTTAATCTACATGCAGACAGAACCCTGTGGAAGACAGAATTCTTTGGAAGACAGAATCTGCATGTAGACACTTTTTTTGATCTACATGCAGACAGAAATCTGCAGAAGATAAATTCTTCATATAGAAAGTGTCTTTTTGCAGAAGTATAGGCAGATTTCAACACTGATGGGAACGTTTGAAAAAGTTGATGCAATTAAAGTTCCCATTGAAAGAGGTGGTTTAGGGTGTGTACAGGTGGGGTTTAGGTTAAAAAAGTTTTACAAGTTTTTTGATTTTTTTAAAATTGATGGTTTGATTAAAATTAATTTAAAATGAATATTTTGAAAATTGAAAAATTTGAAAAAATTCAAAAAAATTTGAAAAAATTCAAAAAATTTGAAAAAATTCAAAAAATTTGAAAAATTCAAAAAAATTGAAAAAATTCAAAAAATGTGAAAAATTTCAAAAAATTTAAAAAATTTGAAAAAATTCAAAAAAATTTGAAAAAATTCAAAAAATCCAAAAAATATGAAAAAATTCAAAAAATTTGAAAAAAATTGAAAAATTTGAAAAAATTAAAAAAATTTGAAAAAATTCAAAAAATTTGAAAAAATTCCAAAAATTTGAAAAAATTCAAAAAATTCAAAAAATTTGAAAAAATTCAAAAAATTTGAAAAAATTCAAAAAATTTATAAAGTTCAAATAAATTGAAAAAAATCGAAAAATTTCAAAAAATTATAAAATTTCGAAAAACTCAAGTTGTTAATTCCCAACCCCCCACAACACACCCAACACATCCCCACTTAGTAATATATTCATATTTTCAGCATCGCTAGTTTAAAGTGTAAAGCGTGACATTTTAAATGTATTTTCTATCAATTCCTACACATCAATTATTATGATTTCTAATATTTTAATTTTTAACATTTTTAAGCGATATTTTTTATTTTTATTTTTAACCTTAAAATTCTTTTGATTTTTTTTAAATTGAAATAAATTCTTAAACAAGCTCCAAAATTTTAATGATGCCCTTTGAATTACCCGCGATTATAACATTTGATTGTTGGGCTGGTGAGTGTGACTTTTTCCAGCATACAGCAGAGACGAACTCGTTGTCTGATGAACCGACTTTTGTGTCTATGTCGTAGCCGCTGTAGCGTTGCTGTTGCTGAAGATCGAAGCGGAGGTTGAACAACTGCTTGCTGAGACCCTAAAAACAAAAAATTATTGATTTAAATCAAGTACTATGACTAGCTGCTGATCATCCATACCTTATAGTAAATACACAACGAATTGTCTTCACTTCCACATGCTATATAGTCACCATTTGTAGCTAATCCAACAAAGTTCTTCTCATTTATGTGACCTCCAACAAAAGATCTTACACAGTATGGTTGCTTATTGATGTCCCATAACTTCAATTGTCCATCAGTTCCAGCAGAAATGATTTCATTTGTATTCAAGAATTTCACGTACGAAACGGCTTTTTTGTGACCCTAAAATGAGGAATAGAGATTGATTTTAGAGGATATACAGCATTATTGAATAATGATTAAGTTGCTTACCTTCAAAATCAGCAGTGGCTCCTTAAGATTCCTCAGATCATAATAATGAACACAATGATCAGCCTGGAAATATTAAAAAAAGTGTTAGTAAATAATTGAGAAGGACTTTATACCCAAGAAGCTAGTCCCAGGATCGCCAACTGACACTCCATGTGGAGTCAACCGGTTGCAACCCTAGCTTCATATCCCATACCCAAATCCCAACATCAACTCACCGATCCAAAAGCCAAATGACAGGAACTCTTTGGATTAAACTTGACACAACAGACATTTGCTGTCTTTACTTCCAATGTTGCAACTGAATTTTCACAATCAATTGACCATAACTTTACTCTTGCATCGTCACTTCCAGATGCTAACAATTTTGTGTCAATTTCATTGAAGTCTACAGACCAGCACCTCTTATCATGCTCTTGGAAGATCCTCTTCCTTGCTCTCGTCTCAACATCATAGACAGTCACAAGTCCTTCATAATCGGATGCAGCTAGGATCTCCTTAAAGTACGAATTCCAGCATATTGATGAGATCTTACTCGTGCAGATCATCTCATTAATTGGATGCTTAATATCCACAACAGCATCGCGAATACTTGCGTAGTAGTCAAAGATCTTAATCCTTTTAGTCACACCAGCAATGGCAAAAAACTCCGAGTCTTTGTCAAACTCAATGGAACTGACAATTGTGGATGGAAGCATCGTATTCTCATTCGAGTAATTGAGGGTTGACAGTGTCCGTAGCTGATTGTACTTGCTAAATTTTACAAGATTATCTCTGAACACATCCAAAGTTTTGCTTGTTTTTGGAACTTCTGGTGCTGGTGTTATTGGTTGTGCTGGAACTGCCTGCTCATTTGTCTCGGTAATCATCAGTTCCTCTTCATTCTGAAAGTGCAGATCTTCAGCACGATTTGTAAAGTAACACTTGACAAAGTCATCAAAATGCTGAAACATCCTCTGCTTCCGGATCTTATAAGTTGATGACTGTGACAACGGAAGTGCTGTCTGTTGATCATTATTTGGCATCGATGAGTCAATGTCGGTGATTAATTGCTTCATTTCATTCTTAATTGCATCGAGTTCTTGTCCTGCGGAACTTGACCCACTCGGATCTGATGCTGAACTTGCTGTGCTCTTCTCAAACTGCTTCTCGACATCCTCAATTTTTGGACATGAACTTTGGACATTTTTGAGGATATTCTCGACAACCTTAATGTCATTTTTAATTAATCGAATTTTCTTCTCCAATTCTCGTTGCTGCTGTTCTGTCTGTTTCATTAAGTGCTGCAGGAACTCATGAAGTAGCTTGTTCTGTGCTGTAATTGATTCCGCTTCCAACAGGATCTTCCGTTGTGTAAAAATATCCAAAACAATGTTAATATCCGGAAGTGACAATTTCTCAATTGATTCTGTTGTCAGGAATGACTTGAGATTGTCCAATGTACCGTCTTCATCCTCAATGCCTTGCGTTCCTGGAAACATTCTTTCCATTTCCTGCTGTTCCATCAAATGTTTCGATATCAGCTCATTGAGGAGGAAATTTGGAAATATTTGATCAGTCGTGAGCGTGCTGTTACATTTTGGACATGACTTGTTGATGTCTATTGACTTTTGGATGCACTTGTTACAGAATGTATGTCCACATCTCGTGATTGTTGCCTCACAAATCGTACTAAAACATATTGGACACAAAAATTGTGATAAATTTGTTGTTGTTGTTGCCTTTTTGATGTCTTTTTCCTTATTCATCTTCTTTCGTGGATTTAAGTCACTCGAATTGCTTGGATTGCGTTCTAGACTTTGCCTTCTTGGCATCTTTAATGCTATTCAATCATTCAGATTCTTTCAAGACAAGTTATTGGATGTGAAAACTTTATTTTTCTCTTTGGCTACCTACTTATTCGATTTTCTGGTACAGAACTTGAAACTTTTCGAGTGCAGAAGACATCAAAATAATGGAAGTGATTGAGGGGGATTATAAACTTCCGAGCTTAAGATATTTTCAATTTTTATTGCTTTTTTGAGATTTTTAAGGTAAATTTGATCTAAATTGGAATTTTTTAAGAGTCTTGAAACTTCCGCACCTGAAGACTCATTGCTGAAATGAAATTTTGCATCTTTTTTTTGAAAAAGTTCAGGTACGGAAGTTCAAAACCATTCCAAATTGATTCTCATTGGTGGAGCTTGTTCAATGTTTTGATGAATTTTATGTTTTCAAAAACTTTTTGTTCTCACGTGTGTCAAATGCCGTTAATGACAAATTGTGAAACAGCAGTGCTGTTAAGAAACTATTCAGTTATATAAATGTTAAGATACAGGTTATTTGAAATTGTCGCATTATTTGTTGACATCTGCGACCCCCCCCCCCCCCCCAATAATAGAACTATTAATTTTTTTGGAAATTTATAAGTTTAATTCTTAAAAGATTTCATTAATTTTAATTTTAAATAAATCAGACCCCCATGACCCCCTCCATCCCCTCTCACTCAATCATTGACTCAACATGAAACGCAACAATCGGCACTTCCTTCTCCCAAGAAATAAAAATGTCAACTTTTCCATCCTCATCAACAACAACTTCATCTCCAACACATTTGTTGTTCATTTTCCCACCAGTCATAATATCACAATACTTTCCAGGTGGCACACAAGCCTTCACAGTTGTCTTCAAGTTTAATGACAATTCATTATTAAATGCAATAAATCCAAGCTTTCCTCTACAAAATGCAACTTGATTCTGTCCATTGTCAGCCCAATTTGTAAGCGATGAATTTCCAACGACATTCCTGAATTTAATCATTTCTGCAATTTGTGGCCATCGATGCTCGCAGATCCATGGCTTCTCACATTGTCCATCTTCAGTTATTGTTTGTGATGTGATTTGATTCTCTTCATTAATCGGTGGTCCATCGTAGACATTCTCAAAATAATATGAGCTCATAATCTTTGGAATTCCATATTGAGTAGCTAGCATAAAGGCATTAGCAAGGATGTACCGCCTTCTGTCCTTAAAATTGAGAATTTCTGTGAATCCCTTGACGAACAGCCTCTGATTATCATGATTGTCAATGAAGACAACAGCGTCACTGGATGGAACAAAGCCACGTTCAGGACCCCATTTAAGTAAGCCATGCATTGGTTTCTTGCCTTGAAAGACTAGACCAAGTTCATTAGAGCATAGATATTCTGTTACTAAACCTAATCCGATATATTCAGTTTTTGAGATTGCTTCACCTCCGAGGTCTGTTGGGATTAAATTGGAATTGCGTTAGTGCTGCTTAAGGTTGTGTGCATTAGTGGTCGTACCTATGACTTCCTGGTATATAAATGGCTTAGAGTCAGCTGGGAAGTCAAATTCAACGTTTAAGTTGTTCAATCTATTGTAAATGACTGCTAAGTCAGTCGGCCACATGTATTTGACCTAAAATTGAATTTCAAGAATCCGTTAAAAATTTAGAACCTCTAAAAGTAATCAAAGTCTAGGACATGGAACTGAAAAATAAAGTTTTGACAATTCTCATCAGTTTCACATCCAAAATAGTAAAATTACTGAGTCCATGCGAAATCCAGCACTTCCATTCTCAATCAATAAATTCATCAGTTCCACAATTTTATCTCGAACATTCTCAGTTGCTTGATTCAAGTCAGGCAATCCATCAACACGACAATTTCTTATCTGAAATGCACTCGTAAAATCTTTTAATTCACAATTTTCATTGAAATCAGCATGTGTGTATGGAACAGCTGGATATTTCAGTTCCTTTGGATATGCCATGCTATTGTTGCATCCATAAACATCTCCATCGCCATTTGCCATGTGATTAGCTACGATGTCGACGTAGATTCTGATTTTATGTTTTTGACATGCTTTAACCATCTCACGGAAGTCATCGATATTGCCTGATGGACTGATGACTTTGTATGACACTGGGGAGTACCTGTAGTACCAACTATATGAATCATCAGTTTTGGATTCAGTTACTGGTGAGACTTGAACAGCTCCATAGCCTACTTGAGCTAGAAATTCACATTCTTTTGCAACGTCACTGAATTTCCATTCGAACAGTTGAACGATTCCTGAACGACCTTCATGGATGTAGGAATTCTTGTTGCAGGTGATAAATGTGAAAAAAATTGTAAAGATTAAGGCTTTTGGGGACATTGTTGAGGGTCTGTGTGGTCGACCTTGAAGGAGGTTTCAAATTGTAGTGAAAATTGGAAAATCCACCACAAATTCACTTTAAAATTGTTCAAATTCACCACAAAATTGTACAATCCACCTTAAAACCAACAAATTTAATTTTTAAAAAAATTTGGTATCCTTTCCTTAATTTTTAACTTTTCCTTAATTCCAACTTTCAACTTTTTCAATTCCAGCAATTAAACTAAACCTCAAATGCACTTTACAGCCTCATTTTATAGCATTTGAATTAACAAGATTGTGCTGTGATAAAAATTCATTAAAACTATATCAGATCAACTAGCAATGATAGTGAAATTATGACATTCAGGTGAGTCATGGCGGTTGTAATGGCAATGAAATCGGATTAGACACTTTCTGGAAAATGTAAAAGAATTATAATAAAATAAAAACAAAAGTGATGCGTCAAAGGTGCCGGTGATGTTGATGAGATGACAATTTTTGATTAGGCTTATTCGATTATGGAACGTGACGGGGTTGTTATCAGCTGTTTAGGTAATCTTCACAAATCTGCATCAATGCGACATTATTAACATCAACATTGATCAACTTAACCTCAAAAAATTCAGCAGCATAACCTCAAAAATAAACAGCAAAACCTCTAAAAATGGTAAACATAACCTCAAAATTGATCAAATTAATCTCAAAATTCAGCAACATAACCTGAAAAAATTAAAAATTCTTATTTTTATCTCAAAAATCTCAAACTTTATTCCACATAGCATTAATCATCTTCACTTGATCTGTGAGACTTCATACAAATAAGCACCGAGCAATTTTGATCCCTCAATATAATTACGAATATCAATCTTCTCATTTTGTGAGTGAGCACCGTCATCACCACATCCAAGTGGCAGCAATAAGACATTCTTGCCAGTGACTTCCTGGAAAGTCAAAGTGACAGGAATTGAGCCTCCTTCACGAGTCATGTCTGGTTCAACTTTATAGACATGCTTTGTGGCACGAGCAGCAGCTTGATAATGTTCATGATTTGGATTTTCAGTCCATGGACGTCCACCATGTGCCATATAACACTTCATTTTGTTTGGTGACTCAAGTTCCGAGAACTTCTTGGTCAAATAGTCAACGACGAGTTTTTCAATCTTAGCTGGTTCTTGATTTGGTACAGCACGGATGCTAAACTTGCCAATGACTTTTCTTGGGATGACAGTCTTTTGTCCAGGTTCACTGAAGGCACCTTCAATGCCATGAAGTGACAATGATGGGAATCTCCAGCGATGTTGAAGCAACTTTGCTTTTGATGGATGTAAAAGCTTGCCTGGTGCACCAAGATCCTTACGGAACTGCTCAACATCAAATGTAATCTTTTCATACATTTCATTCTCATTTGGCAACATTGGTGCTACATCTTTATAAATGCCAGGAATCAAGATTCTTCCTGTATTATCAACAAGTTGTCCCATCAAATAAACTAAATCAGTCATTGCCTCATGTACAGCACCACCAAACACACCAGAATGTAAATCCTTTGATGCACACTCAACTTCAAGTCCAAAGTAGCAAATTCCACGTAGACCGTATGTGATGCATGGATGTGTACTTCCGAGCCAGTAGTTATCACTGATGCAGACATAATCTGAACCATTGAACCAGTCTTTACGGGCATAGAGGAGATCATCAAGTCCTTCACTACCACTTTCTTCCATTCCTTCGAAGACGAACTTGATGTTGACTGGAACTTCCATGTTTTGCTTCTGGTAGGCTTCGATTGCGTTAAACCAGCCGAGGATTGGTCCTGGAAATTGAAGTTTTTTGGGATATATTAGTAAAATTGTGAATTCTTGAGGAGTTATTTGGGTTAATGTTGTACATATTGTCTATATTGAGGTTAGGATAGATTAGTAGACTCTGTGAGGTCACTTGTAGCAACTTGTAGCTTAACGAGCTTCAAATCTTTATTCCTAGGCACTTTAGTACTGAATAAATGTAACACTAATACTTAATGACCTCAGTGATCCTAATTTATTGAATTCTAGTCTTCGAACCAGACATTGTCCCATCCAAATACGTGGAACTGATCGTTCAACTTATTTTGGACAATTTCGATAACTTTTTGATCAGTTCCACACTTTTAAACATCCCATAAGCATAAAATAAAACCTCAATTGATAAAATATTCCTTACCTTTGTCATCAGAAGCACCACGTCCAAATAACTTTCCATTGCGTTCAGTCAGTACAAATGGTTCAGTGTCCCATCCATCTTCTTTCAGTGCTGGTTGAACATCAAGATGTCCATAAATAACAACAGTCTTTTTGGCTGGATCCTAAAATTATAAAGAAAAATTGTCAATTTAAATGATTATTAAGTTTATGGATGAGAAAGTAGTTTAAACTTCAAAAATATCCCCGATAGACACAAAAGCATTCCTATACATATTATCAATAATCCAACAAAATTGATTGTTCCTGTAGATTATGAGAAAGTTTGTTGTTTTGTTGATAAATTAAGTGATTACGATAAGAAGTTATTGACACTTTCAATTGATTACATTGATAAGTCTTGGATGGATTTGATATTTGTGGGTGGGATGACAATGATGTTTGGGGCATGAATTGAGGTTATAGATAGAAATGGTATCCAACCCTGGTCCTAGTCAAATTTTATAAACTACAAAAACAAACCCAACCCGACTTTTTGATAACAATGCAGCTGCTGCTTTTGTTTTACATTTCTCATTTTATCAGTCTGTTGTTTACATGTCCAGACACATCTTATCGTTCCCGCATTATTTTTGCTTCAATTCTCTGCATTGTTGTTAATCAGTAACAGCAAATGAGTACCAATTAATAGCAAATTTTAAACCAAATCTTTGCCGACTTAGTGCATTGAATTATTATATAATAAAGGTATCAAAAAGTGATTTTTCAATGGAATGATTGATGAGGATTTAATCGGTATATTAAGGTTTTTGGGTGGCATGTGTGTGGGATGATTTGTTGGACTGAGGGTGAACTGAATAAGTTGTAGTGATTTTTAATGGATTTTGGTCATGTAATAAGGATTATCATGCATCCTTCCCCAAAAACGACCTCAATTTTTACATTTCATTCCCAAATCTACCTCCAAAGTGATTCCATAAAGCAATCAAACATCATTCTCATCCACCAATTGTGTATTATTGTCATAAAAAACATGTAATCACACCCGATAAGATAAAAAAGGCAAGCAACTTGGTCTCATAAATCTCAAATTATCAATAAATACTAGGCAACAAGGTTCATTACATCAACGAGTGAGTGAGATGGAGAGAAGATTATTAAATAACAAGTAATTCATGTTAAAAAATATAACAAATTTCCAAGTGCAAAAATAATTGAAAGACGTAAAGCGAGAATGAGGAAATATGAGAACTACTTGTATGATTTACATGAGGCTTGTGAGTCATTTGCGGGAATGGGGAATGAAAAGTCATTTATCATGTGATGCATTGGAAATGAGCATTTTCGGGGATTTTTAGATGTACAGTGCTAGTTTTAATGGCTACAAGGGCATCCTAGCCACAAATCAATAGAATTAAAAGCTCTCAGATTAATTCAACTCCTCTACATTCCCTGGAACAGCTCATTAACAACAAACTAATACCAAAAGTGCATACAGCCTCAAGATCATGCATTTTAGACCCAAACTTCATCTCAACTCTTGTTTACAAGCCAAACAAAGCTGCCTAACTGATAATATGAGCTGTTCACACAATTTTGTAGTCTCTAACCACTGACAGGAACTCCTAAACCACAAGAATAATCAACTACTGACTTCCAGAGTTACAGAGAATTTTCTGTATCTTTTATTGAGAAGTCAATGAACTTTAATGTTGGTTTTGATCAGTTTTGTGGGATATATGATCAATATTTGAGAGATATGTGCATTTTTTGAGGTATAACACAATGATTCTTATGTTTTGATGCTAACAGAGTCAATTCTGTATTTATAGATCAACAAAATCTAACATTAAGGTAAGAAATTTCCTCTAATCACCTTCAATCCCCCAAAACACCCCCAACAATCCCAAAAAGAAGTCAACTCACATTTCCATAAATTCCCATCACAACATTTGGTAGCTTCAATGTAGTTCCATCCGGCAATGTCTGCTCGCCAATATCAACCTGCTCGCAAGTAATTCCAAGAGCTTCCATTTTCTTCTGAGCCCAATCAATCATCCGTTGACAATCTGGACGAGCGTGTGGCCATGCTGATACGGATTTTATAGCAACAGCTTCTGTCAATGTCTCGATGTACTTTGACTTGTTCTGGTCGATGTAACTGCATTAAGAGATTTTTTTTGCATTGTCATCAATTTTATTTTTTTTTTTTTTTGGTAAGATTTTGCGGCTTTTGACTTACGTGAATAATTTGACTAATGTATCCGGCAAGCTCATGATTTTATATTAGATTTGATGCTTCTGCTTCGACTAATCAACAACAACTGATAAAATTTTACTAAAATAATTCGAGTTTTTTATGTCAAACTTGCTCCGGTGCCGATAACAAAAATAAATATTTTGTAAACTTGGCTTAATGCTTGTTGGAGTGGAGAAGGTAAAGTTTTTTTGAGGACGTTTAAAAAAGTTGTAGATGCGCACAATGATTGAGATATTTTAGTAACCGGAAAAATTGATGCTCTCATAATAGTAATTCGGTACCTAATTATTGCAATACTCGATCATGCGTTTGAGACCGGGTATGGGAAATTTTTCACTTGTCCTTTTTGGAAATGAGGCTCACAGCCTTCTTTTGTAGGCTATGGGCAGAAATGTCATCAAAGGAGTGATTCGGAAATCACTATAAATTGAAAGTCTAGATTTGTGTGCAGTGGTTTGACACATCTTCACTTTTTAAACTCTCGTTAGCTCTAAAACGCCCTAGAGCACCTCTGGATCACTATTCATCCATTAAATAAGTTCACCAAATATTAGTTTAATTAAAAATTATTATATCATTTTATTTTATTATTTTGAACATTAAATTCTTGTACATTCTGATGCTTCTTGCTCTAAGAGTTCCACACAAGGCTATAATAAAATTAAAAACTTACAAGCACATTCATCAAAATTGAACAAAGAGTTTCTTACCCTGTCTCGTATGTAGTCACTTCATTATCACTGCCAGATCCTACATCATTATCAGAATCCATTTCACTATCATTAAAATAAACAATTCCTGTATCATTATCATCATCACTATCTGGACTTCTTGTAAGGCTCGTGTCCCATAGCTTATTCCTTTCGTCCTCTTCGTCTTCATCTTCGTCTTCATCCAGCAATCTTGATGATAATTGACTGACTGGAATCTTATTTATCCATTCAATGAATTTAGTCACATTTGTGTATACTGCATATTTTTTGACATCACATCCGATTTCATTATTGTTTTGGGACGATGAGACTAATCCTCGAAGATAGAAGATATTATTGTGAGACACAAACAATCCGCTCCCACTATCACCTGTACATGCTCCTGTTCCATTTGCATGTCCACCACAAAATGTTGTTTTAGATGCAATTGATTGAAGATCTGAAAACTTCCTGACGCAAGACTCATAGTTGTAAATCGGTGCTTGTGCTCTTTTTGGTATATTTGAAAATTGTTTGCTTCTGTCCTCAGTCTTTCCATATCCAATGACAGTGCCCATTGTTATTGATTTCACAATTTTATTATTATTTGGCAAGCAAATTGGCTGAATATAATTATTAAAGTGAACTTCCTCTTCCAGCACAATCACAGCAATATCGTAATCAAATTTTTCCACCATTGGATTCCAACGAGGATGAGGAAAAATTGTGTCAATTTTTTTAATTTCTCTTGAAACTTCAAATCTTGAGATTAAATCATGACTTCCTAAAATGACTTGAAGATCCTTTTTATTATATTCTGTGAAGCTTTTGGTATGAATGCAGTGACCGGCTGGAAGAAAATTTTTCATAATTAAATAAAAATTGCGACAAGGAAGTCATTGAGTATTGACCAAATTTCATACCTGTCAAAACTTTCCTATTCGATATAAGAACACCTCCACAGTGGACGTCATTGTTGTTCTTTACTAATACAGCCATCCTATAAATTAGCAAAATTTAATTAATGATTGTTATAGCTCGTAGCCAATTTTTTTTGTGCCACGGCACATTTTTTTTTGAACGCCATGGTCGAGCAATCTGATTGCGTGATTTCTCGAGTCATAAAGGGGGGGTCCATAGGTATCTGGACACCCTTCCCTGAGATTACATGAAATTTTAACCCCCCCCCCCCCCCCCCCTTCCTTTTAAAAAATCCCGCGGCACATGGGTTGGCTATTACTACTTTTGAAATTAAATTCAGTAGCACATACCATGGATAAGTTCCTTTCTCAAAATTCTCTCCGTTGACAATCAGTGCAGTTGCACCAGGTCGAGTACCACATTCATTCTAGAAATTTAAAAATGTAAGTCAAATGATTCATTGATGGAGCAAGAGGGTCTGCAGGTTGGGAGAACTTTTCAAACCTACCACTTTTACTTTTTTTGGTGTCCTTGTCTTGCTTTTCCAACTTCGAAATGGCATTTGAGTATTTTGCTGGGTAGTGGATCCTAATGATGTTACCCTTTGAGTAGTAGATGTTGTTGTTCTTGGAGTTGTTGTCGTTTGGGGAACTCTAAATTTGCTTTTGGTGGTAGTAGTGGCAGTTACAAATGTGCGTCTTCTAGGCGTTGTTGATCTTGTTGTGATTAGCTCAAGATTAGAATCTTCAAAAAAATAATTATTAAAAATTAGCATAAATACGCTGACCTTTGAATTATTATTTTTAACTTACTAGACATTACGAAATAATCATAGCACAGCTGTAGTTTCTTATCAATATCTTCCCTTTTTATTAATGACTCACTGCTGCATGTATTGCCTTTCATATTCAAGTTTTTAATCGGGATATTATTAGTGAACTTTGGGTCGATTCCAAAAAGCTCATTTTTGTGTAGTTGAACATTTTTTAGGTTAGGATGACGACCGAATGAATGAGAACTAATGAATTTAATATTATTGGTATGCATCTTAAGGACCTCAAGGCTCTTTAGCGGTTTAAATGTATTTTCTGGCAACTCCTCAATTTTATTTTCAGATAAATCAAGTTCCTTTAAATTTCCTAGGCTTTTAAACCAATTTGGATTTAATGTTTGTAATCGATTTGAGTCAAGCTTCAATTTCTCTAATTTTTCTTGTGATTTAAAGATGTGATTGGGTAGAAAATTGATGTAGCTTGCAGAGAGTCCTAAAATTTTGAGATCTTTCTGGTTCACAAATAATTTCTCAGGCAGAGAAGTAATTTTATTGTAGCTTAAATGCACCTCTTTCAAACTTGGGTTATTGACTAGTAAATTGTCATTAACGGTTTGAATTTTATTCATGTAAAAAATTAGAACGCTGAGATCTTTACAGTTCTTAAGAGAATCAGGAGCTACAGACTCAATTCCCACATCACTCATATCAATAATGCCCAACTTCCTGAACGTATCGCAATAAATTGACGGAAATTTTTTAATAAATCTTCTAGCTTTCACAGCAACTGTCAAGACAGACACATGTTGATGTCCTCTTCCTGGATATTGATCGTGTGTAGCCAAAACATCATTGAAACTTGTCATTTGGCCATCGATTTGGATTGTGCATGTATAAAGTTGGTTCATTCTTCCATTATAACTTATTCTTGAAAACTCAAAGTCACAGTAAGGTATATTAGAGTAAGCTATATTGACTAAGGTCATCAAAAGTAATAAAAATGTCAGTTTCATTTTTAACCGTTTGTTTTTATGTTTCCGTGGGAGTTTGTAGCTTTTGAAAAATATTGTATTATTGATAGGTCGACAATAATGCTCTCGTAATCAATAATTTTGCAAAATTAATGTTGTTTTGTGTTATTCGATCAAGCTATCTAAGAATAATTTTTTAATGCGTTGCCAGGGCTTCCTTCGGAGATCTGATTAATTGAGTGAGACCTTCTAATTGTTGTAAAATCACTTTGCTAAGCCTTTAGTCATTATCAATTTCCTCTTAATCGCACAATAATTCCTAGAAATTCTTAATGAATCTAGTTTAATCACAACTGAATGTCTACACAGTTTAAATGACTCTCTTACACTGAAAATAATTGATAAAGCTTCCTCATTCGGATTTTCTATTTTGCACAAATGAGCAGCTGAAATGAGAAGGAGATGAAATTAAAAACCATAGAAAAATGAGAGCTTTTAAATTTTATTTAGATTTAATTATAACTTAATCTCAGAGAAAAGTATGAATGTAAAAGTCGGAGATGTTTTGCTTTGGAATTTCCAAATAATTTCTTTAATCTGTCCAAACGGGCCTGAAAAAAAAATTATTAGCTTTCATCTTTAACATAAATTCATATAAATACGGAGTTCACTTATGAAGTCCAGGGCGGTCAGCAAGAAAGGAACAATATAAATTCCTGCAAATCCATTGTTCTATTTTGCAGAGTTCGAAGTCGATAAGGTTCGAGTCGACTTCGAGCTATGATTTTGAACAATGACCGTTAATTTCAGACGTAATAAGTGAACAAATCCTTACCCGCCCTGAAACAGTTGGCTTGACTTCTTTGCACTACTCTCAACTGGTTGTGTTGGTGACCACGGAGTAATAAAGCTACCCCGATTTGAGATTTCACTTGGTTTTATGTCCTGAATCCATTGAAAGAACATAGTTACATTTGTGTATAAAGTATAAGAATGGACATCACATCCTATTTTAGTGTTCGTTAATGATGCCGAGACAATCCCGAAAAGATAATAAGTATTGTTATAAGATGCAAAAAGTCCTCCTCCACTGTCTCCTAAGCATGCACCAGTACCATTGCCATGTCCACCACAAAATGAAGTTTTAGATGCAAATTGTTGGATTCCTGGATATTGTCTTATGCAAGTTTTAATTTTATGTATTGGAGTATGTGCTCGTTTTGGAATTTGTGAATATTTTTTGGATGTATCTTCAGTCTTTCCATATCCAATGACAGTTCCCTCTGTGACTGACAGAACAGGAGAATCGGGTGAAGTCAAGCATATCGGAGAAATTTTAGCATTGTGATCAGGTTCATCGCTGAGCACTACAACAGCAATATCATTAATGAATGCATCTAATTCATGATTCCAATTATCATGAACTTTAATATCTTCAATTAATATTACAATTCTATTTATTTCATGTATCAAAGACAAATCATGACTTCCAAGGAGGACCTTTAAATCATCTTTTGAATATACTATCCTTGTTTTGGTGATGATACAGTGAGCCGCTGCAAAGATTACAATTTAATTAATGTAAACAGAGATCCTTGAGCAGGACTTCAAGGAGTCTGGACTTCATAAGCTTTAGAAAAATATGCGATACCAAATAAGTCCGAAAATTAGAACTATTGAAACCAATTCAAAATTTGGTAGAAAATAGCAGAAAACAAAATGTCTAATCCAGTGATGGCCAAACCTTGCGTTGAGGCACTTTTTTTAATATCTAACCTTATGTTGTGTGTGGGCGTAGCTAGGAATTTGAAGAGGGGGGGACAAAAATTTTTTTGTATGGAAAATTTACCCCCCCCCCTTCCCTTCCTTCCCCCCGGGTTTATGATTTTTTCATTAAAACCCTAGCAAAATACAGAAATTTCTGTTTACGTTGGGGGATTTGTCCCCCAAATCCTGGTCTAACCTGTCAAAACTTTTCTCCTTGACACTAAAACTCCACCGCAATGAACATCGTTAGTTTTGTTAATCAAAACTGCCATCCTGAAAATTCAAGGATAAAAAAGCAGTAAATTTGATTAAAATTCAAATGTTATATACAATATTACCAAGGATACGATCCGCGATTGAAATTTTCACCCTCTACTATTAACGGAGTTCCGTTTTCAGTAATTCCACATGTTTCCTATGGTTTTTTAAAAATATATTTAATTTAATTAAAAACGATCACGACAGAGGATATTCAGTTCAAGGTTAGGGTCCACCTTGTAGTCTCACTATTTAACAACCGGAACCTAACTTCCTTACCTCAGCATCTAATCTAGAAGATGCAATTGTCACGACACTTGGTTTTAATGTTGTTGATGTTGTTGTGGTTGATTTGGTTGTTGTAGTTGTACGAAGCTTTGTTGTTTTAGATGTTGTAGGAGGTACAGTTGTTGAAGTTACAATCTTTGTTGATGTTGTTCCTATAATTCGACTTGTACTTGATGTTTCTGTTGATGTTGAAGTTAAAAGTAAGTCAAGTGGTGTAAATGGGAAGTCTTGATGTTCTTGATCTTTTGTGAAATTGTCAAAGCATCCCCGTAAATGTTTAATCATTAAATCTTTCGTCGTGTAAATTAAACTTTTTCCACATTTATTTCTTTTAAAGTTAAGGACATCAACTTGATTGTTAAGTATGAATTTCTTATCCATCGAATAAATGTGATTTGATTCCAATAAAATGGTTTTTAATGACGGATGATAGCCAAATGAGTTTGAATTGATCACTGCTAATTTATTATTACTTAATCCCAAAGTTCGGAGGTTCGTTAAAGCATCGAATATATTTTCTGGTAGCTCTTTAACTCTATTGAATGACAAGTCCAAGTCTTGTAAGTTTCTAAGATTTTTGAACCAAGCAAGGTTGAGTGACTTCAAATAATTAAAATCAAGCTTTAATGTCTTTAATTTGGACAAAGATGAGAAAATTCCAGCAGGCAAATAATCAATGTAATTTCCGGATACATCCAAAAATGATAAAACTTCTAATTTCTCAAATAATAATTCAGGCAATTTCATGAATTTATTATAGTTTAAATGAAGTTCGATTAGTTTTCCATTTTTGTCGAAAATATTTTCGTTAATTTCTCGAATTTTATTTTTATAAAATTTTATCATCAATAATTTTGAACATTTGTCCAAGGCATTATTGCTGACCGTTGAAATGCTGGCTTCGCTCATGTCAATAAACTCGAGATTTTGAAAAACTTGACAAAATTTGGCGGGAAACTGTTTCAAAAATTCTTTCGAATTCTTGTTTATTGTTAGCATCGTCACATCCTTGTTTTGTTTGTTTTCTTGATGATCTCCCCAAATTTCATTCAAATTTGTGAACTCTAAATTTCCAGCATCTATTACACAAGTGTAATTTGATCTGTGGACTTTGAGTTCGTAAAAGCAGTATGGTGCATTTGATGTCGTTTGACTTGTTAGAAATATCAAAATTATGACAACTTTGAGTTCCATTATTTTGTATTGTTCCTTAATTATTTCACTTTTCAATTTCGTTTATGCATCAAAATTCAGATTGTTTTATATTTTGCCAAATTGCATGTTAAACTTATTTCATTACTTCATAGTATACCGCGGCACATAGGTTTCGCATCTAAGGCTTAGAAGAACTATATAATATTCCGCAAAGAATACTTTAAGAACCACTAGATTAATGATAGATTTATTGCTAATAGAACAGACTTCACTACAAAAATCATAATCTTTTAAGCTGATAATTATACAAAGATTGTGTGACACAAAAATATTATACATATAATACTATTGACTTATACTTGACTTTAAAGACTCTCTGGTACATATATTAGTAATGAGAGAAATTTCAAGCAGTCCTGTACGGGCTTTTAATGAATTTTTATTAATGGACTGACCATGAACGATTCAAACTCTGACTACGCTAATTTCCAGAATAATTCCGCAAATCTTAAATTCTCGGTCTTTCTTCATTCAACTTACTTAGTCAACTGAACTGATTCAAAAAAGAAGTGTGAGAATCTCAATCGTTTTTATAAAATGAGAGTATGATTGTATGAAAAAAATCTGAGAAGTTTTTTTGGCTAAGTGGAGTGCAACCCGAGCTTTTTTATAGAATCAAGAATGTTTTAAGGTTTGAAGGGGTTTCCTGATTGAATCTGAATTTTATTTAGCAAAAGGAAATTTACAAAGAATTTTTATTTTTATTCAATCTTATCAATAAGTTTATTAAGTCACAGTAGCATTTTTGAACATCAATATCACCATATAGGTCTGAAATAAATTAAGTTAAAATCTTCAAATTCGATTATGGTAAAATTTAATAATTCGCAAACCTTCCATCATGATGAAGACGAGTTACACTTGATCTTGGAGTAGTCGTTATCCATGGAGGCTCAAATCTTACTGGTTTTTCTCTATCAATCCTAACCGATATGCTGTCTTGTCCAACACTATGTATCCAAGGAATGAATTGAGTAATGTCCGTAAATAGTGAGTAAGCCTCAACATTACATCCGTATGCATCACCAGATAATGATGCTGATACAATACCTCGAAGGTAAAACACATTCCCAATTTTAACAAACAATCCACCTCCACTATCTCCAGTGCATGCTCCAGTGCCATTTCCATGTCCACCACAAAATGTTGTGTGATGTGCAATTGTCTGAATATTCGGGTACAAGCGTAAGCAAGTGTCTAAGTCATGAATTGGTGTGTCTGCTTGCTTTGGAACATTTGAATATTGTTTAGATGTATCTTCAGTCTTTCCATATCCAACAACTGTCCCATCAGACACTTCCATTGCTCTTGTGTTCGGTTGAGCTACACAAATTGGACGGACATGTAGATTGTAAGTCAACTCCTCTCTAAGAATCAATACAGCGATATCTGAATCGTATCTTTGTAAGAACTGATTCCATTTTGGATGAACATGAGCTTCTATTACACTAAATGCTACCCTGTCGATTTCGTGAAGTAAATTTAAGTTATGACCACCAAGTACAGCTGTTATTTCCTTTGGATCGATCTTTCTCGATGATTTCGTGAGAATACAGTGACCAGCTTAAAGATTTTGAGGTTAGAGTTTAAATAAAAATTTAAGAAAATGAAGGTTTTCATACCTGTAATAATTTTAGCTCTGGATATAAGAACCCCACCGCAATGGACTTTACCATCGACGACTAGTACTGCCACCCTATAGCAAAAATACAAATTTATTAATTTTTGTCAAACTTATGGAAAAATAAAACTTCACCATGGATATGATCCATGATCAAAATCATATCCTTTGATAACCAATGAAACACCAGAATGACGCTCTCCACACAAATCCTTAAAAAGTATTTAAATTTTTGTAATTATTTGATGGAGTTGGGTTTTTTCTTTTCAATTCTTACCTCATCAATATCACTTCGGATTTCTGGTAAAGGTTCCGTCGCTGTAAAATTGAGTAAAATATTTTTTTTTATCAATTATTAATAATTATATAAAATCAAAACAAATCGAATGATGAAGGATAAGGTTAGTATCGGGGGACAAAATCAGTTCTAAGGATAAGTATCAGGGGATTAGTTCAGTAGCTATGAAAATGTCAGTTTCATGGGATTAGTTCCTTATCTGGGACAGTTTTTATAGATAAAGTCAGTCTCAAGGAATAAGTTCAGTTTTTATAGATAAGGTCAATTTTTAATGGATAAAGTCAGTTTTAATGTATAAAGTCAGTTTCAAGGAACAAGTTCAGTTTTTAATGGATAAGGTCAGTTTTAATGGATAAGGTCAGTTTTTAATGGATATGGTCAGTTTTTAATGGATAAGGTCAGTTTTTAATAAATAAGGTCAGTTTTAATGAATAACGTCAGTTTTAATGTATAAAGTAAGTTTCTTTGGCAAAGTCAGTTTTAAGGAATAAGTTCAGTTTTTAATGGATAAGGTCAGTTTTTAATGGATAAGGTCAGTTTTTATAATAATGGCAGATGGTTATGGATAAGTTCAGTTTCAATGAATAAAGTCAATTTCTAGATATAAGTTTAGCATTTAAGGATAAGTTCAGTTTTTTGAAAATAAGATCAAACTATAAAAATTAAATCAATTGTGGCCAATTTGTTCATTAATAATATGTCTCAATAAAAATGCTTGAATTTTAACTTACTTGTTCTTATAGGTTCCGTTATTTGTGTCAGCATTCGTGATGCGCTCCTCCTGGTTGTTGTTCTTGTTGTTGTTGTGGTAGTTTTTGTTGTTGTTGTTGTTGGTTCGGTTGTTGTAGTCGGTTTGCGAGTGGTTGTTGTTCTAGAAGTAGTAGTTCTCTTGGTTGTAGTAGTTGTATGGGCTTCTGGTTCTTGACCAATAAATTTGAAATTTTTAAAGCACCGATTTAGTTTCCTGCCTAGATCCTTTCCATTTATTTTTGGGTCATCACTGCATGCATTTCCTTTCATATTTAAGCTTTTAATTTTACATTTCTCAATAAATCTCTGATCAATTGCATTTATGTCATTTTTATAGAACGAAACAGTGCCAAGCTTTGGATGTTGATCAAAGGAATATGAAGAGATTATTTTAAGATTGTTTTTGTCCAAGTTCAATGTCTTTAAATTGTACAGAGAGCTAAATACATTCTCTGGGAGTTCAGCGATCTCATTGCTAGACAAATCCAAGTTTTGTAAATTCTCAAGGTTAAAAAACCAGTCTGGATTGAGAATTCTAAGCTGATTTGTATCAAGCTTCAGTGTTTTCAAATTTTGTAAAGAATTGAAGATGTTGTAAGGCAGATCATCGAGGATATTTGCAGACAAGTCTAATACTTGAAGGTCTTGTAGATTTTTGAATAAATGTTGAGGAAATGTTGTAAATTTATTGTAATTTAAGTAAAGCTCCTTCAAATTTCGATTGTTTGACAGAAAATTTTCATCAATATCTGACAACTTGTTCCTATAGAACTGCACAACCTCAAGATTTCGACAATTATTCAAAGAATTCAGCTTCACTTCTTCAATTTCAGCATCGCTCATGTCGATAATTTCAATATTTGGGAATTGCTCACAGAAAATTGGTGAAAAAATAGTCATTAAGCTCTTTGATCGACCCATGACTGTCAATATTTTGACATCTTCATCTCTTTTAGGGTCATCAGGATCTCGAAGTCCCCAAATTTCATTTAATACATCTAACTGTCCATCTACATCTATTTGACATGTATAGTCTACATAATCACGAAGAAATGTAGCTTTTGTGGTGCCATAGACACAATAAGGTGCACTAGCTGTGGTTAAAGTCACGACGGTAAGTAGAATTGTTAATAATTTAAAATTCATATTATAGATTTTTTTCTTAAAAAATATTTATGAGTCACAGAAGCTTGTTATTGATTAAAAACTACTGATGTGTGAGATTGCTGATACCCTTTGATTCTATTCACACTATTATCAAATAAATCACTGATTAGATTTTACTAGAAGTTCACTATAGTGTCACTGAGTCTAACAACATCATTATCACATCTATACCGGTTTTAAGCCTGGGTTTTTACAACAAATAATTGATTTTATAGTTTTATCGATCCTAAGTTATAATTATAGAACATTTAGAGCTGAGAGCTAGCAAGTAACTGAGAAGATGTGATCATGAGAGACTTTGCGTTGCATCATGAGTCAATTGAGTGAATTAAGTAAGAATATAAGCCAATAAGAGCAATTCTGTTGTGAGAAAAGTTTCTCTTTTTAAGATTCACTCATTTCAATAATCTCGTGTAGTTACGTTCATGTTTGGGGAATCCCGTAATATATTGCCAGATGTGGGGATCACATCAAGTGAACTCTGATTTTGTATAATGTATTTGTGATTAATGTTGTCTATTTTGAGACTAAAATGCGCTTAAAGCAAGAATATATTTAAATGCCGTATTCGAAAACCCTGTCAAATGTTCATTTGAGTAATATTTTGAATCACAAGCTTATCAAAATATATTCGAATCTTTTTTGATTATAAGACAGTTCATAAGTGAGACCGGCTTCTTCTGGTCGTAAAAAATATATTAAAAAGCAGCAACTGATTTACTGCCAACTAATTGATTATTCAAAGTCAATACGGATCAGCAATATTATTGTGCATAAAATCTTATAGAAATTTATGAACTTAATTAATCAAACCACAAAAATGAACTTAAAATTGACATTAGTTCTGCAAACCATGATTCTACTCAAACTGACATTTGGACTATCTGCAACAACAATTAACTGTTCATTTGATAACATCGATATCCCATTAAGTCATTTAATTACCATTCAAGGTTATGGATGTGACATTCAAAGCTTAACATTAGAAGATTCTCAAAATTCAGTCAAATTCAGTGGAATCCATAACAATAACAAAACTGACGATGACGTCAAAATCATCAAGTATCAAATTTATGCTGAAAATCAGCTTCCACAAGTTGATTCGTCATTTTGTGAGAAGTTCTCAAATATTGAGACAATTTACATCAGTCAGCTTGAAATTCTCTCAATTGATGAACATTCTCTTCAAAATTGCCAAAAATTGAGCAAATTGTATTTTTACGAAAACAAAATTCAAGCAGTTCCTGCAAATTTGCTAATAAAAAGTTCAAAATTAACAGTTTTGAACCTCGATTTTAATTATTTAACTGAACTACCGGACAACTTTTTGAAGAATCAAAAAAGACTGGAGGATTTAAACTTAACGAACAACCAGTTCAGCAGCTTTTCAAGCAACTTTTTTGATTCATTAACAAATCTTCACTCTTTGGGCCTCGGATCGAACAAAATATCAGCCATTGACTCAAAATGGTTTGAAAAATTGGAAAACTTGGTGTTTTTAGGTCTAGAAAGAAATGAGATCACTGAAATACCAAACAACATATTTTCAAAAACTCAATACCTAGTCGAACTTAATCTCAGCAACAACAAGATTAATACATTGACTACTGACTCTTTTAATGGTTTGAAAGGATTAAAATCCATAAATTTAGATCACAATGAAATTGAAGAGCTGCCAAAAAATCTTTTTAAAGACAACAAAAACCTCGAAGAACTAAGCATCGGTCATAACAAGCTCACGATTGTTGACTCAACATCATTCGGACATCCAATAAATTTGACGACTCTGCATTGTTATTTTAACATGATTGAAGGATTTGATGAGTCTCTTATTGATAATACAGCTCTTTTTGACTTAGACATGACTGAAAACTTTTGTGTTGATGGATGGATGTTAAGTCGGAACAGAATGAAGACAAATTTGAAGCAATGTTTTGAGAATTTTCGTGTGTTGGTGCATGAATCGTCAGATGGTAAGTTTGTTCTTATAAAATTACTTTTTGGAGGATGTGGCCTGATTCCATCAAGAACATAGAAAATAACAATGCACATTCATCAAGGGTAAGGAACCGATAAGTTACAAATTATTTGACCAAGATCACATCTTTATCCTTAGTACAAACCACAAACATTTTAGTTTAAAGACAACAAACTTAAAATCTTTTTTTTTATTCAGAAGTCATGACACCAACCACAACAGACCCAGCACATACCACCAGTACATACAAATCTATGACAACAACCACTGCAAATGTTGAGGAACCCGACAATAGCTTCGATATAAGAGGGAATATTGAGAACAGTGAAATTTTGGTATGTTGAAGGATTAAAGTGATAATTTAGGGCACATAAGACATGTCATGGGCTCAAGTAGGGAACACTCATGGCTCTAGATCAGTGATGGCCAGCCTATATACAATGGATAATACAGGAAATTCCTCAAACCGTTTGCTGTTTGTGAATTTGCGAATCGCTTATCATCAATGCGTGTCGTGGTACAAAAAGGTTGACCACCACTGATCTTTATCAGGAGCAGAGCCAGGGGTGGGGGAGCAAGAATATATTCTCAATTGCTTAGCCATTACCTGCTTATTTTTTATTAAAACAGAATGGACCTAAATGTGGGAAACGGAAGACAGGATTGCAAACAACAATAAGAGGGAATGCTATTTCTAAAGGAGATTATCCATGGTAAGCATTATTATCTTGACAGATCCTTATATAGAAGATTTAAATAAAACTAATTATTGAAAAGGAATGTTGCTATAATGGAAATTAAGATATCGAATAAATCGAGCCAGAATGAGATCAAATACATTTGTGGTGGAACTGTTGTGTCTAAAACCACAGTTGTTACAGGTACGAAGAAGTAAGAATTTCTAAAATTTATACATATTCAAAACATTCTTATATAGCCGCACACTGCTTCATTGGAAAGCACCAATCTCACCAATTAAGAGCCGCAAACATCTTAGTTTACATTGGAGTTCACAACTTATCACATATTGGTGAAATTGGAAGGCTGACAATTGCTATTAGGAAAATTATAATTCATCCTGGTTGGAATCCAAATAGTGGATCATTTCACGCTGACATTGCAATTTTGGAACTAGACGAAATATTAACCTTCACAAATTATATTCAGCCAATCTGCCTGATGCATCCTGGATCAGATATGGAAAGAATTACTGAAGGAATTGTTGCTGGATTTGGAAAAAGTGAATTTAATGATGTTGAAAGTGTTGCAAGAGTCATTAACATGCCAATTGTTAGCTATAACGAGTGTAAAGCAAGCCCTGATCATAAGTCACTTTTAAGTGATCAAATGTTTTGCGCTGGACATGCCAATGGCACTGGAGTTTGTGTTGGTGACAGCGGAAGTGGACTGCATGTTGTTTACAAAAACACTTACTATTTACGTGGAATTGTCTCAGCATCATTGAAAGGAGAACTTTATGGATGTAATGTTAATGCTTATGCTGTATTTACTGATGCAATGAAGCATATAGCTTTTATTGAGACTGGAAAATTTGATGGAAGAACATCTCAACAAATAGCCATGGACAAACTTTTTGAAGTTGGATATACACTTAAAGATTTTGACAATCCAGAAATAATTAAAAAGCTTGCAAAAATTAAAAAGTCATGATTATTAATTTGATATTTAAATATAAAGTAAAGCACTAATCTTTAAATGTCAATTTTTTTATTTAAAACTTTTCAAAATCTGTTAAGTTTTCATCCATTCTACAATTTAGCATCAACATGAATAGCAATAAATCCATCAGTTGCACCAGCTGTAATACTGAATGAAGCAACACCACTGGCATTGACTGTGATTGTACTTCCAGTACAACTACTTCCTGATTTACTTCCTGCAGCAATATTGCAGTAAGTTCCAGCAGCCATTCCAGTTTGGAGTGATTGATTGAGGTCAAAGTTCTCATTATTGAAGACAATAAAGGCACGATTTCCACGAGAAAATGCAATTTGCTTGCCACCGCTGTTCTCCCACCAATTTGCTACTGCTGCGGTTCCAGCTGCATTTCTGAATTTAATCATATTAAAGATTTGACGCCATCTATGTTCGCAAGCCCATCCACCGCTGCATGATCCATCAGCATTGATTGTTGGTGATCTTAAACTGCCGTCAGCATTGGCTGGTGGACCTTGGTCACCATCGCTGAATTCAAAGGAACTCATGATACGTGGAATACCGTATGGCCATGCCAAATGGAAAGCTGTTGCCATTTTGTATTGTTTTGGGACCTTGTAGGTTAAGACATTGTCACCTCCAGCTCCATGTCCTCTTTGGCTATTTAAAAATGAAAACGAGAGGATTTAATGGTGGTTTTATGAAATAAAAAGGTAAGAATCTTACTTATCGTGGTTGTCAACGAATGTTAAAGCACTGGCTGATGCCATAAAGCCCCAGCCTTCACCGAAGTTTCTGAAAAAATCAAAAATTAAACTTTAGAACGTTTTTGATATTAATTAATCAAAAGTCTAACCTTAGATATTTCAACAAGTCATATCCACGGAAGACGCGTCCAATTTCAGCACTATATCTGAATTCTGTAACTGATCCAAGATGTAAATATTCATCTTTAGTAATACCCTCACCACCAAGGTCAATAACTTCTTGTGTTATAAATGGACGGGAGTTGGCAGCAAAACCATGGGCTGTGTTCAAGTTGTTGAGACGTCCAAAGATGTTTTGGATATCTGCGGGCCTAATCAAGGATAAAAATTGAGATTAGGATTAGCAAAAATAAGTTTGAATACACGAAAATTTATACTTGAATTGATGCACAAACTACTTACCACATATGTTTGACTGCATTTTTAGGTTAAGTGAGGTTAGGATTTGAAAAATATTCAGTTATTAATAGATTTTAAAGTCAGAGGAACTAGATTAATGTACAGAACCTGCATCAACACGAAATCCTGCGACGCCGAGGCTGATTAAGTCATTCATATAAGCTACAATTTTGCCTCTGACATATTCAGTACTCAATCTTAAGTCTGGTAAACCGACCAACCAACAGTTTCTCACTTGATTTGGGTCATTGTAGTTGTTGATGGCACCTGGATGAATGTGGCCAATTAAAAGATATATAAATAAATGAAAACAAGCTAAGGCGCAACTTACATGATGGATTGAAATCACCAGATCCAAAAGGAACAGCTGGGAAGCTAAGCGATGATGCACTTACACTTGATCCTCCAGTTCCAACACCTAGAATTTAAGAAATTGTTTAATCTATCCTTGATAAATTGGAATTAATTAAATACCGTTTCCAGCAGCCATATGATTAATGACTGCATCAACATAGATTCTGATACCAACAGCATTACATCTGCGGACCATGTCAGTGAAAGCAGCTCGGTTGCCTGAAATTAATATGAAAGTTGGGTAATTAAGGTTTAGATCTTTCAGGTTTTGGAGGTCAAAAAATCTAGTAAATTACCTGATCTTGTTGTCAAAATATAACTTGCTGAAAAAAAAAAATTTAGTTCAGAATTTGGATAGTCAACACAAGTGACACCGTCATACCTGGTTGATATCTACAAAAAAAAATAAAAAATGTAAAAAATTAAATTTACCATAAATTCTATTTATTTACCTTTCCCACCAAGGACGTCCAGAAATGACTAGATTTTCATTTGGTGGTGATACTTGAACGCCAGCATATCCATTGGGAGCTAAGAATGTCTCACATTCAGTGGCAATATCAGCCCATTTCCATTCAAAGAGATGAACTATGCCAGATCTTCCAGACCACCTTAAAAAATAAAACAAATTAAGTTTATCTCAAGTGGCTGGTTAAGGTAGTCCAGAAGCATATTTCTATCAAGTTTCTAATTCTCAGTAGCACACATGATGAAAACTTATCAAACCTCAATTAAGCATCGATAAGATTACAGACAATTAATCAATTTTCTCTCCTGTAAACACAGCTTGCAGCAATTAGTTCTTATCGCTGAGATTACACACGCTGCTGGGAATTTATTTTTAAAAAATCGGTAAGAAAACAAGTGCTTGAAACCAAGGATAGACTCAAAAGAAGATTCAGACTGACTAATTTGATAAGGTTTTAGTTGTTCACGTGTAAAACGGTTAATTTGATGATGATTCAGCTGGTTATGCTTGTCTTAAGTGACTTTCATCTGTTAACATTGAACTCAAATGAAGTTATAGGCAGGATTGGGTACTGATTTATCACTGAATAACCATAGATCTTCAGTTTCTGTGCTTCATTTGCCATTTGCCACAGATACTCTAATAATATCGCTTCTATCTTCACAATTCACTTTTTATATTTACCAATGAGTATTCCACTGTCCATTAACAGCAACAAAGGCACAAGCCAAAAGTAAAATTAACTTCATCGTGAGTTTCAAGTTTACAGCACGAAAATTAAAACCCGACTGAGTTCTAGAACTGAAAAGTTGCTCTTTTAAAGTTGAAAAATTGAGCTTTTTTTTAATCGAGGAGAAAAAATTGATAAGATTTGATGATCAAGCAGGCGTGGAGCTTTAAAGTAAAAATTTTCTAATCTGATGCATTTGAGCAAGAGCTTTGAAATGTCATTGTAACTTAAATCAAGGTTATATCCAAAAAATTAATTCATTTTCAATGTGTGATAACTTTTGTTGAATTAAAACCATTTTTTTTTCCCAAAATTCTCATCTTATTGGAAGTTTAATAGGAGCTGACCCACCCCTTAAAAAACATTAGCCTACGCTCAGCATAACCTCAATCTAATTCAAAAGTAGCAGTTTTGAAATTTTAAATTCTTAAATTTAGGATATTGCGAACTTCTTAAGCGAAACCATCAGAATCAACCACGTTCTGGCTTAAGAAACCATCAGAATCAGCTCCAACTGAAATTTAGGGGGTTAAGGGTTGAATATGATTTTTTGACAATAATTTAGTTTTATTTTATTTTTTAAAAAAATCCAGCAGTAGCTAATTATTTATAAAAATTTACAATTTAGCATCAACATGAATAGCAATAAATCCATCAGCAGCACCAGCAGCAATAGAAATGTGAGCATTTCCACTTCCATCAACAGTGATTGTACCTCCTGTGCAGCTGCTGCCTGATTTATTTCCAGCTGCAACATTGCAATAAGTTCCAGAAGCCATTCCAGTTTGAATTGTCTGATTAAGGTCATATCCTTCATTGTTGAAGGCAATAAAGGCACGATTTCCACGTGAGAATGCAATTTGCTTGCCACCGCTGTTCTCCCACCAATTTGCGACTGCTGCGGTTCCAGCTGCATTACGGAATCTAACCATATTGTAGATTTGACGCCATCTATGTTCACAAACCCATCCACCACTGCATGATCCATCGGCATTGAATGTTGGTGATCTCAAGCTTCCATCACCATTAGCAGGTGGACCTTGATCTCCATCATTGAATTCGAAAGAACTCATGATACGTGGGATACCGTATGGCCATGCCAAATGGAAGGCTGTTGCCATTTTGTATTGTTTTGAGACTTTGTAGGTAAGAACATTAGCACCACCAGCTCCATGTCCTCTTTGGCTGTTGAAAGGTCATATATTATAGTCAATTTGATTTTCCTAATTATTAAGGATACTTACTTGTCGTGATTGTCAATGAATGTCAAAGCACTGGCTGATGCCATGAAGCCCCAGCCTTCACCAAAGTTTCTACATAATGAAAATTCACATAAATTTTTTATCAGATATTATTTTATCGCAAGTAACTAGTAACTTACCTCAAGTATTTCAGCAAGTCATATCCACGGAAGACACGACCGATCTCAGCACTGTATCTGAATTCTGTAACTGTTCCAAGATGTAAATATTGATCCTTACTAATAGCTTCACCACCTAAATCAATGACCTCTTGAGTAAGGAATGGACGTGAGCCAGCAGAGAATCCATGAGCTGTATTCAAATTGCTGAGACGACCGAAGATGTTTTCCAAGTCACCGGGCCTGATTTGGACAAGAAGTGAGATTAATAAAATTTTAATTAAGGAAATTCAAATTAAGTCTGGGCACAAACTACTTACCACATATGTTTGACTGCATTTTTAAGGTTAAGTGAGGTTAGGATTAGAAAAATATTCAGTTATTAATAGATTTTAAAGTCAGAGGAACTAGATTAATGTACAGAACCTGCATCAACACGAAATCCTGCGACACCGAGGCTGATTAAGTCATTCATATAAGCTACAACTTTGCCTCTAACATATTCAGTTCCAAGCTTCAAGTCTGGTAAACCAACCAACCAGCAGTTTCTGACTTGATTAACATCACCATAATTGTTGATGTCACCTAATACAATTTAAGGGTTGAATATTTAATCATTCATTCATTTGAGGTTAGGATTGATTGTTCTTACATCTTGGATTAAAGTCACCAGATCCGAAAGGAACAGCTGGGAAGCTCAATGATCCAGCATCTGTCCATGATCCACCGGTACCTGAGCCTGTTCCAGCAGCCATATGATTAATAACGACATCAGGATAGATTCTGATCCCGACAGCATTACATCTACGGATCATGTCAGCCAATGCATTTCTGTCTCCTGAACGTGTTGTGAGAATGTAGCTTGCTGGAAAAAATAGCTAAACTGTTGATTTGTTTTCAATATGATCAGCCATGCTTACATGGTTGATATCTTTCCCACCACGGTCTGCCTCCAATGACTAAGTTCTCTGATGGTGGCGAAATTTGAACTCCAGCATAACCATTAGGCGCTAAGAAAGTCTCACATTCGTTTGCAATGTCACTCCACTTCCATTCGAACAGATGAACCATGCCTGATCGACCACCCCACCTGGAAAAATTAAAGTTGTATTAAAATTTAACAAAAAATAATGTTAAACAGGGCTCAACCGGGATTTGAACCCGGGGCCTCTCACACCCAAAGCGAGAATCATACCACTAGACCATTGAGCCGTTCCAACACACTTCCATATGTTTTGTAGTTTGTTTAAAGTTTAATAATTTAAAAATTATTTAATTCATTATTCTGAGTGCTGCTTGGTTTCGTGTTTGAAAACAGCTGACAAAATACAGCATTTAGCGGGAGGTTATGTGATGATATCTAGATGATATCTAACATACTATTATTATTCTAGAATTGAGATTGCAATGTGATAGTTTAAATTGGTATTGGACATTGTCATATGCTTTTTGAAATATTTAAAAATCTTAATTTTTCTAGCTCATTCTACCAAAAAATAGCAAAACGTAGTAGAAACTTAATCATGTTATCAAGGAGCAGTAGGTGGCTGCGATAAGATAAATTGAATAATTCGATCAATCAATTTCAGAATGTCGAGATTGCTGAGTAAGTTTATGAACATTCCGGATTATTGTGGAATAAATCAGACTTTGTTACTGGTTTTAGATGAAAATTTTGGGTTTTTCCTGTTGTTACTTTTCGTAGGCAATGAGAATTTAGGGATTTGTGCATGTGAATCACTTGATTTTACAGAACATTATTGTGACTTTGTAAATATTGCTTAGAATTTTTCGCATAACATTTTGACTAAGTTGATCTAAATTTTGATAAAAATTCTCACCAATGAGGATTCCACTGAGCATTAACAGCAACAAGCGCAGACAATAAAATCACAAACAACTTCATCCTAATTTTTGTTCCCACTTTTCAACAGAAAATAAAAATAAGACTGAATTTTTCAACCCTTTAGTGCCGCATTTTATAGAAAAAAATCTCCAACTGAGTAAATATTAGCTGATGCAATGAGAAATATCTCGGAGCTTATCAAATCATTCGCACACGCTTAAATGTTTTCTTACAATTGTGTTTGACAGTTAAATGTTGATGGCAAATTGACGTCAAGGAGTTGGGAAAATTTTGTCAACAAAAATTATTACTTTTACTTAAATGTCTTTTGATGCAATGGTATGATCAAGATGTCTTGAAAAGTTGTGGTCTGGGAAGTCGTTAATGTGTTTCTTAAACTCTAGGCTCTAATGAGGATAGTTAAGTACTCAAATAAAAATGATAAAGTCAGCTTAAGGTGTCATTTAAGAAAATCTATGGATCAAATATCCTCTGCACGGTTTGCGGATCATTTGTTCGTTACACGATTGGCTCAACTTATGACTTTCTTAAAAATAGTAAGCATAAACACAAACAAATTGTCATTAGTCAATTATTTCAGTCCAATCTTCATCAAATGATTTCATATTTCCAATGGATTAACACTCCAGACATTCCCGAGCGGCACAATTTGACGATGACGATCAAATGATCTTCATATGAGCGTCTTCGTCATGACGATGATGATTGTACGACGATTTTTTTTTTCTAAAATATTATGACGATCATATGACGATCAAATGAAAGTCATAAATGACGATAATTTTTGATTTTCTGCCCATTTCGATTGTATGTTTTGCTTAAACTTTTTTCTTTGAACTGTTTTTGCACTGTAAAAACTGATAATTATTTTCTGAATGGTATTTCGATGATTGAACAAAATTTTTTGTGAGATTTTGTAAATGAGCTTTCATTCAATGTATGCTCACTGATTTCTAACGGATTTTCAATTCAAAAATCGATATGCTTATCATCAATATGATCTTCAAAATGATTGCAAAATTTGACATTAAATATTTTAGTAATCAAAGTTACCATTTTTTTGTGAAAATTTTATTTTCTTCATTTGTGTTCGAGAAGTTGAAGTGAGAAGGAGGAAAATTATATTCAATCCATTTTAAAAGTTTTTAAGAATAATCAAAGTGTGTGAATATGATATTTTAGAAATGGTAAGTTTTAGAAGCAATTGCTGCACATTAATTTGTTAAATTAATTAATTTTATCCATTTTCTTAGGACGATTTTCCATAAAAAGTGCTATCGGGCATTTCGATTTATTCTTTAATATCGTTGAAGCTCATTTACCTGGAACTTACAGCTCAGCGGAAGATGCTTCAAAAGCTGTCAAAATTTATTTACATCGACGAAGAGAAAATCAAGCTAATCAGTTGAAGTTGACTAATCAAAACCGATTTAACGACGAGGAAAATCAAGAAAATGAGTAAAAAAATCAAGAATATTAAGAAAATAGTCAATCATTATTATCAAGCTATTGTTATTATCATTAATCTTAAATAATTATATTGTTAAGTTGTATGTTAAATGTAATGCCTTATGTCTATAATTTAAAATATATATTATTTAGAGTTATTCTACACAAATTAACACGTTTTCGTTAAATTTTAAAAAATTATTCCAGTCAAAATTCAGCATATATATCACGGTTTATGCTCGTCGTCTCGCGATAGTAATTTTGTCATTTGATCGTCATATGACCATCAATTGACGTTTTCATTTGATCGTCGAGTGACGAATTTTTCGTCAAATGACCATCATATGAGGTCATAAATCGAATCGAGACGATGTCGTGATGACGTCTTATCATCATATGACGATCATATGATCGTCATTCATGACGTCTTTATGACGATGACGGCTGTCATATGACAATCATATGACCGTCATATGACGCTTGTGTGCCGCTCGGGATTGATGCTTTGAATCCCCTTACAAGTGTAAAGTCTAAATGAAAATCAATTGATAAAATTTACGTGTACCACAACAGTCATCTACAACTTCACGTCAAGTACGAACCACAAGCAGAATCGACTGTGGTCTTAGTGTCGATAACAAACATTGCGCGGAATTTCAAGCATATCAATAAGACAAGCAAAACAATAATTAATGATAACAAGCTCCTACTTCTGATCGGCCATAAGTTTTTTTATTTTGTGAGTAATTAATGATCCACGTGATAAGGACATGATGATTGTTGTTGTATTTCGAGTGTGCCACAGGTGAGAAAAATTATTATTATAGAATAGAATTGGATGATAAAAGTGAAGATTATGGTTTATGGCTGGCAAATCCAGGTTTTCACGCTTAATGATCGAATATTGTCGTGATTATGAGACAGTAAGCCGTGGGAAACAACTGCTTTTCAAGTGGTTAAAGCTTTTTATTAGTCAATTTATTTACAATTTAGCATCAACATGAATAGCAATAAATCCATCAGTTGCACCAGCTGTGATACTGAATGAAGCAACACCACTGGCATTGACTGTGATTGTACTTCCAGTACAACTACTTCCTGATTTACTTCCAGCTGCAATATTGCAGTAAGTTCCAGCAGCCATTCCAGTTTGAAGTGATTGATTGAGGTCAAAGTTCTCATTATTGAAGACAATAACGGCACGATTACCACGAGAAAATGCAATTTGCTTGCCACCGCTGTTCTCCCACCAATTTGCTTCTGCTGCGGTTCCAGCTGCATTACGGAATCTAACCATATTGTAGATTTGACGCCATCTATGTTCACAAACCCATCCACCACTGCATGATCCATCGGCATTGAATGTTGGTGATCTCAAGCTTCCATCACCATTAGCAGGTGGACCTTGATCACCATCATTGAATTCGTAAGAACTCATAATACGTGGGACACCATAGGGCCACGCTAAATGAAAGGCTGTCGCCATTTTATATTGTTTCGAGACTTTGTAGGTTAAGACATTATCACCACCAGCTCCATGTCCTCTTTGGCTGTGTATGATTAAGTAAGACAGTATTGTAATATTAATTTAAGGATATAAGGTTTAGATTCTTACTTATCGTGATTGTCGACGAATGTTAAAGCACTGGCTGATGCCATAAAGCCCCAGCTTTCACCAAAGTTCCTGGAAAGAACCAAAAATGAAAATTAGACCATTTTAGAGTCGAACTGAGAATCAAACCTTAAATGTTTTAACAAATCATATCCACGAAAAACTCGTCCGATTTCAGCACTATATCTGAATTCTGTAACAGTTCCCAAGTGAAGATATTGATCTCTGCTGATAGCTTCACCACCTAGGTCAATGACTTCTTGTGTAATAAATGGACGTGAGTTGGCAGCAAATCCATGCGCTGTATTCAAGTTATTAATACGTCCGAAAATGTTTTCCAAGTCACCAGGCCTAAGTTAAGAAGAAAAGCTAGTATTAGTTTGAGTAGAGGATGAACATAGCCTAAAATACTCACCACATGTGTTTGACTGAAATTAGAAAAGTTTTCAATTAAAAATGTATTTTAAGATTCTAAGGAACTAGATTTATATACAAAACCTGCATCAAATCTGAAGCCTGCTACTCCAAGGCTAATAAGATCGTTCAAATATGCAATTACTTTGCCTCTAACATATTCTGTGCTTAATTTTAAGTCAGGCATTCCAAGAAGCCAACAGTTTCTGACTTGATGTGCATCATTGTAGTTGTCGATACTGCCTGGAATTTTTTATATTAATTAATACAAGTTATTTTAGAATTTTGAATCTCATACATCTTGCATTAAAGTCACCAGATCCGAAAGGTACAGCCGGAAAGCTCAAAGTTCCAGAATTTTCAGTTGATCCACCAGTTCCAGTTCCTTTTGATTATTCAAAATTTTAATTATGCTGTTTAAAGTAAGAATTCGCGTATATAAAGCAGAACCTGATACAGCAGCCAAATGATTGATAACGACATCAGGATAGACTCTGACACCAACAGCATTACATCTACGGACCATGTCAATGAATGCATTTCGATCACCTGAACGTGTTGTAAGAATGTAACTGACTGGCTGATATCTGAAAAACAGTTTAAATAGCAGCTTTTAGGGTTTTATGTTGTGATGCTCACCTTTCATGCCATGGCCTTCCATTGACATTGATTATGTTTTCTGATGGTGGTGAGGTTTGAACTCCAGCATATCCATTTGGAGCTAGGAAAGTCTCACATTCATTTGCAATATCAGTCCACTTCCATTCGAAGAGATGAACAATGCCTGATCGACCACCCCACCTGCAAAAACACAAAGAAGTGATTAGTGATGCCAGGAAGGGATCTTATACAGTTTTAGAGCTATGCCAGTGTATCTCAAACTTTGGTCCACGACACCCTAGCGTTACATTATCTCAGGTATTTAACTTTTAGGAAACAAATCATTACCAATGAGTATTCCACTGTCCATTAACAATCACTAATGTTGAGATTACAATTAACAAAAGCTTCATCCTAAGTCTAACTATACCACAGGAATTCAAAACTAGACTAAGTTTTAATTGCATTAAATGCTGGTTCTTATACAAAAATTTGATAAAACGCTTGAGGCAAAAAAATGACAAGAAATAAAAAACCATTTCAAATCTTATCAATTCTTGATTGTTCCTTAATACCCGTCAATAATTCTAAGATTATTAGAATCAGTTTAAGTGGTAATTTTTGTTCTCATTGATGACGTATTTTATTATTACACGCTTTTTATTGAGTTGCTCTGTTGGTTTCTTTGTATGTCACGTTCAAATCTTGCAATCGATTTTTCGACCACTTCTATTGCTCCAATCGAGCTCAAATTTTGTATACACACGTATTCCCGGTGACAATACAATATTTTAACACTTTAGAACCACACAAATGCTTAATTATAGTACAATTTTAATAAAACTTTTTTATATGGGAAAAAAATCGAATGTCAATGATATAAAATTTTGATTTGTTTAAAATATTATACTTGAAATGCTCAAAAGTCATTTATATGATTCACTATAGTTTAATTAATATTACTAATTATTAATAATACTAATAATTGGAGAAGCTGAAGATTTTCTGGGAGGATGAAAAAATTGACAAGTAATTTTTTTATGAATATCCGTAAGTGAAAATTTGAATTTTCAAAAAAACCGTTAATCACAAGTCCGTTACAAATTAATGCGAAATAACTATCAATATATGATGTGCATTTAGCACACATAATTTGAGCATAAACGTATGCTGTTTTAAATGTATTACAATATTTATAGCACTTCACCAATTTAATTAAATTGACTTCTATTTATTATCGGCTTAACGTAATTTTGCATAACATATGAATGACATTCATTGAATTTAAATTTGAAAAATCCGTTATAAAAACGTTACATATAGATGTGATTTGCATCTTTATGTTAAGAATCCACACGTTATGTAATAGGAATGGTACGGATAAACACAAAATCTTTACGATTGATTTTTAATGTTCTTTACTCATGAATGTTTTAAAAAACACAGAAAACGCACATAATTGAAGTTCAGGACATTTTTTGGAAGAGTTTTATGTGTTTCCAGGTATGACTTAAATTATAAAAACGAATGAAAAATCCTGACAGTCGTTACTAATTACCCACTAAAAAATGGGAATATATTAAAAGTTGAACGAAACGAAGTGGAGTTGAATTTGAATTGTTGTGGTCAAAATTCGATTAAAAGATTGAGACTAAAAAGTAGCAAATAAAAAAACGTTAAAAAAACTTTTTAAAAAACACGCTTAAAGAGTCATAGTGTTCTTGGACTTAATCACAATATTTTGAAAAAAATTTATGTTACATTTCTAGTTGTCACAAGAAAATTTTTAAAATCCTGATTCGCTAAGAGTGTGACCTTATTTTATTTTGAACTTTTTGATTTTTAGTCTTTTTGATAAAAGCGTGTTTTTTAAAAAGTTTTTTTTAACATTTTTTGTATGTCTTTATAAGGTCTTATGGTTTGAACAAGGGGACAACAACATGATGGGAACAACTTCTTTACAACATTTATTATTCAATATCAGTTAAATAACTTAGTTTTAATTCCTTAGTTTTTTTTTATATTCTCGTGACTTTGATCTCAGCAAATTTACAATCACTACTTTAAAGTCGTGACTTAAACTTTCAGCAACTTTTATTTTTGCCAATGTAAATTTCTTTTTGGTTTTGTTATTCAAAGTGGAAACACGTAGCTAGAACTTTTTTAGATGCCAGCTATTTAAAATTTATTTGAATTCTTCACAATTTTCATCTGAGTAAGTTTCTAAAATGTCAATACGGCGTCTTTTGGTCAAGGTTAATTTCGTGTTTCGGCAGGTAAGTGTCTACATTTTAAGAATGGTATGATGGTGCATGTGGCAAGATGGATCAAGGTCTGACTCATATACCTGACAATCCGCATAAATTTCTAAAACCAACCCCATAAATTAAATTTTAATAAACATTTCAGGCAATCAAGCACAAACGCCCAGCAATTCAGCTCCTTCTCTGCTTCTTCCTCCTCCTTGCAATCTCAGTCGTCATCCTTATCAAGCTCAACAACGATCCTCTAGCAATCCAAAAACCTTACATCTACATCGAGCCATTGACCTCATATTATCGCTTTCAACATGCATCGTTGACCAAAGACTGGCACGATTATAATTTCATGGAATATGAAGGCACACGAATTGGACCAGGTGAAAATGGAACTGCTGTTTTTTTGCCACCTGATGAGCAAGATTTGGCAGCTAAAATATTTTTGGAAAATAAGCATAATGGACTTGTGAGTGATAAAATTCCTAGAGACAGGTCACTGCCTGACACAAGACCACCAGAATGTAAAACTAAGCAATATTTAGCGGAACTGCCGCAAGTTTCTGTCATTATTCCATTCCATAATGAAATTTTAAGTACTTTGACTAGGACTATCCACAGTGTCTTCAATAGATCACCACCGGAACTTCTAAAGGAAGTGATTCTCGTCAATGACCATAGTGACAAAGACTATTGCTATGAACCACTCGAGACTTACATTGCTGAGCATTTTGATGTCAATAAAATCAGAATTTTAGTACTTAGTACTCGTTCAGGTCTAATGTGGGCACGTCTAGCTGGTGCTCGAGCTGCATCCGGTGATGTTTTGATATTTATGGATTGCCATACAGAAGCAAATATCAACTGGCTGCCACCATTAATTGAACCAATTGCTAAAGATTACAGAACCTGTGTGTGTCCATACATTGATGTGATTAGTGCTAAGGATTATCATTATTCTGCTGTTATTGATGGAACTAGAGGAGTTTTTAACTGGCACTTCTTTTATCAATTCTTGCCATTAAGACCACAAGATAAGTTAGATCCAGCTGAGCCTTTTGAATCACCTGTTATGATGGGATGTGTTTTTGCTATATCGGCTAAGTTTTTCTGGCAGCTTGGTGGATATGATTCGGGTAAGTATGGCTTTGTATAGTAGCAGATTAATGGAATCATCTAATTTAAACTTAGCACTCGAGATTTGGGGTGGTGAACAGTATGAACTAAGTTTTAAGGTACTTCATGCTTCTGATTTTTGCAAAAGTCAAATGAAAATGACAATATAAAACTTATTGCAGGTCTGGCTGTGTCATGGAAGACAGCTTGATGCGCCTTGTTCAAGAGTTGGTCATCTTTATCGACCCAGACCGTTCACAAATGCTGGAAACCATACCAATTATGTACACTAGTAAGTAAACGATATGCAAGAGTTCAGCCTTAAGGCAAGTTAAGCCAGTAAATTCTAGTTAACCTTAAAAATCAGCTCTTACTTCCTTCAACCAATCCAATAGTATCATAAATTCAATATCCTTTCAGTAACTACAAACGAGTAGCTGAAATTTGGATGGATGACTATGCTAAGTATCTTTATGAGAGAGATCCGGACTTATGGAACAACATTGATGCTGGTGACACATCCTATATGAAAGGAATTAAAGAGAAACTCAAATGCAAGCCATTCAGCTACTTTTTGGAACATGTTGCACCCGATATGCTTGAAAGATATCCATACATTGAACCTCCGGAGTTTGCTAGTGGAGCTGTAAGTAGAATTTTGTGACATAACCTCAAAAAAAAATTAAAGTTATTAAATTCTTTCAGATCATCAGCGTAGCTAATCCAACATTTTGTGTTGATGCCCTTGGAGACGATCGAGAAATGCAAGTTGGCATCTACCCATGCAAGGAGAACCTTCAAAAACCAGGATATAGACAAAACTTCAAACTTAGGAACCATCGAGACATATCAATTGAAGGATCTAACAGCAACTGCCTTGATTTCAACCAAAACAGGATTCTCATTTATTCTTGTAAATTCAAGCAAGACAATCAATATTTTAGGTATGACATGAAGACACAACAGATCTATTGTGGATCTAAATGGCGCAATTGGTGTATGGAAGTGGATATGAGGACTAAGAAGTTGATTTATGCAGCGTGTAATAGTGAAAAAGCTACACAGAAGTGGAAATGGGGATTCATCAATGAGACAATGTTGAGTGACTGGATTAATAATGGAATTCCTATTATGGACGAACAGGAAGTGTTGGATTTAAAGAAGGAATATGGAATGTTGTAAAAAGTTGTTGCTTTAATTTTCATTAAAATGATTTATTTGAATTTCAATACAAAATCTTTATGAAGTCGAAAAATATATTAAATTAATTTAATTTAAAATAAATGTATTAAATTTACTGCAAGATGTCATCAATCAGCACGAATGTCTTTTGCTTAAACTTCCTTCTTTGCCGTTCATCCATCTTCGTCAAGTCATGCATTAGTGACTTAAAGAACAGGTTCCATTCACTTGGATGCTCATTTTCACTGCTGAACAACGAGTCATGATTTGATGAGGTTTCTGCTTGTTGATCATTGTTTGGAACTTCGACTGGTTCCAGTTTGATGTCTTTGATCGGAACTTGTTCATCTTGAATATGCTTCACTTCGAATGCTGTTGAGTTTGACCATTTAGAGTCAGTAATTACTGGATTTGAATTCATTTCTGACTTTGCAATGGTTGTTGATGAGCTAGTGCTTGTTATAGCCACAGAAATGTGAGGATTTGAGAATATTGCTGAGATTCTTGGATCAGCTGGAATGACTGATGATGATTGTGGACTAGATGTTACTGGGTTGATGAACTTTGTTGGTGGAATGAGGTTTAATTGGACTCCATTTTCAGTTGTAGAGTTCCTACGGGAAATTGAGTTCCTTGTGCTTCTTAATTTTGATCCTTGAACACCAAGGATTGGTCGAATTTGTAAGGATGAAGGTAGTTCAATGTTGCCAAGTGAGAATCTTGTGGCTGAAGTATTTGGTGCTTCTGGTTTTTGAGCATTATTGCTGATAATTGAGATTTGAGGAAACAATTCAGAGAAACTTGATGTTGAAGTGCTGAATAATTGATCTGGATTTGGTGATACAGAGTTGGATCCAAATGAAGTCACAGAAAAATTTTGTTGATCCGTTTGAGCTCGAATCAAATTATTCTTGACTTTAGCTAATTTCTGTTGAATAGTTGCTGAATTTCTGTCAAATCCAATGGATTCACGTCTGATACTTAATGAATTCGGGTTAGTTTTGATCAAACTACGCTTGGCTCCTAATGATTTTCTGTTTTGGATTCTAACTGAGTTTCTGACTGTTTGTGGTGAACTTTGAAGTGAGGTTGACAAAATTGTTGATATGGTTTGCTGGCTTGTTTCCAAATTGTTTGAATTTGAGTTCTGAACAGTCAATGACTTCTTGACAACTTTAGGTGGTCGCCCTCTAGACTTTTTCACACTTTGTTGGTCTTGCTTTGAAGTTTCAGGAAGTTCCATCTTTTGTTGCTTCTTCATAAAGTATTTCTTGGTTTTTGCTAATTTTCCTTCAAGTTTCGCGGTTGTTGGTTCAGTTTCAAGTTGAATTGAGGTAACTTTGGATATGACTGGCAGTTTTGAGGTCATGTCTGCACATTCAATATGATTTTGCTCCTCAACCTTAAAATTCATCATCTCCACACCCAAATCACCAGAGCTAACCTCAAATTTCTCAACAATACCTCCTCCACCACTCAACTTGACACCTTCCTTCTTCATTCTGTTAATATGCATCATCACATGAGCCTTTAAGCTTGGCTTAGTTACGAAAATTTTCTCACAGAAATCACAATTGTACTTCTTCCTCTTGCTGTGGATGATCTGATGCAGCTTCATTAATCTACGGTACTTGAAGTCCTTTCCACATGTTTCACACTTGAATGGCTTCTCTACGCTGTGAGTCATCAAGTGCAACGACAAATTCTTCTTGGATTTGAACTTTTTCTCACAAGATAGACATGGGAAGTCAGCATTGTCATTATGAACAGACATGTGACGTTGAAGATCTGATTTTTGGACAAAACCAAAGTTGCAAAGTGAGCATTTATGTGGACGTTCACCGGAGTGAATTAATTTATGTCGATTGAGACTGAAAAGCTGTGCGAATGATCGATTGCAGATTTCACATGTTATTGGTGCTGCATTATCTTTAATCTGTTTGCCTGACAGCCGATTAGATGTTCTCTTTGATTTTAGCATTTCTTCAGTCTTGAGCTTCATGATCTGTGCCTTGCTTATAACTCCCGTCTTATCAAGTTCCGATGCTTTAGTGAAATTTTCAAAACTTTTATCCAAATTTGATTCTTTAAGGAATGCCAATCCTTTGCCATAGAAAGCCAATCCATTTTGGGGATCAAGTTCGAGAATCTTGTCTAAAATTTGATGAGCTTCACCTGAACGACCATTAATGTTGATGAGACATGATGCTTGAAGGATTCTCATATCTGTTTGTGATGATATTTCTGATGGTGATGCTTGAATTAATGAGAGACATGCTGTGTACTCTTGTGATGTGTATGCGTTGACTATTGGCTCACGAGGGTCCATTATGATATGGATATGTTGGTGAATCTTTAGTATTTTGAGGTTATGTTGCTAGATTCCTCAACTGTTGCCAATTATTGAATGACTTCTTTAAATCAATTCACAATTAAGTTTCTGCTGTGAATTTAATTTGTTTTTTTATAATTTTAGAAACTTTCTTAACTGATTAGTTGTAAGAAAAATCACTGAATGATGTTGAGGTACAAAAAAAGTTTGGTTTATATTTGAAAATATTTGAGATTCTTGAAATAAGGAAAGAGAGTTTGTACGAAAAGTTTTTGTAATGTTGAGAATATTCTAAAGTTGATGAGAGAAAACAAACATTTTTATGAAAGAAACTTAATAATTCTACCTGAACATGTTTTTTTGTTGCTATTGTTTTACTCTCATTAGAAAATTATAGTTTCAAAAATTTAAAAAAAGTTTGTATGCAGCATGACCCAAATGTAATTTTAATAATTCAAATAAAACTAATTTTGAGCTACAAACATATGAAAGTTTGTTGGAACGGCTCAATGGTCTAGTGGTATGATTCTCGCTTTGGGTGTGAGAGGCCCCGGGTTCAAATCCCGGTTGAGCCCTGTTCAATGAATTTTATGGATTATCTTTTTTTGGTGCTAAATTTCGGGTTTTTTTTAAATTCAAATCTTTTATAAGATTTTTTTTCAGATTTTTATTGAATTTTTGATAACAGTCAAAATGAATTTAAACTAAAGTTTTTGAGCCTAAAGCTTCAAATTAACAACTTTTTTTATATTAACAAATATTAAACTTTCAAATGAAGAAAGCTTGAAAGGATTTCGAATTATTTAACCACGAATTAATGAACAAACAGAAAATTTAAAACTGAATTAATTTATTAATCACAAGCCTTTGCAAAGCTTCAACTCACATCAAAATTCATACTTGCAATTTACTAGTAATTATTAAAACAACTTACTATTAGAAAATTACACTCGCCATTTACAATCAAATTACTAGCAAATTACCATGTAAAATGTTTGATCAAATCTTCTTAAGTTCGAATCCTACGAAAATTCATCAAAAAAAGAATTTTTTGCGTCAAAAAAAATTTTTGTTCTAAATTTGGCATTTGCCATAAACTTCACAAGAGCGCGCAGAAATCACCTTTATAAGGTCGATCCAAATTTGTATGTGACTTCAATTAATTATTTATCTTCCTCAGGTTTGCGTGCGAGTCAGAGGCGTTCATCAGTGTTCGACTTTATTAAATTAAGTCTTTTGTTTTTTATCATAGTGTTAGTGTACTTTAATTAACTTAAACTAAGTACACACTAATACTTTTACAATAATTTACACAAAAAAAAATCAAAAGAACACGTGGAAATCAACGGTTATATTCATTTAAATTTTTTACAAATTTGCTAGTAAATTACTAGTTAAATTGTAAGCGAATTGACTAGTCAATTAGCAAGTGAAAATGCGGGTCTTTGGCGATGATTTGAACTTGGATTTTGACTAGTAAATAGCAAGTAGCAAATGGAAAGTTATCAAGTGAATTACTAGGAAATTACTAGTAAATTTCTACTAGGGTTACATTATCAACCAGACCGAAGCTGATATGAATCATAATGGATTTTTATTGCAGGTTTTTTCCACAACTTCCTGACTAAAACTATTAAAAATTCATTAATTTGATGACAATGTTATTTATTTTGCTCAATAGTTTAGGGCAGTTGGAATTTCAGATTTTATGACCAGCAAATAAAAGTCACGAAGTCTGTTTTTCCTGCAAATCATCGTCTATTCTTCAATTCTTATTTAAATTGACGCAAAGTAAAATTATTCATACCTGATTGTCTTATCATTGTGGATTTCCCACTTGTCAAAACAGACGATCCACTCCAAATGATTCAATTCCACTGAACAACTACTGCAAACAATTTACTCAAGTGCATACATGCACTATAAAATGACAGAGATTTTCATCACATTTTCATTATTCATCCAAGCATTGAATTGTTCAGATCAAAAAAATAATTAAATACGGTAAAAAATGAAACTTTCAATAGTTTTCTTTGCATTGGCATTCGCTTGCCTTACTGAGGCTTTCCCTCAACCTCCATCAAACTTAGAAGTTGCAAATCATGATCATCCAGAGCAACATCACTTGAAGCACTACAAACCAGGTCATAAGAGCAGCTCAAGTGAGGAATCTGATGAGTCAAGTGAATCAAGTGAATCTGATGAACACAAACCACACCACCCACCTCATCATCCTCATAAGCCACCTCATAGACCATCGAGACCTCCACGTCCAACAACAACTGTGAATCCTGAGACTGATGCGCCAGAAATTGAAGATCCAGAGACTGAAGAACCAGAGACTGAAGGTCCAGAAACTGAAGGTGCAAAGACTGAAGTTCCAGAAACTGATGCTTCAGAGACTGAGACATCCAATACAGAAGCACCTAACACTGAAGCACCAACAGAATCATCTGAAACAGACGCTCCAGAAACCAATGCTCAAGATACAGAACAACCTGAAACCGAAGCTCCAGAGTCTCAAGCTCCAGAAACTGAGGCACCAAGCACAGATGTTCCAGAGATCGAAGAACCTGGAAATTAAGTTCAAACAGTCAACTTGATTAATTGAAATGGAAAATGTGTAAAGTTAATTTTTTGGAATAAAAAATATATTTTTAATTTTGCATAATTTATTTTGCATCTTACTTCACTCAATTCAGGGTATTATTCACAAATTAGGTAATTTTTATAAACTTGGACTTTTTGAATTAGACACTTTTCAGACTTCATTTTCTAGATCCAGTCGTTACAACAAACTTACATCTGTATCATTTGAGTAATAATCTTATCCATATTTAAATCAATCAAAAAAATTCAGAACTAATATAGTGTCGTTATTAATAACCTACTTGACAAATAGGAACACTATAACCCTGTCCTCCCAGGAACTCATAAAACTCTTCTTCATTAAACCTATTTCAACTCTTTTCATCGACTTTTTATTTTGTTTACACAGATGCTTTGAAGCTTCCGTACTTTATTAATATTCCTCACATAAACTTGAATAATAATTAAAATAAAACGAATTTTAAGCTACAAAACATATGAAAGTTTGTTGGAACGGCTCAATGGTCTAGTGGTATGATTCTCGCTTTGGGTGTGAGAGGCCCCGGGTTCAAATCCCGGTTGAGCCCCGTTCAATGAACTTGTAGATTATCTTTTTTGCTGAATTTTGAAAAACTAGTTCTTGATGTCATTGGTTCCACGCTTGTAGATTGTTATAATAAAGTGAATAATTTTTATCTGAGCCAGTTTTCCTAAAAGAAATCCAATTTAATTCATTTCCGTTTTTAATGAGCAGTAAAGTCAATGAAATTGACGTCAGTAAAGTCTTTACCGGTTTTGTTATCATCGTGGTTATTCATTCTTTATCGAAATAATATCAATCATTTGAAAATTTCACCTTAGGCGTGTTCCATGCGTGAAAAAGATAGCAAAAATATTTTTCTTATTAGTCATGAAACTTTACTTAATTTCGCAAAGAAGCTTAGCTTGAAGGGTCCAACCCAAAATATTTTAAACCTTAAAGAGTCGAGGGGAGTTGCAAAACTGTAGGTAACAATACAATTCATTGTGACAATTGTTGGTGCTTTAAAATCATCAATCAACCAATCACTGATTATCAATAGAACTGCCCAAATTCTTCAAGCGATAAAAAGCTATTTTTTAATTAAAAACAAATCGAATTTAGTCTTTTTTGCAATATAAAATGTGAAAGATTTTCAATTGAATTTTCATTAATCAACAAATTTTTGAACCAAACAGTGCAGTTTAAATCATCCAAAAACATGTCAAAACTTTCAATTATTTTCATCGCATTGGCTTTTGTCTGCATTGCTGCAGCTTATCCACAACAACCACCAAGTTCAGATGCTGTTAACCAAGACAAGCCTGAGGCAGTTCAACCAACCATGTTGCGTCGACCAAATAACGACAGCAGCAGTTCTAGTGAATCTAGTGAGTCTAGTGAGTCTAGTGAGTCCAGTGAGTCTGATGAGCATAGACGACCAAGACGTTCAATCAACTTCCCTGAAAATCTCCCAATGAACGAATTATTGAGCGGAATTTTGTAAAAAATAATATACGAAGAAATAAGCAAACGAGTCTAAAGAAACTTGAAAAAATGAACAACTGGACATGCTGAGAGCAAACATACCCATGCAATATTCTTTTTTAAATTTTATATCTTTATTTAACTTCAAATAAAATTGTGAAAAAATATTTTCTACTCGAAAAATGTGTTTTTTTAATTAATTCAAATAAAACGAATTTTGAGCTACAAAACATATAAAAGTTTGTTGGAACGGCTCAATGGTCTAGTGGTATGATTCTCGCTTTGGGTGTGAGAGGCCCCGGGTTCAAATCCCGGTTGAGCCCTGTTCAATGAATTTGTGGATTATTTTTTTGCAACTTTTAAGAATTTTAATAAAAGTCACGAAGTCTGTTTTTCCTGCAAATCATCGTCAATTCTTCATTTCTCATTTAAATTGACGTAAAGTAAAATTATTCATACCTGATTGTCTTATCATTGTGGATTTCCCACTTGTCAAAACAGACGATCCACTCCAAATGATTCAATTCCACTGAACAACTACTGCAAAATAATAAAAGATATTATAATGCAAATAACTGGCTCAAGTGCATATCTCCAGCACTATAAAATGGAAGAAGTTTTCACTAGCTTTCCATAATTCAACTGACATTCTAGTTGAATAGTTCAATTGATCCGTCAAATCCCGAAAAAGTATTTAAAATGTCAAAACTTTCAATAATCTTCGTCGTATTATCTTTAGCCTACATTGCTCAGGCACAACAACAACAACCCCCAACACCACCATCACATCCAGGCTTTCAACTAGATAGCCATGATGGACCAGTAGGATTTGAACATCTAAAAGGACCACGCCATCCTAATCATCATCATCATCCAGGTAGCTCAAGTGAAGAATCTGATGAGCGTAGACCACAAAGACCACATCGTCCATCTCATAGACCTCCACATCTTCCACCTTGGTGGCCAACCAGACCATCTCGTTCAACACGTTCACCAACAACTGTAAACCCAGAAACTGAGGCTCCAACAGAATCTCCAGAGACTGAAGCTCCTGAAACTGAGGCACCTGAAACAGAAGCTCCAGAAACTGACGCTCCAGAGACCGAAGCTCCAGAGACAGACGCACCAGAGACTGAAGCACCTGCAACAGAATCTCCAGGAAATTAAGCATAAATTGTCTTGTATAAATGAACTAAAATCTTGACTTTAGTAATAAAAAAATTATATTTTGCATCCATAAACTTAAACATATATCTTACATCCTTAAACAATAAACCTTAAATAGTAATTAACAATTATACTTTTAAAGCTTACTAAATATTCAAATGAAGGTTGTGTTCCTGTTCAATCTTCTTTAGACAAGCTTCTGCATGTGAATTTTTGCATTGCGTTGTGAATTCTTCAATTAGCTTTTTGGCTCTTGCTATGAGTGGAAAGTAAACTTTGCAGTCTTCATTGAAGCTGTCGCCATTTAGAGTGTAGAACATGACACCACCGAGGTTCTTTTTGAGTGCATAAAATGTCTAAAATTACAAGAAGCCTTAAATTAGCTGAAAATCCATAAAAACTACGAACATACCTTGATCTCAATAGCTTCGTGGTCATCATAAGACACCCAAGTTCTGTCATGATAAGCATATTTTGAGTGACTTCTTGGAAGCAATTTGGTTGTCCATTTTACAGTTTTGTCATTGTGGCTGCTTGATATTGATAAATTCTTTTTTAAAGCTGTGCAAATCTGAAATAAAAAAATTGAGATTCAGTTTTTTTGTAGCTTTTAAATGCAATTCAGGTTCAGCTCGATCCCAGCACTTAAATATGACTAGCTACAAAATCTTCCCCTACCTTATTATACTCAACAAACTGCTCATTCACATCCACATCTTCATCACTCAAATCAGCACCAATACCTGTTCTGGTCGATCTTTTCAGCTTGAAAACTTTTCCATAAGTTGAAATTCCAAAAATTAATTTCTCTGGTCTGCAGTTTTCCGATAAAATTCTTTGAACATTTTCAGCCAAAGTTTCTTTATAGATGTGATGATCATCATTGACTAGTGGAGCTCCAATTGATGTTTTTGATCGATCAAAGTAGTCATATGTCATTAGAATTGCATAATCTAGGGAGCTAGATAAGTAATAAATTAAAAAGTATTCAATATTGAAAATTGAGTGCCAAAACTTACTCGCAAAGCTCCTTCATCGGAGAGTAAGCTTCAATTATGTGAGAAATTTTCGTTCCGATGGCTGCAACAACAAGTTTATTTCGTCTTGAGAGCTTTGACTTGAGAGCTTTTATGAGTTTGACGAAGTTTTGTCGATCGTCTTTGATTCCGCCACGCTGGAAAGTAAAATGTTTATTTTTTAGAATAAAGGAACTAGGAGCGGTGATTTGAAGGGTTGTGATAAAAATACTCACCATTGTAGGATACATCCAATGAATATCGATCTTTAAAAAAGTTAAGGTTATTGAATTATTTGATAAAAATCAGGAACCAAACTCACCCCATCAAATCCGTAAAAAATCAGAAACCTCAAAGTCTTTTCAGCAAAATTTTCAACAGAATCTTCAGTTTCAACTAAACTTGAGAATTTCTCACTTCCTTCATCCCAACCTGCAAGAATGTTCATTATTTAATTTTAAGGGTTCAATCTTGACTAGCTTGGAATTGACGAAGGATGCAATAAGTCAATTAATCAGCTTTGAACTTCTAAAATTAACACTAAACTTACCGCCAACCGAAATTAGAATCTTTAAGCATGGATCTTTTTCTTTTAGCTTCATTAAGTCATGAAAATCTTGATTAACTTTCTTGTGAGGTAACACGATCTCCCCATTCATGTCTAAACCAGCAAATGCATAGATTATGTGGCTACAAGGTGGTTTGTTATGATGGAAAATTGAGGATGGACTTTGATGAGTCACTTCGTTCAATAATTCATGATTTGTAGTTTTGTAGTAACAAAAGATTTTCTTCTGACTTTCTGGAATTTAATTTTGAAATTCTAACATTTTCAAGGAATTTTTTAAGATTCTAGATTTATCCAATCTACCTTCAGGACAGTTGTACTCATCACATTTTACACATAATGAACAAATTATTAAAATTTTAACAAAAATAGTCAGAATTTCAAGTTTCATTTTTCGATCCTTAAAAGTATTACTTCAAAATTCCCAAAACTTAATAAATTTAATTCAAATATCAATCTTCAAAACCAAGTTAATGACCAATTTCCAAAAAAATGTGTCCCACAGACCCACTTCTATTATTGCTTCACGCACTTTTTCTATTCAAACTCTCAAAGACGACTAAAACAACGGCATTGAATCTATTGGAATAGGAAAACTTTTTTTTTCGCAATAAATAAATTGTTTTAACACACACTGACCTTAAATCAATTAGGAGCCATTCCATTGATCTATTATTCATGATATGAGAACTATATGCTGAGGTCTTTAAAATATTGAAGGTTGAAATTTATTTTTTTGGATGGGAGTTTGGGAGGCTGTATTTGGAGGTTCTTTGGATTGGGGTTATGGATCAATGTGGGGTTCGAAAACTATAGTGTAAGGAAATGAATATGCTAGAGTTGGTTCAAAACGAGTATCCCAGTGGTAAGGTATTCTAGCTTCATCGAGGAATCAAGCTTAAGACAGAACCACTGCGACATATGTGCTGTCTGCTTATGGCAGGTTCTTATTCACAACTTTGCCATAATCCAACAATTTAAAAAAATGCGCCTTATGTAATCAGACTATTTCTTACTTACCCAAGACATCTCTATTCCCCTCCGTGTGTCACAATTAAAGCTCTTTCGGGAATTTTTTTTATTGTGTTTTTCTATCAATTTAGAAATTCGCATTCTGTTCCATCTAAAAATGAATCAAGAGTCAATGACTTACATATTTGATATTCAATGTCAATGCTAAATTGATGAGTGCTGTTCTGATTTTATTTTTTTTTTTCGGGTATTTGCATTTTTTGATTAGAATATGAGCGAAATTAAAAAGGTTTTGGGTTTGGAATATTAAAAGAATTTCAATTTAATTTGGGTACAGGGGCATTCCTACAGTCAAGGTGTGTTTGAGAGTCATTCAAATTTTTATGGTCTTAGAAGTTGAATAATTAAATAAAGTCTTCAAATCCGATTTTGTAGATGGATAGAATTCATGTGGAAGACCAAAGAACTCAAGGAAAGAAGCTGTTAATTCAGACAGTGCTGCATTTGGAATCGGCAATTAGCAGACGGTAGCCAGAGAAAGAACTAAGTTTAGGGGACGGCTAAGGGAGGTTATGGGTCACAATTGATCTGTACGACCAGCGAATTAAGTAAGTAAGAAGTTGAAATAAAAAGCCTATTTTATTTTTATTCTGAAATATAAATCATTGATGTGTCTTAGAACATAAACCTTCCACCAAACCCAAACCCAGCACCACAAAAATATCAAATTTTATTCTCCAATTCTCAATGCTCTTAAGATGCTGTCTAATTTCTTATCCAAATCTGAAAATCTTTCTTGCACTTGAGTCTCAATTGCCTTAACTTTTTCTTCAATTGACTCTACGTATGATTTTGTAGCATCCTGTGCTGCTTTTAGTTCCTTGATAGATTCGTCTGTGGCATCTTGAATCATTTTTAGGTTATTAACATTAGCCAGAGTGTCAGTTACTAAATCATTAATTTCATCAGTGAGTTTCTCAAATTTTTTGTCAATGAGTGGTTCCTGGTCATTTTTGGGGTCATCTGGAGACTCTGGTGATGATTTTGGAGCTTTAGTAGATGATATCGGAGTTTCAGTTGTAGTTGTAGTTTCAGTTGTGGAAGTTGCAGCTTCAGTTGTGGAAGTTACACCTTCAGTCGACAATGTTGTAGCTTCAGTAGTCGAAGTTGTAGCTTCAGTCGTAACTAATGGAACTTCAGTGGTTGAAGTTGTTTCTGGGGATGCAGAAGTTGTAGCTTCAGTTGAAGACAAAGGAGATTCAGTCGTGGACGTTGCAGCTTCGGTCGTTGATATTGCAGACTCGGTTGTCGATGTTGTGGCTTCAGTTGTAGATGTTATGGCTTCACTTGTGGTTGTTGTAGCTTCAGTTGTGGTCGTTGTAGCTTCAGTTGTGGAAGTTGTAGCTTCAGTTGTGGATGTTGACGCTTCAGTTGTGGATGTTGACGCTTCACTTGATGATATCGGTGCTTCTGTTGACGAAATCGTAGCTTGAGTTGCTGAATCTGGACTGTCTAAATGCATCGGATCTTCTGGAACATTCTCGATCGGTTCAGAAGTTGGAATGTCCATTTTGAGGCTTCTAAGGTTCTTAATACTGTCACTCAATGGTCGGAAATTTGAAAATTCGTAGTCAGCAACAACATTTTCCATCATGTCTGCTTTTTCAATAAATTCCTCAGGACTTAAAATTTCTGACTCATTTATGAGATTTTTGACCTGCTTATTCATATCTACAAATTCAGGATCAACACATTGAGTCTTCATAATATTTACACATGCAAGCGTTTCATCTCTTGTGTCTGTATTTTTATCAATACATGGAACTCCTTCAACGTACAAATCAGTCATTTTATTCAAATTATCAAAAACATTAGGATCGATGTGGACGAGTCTGTTGCCATGGAATCCAACAACTTCTAAATTCGGATTGTAGTCCATAAGACCTTGCTCAAGAACTTGAAGTTTATTGTCATACATGTTGAGGCTACGTAGACCTGGAAATGGCTTTAAGTCAGATTGATGAATTTCCTTCATTCCACACCTCATAACAGAAAGTGATATAAGGTTTGGGAAGAACCAATCGAGTCCTTGTGGGAAATAGCTGATAATTTGACGATTTGCATGAAATCCATCAACAAGACCATTCGACTGCTGACCTTGATGAGTTCCAATCATTCTATTAAATCGTGCTGATTCTGGGGTTGGCATGTTAATTCCAGAGCTAATGCAGATGTAGACTCTACCTATGACTGCATATCCGTTTGTGTATTCAAATCTGCAGTTCAAATCAAAGGATGTTGAGATTGTTGTGAGAGCTATTAAAATGAAGGTGATGATGCTGGGGAAAAGAGACATTAGATAAGATTAGTTGAAGTCTTTTGTGGTTACTAGACACTTAAAATATTCCAAAACTACACAACAAGACAAGAAATTCCGAAACTACCTTTATTGGTGAGTCATCTACTTACTAAATGTACAGCCCAGGATAATTCTTAAGAATCAATAAACACAAACTTACCTGTAAATTCTTGCCATTATTTGATTGATGGATGACAAAGTTCAAATCGAAGGTTATACAATACAAATTTATTATGTTGAAATAATTATTGAAACACTCAATTTACACAGTCTAATTCCTAAGCTAGCTGTTAGACGAATGAAAAGAATTTTTCAAATTCATGGTAAGTTTGGAGAATCTTCTTGAGAGTATTTTTGAGAGAATTTAGTTAAATTCTCAATTAATCTTGTAATTGAATTTATTGACTGAAGTAAATAAACCACGTCACGGGTAAATCCAAAAATAACTTCTTAGAACTATTTTAAAGAATTCTTTATATTTTATTTTTAGAAATTTATTCGATATTAGGACATATAAATGAACAGGTGCGTAGCCAGACAACGAGGGCTGATCAACACGAAATTGATTTTTATGAAATAGATTTTAAAATAGTCTCCATGATCTCTCCAGCAAACGATCTGCAAAAGAAGTGGTGCGCTGCCACTAGTCCTTCTGATTTTTCAACAAACTTCCCAAAATTCGTTCCAACTTTTCTTCTAAAATTTTCCCCAATTTATCCTCTAAAGTGTCTTCAAACTTCTTCATCAGCCTCTTCTCAATTCCATGAATCTTCTCATCAAAGTTGATTGACATTTTGTGACGGGTGTTGGACATTTCCTTTTCTATTTTCTCAAAAGCTTTTGTCTCGAAGCTTGCTATTTGCGATTCTAATCTCTCATTATTATTTAAATCTTTTTCTTCAGAATTGGCAGCTTTGTTAGATCTTTTTTTTTTTTTTTTTTGTTTAAAAGTTCATTTATTTATATCAAACTTAAAGTTGTGTTATAAATTTATACAAATTAATTATTGCAGAGAGAGAATAAAAAACAAATTACTTCATATTCAATTTAATTTAATTAGCATCAAAATACAATTCCAAATAGTGTTCTCTCAAACGATTTTTAATAATGCTCAATGAATGAAAAGCCTTTATCTGCTGTGGAAGATTATTGAAATCCGCAAATGCTCTAATGTAAAAATTCTGCGCTCCTTGACTAGTGCGGCACATTCTTATTGTGAAATTTCCTCGATTTCTTGTCGAATGATTATGAATATCGCTACCTAATTGTATTTCGACATTCGACAGATCTGTATTTCGACAGATCTTATGTCATTTATAGCTAATTTGACTTCATTTTGCATCGTTTTGAGTTTGAGGAATGAAGTTAGAATTTCATTTTGAGATATTTTTAGGTCGCTTAGAGTCACTTCGATGTCACTAATTGATGCTGTCATTTTGTCATGAGAGATTTTACGTCAATTGAATTTTGAATTAAGGTTGTCTAAAGAATTGGTTATTTGATCTTGCGATGATTTAAGTGTGATTTGAGTTCCTTTAATTTCAATTATGGATGATTTAACTTCCAGTTGAGATGTATCAATGCTTGAAAGCTTGTTTATCACATAATTTAAAGAATTGTTAAGATAATTTTTGGACATTTTGAGTTCATTTTGGATTGATTCTAAATTATCAATTTTAGAACTTAAGTCAATAAATGAATCTTCCATATAACTTTGAGCTTTTTCGGTCTTCACAATAAGATCAGATTGAGCTGTCTTCATCTCACTGATCTTTAATTGATTTTCATTCAAATTGGTTTCTATTTCTGTTAAAGCTGGTTTGATGGTGCTTAGAGAATCCTGAAGTTGAATTTTTATTGTCTTTAGGTCGTTAACTGAACAATCAGCCTTAAAACAACGTGTGCATGTCTCAACGTTACTTTTTTCGGTAGTAAGAGCATTAACTGAAGGAACTTTATTATTTGCAATAATTTTGAGGTTTTCTAATTTGTAGTTAAGTGGTCGAAATCTTGAAAACTTTGAATTGTTAAAAGTATTTTCAAAAATATTCAATTAGACTCTTAACAAATCAGGACTCAAAGTTTTCGATTTATTTTCAAGATTTGTAATTTTTAAATTAAGCGATGTAAATTCAGAACTTGTGCATTTATCTTTAATGGTAGCAATAGAAGCTTGAACTTCAATTGAAGTCATAGCATTTTTACTAATGCATGGAACATGAACAAGCCAAAGGTAACTTAATTTCTTCAAACCATCAAATACATTTGAATCAATATGGAATAGTTTATTTTGTTGAAATCCAACAACTTTCAAATCAGGATTAAAATCTAAAAGTCCTTCCTCTAATATTTCCAAATCATTCGCGTACAAATTGAGGTATATCAGTTTTGGAAATGGCTTTAAATCAGCTTGATGAATTTCCTTTAAATTACTACTGTATAATGCAATAGTTTTGATATTTATAAAAAACTTATCTAATCCTTGTGGAAAATAGTTAATAACTTGATTTCCAGTAGAATAGAACCCGAGCACATCATCATGTGTTTTTAAATTTTCGTGTCTTCCAGTGACATTGTTTATTTTTGCTGATTCTTCAGAGGAAATATTTGCATTGTAAAAAGTACAAAGATATGCCATTCCAACAACTGCGAATCCTCCAGTATCACCAAATTGACACTTTATGTCAGCAGATCTTGATGATTCGTAAATAGCAAAGAATAAAAGGACGACGATGCTAGAAATTTGAAAAAATTGTCATAGCTTGATTTTTATTAGAACCAAACACATTCGATAAACACAAAATACATTGAATAACGTATCCAATTAAGAAGAGTGATAATCCTTACCAATTACTTTTCACGATTTTCAAAAGAAAAAGGCCCCGAAATAATTTAAAGTCCCTTGTCATCAAAGGCTAAACTCAAAATAATCGAGAAGAAACGCAATTTTGTATAAAACTCAAGATTAAAAATTAAGCATTTGAGAGAAAATTGAGACATTCTCACATGAATTTGATAATACTAATGATTTGCAGGAAAAAAACCATAGCTGATAAAGAGCTTGATTTGATCCGATAGGTTGAACTGTAAAGCTTGGTATTAAAACTGAATATTAACATATTTGTCTCGTTTTCTTTTAATTTTTCAATAACCAAAACGTCAATTTCAATCTTCAAAAATTGACAACTTACCTTGCACTAGTTACTCTTAACTAATCTGTTCCTTATTTGATAAAAACCCTTTTTTATCATCTCAAGTGCTACAATTAATTTTGATTATGAAATAAATCCAAAATAATTCCACATTACTCATTCAGTATTACTTCAACTTTCAATCGATCAAAATGAAATTATTAATTTTTGTGTCCCTAATTTTGTACACGACGGCTTCAATCCAGCCAACTATTGACAGAAATCCAAGAATTGTTGGTGGTAGTGATGGACAAATTGAGGAATTTCCAGGACTGGTAGCTATTATTCATTTAGGATACAACATGCAATGGTGTGCTGGAACTTTAATTAGTGAACAGTGGATTCTTTCAGCTGCACATTGCTACATTCATCCAAGTAATTTCACAATTGAGTATTCAACATCATATCTACAAGAAACCAGACCAGGAGCTAAGCATGCAGCACCAGAACTTTTTATGCAGCATGAAAATTATAACGAAAACCAACTTACTTTTGATGTTGGATTAATTAAGCTACTAGAACCATTAAATACTGGAATTCACTCTCCATTCTCAAGGCTTGCAATGCCTGGAAGTTACTATCAAACTGGTACTTTAGCAACTGTTGCAGGTTGGGGAGTTTGGGACTTACTAAATTACACTATGCCTCATTTGCAAAAAGCTGAATTAGAGATTTGGCATTATAGAGATTGCCAAGAAGCACATAAATATAATCCGTATGAATTGAAGGTTCATTCCCATCAAATTTGTGCTGGTCTTCCTGATTGGTCTAAGGCTGAATGTAATGGGTGAGTTTTAGCGCAAATTTTAATTGTTTATTTTTAATAATTCTTTGCCTAGTGACTCTGGTGGACCACTTTACGTTCATGGAGTCCAAGTTGGAATCGTGTCATGGTCAGTCAAGCCTTGTACAGTTGCTGAATTCCCTGGTGTCTACACAGATGTGAGTTTCTTCATTCCATGGATTCAAGAAAAGACCGGGCTTGAGTTTCAGTTGCAGAACTTCTTGATATGGAAGAAAAATTAATGTTATTAAACAAATTGTTAACTCACCTTGTATCAATTATTCCAAACTAATCTGTTACTTAACTGATAAGCCTTTTTATCGTCTCAAGTGCTATAATCAAGATTCAATAATAAATAAATCACATAAAGTTCCACACTTTTCAATCAGTTCATTTTCACTTCTCAATCAATAAAAATGAAGATTTTGATTTTTGCTAGCTTAATAATTTACACAGTTGCTGGAACTCAGCTAACATTGGATAGAAATCCAAGAATTGTCGGAGGTGAAGATGGACAAATTGAGGAATTTCCAGCTCTAGTCGCTATTATTAATATTCCACGTCAGATGCGAACATGTGCTGGGACTTTAATAAGCGAGCAATGGATCATTACAGCTGCTCATTGCTACACTCATCCAGTCAATTTCACCATTGAGTATGCGACATCATATCTTCAACAAACCAATCCAGGAGCTAAGCATGCAGACCCTGAATTATTTTTAAGACATGAAAAATACAATGGAAGTTCGATTACATTCGATATTGGATTAATCAAGCTTTTGATGCCATTATTGACTGGATTGCATTCACCATTTTCTAGACTTGCAATGCCTGGAAGTTACTATCGAACTGGTACACCAGCGACTGTTGCTGGTTGGGGGATATGGAGCTACGAAAATAGCACATTGGCACATTTACAGAAAGCTGATCTTCAAGTTTGGCATTATAGAGATTGTCAAGAGGCTCATAAAGACAGTGGAAGTTCCTTAAGCATTCATTCGCATCAAATTTGTGCTGGCCTTCCTGATTTTTCAAAAGCTGAGTGCAATGGGTGAGTAAGACTAGTTTTGTGATGATGACTTAACTTTTATTGGTAATTCTTCGTCTAGCGACTCCGGTGGACCACTTTACGTGCATGGAGTTCAAGTTGGAATTGTCTCATGGTCACTCAAACCTTGCACAGTAGCAGAATTTCCGGGTGTTTATACCGATGTGAGCTTCTTTATTCCATGGATTCAAGAAAAGACTGGACTTGAATTTGAGTTGCAGAATTTCCTTATCAGAAAGAATTAAATGATAAGTTATTGATTTGTTAAATTTCAGCAAATATGAAAAAATAAATATTAGTAAGCCTTAAACATCTGCAATAAGTTTTACAATATACAATCTAAAATTAGTAATTCAAATAAACAGTTGAGTAACTTTGTGATACATTAAGCATTATTCACTAGAATAAGATACTGGAAGTTCGGAACGAGCAAAACTTAAAGCCTTTCCTGGTGTTTCTAAGACAGAATCTTGACAGAAATTGACATACTTTAAGATTTACTTTGGAAATTGTGACAAGCTACGCTGGATCATCACTAAATTATTCTTAACAACCAAGACATTCAAAATTTTTAAAACTTCAGTGTCCTTGCCTTAAAAAATGATTAATTTTTGATTATCTTAAGTTTTAACTTTTTAGAAATATTTTCATTTGTGCTTCAACGTCCTGAATAGAAGGATTGATCAAAATAATACAACCAAAATATCAATTGATGGATTTTTCTTGTTTCATTGTATTCATTGTAAATATTATAAATTTTTAAAAATATTTTTTCTAGCTTAGATTTATTAAAATTATTATAATTTCTTTTTACAGAATTTTCTTACTCATCTTTTCTTTACTTCACCTATGTTTGCTTCTCGATATTTCATGTAACTATGAAGATGATTCTTTAATGTTAAAACTGGATTCAGTTTACTGTTGTGTTGTTCAGAAAAATCTAAGCATAACTTTACCACAAAAGAACTCAAAAATCATCCCAAATGGAAATCATGAAAATGGAAAATTTGAAAAAAGTGTGGATTGCATCAGTTCACTAAAAAATGATTTTCAATACCTTCCTGAAGGATTAGATAAATCGTTTGGAGAACTAAAGGCAATATGGATTCGTAGTGGAAATATTAAAATGATTAGTCAAAATGATTTAAAGCCATTTACTGAGTTGGTAAATCTTGATCTTAGTTACAATGATATTAAAGCACTAGAAAATCGACTTTTCGACTATAACATAAATTTGGAAGTATTTTTTTGCAGCAGTAATAAAATATTCTTTATTGCTCCAACAGCGTTTGATAAACCAAATAAGTTGAGCAATTTAAATTTGGGATCAAATAATTGCACCAATATAAATGTCATAGACAATATTGAAGAAGTCAAGACAGCAATTAAGGATTTAAAAGAAAAATGCTATACATTAACATCTCCTATATACAAATCTAACGAAACCCTACGCAATGAACGGGAAATTTATAAAGCAAAACTTGACAAAATCTTGCAAAAAAATCAAGATGAAACCACGAGACATAGAATTGAAGTTCTGAATATTTCAAAGGATAATCGAATTTTTCAAAATGAAGTTAAAATTTTAACCGAAAAATTCGAAAACATAACCAAGTCATGCAAGCCTGAGGACATCAACAAGAATGACTATACCGAAAAGTATCGATCTACAATGATGATGATATTTGTCATATTCAATGGAATCATCCAAACTATCATTATGATTTTTATTTATAAAAAGTTTTTATCCTAAAAAATAATTATTCATTCGATGACAAATTAAATGAAGCATAAGCATAAAAACCCTAGCAAAATAACCAAAAAGACGAATGGGGCCGGTCACTTATGACGTCCAGTGAGTCAACAAGAAAAGAACAATAGAAATTCCTGGAAATCCATTGTTCTTTTTTGAAAACTGAGGGTTAATTTTGGACGTCATAAGTGAACGACCCCAAACCCCACCCTGTCCTCCCTTGTGACGCGCTTGGAATATGAATATTTTTATGTAACACTTTAAAAATCCACTTTACTATTATTTGTACTAACATAAAATCCATATAAAAATAAAATTTAATTTATCATAATCCAAGAGATTAATGAGCTGTAAATTGTCAATTTGTGACTCACTACACATCAATATTATCATAATTTCATAACATCCGTCATCAACTAACACGACGACAATCCATAATTCCACAAAAAAAAGTTCAGTTCAATGCACACCATTCGCAAATTCATCGCCAAAACTCCATCAATAATACAAAAATATAAAGCAACTCAAGGTCATTGCAAAGCGAATCCAACGAAAAAAAAATGCGCAGACAAGTAAAAATCGAGAGAATAAATGAGCAAAAAAATGACCTTAGAAGCCGAATGCCTTTGTGTACGGTACGAATGTACGAAAAAAAATTAAAGACACACATGTGCTGCACATACAACGAAGTTGCACAAAAAACGATCGCGAATTCTTCTTTTTTGCTCCAAAAATTAGTTTTTTTTCTTTTTACAGTCTGACAAATGTATTTGAGTGTGGCTGTATGGACGAAAAAAAAAAATACATCGGAAGACCTTGCAGTTGTACAAAAAAATTAACGCGAGTCGCACTCATTTAGTTGGTGGATGCGATAAGGTTGAAATAAATCGACACTTTTTTGAGGATTTTGGATTGAATTTTTAAGTTCATTTGACTGGAATTAAGTTAAAGAACTGATTTAAAGTGATTGCAAAAAAAAATTATAAAAATTCCAATTTTAAATTCACTTTGAATCCAAAAAATCTACAAAAATTTTAAACATTTCCTGCTCATCTGCACACAGAACAGTAACAACAACAATAGAACCTCATTCAAAATCACCTCTATGTGTGCAAAAAAAATTGTATGTACATCCGTGACTGTATTGTAAGTGATAAGACGCATTAGACACAGACATTGCACACATCACATGAAAATAGTAAGTTGCACAACTGAAAAAATATTTAAATTTTTTTTGTGGAATGAAAATAAAAAAATAAACGAAAAAAAAAGTTGGGTAAGAGGTGAATGAAATTTGTTTATTACGTGTTGTTGATGAGACACAGGAAGTTTAGTTGCTGATAATATTACAATAGAAAAATGAAACTTGATGGTAATTTGAGATGGAAAGTGAAAAATGTTATTTTAAAAGTTGACTAAAATATGAAGAAATAGAAAAAAAATTAAAAAACTTAAAAAAACGAATTTCAAATAAATTTGACTTAGTTGTAAAAAACTGCCATAATCTGGATTATAAATCAGTTAAAAGGTAAGTTTTAGTCAGCATTTGGATTTTTTTTAATCAATAGCTATTCAAGATACACAAATCTAGTTAAAGGCAATTTTTTGCACAACCTTGGGTAGTTCCTAGTCCAGTGGTTCTCAAACGATGTGCCCCGGAACACTAGTGTTTCGCGATAGAATTTTAGGTGTGCCACGAAAAATTTTCATTAGAAAAATGTGTCGTATCCCAAAAAAGTTTGAGAAACACTGCCCTAGTGCATTAATCTTACACATTCGCCACTTTTTTAATTCGAACATCATGTTTCTTTGCATAGAAGCTTAGAACTAGCCAAATATGGCTAAAATTATCTTTGGTCGTTTTGAATTGACAGCGTCTAGGTTGATGTAGGTTCAAAAAAAATTCATCCAATTCAATTGACGGCTATGTAAAGTCTGATTTAGAAACATATTTGCCAAAAAATTCATATTCTTAGCCTCAGGGGCGTAGCCAGGAATTTAAAGAGGGGGGGGGGGGATCTTTTTTTGTATGGAAAACTTTTAGGGGGGGGGAATTGATTTTTCGAGTTTTTCATAAAAACTCTAGGAAAATGAAGAAATTCCTCAAGACGAAGAGGAATTTGTCCCCCAAATCCCCCCCTGGCTACGCGCCTGCTTAGCCTCAATATTAGCTTATTTTTGAGGATCCTTGAATTAATTCTAAATGGATATTAATTTGACTTTCATTTTTGTGCAACCCAAAATATTCATTTCCAATGACTTAGCCCAAATACAAAGCAAAGCCATAACAACATTTCCCAATTCTCAAATTATTCTGTCTCTAATCCACACATTGTTACCAAAACCAGCTCACAGAAGGTCGACTAAGTAACGAATAAAAAAACATTATTTTTTCCAAGTTCCGTATGCATTAATATTAGTCATATTTTATTCTATTCAACAATAAAACAATACAAGTTTTATTTGTATTTCAATTTTATTCATTTTTGACTCCACAGTTTATTGCATAAGAATATTTATTCCATACCCAAATGATCGCATATTGTCTCAGTGAAAAAAAAAACTGACATTCCATTTGATGGCTTTTTTCTGGGTTGAATGGAAGAACTCAATGCAAACTAGATAAAATTCTAAATCAAATGAGGTTCTGCAGAATTTTAAGATTCATTTAGCTGCTAGTTTTATGGCTTTTGGAATATCAGAAATGCAAATAAAGTGTCTGGACTGAAATTTCTTGTTTGATATTCAAATGAGATTAGCAGTCGGTCGATAAACTGAGAAGATGAGAGAGTTATTGGACTAAATTGGATATTATAAATGCATAGCTGTTGCTGTGCAGGATTGGTTTAATTTCCGAATGAAAAATGAGTAAGTTTACTAATTTCTTAGTGGCTTTAGAGTAGATTCGATTTTGACAGACCATCTTAAAAGGTTTAAATAAGTTTTAATCAATAAGGAATTAAGGTTGGTTGTCGTCAGATGATCAAAGATTCCTTTCAAGTTACAAGTCTGAAAATTAAAAAATGGGTACAAACTCCTCAAACTTTCACTTGCTCTTCAAATAATTAAAGAAAAATTATCTTAAACATTTCCCCCCCCCCCTTCCTACAAACCCCCGATTCCATCATCATGTTCATTGAAAACGCACAAAACAGACACAAAAAAAAATATCAAAATAAATTCACAATCTTTCATAAACCCAACAAAATTTCCTCAATATTCGATGCGATATTCTAATTATAGAGATCGTCAAGGCAAAACGAATGAATAAAAAAAATATATATATTTTCTGCAAAGTACGACTACACAAAAAAATACACATTGTTGCACACACCAAACCCCGACTTGAATGTATTCATCCGATGCCATCAGTTGCACGATTTCTTCTTGCTTGTCATAAACACATTTGCATATTTTTGAATATTTTTTGTTCTTTTCTTTGTGCTTCTCTCATGCACGCATCACATCTCATGATGACGAATATTTTTTTTTTCGGTGCGAACATGTGCGAATTGGGAACAATGAACGCGCTTTTTTTTTTGTTGTTGTTGTTGGGATGTCGCATAATGTGTAGACACAACAAATATTGCTTTTTTTGCGTTGTTTATCTTCTCTTTTTTGAGTCATTCGGTTCGAAGTTTTTTTTATGCCGGCATGTGATCATGTTTTTTGTTGTTGTAGCTTTGAATTTTGATGAGAAATTGAGAGAAGCTCTGAGAGAAATTTCAGTGAGAGAGAAAAAAATTGCTTTTTTATTTTGAAAATTAACAGGAACAAAACTTTTAGATTAGAATGAATGTTTTTCAGGCAATCGGTGGACCATACGGTTTTTAAATTCATATGAAAAGCTATTCGGTGATTTTTTTGGAATTAAGTCATTTGGATCAAAGTATTAAGACAATTTGAACCTTCATCTTGAAAATTACGACTTCAAACTTCCAACACTATCTTTAGGATTTTTATTCCAAAATACAAATTTATACAAAAATGCTGAAAAAAATCCCGAACTTAAAGGTGCGATCCAGTAAATCCAATGGCTATTCCACTGTCCATTCCAAATTGCAGGTCCAAAAGTTCTTGCTGGGTTCATTGAAGCTCCTGTTAAGTGACCTCCAGTGATGCCAAGTCCAGCAACTGTGAGTCCCATTCTAAGTGGTATTGAGTCACTATTGTGTCGATTTCGAGGATCCCAGTGGCTGCAACTTATGAGAATTAAGGCTGATGTGAGAAAGAATTCAATAAGAAAAGCTTGAACTGATGAGATTGAGTCGAGGGGTTGTGTTGTGCAGTGATCGGCAGGGATGAAGTTTAGAGGAATTAGAAGTTTTAACAGTCCATATCCTATTGTTGCACCTGCTAGTTGTGTTAGAATGTAGAGGATTCCTAGCTGAAATTGTAATTGTTTTAATGATTTAGTTCTTCATGCGAATATTTATGCTTGATCTTACCTTAATATCAATGATTCTGCAGATTGTTGCTGCAATTGTCACAGATGGATTAAATACAGCATATGTATAGTGTCCGAAAATTTGAGTTAAAAACATGACTACAAGTCCAAAGTTTAGAGGTGCTGTGATACCTAAAAATATTTGAATGACGAGTAAGACTAAGTGCAACTTCAAGCTCTGATTAAAAGACTTCAATGACCGTGAACACATAATACTAACTTGATAGGTTCCCCCAATCAATGCATCCAATGCAACCAAAAAATACCAACATGGCAGTTCCAACAAATTCTCCAAATATCATAATTAATTTATCACGAAAAACTGTTTTTGGATTCTTTTGTAATCCTTCAATATTAAACTGAATTTCGTTCATTTCAAAAGATTCTGGATTTTTGAAGGTTTTCATCTTGACCTCCTTGAATTTACAATGGCAAAATATTTATAATTATTGCTAATAGATTTAGATAAATTAAGCAAGCAGGCTCATAAAACGAAGGCAATAATAGAACTGATCGGTAACAGAGCAAGTTGTTGTTTATATGATAAGAAATATTTTATTTGCAAATCTGTCACGATAAAAAAATCTGGAATTTACATTCTCAAGAGGTTCATCATATATTTTTCAAAATAAAAAATATGACGCAAAGTAGAAGAAGCGCGGGTTTTTGTTGTGAAGATTTATGTGAAGCTTATTTTCTTTAAGTGACTTGCGAGTCGAGTTCTTCTGATTAAACTAGGATAAACCTTAGTAACGATTTACTAAGATGTGGAAAATTTTGACTAAGGACAGTAATGGCCAACCCTTGTGCCACGGCACACTAGTGTACACAGAAAAAAATTGAGAAATCCCACAAACCGTATGCAGTGAACTCACCACCAAGATGTGCCATGGCTCAAAAAAGGTTTTCCACCACTCGACTATAGAAATCCTATTGTAGTCATTCAATTATTATGAAAAAGAACTTGCAAAATATTTTCTATTCTATTTACTTTTAGACATCTACAAAAATAATTCATCTATCAGGCTTCCCAAAGTTCACATGACTACAACAATTCATTCAGTCCAACTGGTTCATACTTTCTACTCTACTTGTCATTGAAACATCAACTGAGCACATACTTATTGATGAATTAAATAACAAGATTGACTTTGATCTACTTGGAAGTTCAAGAAATGTAATCCCTACCAGAACCTAAAACATACAACCTTAAAAAATGGCATCATTAAAGCCTATCAACCCAAATTTCATCTACACAATCACATATTCTCAATCAGAATCAGCATTATGTCTTATCGGCTCAACATATAAAACAGTCACAATCTCAGGACATGATAATCACAGTCATCCATCAATCCGTGAAGCAATCGATCTTATTTCCAATGAAAAATTCTCACAAAATTTCTTAAAAGCTGGTCGAGCATTTGTGATAAATGTGCAATGTCGGGGTTCTTTATTGCCACTGGATCCTCAGCAATTGGCAGTGCTGGTTAATAACTATAAGGACAGACCGATGATATTTTATTTTGAGAGTCATGAGAGTGGATGTTGTGTATATTACAAGGACAATTCAGTCATCAAATGTGCCACAAATATTTCAACAATTTTCATCGACGAATTTTATAATTCAGAATTTTCATTTGAGCTGCTTTTGAGGGCAATGAGGTCTAAATTTGGCGGGAACTTTTCTGAAAAATTTTCAGATCTACAGTTGAATGTGATGCCACTTGTGGATGAATGGAGGCTCATTGACTTAGCTGTGCTGGGGAATAATCAGTTGTGCATTCGGTTCCTTCAATTATTTGAAAATTCCTTAGACAATGTTGACAATTTCAGCATTAGACTCCTTCAAAATGCAGCTAGGATGTGCAATTTCGACTCAATGCTAGCAATTTTTGACCTGAATTTCGAGCAAAAAGATTTCGGACTGAAAATAAATCGAGACTTGCTGAATGTTAAAGATTCCAGTGCATTTAATCTCTTGATGATCTCAGTTGAGTGTGGCAACGTCAGTGCGACAATTTTCTGGCTAAATCTAAACTTTTTTGATGTCAATTATGAAATAAATGGAACTAAAGCTGCAGACTTGGCATGCAAACTAAAAAACTCCGAGATTCTTCTTATGCTTCTTCAAAATGACTCAAAATATCCTAAAAACTACCATAAAATTGACAAGTCTGTGGAATTGCAGATGTTCAGTAACAAGATTAATGAAATTCATGAAGCCATCAAGCTTAGTGACATTAAAAAAGCCAAGGAAGTCCTTTATAATCTAAAACTTCGATACTATTTTAACGAATTTAACAAGTCAGCAGCATTTGCAGCTCTAGAAAATCGAGAATTTGAGATCTACAAGCTCTTGATGATGAATAACTCGACTATAGGCAGTCATGAGGATCTAATGGACTTAAACCTTGACGAAGAAGCCAAAGTAATTGTCAAGTTCATCCACGATAGATACAAAAGTGCTTTATATGAAAAGTGTGTCCTGGACGTTGAAAAAAGGATTAAATGCCTGAACATCCTTGAGATCCACAGACAAAAATATCAATTTGAGGTTAGGAATTCCTTAAATCTTCTCTTTGATGTCGAGTCATTCAGACCAATTTTAAGGATCATCGCAGTTTCTGATGTGGATTTCATTCTTGATTTTGAGAGAGACTCAGTGAATTATTTGGATCCATCCGAAGGTCCTGGAACTCGTGGATATTTTGCTAACTCATCGATCTTCATTGCCTGTAAAAATTTGCTGACTGATGACCAGAAAAACTTATTTCTTGCAACTTTAATCCACGAAATGACGCACTTTGTGGTAAACTTTTTGTATGGCAATTGCTGTCGACCGTTTCACAGTAGTGACGCTAAGAGAGCAAAGGACTTCCATGAAGTCTACGAATCATGCAAAAAATATTCAAAAAGTGAGAAAATCATTGACGCAGTCTATGGATATGAGGAGAAATTGAGGTATTCAGAGCTGATTGTCAGGCCGAATCACTTGATTGCACACTACCTAGATAATGAGGAGATGAGGAAGGAATGTGAAATGAACTTTCCAGAATTATTCAAATTTTACAGAGAACGAATCCATCCAGACATGCTGAGTGCTCTTGGATGGCTTGATGGACATGAAGAAATTGATCAAAAAGTTCCAAAGAAGAAAAGAAAAGTCTCAAAAATCCACAAAGACTGCAACTTTGATTTTGAAGCTCAAAAACTTTTGGATGGTCCAAAAAAGTTGAAAAAGTTTTCAAAATTTCAATTTTTGAAAAGAAATTCCAAATTTTTTGCAACAATTTTTGGAGCATTTTTCACGATTTTTGTGATTATTTTTGGTGCTTTTATTTGGAAGTTTTCACAATCTGGAGGTCATGAGTTACCTAAAGCACTCAGACTTATGACTCCAAAATGCACCAACATCACAAATCCATTGACAAGCTTAATATCGCTCAAAAATCTCACAGAAATTGAAAATTTCATCGACAATATCAAAAATTCAGCTCAAAATCCAACAGAAGAATTCAATAAAATATTCAGCATCAACAGCACATGCAATCCAATTACAATTTCAATCGAAACTCATCCAGAAGACATGAATTTTGTCAAAGACATGATTGATGTTGCTGAGGATGCTTTTAAGGATTGTAAAGGGAGCTTTAAGAAGCTTTTGGTTCAAAGTTTTAAGTATTTGAGGGAAAATTGTGATGAAATTAATGAAATTTTTGATTTTGTGAATGGAAAGTTGACTAAATTGTTGGATTTTAAGGAACATAGAAGTTTTGTGGGTGGGAAATTTGAGGAAATTGGCATCAAGTGTTGAGTTTGTGATGCTGGAGAGTGGGATTGCTCAATAAATCAGGTAAATTAAACTAAATAGTTGGATGAGAAGAAACTAAGCAGGGGTGAAGCCTTAGCCTATTGGAAAATTAACTGTTGCTGACCCTTCCTTAAAAAAAATCAAAATTCTAAAAACTTTATGTGATTATAAAACGGGTAATCTATTAAATATTAAGTGTAATCTAATTATAAGAAAATTAAAATAACTGAACTTTATAGTTCCTATTATGTTGTGCTTGTTTTGATGTAAGAATACAAAATTTATTTTTATTTTGCAAATTTGCCATTGAAATTGTTAAATTTGAATGAAAATGATGATTAAAAAAATTCAGGAATTAAAAATTATGTAAATCAAAAATCGTTGTTAAATTTAAGTTTCTTTATAAGTGCATTAAAATTATTTTTAAAAAAAATCAATTTTTAAATTTTTTCAATTTTCATAAATTTTGTTTTCAGAATTTTTTATTTTCAGTCTTGACATTTTTATAAAAGATTTGAAATATTCCAGCATGCAACAGAAAAGCTTTAGATTATCTCGTCCTAATGAGCATCATCATTAAGATTTCAGATAATTCTTTCCAATTAAGCAGACAAATAAGCTTTCCAGCAACGATCAGAAATCTAACAAACAAGTAACAAAATTCGTGCGGCATCGCGTCAACAATCTGATCGAATTGATAAACAGTTTAAATTGACAAATTGCATGTATAGTTCAGAACGTGCTGGTTATGATCTAAAGCTAAAGATATTGTGACTTTTTAGTATATAAGATTCAAAGTTTTCATCCAAAATCATCATTCAGCTTCAAACAGTCAAACTACAAAGACTAAACCAATCAAATTAAAATCCAATTTCAATTCCAAAAATGTTGACAAAAGTTTTCTTGTTGTGCTTCATTGCTCTGGCAATCATCAACATTGCAATTGCTCAAGGTAAGAAACTTTCAGTTTTAAATTAAGGACAGCAGGATTTGTGTTACTGAGTGGACTAGAGATTTTAGCATCAACAATCAAATTACCAGATTTAACATTTTTTATCTAAATCCACAGAAATGCCAGGTGGTGAAGGTCAAGGAAATGGAGGTGCTGGTGGACATGCTGGAGGTGGATTCGGAGGTGGATTTTCATTCGGAGGTGGAGGTAATTTCTGATTTAACCTCAAATTTTATTGAAAATATTCAATATTTCTATTTATTTACAGCTGGAGGCAAAGCTGGTGGTGGAGCTGGAGCTGGTGGAAAGTAAACAACCTGAAATTCCTATTTTCAAGCAATTCTGACCAAAACGTAATCAAAGTTTTCAAGGTTTTAACTACAAAATGTACTTTGATGATTCAAATCAGCCACAAATTTATTATGAAGAGTTTTCTAATTGAGGACTTAACTTGATCTAGAACTTTCAAATAATTAGTTTTTTAAGTTTCAACTTCTTTCGACTATTGCACATTGTAATTTTTTTGGTAATAATAAAAACACCAAGCATCCACAAAATCAAATAATTAGCTTCCGCGTGGAACACGGAAGGTGTTTCTTTATGTCGGTCAAATTTTGTCACTTAACCTACAGGTCCACCGTTTTATCCAAAAGTAATGATTTATATGTCAAAATTTAGCACTTGTTGTTGAACTATTCAGCTTCAAACTTAGCCAATTGAAACCTAGAATCAAAATCGAATATTACTGCAACCTTTGCCATAATTATTGAATTTTCATTCAGCCACAAAATTTGAACTATTCAGCTCCAAACTTAGCCAGTTGAAGCCTAGAATCAAAATCGAATATTACTGCAACGTTTTCGTTTTGTGATATTTATTTAAGAACTGTAATCTAACATAAGTCGTGTTTTACTTTTTAATTTTAAAACTTTCAGATTTCTTAAAAATTGCAAAAAAATAATCGGTAAGCACTAAAAATTCAAAATAATTCAAAGTTTTCCAAAAAGGTTTCCAAACCTACGTGTTAATCAGATTTCCCGCCAAATTTCAATCCCAAACTTTTCTCTCTCATTCTTAAAATTCTCTTAAATTCTCAGCAACTATTGCTTTCCTTCTCAGTCTCTTCAGTTGCAATCATCAGTCTTCGATCAGAGTTCATTCACGAAACAGTCGGTAAAATTGCAAAAATATGTCAAAAGGAAGAGGATTAGAACTACTTAAAAATGTTGGAATGTATCTGAGGAACGCTGATTGTTTTGATCAAATGATGAAAAGGGTAAGTCATGAATTATTTTAGTTATTAGCAAAGGATTACGTAAATCTGGAGTTTAATTGTGAACTTCAGTGTAAATATTGTGGAAATGTTTCTGTCTCTTTTTGGAGATGATTTGAATATTTTTTGACCGTTATGGAATATTTTGAACAAAATTGAATTTCTTAAATTCAATATTCTTAAAATTTTTGGATGTGGCTTGAGAAGAGGTTCCAAATAAGACTGTCTGGTAATTCTTTTAGATAACTTTTGTCGACGGTGGTGATGGCAAAGCTACAGCTGAACTCAAACTTGGCAAAGAACATCTCAACAAAATGGGTGGAATGCATGGAGGATTCAGCTCAACATTAGGTAGGTCCTGCAACTCAGGAATCAAACATTTGATCAAAATTAAACAAAATTCAATTTATTTTCAGTCGATTCCATCACAACATTTGCCCTGATGACTCACAATGTTGAGGATATCAAAACTGGAGTCTCTGTTGACTTGCACATCACTTTCCTTAAAGGAGCCAAGGAGAATGACGAGATTGTTGTGCAAGCTAATACTCTAAGATGTGGACGAACTCTAGCTTTTCTTGAATGTGAAATTAGGAACAAAAAAGACAACAGTTTGCTTGTTAAAGGAGCTCACACGAAGTTTATTGGACAGGGTTAGGGGAATTTATAGAACAAAATTTACATGTTAATGAAAAAATTTGAGAATAAAAAAAATACAAAATTTAAGATTTTTCTTTAAACAATTCAAACAGCTCCAAATCCAACAATCACAAAAATATTTGATAAAATTATTAGCATCAACTGCAAAGATTAAGAATTTAAGAAAATAATATTAGAAACATAAATTCATTTAAATTTTACACTAGCAAATACTCCAAGGTTTAAATTAAATGACCCAAAAGTTTGAAATTCAACAGGCTGGATATAAATTTGGTCACTAAATGATCTCAGCAGAGCAACAATGAGTGGGTTGGTAATTTCACAGGATATTTTTGAGAGCTTTAGATTTATCCTTCTTATCTGAAATAATATTAAAAATGTTACTAAGGTTTAGCTTAGGGAGTGTTCAAATAATAGGTAACTCAAAAAAATGGATTTTTAAAACCTATTTCCGATTTTTTGCAAACTTTATATGGAATATAATTTTCATTGTTTGAACTTTCAAATTCTCAGATCGTCCTTAAAAGTGCTAAGTAAAAGGTGAACGGTCCAAAACGGTCGATTAACCAAGCGGGTGCGATTATGGCATTCTACTGGATTTAAATCGTATCCAGCACCATGCCAGAGTCAAGCAGAATTGTTCTAGGATTTTTGATCATTTAACCGACTTGTGCCATTCAACTGAACCCTGAGTGCCTTGAGCAATTTACCAACAGCTTTGTTTCCTCGCAGCAAATGCAGCAAAAGTACATCATAGAGATTTCCAAAATAAGTCCAACAATTGTGACTAAAAGTTAAATTCATGATTTTAAGCATCCAAAAAATGCATGAGTACTTACAACTTAATGGACCAGGCTCAAGTCCTCCTTGTATAATCGAATACCATCGATAAAGTCTTCTTATAGTCGTAATAATTCCCATAAAAATACCTAAAGCTGTCATTATCCAGACTGATGTCATAAAATTATGCATCATATCCATCAAAAAAATATAGCAAATCCTAATTGTATTGATTCTTTTTGAACATTCAAAGTCAGTTTTAGAAAATTCTAAAAAATTGTCATTCAAAATTTTCAAAATTGCATTTAAGTGGACATTTATGAAATTAATGTAAAAACAGAAGCGAATGGTCTGCAAAGTGCCAATAAAGGTCCGAAAAAATCTCAATGTTACCGTTAAATAAATTAAAGGTTTTGACAAATTACGATAAAAGTAAGTCCACTCCAAAACCAAAGAAATAAATGCACCAAAAATTAAATTTCGAATAAACTTTTTCCTTACAATTTTGAAATTTATTTTGTAAAGGAAATTTTTGCTCAAACAATTTTGAATTTTAATTGAAATTTTAAATATATTTTTTAACTTTTTGGTCCAAAAAAATCCTTCAAAGACATATGAAATTGACAAAATGACTCGTCCACCAGCAATCATCCATTTCATGACATAATGAAGAATATTTTGTGTACTTGAGACATCTGGTGAAGTGTTGAAGACAGCTACATTGCAATAGTAAGATATTATAATTGTTATAGAGAGTTTTATTAAAACTTCAAATAATTTAAAGATTGAAACTCTTGAAAATTTTAATATTTTAACATTTTTGAAAATTTCTGGAATTAAAAAATTTTGATATGCAAAAATGTTGAAGAATTTGAGTGGAAAATTGAGAATTTTGAGGTTTTCCATAGCTGAGTTAAATGTAAACTAGAAGTTTTAAGGCTGTGGAATTGAGTGACATTATGAAAATTAAATAAGAAATTGAATTAAGTTTGTGAAATATTTTAAATCACGCAATTCAACTCAAAATCATTTTTAATCTAATTTTCATTTTTTTCCGTGTTTTATATTTTTATTCTGAATTTTACATGCTGTTGCATGTCGATGATGATAAATTGTCATAAATTTCTATTAAATATTTAGATCTACTCCGGAAGTTTATGGGCACTAAGCTCTTATAGTTTTGTGAAAAGTAAAAATAACTTAATGAGAATGAAAAGAAATTGCGCAGTTGCAAACTAGATCTCAACGTGAACAGACGTGTTTACAAATCGCTCCGCAAATTATTCAAAAATCTCAAAAGAAACAAAACAGAGACTACCTGAGAAGCTTTTTGTTTGCAAAAAGTTTCAAAATCTCAGTTTGATTCTCAAAACATCAAAATGGTAGCATCACCAAAAACTACCAACAACGAAGAAAATCTTTCTCAAAATCAGCATGGACTTAATAGTTCTCAACAACAACATTCATCTTCAGTGACAATTCTCAATATTGAGGAAATTTTCAGTGAAGATGTTTCACAAGCAGCCGACATTGAGATGACAAATCTCAAACCAAAAAAACAAATATCAATAAAGAAGTTTCTCAATGAAGCAAGTAAAGCAGAAAAACGCCCTCGAGAAGTGATAGTTCACAACGCTCTTTTAAAAAGAGTAGCAAACGAAAGCAAACCAAAAGATGGAAACAAACCACTGTTCGTACTCCCACCAATGAAGAAAGCTTCGTCTTCTGGAAAACCGTATCTATTTGGTTCACCAGAACAGGAGAAAAAAAGATCGACAAATTCTTCGTACTGGGGAGAAAACAGCAAAACATCAGAGCAACAAAAGACAATTTCCGTAAACACGGAAAGCAACAACAACAAATCTCAACAAAAATCAAAACCACCTCCAATTGTCATCAGCACAGGAGGAGCTGGTGAAATCAAGAGATTGACGAATGAAATAAACAATCAACCTGGAAGTTTCTTAATTGAGACCAAAAAGGGCAAACAAGGAACAAAAACGGTAACAACGGAGAGTTGGGATTACTACGAGAAATTCATCCAACTACTCAAAGACAAAAAGCATCACTTCCACACATACTCCAGCCAAGAACCACTGAAGAAGTACGTACTCTATGGACTCCCAGATATGGAAATCAGTGAGTTGGAGAAGGAACTTCAAACCGTAAAAATCACACCAGTAAAAATTGTCAAAATGACAATGAAACACAAAAGACACGAACAAGACGACGACCAGAACTACCTCGTGTACTTCAAAAAAGATGTAGAACAAGGTGGAAATTTCCTGGAATTCCTCAGAAAAATCAAAATTGTCAGCAGTTTCAAAATTAAATGGGCTGACTACAAAAATAGACAAGCTGGTCCATCTCAATGTTCGAAATGTCTGCAGTTTGGTCATGGACAAAACGGTTGTAACAAACCGTCCGTTTGCTTCAGATGCTCTGAGCAACATGACTCGAAAACGTGCCAGTACATATCGAAAGAGACCAACAAGGTTCCACTCGGAAAACTCAAATGTTTCTTCTGCGGTGAAAAACATACAGCAATTTTCACAGGTTGTAAAACCAGACAAGAAATAATTGGAAAATGGAAATCAAAATCACAGAATGGAAACAACCAAAATCAAAACAAAACAGCAGGCCATTATTCATATGGACAACGGAGAAACAATCCTCCAACACCGCATCGTCCTGAGAGATCAACCAGAAACGTCCAACATGCACCAAAACCTCAATGGAGAAAGGAGTATATGGAACCATCAACATCTGGTACACAAAAGCCTGTTCATCAAAAACAAGTCCCAGTCAACCACAAACCAAGGAACACAAATCCTCCTCCAAATCACAAACCCTCAAATCAGGGAAATAAAAATAACTTGAACAACCAACAAAACAATAAAGAAAGAGGAAAACATTGGAAAAAGAATCAAAGAAAAAAGCAAAACGAGCGCATTAATAACAATCAACATCAAAAACCAAAGCAAGATGTTGAGCTTATGGACTCAGAAGACATCAGTGCAACAAGTCAGACCTCGAATGAAGTCTTCCCAGAACCTTCACTCAGTGTTGAGGTAGTGAATCGAAACATAACAACTAATCAACAAGCTCAAAGCACCAGCACAAGAGATAAAAACATCTCAGAAATAGAGGAATCAAAGTGCAAGTACCTTATCAGCGAGCTTCTCAAATTAATCGCCAAAAATCCAGAGTTCATCGACGAAATACTCCAAGCAATCGGCTCAAGTGCCAAAAACACCGCATACAATAATGGATTGTAGACAACAAAGTATCAACGTCCTCTACTGGAATGCTAACGGCCTCACTGACAAAATGTTAGCATTTCTCGACTACCTAAGCAAGCAAAACGTCGATGTTGCTTGCATCTCAGAAACATTCCTAAAACCAAACTCAAAAATTGACTCGCATCCAGACTACGTAATTCATCGATTGGATCGCGTGGATAGACCAAAGGGTGGTGTTGCAATCATCGTCAAAAGAAATCTAAAACATCAGCTTCAACCAAGCTACAACACAAAACTAATGGAATGCATTGGAATCAAAGTCTTCATCAATGACACGGATAGTTGTCACATCCTCTCAGTCTATCTCCCAGGAGGAAGCAAAGGAGGGGAAATAGATCAACATCTGAGAGATGACATCAACAAAATAACAAATCTGAGAGGAAATTACTACATCTGTGGAGACTTCAATGCAAAACATCGAGAATGGAACTGCAACGTTGCAAATAAATCAGGAAATATTCTTCAGGAAATGTCAGGAGAGTTCATGATCTACTTTCCTGACTCGCCAACGTACTACCCAGAAGATCGAAACAAATCAGTGTCAACAATTGACCTGATGCTCTCGAATTCCAACCTCGAAACAACAGAACTTCAATGCACAGAGGCAATGAGTGATCACTGCGCTGTGTATTTCCAAATCAAAACATCAAAAATCGACAGAACTGAAAATACAGTCTACAGATATGACTACAAAAACGCAAACTGGAAAAAGTTCAAAGCACAAATTTCACGCCGCATTGAAGACAACATTGGAGAAAATTCTTGCAATACAACAGATGAGATCGAGAATCACATTAAGATTCTCTCTGAACTCATCATGGAAGCGAGGAACTCAAGTGTAAAAATGAAAAAGATCAAGTTCGAATCAACTAAACTCACACCGGAGATTAAAGATCTAATCAACACAAAAAGGAGTCTTCGTCGAAGATGGCAGAGAAGCAGAGATAATCAACTCAAATCTGAATTGAATTATCTGCAGAGAGTCATCAATGAGCAAATTAAAGAACTCAAAAACAAAAACTGGAATAAGCGTCTCTCAGAGATTCAACCGTCGAACCAAACAGTTTGGAGAATAGCAAAATTTTGCAAAAAAGGTTCAAAAACAATGCCTCCATTGACAAATCTGGGTAAAACGTTCATCATCAACAAAGAAAAAGCCAGCGCACTCAGCGAGTATTTTCGTGAAGCTCACGAAAATCCTCTGGAACAAAACGATCCACAACATACACAGGAAGTAAACAACACAGTCAAAGAAGCATTGGAACAAGACAATGATGAGAATCCAGAACTAACAGATGTAAACGAAATCGTGAGCATCATAAGAAATCTGAAAAATCCAAAAGCTCCGGGACTAGATGAAGTCAACAACATACTCATCAAAAATCTTCCTGAAAAAGGTTTCGAATACTTGAAATTCATCATCAATTCGTGTCTGAAACTCAACCACTTCCCCAAAGTTTGGAAACATGCAAAAGTGATTCCTATTCCAAAACCTGGAAAACCAGCAAATGAGCTAAGCAGCTACAGGCCAATAAGTCTACTCAGCTCAATAAGCAAAATACTGGAGAGAGTATTACTGAATAGAATCAACGATCATCTTGAGGATAACAACATCATCCCAAACCAGCAGTGCGGCTTCCGGACTGGAAGATCAACATCTCACCAGCTCATCAAAGTGATCAAATCAGCAAAAGAAAACTTAAACAACAAAAAGTCAACAGGCATGATCTTCCTGGATGTAGAAAAAGCATTTGACAGAGTCTGGCATAACGGACTCTTGTACAAAATGCTCAAACTGAGATTTCCACTGCCACTTATAAAAACTGTAAGATCTTTCCTCAGTGAAAGATCTTTCGCAGTTTTTATTAAAGGTCAGTTCTCAGAAATCAAGGTAATCAAATTCGGAGTGCCACAAGGAGCAGTGCTTTCACCAACTCTCTACAACATCTTCACGTATGATGTTGTAAGAGAGACAACCAACAACATCGGTCTTTTCGCAGATGATACAGCACTGTATCATTCTGCAGAGAACTCGGCTGATATTGTGACATATCTACAGCACACAGGAAGAAAAGTTCAACAATACATGAACAAATGGAAGATCAACCTCAACAAACAGAAGACTCAAGCCTTATTCATCACAAACAGGCACTCCAGGCAACTACCAGGAAATAACATCAAATTTCTCAACGAAAACATCAAATGGGAAACAGAAGCTAAATATCTGGGAATGGTGATCGACAAGAGAGTGACATTAAAGCCGCATGTGGAGTATGTGACCAATAGGGCTCACACCGCATTAAGACAGCTTTATCCGCTCATCAGCAGGAACTCACAACTCGACGTACGAAACAAACTTCTCATCTACAAGCTAGCCATCAGACCAATATTCACATATGGTTGTCCAGCGTTTGGAAGCATGGCAAAAACCCATCTTCAAAAACTTCAAGTACTGCAAAACAAATTCTTGAGAATTGTTCTCAATAAAACAAGATATGAAAGGATCACCGATCTTCATACAGAAGCGAAAATACCGTCCATCGAAGACTACGTCGGAAAGTTGCAAGCGAACTTCAACAGTCGTCTTGCATCTCAAAACACCGAATAAATCAAATGAAATACAAAAGAAAGTAAAATCCGTAAATGAAATCAAAATTAAGAGACAAAAGGCAAATTGAATGCCTGAAACCTTAAAACAAAAAGCAACAAAATGTATAGAAACTTTGTACATACTTAAATTTAAATGTAAATAAATAAAAAGTTTAATTTAAAAAAAAAAAAAAAAAGAAAAGAAATTGCTTGAAAATTCTAACCAATTTTTGTGAAAATACGAATCTTCATGGATTTGCGTACATCTCACAATCTTCAAGAACAAAATATGAACAGTAAGTTGTTAAAGATTAATCACTTCTCAATTCAACTCAATTTTCCAGGATATTTTGGATCATCTCAATTACAACATCCCTTATTCTAACCGGCACATTTATCCAAAAGCTCATCATTGAAAACCAAAAGACTCCAATTGTGATTTACACTGATCAAAGCATCATTCCTGTAACTGACATTAATTTCCCATCGCTGACTTTCTGTCCTAATGTTGTGCTTAGAAAAGTTCAATTTGGTAAAATGCGAACTGCAAAAGTATTGAATTATTTGGAATATAAAGATAAAATTGACAAAGGGATGCTAAAAATAAATAAATTAAAGAACAATTTGTGAGTTTTAAAAATTTCAAAGATTTGAATTTAAATTTACATTTTTTCTTAACTTTTTAGTCAAAAGCACATCCAAATCCTCAACCTTCTCAACCACGAACCATTCAAAATTGACCTAAACCTCTCAATTCCGTTGACAAACTTTACATCTCAGTTGGAAGCAACATTAGTTGAATACACTGGTGAAAGGTTCTCAAAAGACGGTTGTGGAATATTAGGTCATTGGCTTGAGGAAACTGCTATAGCTTTTTGGAAGGTTCTTGGTCAAAATGGATTTTGCTATACTTTTAATTATCCAAATTCATCAGAGATTTTTCATTTAGATAGGTGAGCATCTTTTTTATGCAAGGAGCTGAAATTATTGAATACATTCCTATTCAAGAATCTCAAGTGACTTCAACTCAACATACTACTTAATAGCAATGAATGGAGCTATAAGAAAAACTAATAAAATTCCATACGTTGCACCCCTTAAAGGACATGAAAATGGTAAAGGACTTAAAATGGATATTTCAAATTACTGCAACAACGTAGCTCATGAAAATTATACAATTCCATGGTCACCATTTGGAGGACATAAGCTTATAGTTCATGATCCATATGAAGTGATTTCTAGCAGTTCTTACCATCTTCAGACCAAGCAATATCATAGAACTGAAGTGTTGATTACTCCTGTTATTTATGGATATGATGACTCATTTAAGGAATATAGGATTAAGACGTAAGTTCATTACAGGTGTCCTAAGGGGAATCAAGCTTTCTCTTCCTAGTCACACTCTTGTTTGGAGCGAAGATCTTTTGAATACCTAAAACATTATCTTTTTCAGTCGACAATGCTACTTAACTGATGAAAATCCATTAAAATTTTTCAAAGTTTACAACAAAGTCAACTGCGAACATGAATGCCTTGCAAAAATGACTCTAGATGCCTGCAATTGCATTCAATTCTTTATGGTCAGGAATAAAACGACTAGAGTGTGTGGTCTTCTAGATGAAAAGTGCTTTTATGAAGTCGAAAAAAGATTTGATAGCAGAAAAGTAATTTGTAAGTGCTTTGACTCATGTAAAAGATTAAAGTATGACGTACAGGTTTTGACTAAAGTAGATGACACCACGTAAGTTGGGACTTAATTGTCTCCTGATTTTTATGTAGATTGTATTTTTATTTTATTCAGCACATCATCACCAGTAGAAGTAATATTCAAAGTTGAGTACACAAATATTCTTAAGAAGCGTCAGCAGTACACAATTTTTGAGTTATTATCTTTAATTGGTGGATTTTTGGGCCTTTTTGCTGGACTTTCAGTTTTGTCGACTGTTGAGCTTCTGTATTATTTCATATTCTATCCAATTGCTGATTACAGACAAAGGAAAAACACGAAAGTTTATCCTTTTATTAACGATACCAAATATAGGCTTCAACTGAATAAAAATAATATAATTGTGAAGATTTTGAGAAAAATTTGGAGATTCTTAAAGGAATATTCAGAAAACACAACAATCCATGGCTTTAATCACATTGTGGATTCAGAGAAATCAAATTTTAACAGGTAAGTCATTAAAGCTACTCGGAAAAAAGATAAATTTAATATTTTTTCAACTCCAGAATTCTATGGTCAATATCAGTTACTTCAAGCCTAATCCTTTCCTATTTCTTAACAAAAGAAGTTTACGAGAAGCTCAAGGCAAGCGAGATTGTCGTCACAATGGAAGGATCAGTAACAAATGTAGATCAAATTCCATTTCCAGCTGTTACTCTGACCAGAAATTTGTTTAAGGTAAGGCATAGAAACTAACCGGAATCAGACTGTAATGTGACGCTACGTCACGAATTTCACAGCATAAAACCTTTCTCGATTAGGTTGAAAAAGTTAAATAATTGCCCTTAATTCAAAATCTGATATAAAAAACTTAGCCTGGAATGATTGTATCCCAAAAAATATAAAGCCAAATTTCGATAAATCATATTTCAAAGTAAATCATTAATAATTTTTAGGAGTATGACTACAGCAATTTTATGATTGGAAATGGAATTCCACCTCAAGAGACAATTGACAAGCTCAATAATATCAAGTAATGATTGAATCCATTCCACTTGTTCTATGTCTTAACAATTAATTTATTTTTAGGCACCAAATTTTTTTCACACTTTGCAACAAGGACCAAAATGAAATCAACAACAATTTTCTATCTTTTGTGGATTTTGACTATGAAAAGCCAACAGATTTTGTAGATTATTTAAGACTTTACACAAAGAAATATTCATTTGTATTTGGAGATTACACTGCCAAATGGAACGAACAGGATGAGCCAAATTTTGTGGAAACATTGACCTCTAATGGAGTTGGATTTAGCTTTAATTTAGCTGGCAAAGAGGAAATTCTGAATCTTGATGAGTAATTTTTGATTTTTAAAATTCAACTTTCCTCTAAAATTGGATATCCAACAGGGTTATCAGAGGTTTTTACAACTCAAATATCAACAGTTCCTTATCGCAACTCATTAATTCACCAAAAAACATCAACAACGGATTAAAGTTCGAGTTCTACATTCCAGATATTTATCGTGTCTGCACTCGTAGCTCATTTGCTGTCCACTCGCCTTATGAACTCCCAATTCAGCTAGAAATGACAGAATTTCGTAAAAATATTGACTATGAAATTTTAATTACACCCGAAATTTATAAATCTGAGGATGACTTGATGGATGTGGACCTTAAAGTTCGGAAATGCTACTTTGAGGGTGAAAAGAAGCTGAAATATTTTAAATTTTATACTCAAAGGAATTGCGAGTTGGAATGTTTGACAATCAATAGCTGGGAAAGATGCAAATGCGTCCCATTTGACTATATTAGAAACTCATCCATGGCTGTTTGTGACTTTGCACAGACATATCATCAGCATTGTAGATTATCATCTTTAAGTTACTTCCTGGGATTAAATAGCCGATGCAAGTGCCTGCCAGCTTGTGATTTAGTGACTTATTCTTATGAGATTTGGCAGACCAAGAGGAAGGAAAGGTGAGGATTGGTAAAATTGTGGCATTTGTTCTTAAGGATAATTTATCTTATTACAGAACCCAAAACTCAACTCTGTCATTTCATTTCAAAGATAATGAATATTTTGCTCAGTTCCGTTACAGACCATTCAAAATCATCGATTTTCTGTCTTATGTTGGTGGCATTTTTGGTCTTTTTGCTGGCATTTCAGCTTTGTCGATTGTTGAAATTTTTTATTACTTCACATTAAGGTTGATCACTGATTTTTTAAGGCTCATTTGGAGCTTTTTTAAATGAATTTAATTTTCTACTGCTTCATTTTTAAAACTAATCGTTTGAATAAAGCTACCAAAAGCTACATCAAGAAGTTCTTGATCAACATAAAGCTTCTATTTTACAGCAGATTGTTTTTTTGTGATGTCCAAAACATTTGAAATGTTTTACGAAAAAGCTCTTTTTGAAAGCTTTTTCATATTTGTAACGACTTAAAACTTAAAGCCGTTAAAAGCAACATATCAAAGACCATCAAAATTTTACTTTTCAGATCAGAGAATTTTTTATTCCAAATTTAATTTTAACTTAATGCAATCGACTTCGTCAACATTTATATCAATTTTATTTACAATAAGAACAAAAATATTTAATCAATAAATCATTCCAGGATGAACTTGCCGTTGAAAATAGACATTCGGGTTACTGCTCATCGTCTGTTCTAATGTCGTGTACACATTCGGATCATCTTGCATGAATAAACCTGTAAAATATAAAAAACAATAACATAACCTCAAAAATTCTAAGAATCTCCAATGACTGCAACTGAAACCTGTATAATTAGGTGGTGGCTGCTTATGTGTATAATAATATAATGGTGACATGTGATGATGGTGCGAATAATGGTGCAATGGTGGCGTATAATATGACATTGGTACAACAAGTGCATAATCTGGAAGAGTTTTGATGACTTTTTTTACAATAATTTTATGAGATTGATGAAAAATGTGGGCCATAACCTTTAAAAAATAACCATAACCCCCCTCCACCCCACCTCCCAGTTATAATTATCAAAAAATGTCAACTTACCACCTCCAAGGGTCGTTACAGCTTGCTGATGCTTACTACTGATCTCATTTCCACCAATATTTCCCTTTCCATTCATAACTCCATACTTAATAGGCTTAAAATGAAAGAATGATGGTGAATAACCCGAGCCAGCTCTCGATGATGCACTAAACCTCTCGTCACGATCCTCAACAAACATATCTTCTCGTCCCATGGCAGCCAGCTGTCTTCCCTTTGGCATAAACATGACGAGAAAAATGATTGTGGATGTTGCGAGTAATGCAAATGCTAGACATGCATCCTTGTGTCTTTCATGCACCGCCATACCGATCAGCGACCATCCAATCCATATTGGAATTATTAAGGCTATAGCTAGTCCAATGTATGTTGCTTCTCTGTAATTGTCACGAATTCCACGTGACTTTATTGCCAAAATTGACACAATGATGATCAGTAGGTCGATATAGATCATTGACATCCTTAGTTCTGAAAATGATGTTTTGCAGACTTGAATTGAGAATCGCATTGAATCAGCTGTGAAGATTAATCGATTTGTATGTGGAGCTTCATTTACTGATAGGAAATGGACAGCTGGTGGTGATGTGATCAGCCATTGGACATCAATTGTGATTTGAATGAGGACAGCAAATAGTAAAAGTAAGGCTTGATATGGAGCTGGCAGGTACACTCCACTGTTCAGACTTATTAAGAAAATGCATTTAACAAGAAGTGATGCAAAGATGATGGCGAAACCTACACCAGCACCAAATCGTATAGTTGCACATGAAAGTGAAGATGGACGGGTTGTTAAAAGTGCAGCAAGTCCAACACATGTAAAGAGTCCGAGTAGCAGCATTTGACCAAGGAAGAGATGTCGCCGATTTGGAGAGGTTTTGCGGGTCTTGCAGAGGACAAAGATCTCAAAAGCAGCCATCATAACCATTGATATGATTGCAAGAATCAGCATAGGTATGACCCACGGCTCTCTTCTAAGCCCATACTGAATTTCAAGTGTCTTGTGATCCCCTCGATGTTTCGTAGTGTTTGTTGGATGTATAGGCGTTCTAGCAGCTAAAATAACTCCAGTCTTAGTAAAGTTTGGTGTCTTAGCAGGCAGTGTCGAATATACAGACGACAATGGTGATGGGGGGATGTCAAAAAAGTCTGTCAACATTTCAAGTCGCGCTTGAACGAGTGACGACGATGGCGAATTGACTTGAAAAGTTCGATTGTCATTTTGTGTGATATTTTTAGGCAGTTCCTTAATGACCATAAATTTCTTATTATTTTCATGCTCATCCATCGAATAATATTCATCCGACCTATTTATGTCATTCTCATGAAAATCATCATCATCAAGTTCGTCACTTATGAGATCATCGATTGTCGATACTGGCAGTGGCGTTGTGGACGAAGAAGTCGATGTGCTCTGAAAATTCCTTTTCAGCTTTCCAATTCGATCACCAAATTTTGGTGCGGCACTTTGTGATGTCACCGACGTCGTAAGGATGAGGATTATTAACAATTTATTCATTTTTATTCTAACGGGTTTTTTAAATTTAAATTTTTTTTCTATTCTTTATTTTAATTTGAAGGATTTCCGTTAAATTTTTTTTTATTCTCAATTATGCAATTTTATCAGCTAACATTGCATCGATGCTGCAATCTCCATTTGCCGGATGTGATCGTCATTTGTTTCACTTGTCGGTTTACCGTTACTTCTTCTTATACAGCAACAACAAACAACACGGAGAGTATGAGAGACTCTCTTGACAGATCAACGACAACCGATGTGAATGAGGTGCGATTTTGTTGTTCTTTTGTTGCGCAATTTTTTTTTCTTCTTTTGTGTAGTAATAATACCTTACTGTCTGGAATGTCTTCGTCTTCTTGCCTTCTTCTTATTTTCTAAATACACCGCCCGACTCTTGTTTATGTGCTGTTTTGTCGGTTCTTTCTCTCTCTCGCGTGATGCTTCTTCTCGGAATTATTTTTTATTCTTGTTTGTTGGTCGCTTTTTGAAGGCGATTTTTGTGTGTCGATATGAAACTTCTGTGGAATTGGTAAGGAAAAAGGAGATTTTTAGTGAATTAGTCACTGACTTTTTATGTATTTTTTTGTGAATTTATGCAAGATTTGAGATTATTAAAGTTTTTTGAACATAAAAAATTAGTTTTTGTGGAAGTGAGGAGGTTTTAAGGATATGGATACGTAGTTCTTTTGGTAAAAGGGGACAATGCTTTTTAATTAAGAGAAACATATCTTTTAAAAATTAGATCTACAAATTCTTTTGAAGCTGCGTACCCCTCTTTTGAAGTTACATACCCTACTTTATAGTTTTATACCCCTCTGTAATTAGCTATGGACCCCTTATTTTAATTTTGCATTAGCTGTGTACCCCTTTAAATAAACAGAATTTCTGTATCACCTAGTTAAGAAGTTCCTGAATATGAATTCGAAGCTTTTAAGTTAAGGGGCACGCAGCTGCTCAATAGCTAAGATAAAAGATCTTCAAAGACAAAATCCAAACGTTTTTCTCACAATTTCAATTTAATTCAAATCCAAAAGCCCATGAAATGAGCAATAACTCAATATAATTCTAAAGTAAATTAATCAAATTTCAAGCTAATCAAGAATCCACTTCAGAACTCAAAACAGAAATGCGATCAATAATTTTTTCGGTTTTTTCTTTCCATTCCATCTTAATCAACTCTTCCGTTATGAATTATAGAAAAACTTTTTCTTTTTTTTTGCTTTAAGCTTTTCTTACTCAACATTTAAATTGATTAGATTTTGTGGCTGTTAATCTTGTTAATCAATCTATTTCAATCTACTCTCAATGCTCGGTGCTCGACAATTATTTTCAAATTCAAAAGAGATTATTCAATCGTTATTATTAATCATTTTTCGCTTCATTTTATGTGCTTTTAATTTTATTTTCATGTTTGATACAATTTTCATGTATTGTGGATTATGATGGATTACATTTGATGCTGTTTTCGGATTATTATTAATTTTTGATGTAACATTTTGATGTGAATTTTGTGGAGATTTTAGTTGAAAATTATCAAATGACTTTTTGGAGAGATGATTTAGTTGCAAAAAGGGGGACGCAGGTTAAAAATTTAGGATACGCTGCTGTTAATGGGCTGGAACATAGCTTAAAAAATTATCAATGTAAAACTCCTTAACAGAGGTACATAACTTTTTTGAAAAGGGGTACGAAGCTTTAGTAAAGAGGGGTACGCAACTACTGAAGTCATGGCTACACAGCTTGCATTAAAAAGTGTACAAAGCCAAGAAAATCAACTGTGGACAGCTCTTAAATTGAAGAATTCACTGCTTTGTTTGAAAGTTGCGTACCCCTTTAATAAAAACTCAATGAACTTAACTTAGAAGCTGTGTAATTCTTTATTAGGCTATAAAAAATTAATTTTCAATAATTCACAAAGAAATTCAATCGAAATCAAAAGCCGGAAGCACTTCAACCTTGACTCTTTCTTCCCAACAGACTCAACATAAATAATTCTCGTCTACTTAACAAATTCCACAGCAAATTATCTCATTTAGTAAATAAAAGGAAAATTAATCTACAAAAAATAAAATCTTTACCTTTTCTTGATGTTTTCACTTATATCTGTTGATTTTTCTTCACTCTGTGTCTACCTCCACATCTTCTTATTATTATTCGTCGATCTTCATTCATGAAAAAAAAAATGTTAATTAATTTACAAGCGAAAAAAATTCTTTTGTGTCTCGTCTTTCACAAGTTTTTTTTTTTCACTTTCAATTCAGATCTTCTTGATTGTCCAATAAACAGCAACAATACAGTATCTACATTCATTTACTATTATCTCACGTCTAATTTCTGCTTCATTGTCTTTTTTATTGTCCAAAAATTTCTTTTATTTCTCGCGTCTTGAGATAATTACAGAAAATTATGAATGTTTTGGCTGTGCTTGCGACTCGGCAATCTGTAAATGAAAGAAGAAAATTATTTTTTTAAAAATTTTCTGTGTTTTGAATGTTTTGAAGACAAAAAAGAAATTATGGAAAAATTTTCTGAGTTTAAAAGATATTTAAAGTGCATAGAGCGCATTTTTAGGATTGATCATTATTTAAGTCATGGACCCCTCTTTAAATGAGCCATGCACCCCTCCCAAGTAAGCCATGTACCCCTCATTAAGAAAGCCATGTACCCACAATATGAAGCCATGTACCCCTAATTGAGAAAGCCACGTACCCCACATCGAGAAAACCACATGCGCATAACTCATTCAGCCAAACTGCACTCTACAATAGCCTCGTTTTGCTACCCGAATATTCCACGTGCTAATAATTATGATCAAAAATATCATGAGTAAATTGAAACTTCTTATTAAACAATGAGATGGAAAGATGAAAGTGATTTTATAGCTTTTTATTTACACTTTAAATTGAAGGTGAATGAAACCGAGAGCTGAGTATATTAATTTTAATAACAAAAGTGAATCGAGATGATTTTATGGTGATTTGAATGGAATCGGTTGTGGTTGATTGAGTTGTTTAATCATTTTATGCTAGTATGAAAGCTATATACCCCTGTGTAAGAGCACATCTGATGTAGTAAACTCAATTATTCAATTCCATAGCCTCATCTTCATCGAACTGTACATCAAGACCACAAATAAGATGCAAAGAACAGTAAACAGAGCCGATCAATCTCAAAAAGCACATAAAACTGTGAATAATCGCCGAGAAAATTAGAACAATTTGGAAAAACTGAGAAAAATTAGCGCAATTTAATTAAAAACAAATTCCATTTTTGTTGCGTTAATTAAAAAATAAAAATATAAACAGATTTCTCATCACAATTTGTTAAGATTTTCTTAAGCCGATTAGAAAATCATTAAAAAGTGGAGAAAATTGTTTGAGTTTTAAGGTCGATTCGCTGTTGGGTATGAAAGTTTGTCGTCAATTTTGATGAGTTTGTGAGATTGATGAGAATAAGATAGAGTTGGATGTGTAGTGGAAAAATCTAGAACATTTTTTAGAAATCTAGTTCATATTTTGCAAAAATCTAGTACAATTTTCTAGAATCTAGTACTTTTTTGAGTAAATTGAGTACTAATGTGATGAATCTAGTCCTTTTATTTTGAATCTAGTACTTCTTATTCCAGAATATAATACTTTGATTTAAAATCTAGTACTTTAATTTAAAATCTAGTGCTTTGATTCAAATCTAGTACATCTTTTGCAAAAATCCAGTACATTTCACTCAAATCAATTATTTTCTCAATTAATCACCAAACTTAACATATTATACTTAATCACATCATTGAATGGATTCTCCCAGCAGTAGGTCCCGCAATTCCCAAACTCATTAAACTTATCTCGATAGCCACAATATCATGACATTTTCCCACATAATTACAAAATGAACCATAAAAAATCTGTCAACGAAATGAGCAAAAAAGACAAATTTCTAATTTAAAAAATTAAAAGTTTTCTTCCACATTTGACTGAACTTAATTTGACACTCATTGTTGTGCTTGCGGGTCTTTGATCATAAACTTTGTCTCATAATTTTTGAGTCTATGAACCACACGCGGTCTGTAATGAAAATATCATTAAAAGTTACTGTAAACTTCTTTTTTTTTTTTCTTAAACGATTCACGAATTTTGTCAGTTTTATTTTCATTTTTCTTCTTAATTTGAGTAAATACTCGTGAGATGGCTAGTGTGAGGTATGTTGTGGGGTCTTGTTAATGGATGTTGATGGTGATGAGCATGATTTTGGAGATTTTTGGATAGTAAATTGTTGGATGAGTCGTGAAAAGTGATGGATTGATGTCGTTAAGTGTTAATACTTTTAATATTCTATTAAATGTACTAGATTATGTCATTAAGTACTAGATTTTAGACAAAAAAGGACTAGATTGTTGCCAAATCAAGCTCAAAACCCAAAAAATTCCGACAACGTCATAATTGACATTCCAACAAGAACTCAGAATTTTAATGAAGAAATTTGTAGTCACAGACGCACAGCCAACAACCATTTATTATGATTATTGCACCGATTTTTTTCACTTTTTTTCGATTCTTTTCTCAAAAATTCTTTCAACTTCTTTTTTAATTTTAACTTTTCGATTTTTTTCAATCTTCATTATCTTCATTTTTTCTCCATCCACGTCTTCTTTTGTGTCGCAATCTTCTTGTATATCCAATAAATAATAAAAATTGCCGCTTCAGTGCATAAAGTCGTCTCTTTTGTGCTGTCTCAAGTAATTCGCATCAAGTAAATGTTGTCACATTAGCTTCATATTTATGTCTACGATGTCCACACGTTTTTTTTGCTAATTTATTTCACTTTTTATAGCTTTTTGTGGCAGTTTTCTTATTATTTTTTGCTGAGATTGAATTTTTTTTTGTGGGCATGGATTTTATGGATGAGGTGCGGTTCGGAATTTTAATTTCTTTGCGGGCTGTTTGAAGGGATTTTAGTGATGATGATGTCGTTTGGGAGTTAAGTTTTGAGTCTTTGTGTGAGTTCGGGAATCAATTTTGTAATTTTTTAAGATTTTAAGGAAAAATCTAGTACATTTTAGCATAATCTAGTACTTCATGGTTAAAAAGTAGTTCTTGAGGGAAGAATCTAGTACTGAGAGATATAATCTAGTATGTAAGGGTCATTTTAAAAATAATCTAGTACTTCATGAAAAATCTAGTACCTCATGAAGAAATCTTGTACCTTTATCATAAAAATATTCAAAAGTTCGACTATTTTAACTTCCACCAGCTCGTTAGAAAACAAAAATTTGTTGCAACAAAAAAGTATCAATTACAATTTCCACCTACACCAACTTTTCACATCATCAGCTATTCCAACCATTTAACATCAAATAATCCGATTCGAATGAATGAATTTACATCATATCAAATTCACATAACAACTAATAGTAATTAAATTTTACAAAACCAAACAAAATAAAATCGACAAAAATATTCTCACACATAACAGAGACCACAACTTCCTCAGACATAACGAACGTAGCAAAGTGAAGAGTTTGTTGCCGATTTGAAGGAAGTCGGTTGTAAAGGGTAAGTTTGGTAAAGAATAGCATTTTGAGAGTAACTTAGATGCTGTCAGAATTTAGTCGAATGTTGACAGTTTCTATAAAATGCTGTCATTTGCTATAATTTTTAATAGTTCATATAAAATGCTGTCAGTTCGTAATTGCTTCTTTCAATGCTGTCAAGTCCTATAATTTGTGCTATAAAAACTGTCCGTTTCTATAAATGCTGTCAATTCTTATGATTAGACTGATAATGCTGTCAGTTCCTATAAAAGCTATTATTTCCTATAAATGCGCCCCGTTTTCAATAAATTTTAGTCGTATCACCTCCAAACCCACCAAAACCTCCTTGAAATAAATCAATAATTAAGAAAACTTTATTTTCTTTCCTACATCGACCCAAAATAGTTCCTCTATGTCAATAACAATAGCAATATTTTGCCTTACATAAAGTTTGAGAAGAAATGAACTCAAAACAAATTAATAACGAAGCCCCAAACATTGAAAAAAAAACTTCCGATCAGCTCTAATTGCATTCACGATTAAACAATTTCATAATAAAAATAATTTCTCATATTTATGTGTGGCTATAAATACAAATAATACTAAAAAAAATTGAGAGCCACGAGGCAAGAAAAAATTAATTTCTTGTTGAATAATAAATTTCAGCTAAGCACGCACTTCTCGTGTTCTGCTCTCGTGTATGCTCGTGCACATTACATGCAACTTGATTAATTAAGTCGAAAAAAAATTTTTCTTTTGTCGATGAAAATTCTCTCAAATAAATCTTGTGCTAGTGATGCGATGCACTGATGCCCGAGGGATGTATGATCATTTATATGGTGGTGGCCTTGGAGGGGCTTTTAATAAGGCTGAATGATTTGTTGGATTAAAGTTGGGTGTGGTTGTGAATATGGATTGGAATTGAGTAAGACATTTTAGGTTAAGAATGCTGTCAGTTTTCAAAATTGCTGTCACATTTTGAAAATGATCGAAATTTTAAAAAAATGTCAAAATTTCAGAAAAAATGTCGAATCAAAAAAAATCTTTCAAAATCTTAAACGGTTAGGAAATTCATCCAGCTAGTCATGCTCTTCTCGGACTTATAATTTCCCACTCACAATTCCACACAAAATTCTTCTCTTTTGTCGGCAATTTACAATTTATTTACTTCTACACAACTACTTTTTGTTGTTAACAATTGGAGCTGATAACAATTATTTTGCAGCATCAAGACTTTTTCTTTCTAATTTTCATGTTTGTTTTGAGAAATTTCTTTTCATGATTTTTGGTTTTTTTCTGTGTTTTCATTAGAAGAGAAATTTAAGTTTTGATGAAATTTCTATCTGTGAATGCGCATGATGCGCTTTGATGCACAATGAGTTTTGAGTTTAGATTGAAAATTTTGCATTTTTGAGGTTATGTTTGTGATATTTTGAAATTTTTTGATGACAAATAAAATTTATATTTTTTATTGATGTCCAATAATCCCCACATAAAGCCCACAAAATACCCAAAATCTCCAAATATTCATTTAAAAAAATTAAATAACATTTAATTAAAAAAATCTTACAAAACACATCAGCACCCAACACTCAACAATTAAACCTCACAGCACGTCTAATTACCGTCCAAAAAAATTAAACAGCACTCACAGCAGTCAAAGCACCTGCCAATGCAAACAACAACAGTAACTCAACCAATAAATCAAGAAAAAAAATTTACTTTAAAAATTAAAACAAATTTAATATGGAAAAAAGCATGCATAAGAAATGTTTAGAGCCACAAAGAAGAGTTGAGTAAGAAGCAACGTGAGATGAAATTAAGATTGATGACTTACTGGCATTTTTGTTGTAATTAAGCGTAAAGTAATTCACACACGATTGAGAAATTGAGAAACTTTTTGAGAATTGTTGAGA